GCTATTAAGCAACCAATCTGGTATCGACCAAGCGTCAACGAGCTTCACAGCATGCGGTCTCAACTCAGCCATGAGATCTACAATCGTATCTTGCAGAGTGAACACGGACTCTTGCGGAACGGCGGCCGTCATCATGAACGAGGATGCAAATTGGTCGACGGTGTAGAGCGCGTAGAGCTGGAAGCATGTCCGCAGTACTGATGACGTGGGCGGACTAACGGAGCTGAAGCTATTATAGAAATTCGTGACGAGGATCTGCTCCGAATATGCGCGGCTGAGGTTGTGGAGCTGGATCATGAGACGGGTCCAAGGTCGCTTTTCGACGACGCGTGCTTGGTAGGCGCGATAAGAGAGATCAGCTGCACGCCATTGGAACACCTCTACTATGTTTTGGTCGTCTACCACACCGTCTTTCGAGACGTTTTGGGGTATGTGATGGTCCTTGTTTAGAAGGTAGTATTGGAAAAGCTTGTCCGTCGGATCTTTGGGCGTGGAGCCAGGATCTTTGACAGCGTCCGCCATCTTCTTGATGAGATATGCGGCAGCCTGCTGCGTAATCATCCAGTTATCACCCTCAACCGTTGGCTTGGAAAGATAGTCGGCGTTCAACCCTACTAGCCCGCTTCCACCGCCGAAGCCATGACCGCCCATCGCGCGCCGACAAGTCTCGATACCGTCCGCAGCGAGCATCGTACACAGGCTCTTCAACCCCGAACTAGCGCTATGTAGCTCAGCTAACGGTCCAAAGTCGCCCTTCTCGATGTTCTCCCGCGACTTGTGGTACAACATGTACATGTACTCGCCAGTATAATGCAACGCGAAGGTAGTCGCGAGCAATGGCAAGACGCGTATCTGTACTGTGGGGTAATCAAAGACCTTCATTTCGCTATCAGAAGCATTAGTGGAGTCGCGGTCCTTGAATTGCCGCCGTAAAGCACAGTATCGTACGGCGACAGTGACAGCACGTGCAAGGACCAGCCTTGCATGCATTATGATCTGGCCGCGTACGTATGTAAGACTCCCATATACAACAGCCGGATGGCCATTCCGAACGAACGCGCCGGTCTCGTCGGAGACCTCAGCGTAGCGGCTCAGCATAGCCGACTTGGGTACGTGGAAATGGTCGAATAGCATGTACCCGTTATCCATGCTCGCATACCCGTATTTCGGACCGATGTCGCCTACAGCAATGCCCTGCAGAGGTTGATGCGTCTTCGCGTCCCGAATTTGCACAACGAAAGTTTGTGGGCCGTGCGAAGTATATTCGACCTCTTGAGCATGCCGATCGGAGACTTTTGATCTGTCGGACGGGGATGGTGGTTTCGGCAAGAGCAATTGTGCGACTACAATCTATGTATGACATGCATTAGCGAACACCCAAGGCAGAATCAAAGTTTTGGGCTGGCGGCACAGGGTGGAGCTAAAGACGTACTGCGTGCGTGGCGGTCCTCCCCATTGACCCATTCCACCATTTGCTTGCCGTCAAAGTCGGACTGTGAATTTCGAATTCCTTCTTGATTGGGTCCCACTTCGCGACAGTCTCCAGGCCTCGTACGTTACTCCCATGGCCTAGTTCAGTTTGCGCATAGCAGCCAATGATGTCGTGGCTGAGGATTCTCGGCATCCAATACTTCTGCTGTTCTTCAGAGGCTTGCTCGCGTACCGTTGTGACTGTGCGATACGGTGCTTGTCAGCTCTTCGCGCCCAAGTGGTACGATTATGCACGACGTCTAGAGCAGCTGCAGCCTTCCGTTGACTCACCGAACATGTTCATATGCAGATGATATGGGCTCATCTCATCCGTCAGGTATTCCGCCATCTTATAGTCTTCAAGGTCCCATCCTTCTCGTCGCATCAACCTCTGGATGGCCTTTGCTCTCGCCAGTCCTAGATGATACCGCTCTGGGCGCGAAAGATTCAGCTGCTGATCCTTGTTGAAAAGCTTCTCCTTGCTCAAAACCCGGAGTACCTTATCTTGTCGCTCCAGAAAGCCATCACGGCCTAGAAGGTGCTGTGCGAGTTGGCGAACGTTGATGCCCGAGCCGTCGCGCTCGGCCTGGAGTTTTGCTGTGCCATCGTAGGCGGGCTTGAGATGATCGGTGAAGTCTGCCATGATGCGATTGGTCGCTGGTCGTGATTCGAGTTGGCCAACAGAGTCGGGTGCAGGCCGTCCGAAGCGAGATGGGCGGGTGCTGCTCAGCGACAATGTTTTGCCGTTAAGCACGTTGGAAGAGCTCACATCGTGAGAGTCAGTCTATCGGCAATAACGCGGAAATGTAAGCTGCATCAATGCCTCGGTATGCGCGGGGGATGTGTGGTGGGCGGAGGCCGCAGGAGTTGGGGCGGAGACGTTTAATGCGCAACGATGCGGGGCGTCGCCATGTGGACCCGAAATGCGGGGTCATGTCGGTGGTTTGGTGATGCTGCACGTTGACTAGAACATCCTTGATCAACGAACGAATGTCTACATTGAAGCTGTTCGGTACGAAGAGATGATGTGTAACATAATGATGATTGACGCACTCGTGGTAACACGCAAATCCACGGAGAAATGCAAGTAGAAAAAAACAATCGCCTTCAAAATCCCATCTGAACAATACAAAACGCCTTTTGTGCCGCAAAACCATCCAATGCAAGCTAATTGTACAGGATATCAAATGTCCAACCCAAGTCGTAAACCGAAAGACAAACACCGATAGCTATGCTCAACACCATTATATCGAATCGAAATACCGTCAGCGTCATCAATAAGTTGGTGTACCGGAGCACCAACTTAGCCCCTTCCAAGAGTAGTCATCAACACGCCAGTAGGAGAATGATGGCAAACATTCTTCACTCAATTATGGCATCAGCCCAACAGCTGAGCCCACTTTCTTCGTTTAACACACGCGTCATGTCTTCGTCGGCGAGTCGTACAAGGATCTCGAAAGGCGCTTCTTTTTCGTTCACAAGCTGTCTCCGTCGTGGGAGAAAGATCATGCCGCCATCACCCGGACCATACGATCGTCTGATGAACTCGGGTCGACCGGCAAGGGAGTCCTTGTCCAGATCTGTACCAGGTATCCCCCAGCTGAGATCAGCGCCGAAGTTCAGCCAGGACGAGATGTAAATGTCCGATCCAAAAGTCAAAGCCAGTGCGACCTCGGTGTCGGTAATCACCTCGATCGACTTGAAGAATGTTAGGTGGCGGTTCACCCATTCGTCGTCGACATCGAGAATGGTGCTCTTGATAGTGTTTATGACGTTGACTATTGTGGCCTTGGTTACACTGCCGGTATTTGTCAGCTGGCTGTCTCAAACTTAATTGCGTCGCTCGACATTGGAACTACAAGGTTTGGAGCGCACCAAGGTGCGACCAGCAATGATACAGTAGTAAGGAATAGACTCACCGGTCCTCTGCTGTCAAGTCCGAGACCTTCATCGTGCCTCTCGAGAACAAAGCCATGTTCCCCATGTAGTCGGCGGGGACGGGAGGGTGCTGTCTTCTGCGCAAGTCCGTCGCAATGCCGATGCTAGTCTCCGCCAGCCCGTACTTGGTCAAGCGGCCTGCTCTAGCGCGAGTAACATGAGTCCAGACTAGGGCTGCGAGGACATTGCACATAGTGGGAGGGGTATCCTTGGGGAAGTGGGTGCGGAGTTTCTCCCTGTACTCGCGTACTCGTGATGCTGGAATGACGAACAACCTCTGGGTGCATTCCGTCTCTTTAGGCAAGGTTTGGAGATACTGAGGCGGACCATCGCAATAGCAGTCGGCACCGCCGTTGCCTAGCGGTGGGATAACCTGCTCGTCAACGGCTTTTCTCATTAGAGACTGCTCGTCGGCGACGCTTCCCGTGTCTGCCATGTTTAGTGGTAGCTTGACAGTGTAGGGGGAGAGTGGTACCTATGATCTTGTGCTCTTCGAAGAGTTGCTGCTTTGAGATTTTGGAGACATTCTCCGAGAACGTCTGCCAGAAGAGAGTAACGCCTGAAAAGTCAAAAACACTGTGATGCATGTACATGGAAAGTACAAGGCCGCCAGGTATGAAGAAGGCCTGAGTCCGCATGGCTGGTGCGTCGCTCTTGTCAAAGTCCACTTTTCCTTCGCCGTCTCGTGGAATGCCAGCATAATTTGCGAGATCTTCCGGAACGAACATAGCACTTCGGAGTGCACTCGGTGGCATGCCATCTCTCTTGAGCTGTTCGTAGGTGTGGGGAAAATCTGTCTCATGGTATGGGATTTGCTTTGATCGAAATACGCGATTCAATTGCTCGCTTGTGATATCAGTTGAATAGTTGAGGGCGAGTTTTCCAGCTTTCCGGTCCGCAAGTGTGAGTGTGCCAGCAAGAAAGGGAAACTTGTTGAGTGTAAGGCGCAATCCGGCACCGAGAGCTTGTATGGCCGTTTCGGCGTCATTCAGATCAGGAAACTGCGGATAACGTCAATCGATGTCAGCACGACACATGGTTCAGAATGACATACGGGAAAGATACACAGGGTCTGTATGTATACGCGCACGACATTCTGGTCTAGACATGATAGATGAAACGATTTTGTCTGTACAGGCGGGCTATGTGCTGTGTTGAGCATGTCGAGTAAGCGGGGGATGGTGCTAGCAATAGGTTCAAAGAGCCGGCCGTTGCGCAATACTAGTGGAAAATCTAGGGACATGGTCGTGGCTTTTCGTAGTCAGTATATATACGGAATGGAGGAAGAGTCACACATACCGTGAATTGGGTGAGCAAACACCCAGCATGTGAAGCACGAGATGTCATTTTACCCCCTTCACCGCAAGGCCCCATTGAGCTGCGCCTGGTGTGACGGGAGGGCGGCATTGGCCCACTCGACGGGCCGAGTGGGCTAAGAAGGACGATGACCGCATGCGGAAACATCTGTGCGCCCAAGCCACGCCTCATTCCCGCTTCCCCGGCTGTCTGCTTATTCGAGATTCACTTTCAACCCTTGACGTGCGCCAAACGTGTCTCGTGCCGGCTTCCCCGGCCGCTTTGCTCAACCGTGCCTGAGGAACCAAACCCCCGCGGCAGCGGATGAGGTGCAGCCGATGCGGCAACGTTCAAAGAGGGTTCCCGCCCATGAACGAAATGGGCACGACCAGGACCGTTCATGTGCTTTGCTTTTCCTTCCGCCCATTCTCGTCTTTCGCGGCAGAGGTTAGGCGACTATATGCAGCTCAAAAAAGATCAATTCGCTATTCCGCGACGTCCATGCCCTGGCAATAGGGGTGGGGCGCATGGGAATTGTCCTTGTTTGTGTGTCGACTGTCGCTTGAAATCAGGCTGGCACCCACGTCCTTCGATTGTGCTGTCGCTGCGGGCGGGACTTTCGCGGCACAGCATGACATCCCGATCGTATCTGAAATTGCGGGCTTGGCCGCTACCCAATATGAATGGTCAATGTGACCAGGCTACCACGAGGGATTGTTTGATCATCGATGCCGTACTGACTGCAGACGAATCGATACACCGGTCATGTCGCCCTGCTATAGTCGGTGAGCGCCGCAAGCAAGGTGAGTACGCAGCCCTATGACCAGGCGCTTTGATGCTTGTGCGCCCGCAACGCGCAACAGAATGTACCCGCGTTTAGCAGCCTATTATAGGAGTCTGGAGGAATACGCGACATCAAGAATCTAGCGACTAACACAGCACAACTCACCTAGTTGTTTCCAACGTTCCAGTCAGAGTTGACACGATTGTTGTGACTCTTCGAATAACTGGTCCCGACTACCGAGAGCTCAGCCTGGCCAGCTACCATGGTAATGCTCCAAATAGCATCTGACGGATAGCGGTGTGATGCATCGCGTCTCGGAGGACTCTGAGAGCAGACAGCGATGCGTCATCTGATCGGTGGGGAAGGCTTCTAAGGAGACACGTTGCCAGCGGTCCTCCGGTTAGTGGGTCGTGGGGTCGTCACCGACGTGAAATGCCAGCAAACACCGTAAGCATCGGTAAGGAACAATCAAACAAAACCCTGGTCTAGAGGAGGATGACGAAGATAGCAGTTGATGCGGCTGCAGTCATTGTGGCTGACTGATGCAAATAAGCGCCCCACCTTGTGTGCGACGCTGCTGTCCAATGAGCGGGGAGCTTCATGCATGCGATGCGTTCAAAAAGGAAATCACACCTTCTTCTGAGCAATCGGGCTGATTCCAGCCTGCTGCATTGTCGGAAATATTTGTAACGCTATCGAAAAGTCTCGCATGCGCCTTGTAGCCTCTTCTCTTGACGGGCGATCTATATGACACCGTAGGATTAAGGTTTGTCGGTGGTCGTACAGCGAACGGCGGTATGCAAGGCCGGGTAGGCGACCCGGAAGAGCGTTGGGAATGAGAGCACAGCGACTCTATCATTGGATGTGCTAGGTGGTAGGCGCCCAGAGTATTGGAGGATGCCTAGCTAGAGGGGATCACGATGTGCCTGCTTTCCACGCAGGGACAGTGCGAGAGACGTCGGAAGGATCGGTCGCATCCTTCGCGTAGGATGATGACAGTTTGATTTGAACGTGGTGATGGCCTTAGGCCCGGCCCGCAATGACAGGTCTGATGTGATGACCTATTTGAAATCACAGTTCTGGGTCGTAAGATGCCACAGCCGGTGGCTGAAGACTACTGTGCTGGTTAGTGAAAGATGAAAACATTGTCGCTCTTGTCACAGCCACTCGCTTGACTGTTCACCCTCTTGTGCGTAGCGCGCGAAGTACAGGTACTCAAGCGCGACGGTCTGGACTTTTGTAGTATCCAGGTCGAGCGAGTATCTAAACTCGGTGGCGGCATCCTCTCCACTGCATGCTCCGTACATCGTAAGGGAAACCCACCAAGGGTACTCCACTAGATTGCGGCTGCAGGCGTGTGGCGGCAGGCCTTGGGCGGCCCTTAGCGTCGGGAGTGAGAGGGTTGCGGGGTCGGTCTCGGGAGTCTTCCCCGCGATCTTGCACCGTTCGGTTAGAGAGACATGATCGTGATGACACGTCGCACGCGACTCATCATTTATGCTTCAATAATCTCGTACCGAACTCTACGCTCTAGTATTCGATAATGAGGAGCAGACATTATCAGCCACACCTTGGATGCTCAAGTGGAAAACGGATACCAACAGGATGGATGACCGATGCCGTGTGATACCTAAGCACTCTGGACGCAACGTGCTTCCGAATACTGTAAGACGTAGTCCCCAACAGAAGCGAAGATATGGTCGCGGAGTTACGCTGAACTCAACCTAGCCTCTTTTTTCCAGAATCCTGCGGTTCGCGAGTCGAACACCTGCGCGCATAGCTATTGATGACGTCCGCTTGAATGTTCAAAAGACACATCTGGAGTTGCTTTCGGATGTACTAGCCTTACGAGAAAGTGTTTACCGTTTACTGACCGATGCGGCGCTTGAAGCCCTGGAAAAAAGAGACGAGGTATACATAGCCGTCGTAGCGGCTGGAGGGTATGAATACACTGTGGCGGTACTAGCGATACTGGCGCTCGGTGCTGCCGTAGTCCCACTGACACCGGCTCTGCCGGTAGAAGAAGCAGTGTACTTTATCGAGAAGTCAAGAGCCGCACTGGTTCTAGCTAGCTCATTGGACTGGATCAAATGTCTTGATCTGGAAAAGCGGATCGGGATGACAAGCGATCAACATTTTCGAGCTGTGGCCATCAAGCCCTCCATTTCGTCCCCTATACTCGATGCTAGAGACATTATCATCTCTTCAGACCGTGCCTTGGATGAGAATGCGCCCGCTGTAGTCATCTTCACCAGTGGGACTACTGGAGCGCCCAAGGGGGCGGTAATGAGAAGGGCTTTCATCTTTGACTGCGCGCTAGAAGTAGCGGATCATTACCAGTTAGATCAAGACGACGTCGTCCTTCACGTCCTTCCAGTGCATCATGCGACCGGTGTGGGTATCAATTTCTTCCCCTCCCTCGTATCCGGTAGTCGTATCGAGTTCCGCAATGGAGGCTTTGATGAAAAGCAAATGTGGGAACAGTGGAAGCAAGGTGCTACGGATCCTCGAAAACGGCTTACTATCTTCTCCGGCGTACCCACAATATACATGAGAATGAGACGATATTATCAAAACAAATTACGCAAGCTACCTGCAGATGAGATAGCGAAGTATGTTGCAGGCGCAAGACAGTTCCGGGCTTGCTTGTGCGGAACGTCAGCACTACCTCAACCACTTAACGACTTCTGGAAGAGCATAATGCAAAAACCGATCTTACAGCGGTACGGAGCGACGGAGTTTGGAGCCATCTTCAAGATGCGTCTTGGCGATAACGACGTTCCGGAAGGCTCTGTAGGCGAAATCGCCAGTGGTGTTGACGTGAGACTGTCTGAAGGGGACGAGGGGGAGGTGCTTGTGAAGAGTCCGGTATGCTTCCTCGTTAACGATCTCGGCAACATGCGCTAAGAATGTTCAGCACATGTTTTCAAAGTACCTACGTGATCCCGAAGGAACTGCGAGGGCTCATGACCCAGATGGCTACTTCCGAAGCGGCGATATTGCACGACGAGACGGTAAATACTACTACATTATCGGGCGAGCCTCTCTAGATATCATCAAGTCGGGCGGATATAAGATATCTGCGCTGGATGTCGAGCGCAAGCTGCTAAGCCTGCCATACGTCGCAGAAGCCATGGTGGTCGGCGTGCCAGATGAGGAGTACGGGCAACGCGTCGCTGCATTGATCTCGCTACAGGAAGGGGAGATGCCTACCGGCCTACTGAGAATGAATAGTGGAGCGAAACACGTCTTGACCATCGACGCTCTGCGTCAAGATCTTCGCGAAAGATTAGCCGGATACAAGCTGCCTACACTTCTGAGAATTGCGGATGGCGAGCTGCCGAAGACAGCCACAGGCAAAGTGCAGAAGAAGATCCTCGGGCCTCGCTACTTCCCTGCTGATCATCACGAGCTTCAGAAAGTACAGAAATGGGTCGCGCGTTCCACCTTGGCGAAGCTGTGATGTGGTAGTCTCATCGTGCTGCGATGTTCTCAAAGAGATATCTCGATCGAGCTGAACGATCAACTCGCCATCGCGATCGCATAGGTGCGGGACATTTGCTGTCATATCGCATCGAAAAAGAAAGAAAGGTATTGACTGAACTTAGAAGCTGGTTGACTTGTGCACTAGCGGGTCATCGAGCCGAGGTGGCTCGCACCTTTCTCCACGCGCAATGTTCGTTGTTGATTTTCTTTTCCAACCCACGTTGTGCGTCATTCCGACTCCACGTCTTTTTGAAGCTATCCCAACAAATAGACAAGGCTTTTAGTGGTAACCGCGGCCGAGAACTGCTTGTCGAATCGGTTGAGGCACGAATGGCACAGTCATCGTTGTGTCACAGATACCATTAGCCAACGCATCCTATCGTAAACGATTTACTTCCAGATGTTCTTGAGAGGCCTGGAGATATCCCACCCTCGTAAAGATATTCACCAGGTATGCGACGAGCCTCAGCAGCTTACAAGGAGGACTAATGGCACTCTTCACACGTAGAAATTGTGAAAGTGACGCGCGATACAGTACCGAAATTAACGTCCTTGACGCTGACACTGCTATGCTGTCGATTGAAACACTCTAAAATGTCACCTGCTACACTGTGTCACACACGGCTGATTCTCAGGCTTATTCACAACTGATGCGTCTTGGCCTATGTACTTAAACAGGGAGAAGCATTGCAAATCGACTCATAACAGCACGCAACCACGCCTCGCTGAAGCTTCATTGTTGGCCATGGCGAAATCTCCTCATGTCGAGCCTTTTCTGTTTTGTCTTCTCGAAGATTTTAGATGGCATGTACGCGAGTATCACGGAGACCAGCCAACGCAAAGGCTACCTTCCTTGACAAACCCCGTCCATCCAATATTCAAGCTTGAGCGCTGGGCAACGCATCCGGGTCAGCATTTCGTCGAGATATATCAGAGAATACTACCTGCGTTACAACTAGCCTCTCTTTTCCTATGTGAGGATGGTCCTCTCCTATGGTACAGTCGCCTGACGTTCAGCGAACGGCGCTTGAACTCTGCAGGTAAAGCCTACCTAGTTCCAACACCATACTCCACCACTCCACAGGCGCTGGCGCTTGTCAAAACGAACCTCAAGAACCTCTCAAAGGTAATCACCTTCATGTTTGCTCCACAAGATTTTCACAAGAAGCAGAATTGGGGAACCGCGTATCACCGGAGGGAAAACATGCCATTCTTCCAAGAGCTTCGTACGGAAAACCTTCCATTTGTTCCACCCAGTTCAGGTATAGCTAATCCAAGCATCGTCCTATCACGAAGGTTCGACATCTTTTTCCACAAGACATTCGCAACGCCTCATCAGAATCTCGATAAGTACTACAGAGCTCTGCTCATGCTCGCTTCCGTAATTGGACATGAAGTAGCTCATAGCTACAACTTCTTCGTGCATGGAGCATATGGGCCCCTGGAGCCATTTTGGGATATCACCGAGAAAAGCGGAGAGCTAGGGTACTCTTGGCAGTGGAACATCCTTGGCTGTGTACCATTACCGATGGGTAGCAAGGCAGGCGATGACGATAATGGGAGGTTTTATCCGCTGGCTATCGTCAAAATTGAGGAATATCATTCCAAAGCTGATCAAGAGAGGATCATGGGTGCCATTAAAGCAAGCACGAATGCTGAGTTCACTCAACGAGATTCCAGCGGAAATCGTCGGACCTGGCCAGCGGTAGATGTTACTAAGTTCCGCGGTTCCACCTGGGGCCCCGATGAAACTGCGATGGGTTTCGTGGCTTCTATCCTGAGCATCCGTCCGCGCTGGATCGCGGGGTGGTTTCAGCAGACTTTATGGAAAAATATCAAGACCAATTGGACGCAGAAGCAATACTACTTGCCGCCTTCTCTTGGTGAGTGTTTCGTAATAATGTACGACAGAAGCGCTTCTGCTACCTACATCCAGCGACCGCTTCATCCGGGAAATGAAGTTGATGCAAAGATAATTCGCCACCGGCGGGTGCGGGAGGGTGGCCCAATTCTAGTCAAAAGATAGGTCTAGCTTCATCGAGAGCAGTGTCTCAACGGCCCGCTATCTCCATAATTTGATATGTTTGTGATACTGGGCATTCGAGAACTTCTTACGTATGAGGCATATGAGTTTTGGAAATTGTAATTGGCTCGTCAGTCGTGGGTCATCGCAATACCGTGGTTGCATCGATGATAACCACGGTACTGCTTCACGATTGTGCGCACACAGCCACAGTGTGTTGTTTCCACAGTCTCCAGTATTTGTGATATCACTGACTTTCATATTAATACGTTATTGATCTCAGGCGTTATAAGTGGCTATTCTGCTGTGCTACCTGTGATAGGAGTGGATTGCGCACCGATGTGTGAGTCTATTGTGGAGAGCGAGTACCAAGGGGTTACACATCGTGAATTCATAGGTGTACACTATGGCCGCGACGAGAAGGAGCCACTTCATGTATTGCTATGGGTGCCTTCTGCACCCACTAGCGTGATTACTATATATTTGAATCCTTCTTCAATCCAACACACTTCTACTCCAACATCCACTTCTTTGTCCTATCTATCTGTACTCTCTTCAAGACTCCCTTTCTTTTCCCTACTCAGTTCACCTCAAACTGTCTAGTTGGCACTCGATCCAGTTAATCTCAGTTACCGACACCTTCTCGACACTCCCAAACAATCATGTCGACCATCGTATCTATCGGCGGACTTCCCTACCCCACCGAGCCGTTCGTTATGCTCGTCGAGATATATGGTTTACTCGAGGATGATATCGACGATATCTACACACTGCCTGGAGGAAGCGACATCGCACGGGTAGTTTTCAAGAAACACGAGGTCGCAAAGAAGTTCGCCGACGATTCCGACAACTGTCACTCGAAAGTTGGCAAGTTTGCCGGCCGGAAGCTTGGCGTTTATCTACGTGACGAGCCTGAGGCTGAACTCCTCGACGGTTTTACGAATCGTCTATCCGATTTCCTTCACGCCCGCGACAACCAGATCCTGTCGCGAACCGTCGAGATAACGGGGTTTCCTAAAAACCACACTTTAAGCAATCTGCACCAGCTTCTGGAACCCATATGGGAAGACAACGATCGAATTGAGGGAGAAAACAATTTAATTCTTGCACAAGGTGGTGAACTCGACCCTAATGACTATCACTATATCGAGCCTCTTGGAATCACTCACTTCAAATCTCCGAGACCAGGAGTTGGACTCGTACAGCTCAAGGATCCCAGTACGGCACGCCATATCGTGCATCTTTTCGCTATGAGATACTGGAAGAATGCTACGTTGAACGCCCGTTGCGTCCCAGACGAAGAGATTGAAGACTTGCTCATCAAAAGGTCAAGCCAGGAAGATGGGGCGCTCTTCGGGAAGGATGTGATGCTCTTCGTTACTGGTATAGAAGCCGGCACTTCACCGAAAGAGGTTCAAGAGATCTTCAAGGAGTTTCCCATCCGTGATGTCAATATGCCACCAGGTGGCAAAACCTTCTGCTTCGTCTTCTTCAAGCATCCAGAGGCAAACGCAATTCTTGCGCGATTTGGAAATGGCGTTCAGTGGAAGGGTCGCACTATTCGAGTGAGCATATCGGATAAAGAGAAGAAGAAGAAGAACAAGAACAAGTCCGCCCTTGGTGCGGTAAGCGCGCCGCCTGCTACACTCCCGCAAGACATGACAGATCTAAAGCTGAACAACCTCCCACATGATGTTGCGGACTCGAGCATCCGCATCATCTTTGAAGGTTTCACGGTTTCAAAGGTCATCGTCAAGCAGGGCTACGCCTTCGTTGGTATTGCGACAAGCGAGGTTGGTCGCGCGATCGAGGAATTGAGCGGGAAGATGGTTGGTGGCCGGAAGATTTCTGTGAAGGTTTCCCAACACAACAAGCAGTGAATGCTCACATCTCTGGTAGGATGCAATATCGGATGTTTTGCAACCACAAGACATCATATGATGTGGTTCGATATGGTTAATGTAGATATTCGTTCTCATGGAATGCCAAATAGATGTTGCCACGAAACTGTTCCTCTCCTTTCGCCTGCTCTCTTTCTAGACTTGTCTGCCCCACTTTCACGTGACGAACTTCAAAACATCATTCACTCACTTCAAGTTCCAGACAACCTTCACAACATTTCACTAGACCTCAGTTTTTGTCACAAACAGTGCGCGAAGAAAACGAAAAAATCTTTCACTGTATCTGCGCACTTATCAGTCCGCTCAAGCATCTTACGCGGGGCTTTTTCGGCGCGCCCTAATCCATACATAGTGATACAATTCGACTCATAATGCCAAGAACTGTCGAACACAATAAGAGCGCAGGCCCGCCGACTATGGATGCGCCCAGTATCTGACCAAGAGATAGTGCGATGGAAGGTCAATTAGACATTTTTGGACAGCAATCATTCTTCACGATAAATACGCAGATATGCTTCGCCTTCACGACAAGCGACACCTCATCCCACGAAACGATAGTCGGGATGCTGAACAATGGGCTCGCGAGATTATCTGCGGCCTTCCCGTGGCTAGCATGCGATGTCGTTAACGAGGGCTCAGGGAACGGTAGCACAGGCGTATACAAGTTCAAGGCGTCAGCAGGCGCGCACGCTGTCGTCGTAAAGGATCTCAGTCGCGATACCTCAATACCAACAATGGACAGTTTTGTGCGTGCTGGGTTTCCGATATCCATGCTAGATGAAGAGATGGTCGCACCTCGCAAGACGTTTACAGACCAGACCCACTCAAAATCAGCACCGGCTTTCCTTATTCAAGCCACTTTCATTCCCGGGGGCCTCCTGCTGACGTTTCTCGCACAACATAATACCATGGATATGACCGGTCAAGCGCACATGATACGCCTCTTTTCCAAGGCTTGCTGCGGTGCCCAGTTCACAAGCGACGAGCTTTTCCATGGCAATATCGAGCGACATAATATCGTCCCCTTGCTGGAAGATTCATATATTCCCGGTCCGGAGCTCGATCGCCATATCGTAAAGTCCAGTACAGAAAGTCCGGCTTCAGACCAAATGTCATCACCACGGCCGAACTACGTGTGGGCTTACTTCGGTTTTTCTTCCAGGTCACTTGCAGCCCTCAAATCGATCGCGACGGAGTCAGTGACCGCCCCCGCGTACATATCTACCGATGATGCCCTGACTGCCTTAATCTGGCAATCTGTTCAACGAGCTCGTCTACCACGTCTTCAGCCCGCTGCTAGATCGTCGATAGCCCGTGCCATTGATGTACGATCGGTACTTAAAATCTCGCCTTTGTACCCGGGGCCGATACAAGACAGCGCATACACTACGATCTCGCTTGAAACATTAGTGTCAAGGCCCTTGGGAACTATCGCTCTGCACCTCCGATCAGCACTAGATCCTGCATCAGTCGAGTTTCATGCTCGCGCCGTTGCGACTTTCCTCAGCCGTACAGCAAATAAAGCCATCTTCTCTTCCACGGCCGACTTTGACATGTCGAGAGACTTGATACTCAGTTCATGGTCAAAGGTACAGACTTCCGATTTGGACTTCGGCCTTGGGCTCGGCAGACCCAAAGCCGTTCGGAGGCCGCGTTTCAAGGCATTGGAAGGGTTGGTTTTCCTTATGCCGAAGTCGCTGGAAGAGGATGTGGCAGCCGCGATATGCTTGAGAGAAGAAGATATGAACCGGCTGAAAACGGACGCTTACTTCGGTACATATGCACAGTACATAGGATGACGATGATAGCTAGTGTATCTCTGAAGGATTGCGATGTACATTTAGTCTATCAAGTCACTTGTTTAAAATCTACTTCAGTGATACTTCTTTGCTGGGACAGAAGGCGCAATGACAAAGTCGCTGTGCTCTCATTCCCAACAGATGTCCTCGGCGTGCCATCTTGGTAACCGGTCCCGCCTCTCCATGGATGTAGCCTTTTCATTCTAATCGAGCCTCAACATTCTTCAGTCATGGCCTTCTTCTGTTGTAACCGTGCCACGTATCTCTCTCGCATTCTGAACAACTTCCAAATGTAAACTTGTAGTATGAGAACCCAGGTCGCGATCTCCGAGTTATTGACGTAGGTCGTGTAGGGCGCGCCCTCGGCGTATGGGTATGAGAACCGGAGCTGAAGTACGACGACGATGTTATCGAAAACGTGGTAGAAGGCTAATCGAATCATGGCGTCACGCCAAGAGACGGGTTTGTAAAGGTCGGTGATATTGTGGTAGAAAAGTCCGAGATTGAGCAAGTCACAGAGGTGGAGCAAGTCGCAGAAGGGGCAACCAATGCACCTCGTCATCGGGTCTACTTGATGGGAAGATGAGACTGTGGCATCTTGGGATGGAATAGAGGGCGCATCGTTGCCAGTGAGGTTCGTGAGTGTCGTATCCTGGGAAGAGTCGGAATAAGCGCCCCACTACAGCCGATCCCAAACGCGGAGCTTCACAAAGCTAGCCAGTATAAAGCCTTTGAGAGGTGACCTGGTGTCCCATGGGAACCAAAACCACAACATCGATTCCTCGTAATGTGTAATGCCTGGGAAGGTGGATAAACATCGGATGATGAGCATGTTCGCAATGATGGAGTAAAGCAATCCTTCTTTCGCTTGTTGGGGGAATCGGGAATAACTGAAGCATATGGTGACCACCGTGATGAGCACGATGAGCCATAAAATCCAGTGTGGTTTTTCGATTTCGAGTACATCCGACGATATGTAGGCGGGTTTGCCTTGATGGTGAAGATGCCAATAGCGGTGGTCCGAGGATGTCCAGTCTGCGATGGAGGGACCGTAGAAGTGTTTGAGTATGAATGTGAAGAAGAGACTGAATATGAGGCCTGGTGCCCATATGAATACTATGGTCCACGGCGACAGCGTGCTGTGCAGAGTCACAAGATCGAGAGAGGCGGAAATGAGATTGAAAAAGAGGCATGGTACCCATATGAGGCCTAGCAGCCACAGCAACAGCATTCTGTGCGAACTCGTGGTCTTGCAATCTACGAGGTTGGAAAGGAGTTGTGAACGAGGAGTACGAAGTCAAGAGAAGAAGTAGGTCTTATGAAATCGACGGCGTTGTGGGATGATATCTTTCCCTGGTTGCGTGTGTTAGCGTACCATAGTCAACACCGTGGCTGAGTTGATATTACCGCTTCGACTGATGGCCGGGATGTGTCATAGTCCCTAATCCTTGCTTCGAACCTCCAAAGGCAGTATCGTGATCGAAACAAAGCTCTCCGGCAGCGGTCCGCTTGTGATACAGACTTTTCTATTGTCGATATACGGAGCCAGGCAGACGACGACTGAAGCGTATCGTGGAGCCGTGGATAGTACGACGAAGGTAAATGTCGCGACCGGATGTGTGGAGGGATGAATGGTAAGCGCTCATTTTTTTGCATGTGTGGTATATCTCATTGATGAGTACGTTTGCGTACGTGTAGGTATGTGTTGCGGAAATCATGAGTGGCTCGTCGCTTCTGCATCATCGCAATAATTTGGCACGATGTAGACAATGCGGATGGCAACAATGAGGTTAGGCCAGTTTTTTGTTCGAATCGAAACGCGATGTAGCAGTCGGTTGTTAAATTTGAATATGTTGAGATCAAAGCTTCCCGAGGTCCTCTCCCTTTGGGTTCGTCTTGGTGGGTTCGCCTCACGGCAAGGTGCAATTCTATCGCCAGGGATAGTATTTTCAAGAGGGTTGTGCCTACTAGGAGAGTTGACAGAAGCAGCCAGCAGCACACCCCACTCTCGAAGTGACGTGGTAATTTAGTTGTCAGGTGGTCTGCTGCGCACTACTAGATAACCCCAATTGCATCAACTCTCGGTTATGAAACTCGTGTATTAACATGGGTGGAGGATTCTGTTGAGATCTTGGTTGACGAATCAGGCGCCAGGTTTCGCTGCGCGGTCGAACGCCACTTCGCCTATGTGATATCCGGTCAGTTCACCGGCTGCCTCGATGAATCGACTTGTATAGTCGACCAAATCCTAGAGCTGTAGTCTCGTGTTGCTCTAAAAGAACAAACGCACAAAACGAACGGGATGCTTCAAAATGCCAGACGCACCGTTGTATTCGCAGCTCCCAGACCGACGAAATATCCGCCTACTCCGCATTAAGTCGGGAACTAGCGAAGATCCCATTGAGATCATTCTCGAAACTTTCGACCTCGATTCAAATACGGAATTCAAGGCGCTCTCATATGTCTGGGGGGATGCAACATCGCCATGCGAGATCATATGCAATGGGCATAAAAAGCCGATTACACGCAATCTTTGGGATGTCTTATCGCAACTACGAAAACAAAAGTTTGGCTGCCGAATGTGGGTAGACGCTGTCTGCATCAACCAGAAGGACGAAGAAGAGAAGAGCTTCCAAGTAGCTATGATGAGAGACATCTACAAGCGCGCCGCAAAGGTCATATTCTGGCTCGGAGAACAGGAAAGCTACGATAAAGATGCAGTCCGTCTAATGAGAGGCTTCTTGGAGCGGTATCCGCCTCAGTTGGACATGGAACCACACAGAGGGAAGACTCTGGAGGAGCTGGGCCTTTCTTCCATTGACCGCGGCTGGACTGGATGGGCCTCCCTATTTTGTCGCCCATGGTTTGGACGGGTTTGGATTGTACAAGAGTTCTTCAACGCAAGGAATTCCGTGTTTATGTCCGGTGCACTGGAGATCCCCACTGAATTGCTAGTGCATTGCGGGTTCGCTACCGGAGTGTGTGTTGCAATCCGAGGAGCTGTTTCATGGCACAATGGAGATGCTCGTCAAACCCAAAGAGCCATCTTGAGACTTCAAGCTTTGGGGATCTACCGTGAAAAAGGCGATGAATATCATGTTCGAATCTTCGATCTATGGTACAGAAGCCAACAGCTTGAAGCCACAAATCCTCAAGACCGAGTTTTTGCACTCTTGTCGACCCAAACAGCAGTGAAGATGGACATGATTGATTACCGTAAGGGTGAAGCCACGGTCTATACTGAGATTGCAGCTCAGGCTCTCAACATACCAGTTCCCATGATCACACGGGATGGAAACATAATTCAGGCATCAGAGTCTCAACTTCAGAGGAGTGACTTGCACCGAGTCAGCAGGTTCTTGGCATGCAAATTTAGCTCTCCACAATCATCAAACTTACCGAGCTGGGTGCCGGACTGGAAGCCTATCGGATTTAACTTCGTTCCCTTGACGCGCTACTATACTGGCACTGCAACCTTCACACGCCCTTACCATCACGCTGTTGTCAAACACAAGGTGAGATTCGTTCTTGGTTCTTTGCACAAATGATGTGACTCTCTAGACGTTGTATATATCAGGGGCTGTCTTGGACGAACCTGACGTCATTATCGATTCGAGGCCATATATGGACACAATCTTTCCAGCGACTTTCAAAATTGTCCCAGATACCCAGAGCCTGGCCAAGGACATGCTGGATTGGATGTATCAGTGCTATGTAGAAGCTATGTCGATTCCTCTACGCTCAGTCGAGAACGTCGACTCTGAAAGATTTTGCCGCGCAATGGCATTTGGTGGTCGTCTCGAAGAAACAGCTACACCGGCTGAGGATGCTACACCGGCCAACGACTACATGATGGGGTTTCAGGCACTATTCAGTAAGTTTGAAAGCTTAGCGGCGAAAGCACACTATCACCCAAGCTTTCTGCAAAGTCATAGTAAACAAGGCTGTCGTAATACGATATACGAAAGCAAGTTCGCAGAGCTATCAGTTGGCCGGAAATTCTGCGTTACAAAAAAACGGCATCTCGCTTGGGTACCTTTAGACACAAGGCCGACTGATCGCATATGTTTTCTTGCAGGATGTGGTGTTCCATTTGTGGTAAGACCTGTTGACCAACATTATGAACTAGTAGGAGACTGTTATAGGGATGACATGGGGGAAGAGAAAAGTCTTCTAATCAGTCAAGTGCCCCATCTATTTGAATTCCTGTAGCCGCGAGGATGAGTCCGAAAATCAATGCTTTTTGTATCGGCGAATTGTCGGTTCTGATTGTCTTCGAGAGAGATTCGAACGTGGATAGACTGGGTTAGTATAGTCAAAATTGGTCACGTGGGCAGAGAATTTCACTCTTATCATGACTAACCCCGCATATGCAATGTTATCATGGCCTGCCAATTCCAAATGAAGAAGAACCATAAGAATACAACGTACCGAGACTTCGCCCAATACTAACACCATGCACTCCATATCAGTCGCCTCCACAACGCTCATAACTTCGGCAAGAAATGTCAGTTGCGCTCATATAACCGCTACCATGTTAGCGAAATCTTCGACTACAAGGCTACACAGGCGCTGAAAGTATTGCAGTTTGTGGACCCGGATGAGAGCATCTGAGATCATTGCGTCACTGTGAAGGATTATCTCGATGTCAATCAGAGTGCCCTCACTGTCATTGAGGATGCAGGCGCTGCCGAAGACGACGACAAAGTGCTGATCAGTCGCGTACCTGGGGATGAGCCATGGGGATTTGTCTCGTTCGACGCTCTTCCAAGCTACATCATGTTTATTGTGGTCTGTCGTGCACTGACGGTCGGCCTGTTAGCATGTACATATCACCTGGGTAGCTTACTGTAACCGTGCGGGCCGCCGCTCCCTTGACTTGGACCCTGCGCATGCAACAACACAGCAGAAGACCGCCAAACATCTCGACACTATGCATCAGCTCATTTTTCACAATATCAAAAGACGATCAGAAGTATAGAAAGAAGGAGAAAAGGGAAGATAGAGCAGTAGTACCAGAACGATGAACAAATTCTGTGTATCAATTGTTGCGGTGTAGATCGCTAGGGTCAGCATCCGGCTTTCCCGTCGCGCCGAAAGCACGTACATAATAACGATACTTACCTATACTCTGTAGGTGTCTAGTTGGATTTTCGCGGAAGTCGCTCAATACCGTAATCGGCGTCCGGATATATACCCATGGCACGGAATCTGTTGAGTCGGAGTCGGAGTCTTGAATCATGCCATAGTAGTTCCGCTGTCATTTCCCTTCGCAGACGGACAAGTATAAATACACAGACATCTCTAAGCTGCTCTTGTGGTATCGATCTCATCTGCCCCGACTATCATTGCGATAAAAATAGCCTTCAATCTTTACTTTGCACTTGCCCCTTTTCTCGAACAGATATACCGACTTCATACTACTCACGATGAAACTGCACTTCGCCATATCCTGCCTCGCCATTGCAACCACAACTCAGGTAAGTTCTTCAACAACGCCCTCCGCAAGCATGGTCTAACGTCAGTTCTTCCTGTATCTAGGCGGCGTCATACTGGTGCAAATGCACAGGAGGCTCTGATGTGGATATCGCCGGAATAACATACAGTTGCTGTTCGAACGGTGTCAGCATCCCCAATAAAGGTACACTCACGGGCCAGTTCTTCAACAAGCACAAAGACTGTGTGGTCGATGCGGGAAGCCCGTTGGATGTGACGTCGAATTCGTTCGCCAATTGTTGCAGAGGTGATCCCAGAGCGAAACTAAATGGTGCACAATGTAATCCAAACTAATTTCGCAATAAAGAACAGTTGATAGCCTGAATTGAGCCCTTCTCTTGATTGCAACTATCTGCTCTGTTATCAGCATCTATAACGCACCGTATAACGTACTGTGGGAAGTCGCGAGTAACAAGAGCGGCGTCCATAGAAAGTTGAGTACGTACCGTATGTTGATGCGGTGAGATGAGGATGGTTTGTTGAATTCAGCGGCAATCTTAGGCACGGTTGTAGCAACCGACTGATGTCTTATAAGTTAAACTCATACTCATACCCGCCGTACTGATAACAGTTTTGGCTCGTAATGCTGCTGCCGCCGAGCGTCCTCGATAGTCGTTGTCCATGTATTCATACGCCCAGAAGCATTTGCACTTGCTGCTTGCGCGTACTGAAAATAATGATCTACTTCTTCCCACATATCCTCTCGTTGGTAAAGCATACCCATACGGAGAAAAAGATCAATCATGCTGTCAGGGCCGTTGTAGAGTGTATACTCTGCTCGCTCCTCCACAGCAAGGAGCACACCATCGACGAATTCGTGCTTGCCGTACCCGATGAATACTTCCATAAGGGATGGTAGAGACGAGAACAAGGGGATCGTCCAAGCTTCATCTTCCAGGTCATTGAGCGTGCGGAAAGAGACGGCCGCACGACTCAAGGCGTCTTGTACATGGTGAACGTCCCCTGCGTCCTTGTAGGTGCGAATTAGTGCGACCCAAACATCAAGTGTTTGCTGTGGGAAGTCCAAAGGCTGGGCTTCGCAACGTTGCGCTATTGCGACCAATCCTGCTTTGGTAGTCTCGTCCATGACTGAAGCGATCATTTCTGCCATGGCTAAGTGACGCCGGATCTCTGCTGTGTCGAAGTTGGCAGAGATAGTAGACGAAGACGAAGGCAAATTTGAGTAAGATTCATGTTTCTGGCGTTGAAGCAGATTCAGAACAAGCGGCAGTGCTTCGTTCTGGCGAGCCCAGCCTTGTAGCATCTTGATGAGTTGGCTAATGTGCTGTACTTTCCTTTCATCCCAAAGGCCGTGCTCACGCACGTGAGCTTCAGTTGCTGATTCTAGAATTCTATCGGCTATCTTCGTGTCCTGCAAGTGCATGTACAGCTGGGCGACTTTGTAGACCAAAGAGGTGACCAGGTCATTCGTTGGCGATAACAGATTTCGATAGCCAGCCAGTGCGTCTAGATAATTCTCCAAGGCTTCAGTATGTTGACCTAACCTTAAAAGTTGCCCAGCCTTCGATACCAGATCGTCATAGTAGCTTTTCGAATTTCCATCATACGTGAACCTAGGATACCACAATTCTTCTTCCCTACCGTTTTCCTTGTTCATATCCGAAGGCGTAGCTGGAGTAGCGGACGATGCGTCGAAGGGTGACGCGGCATATGCTGATGGTGTTACATATGTTATCTCGGCTGGAGCTGCTGAGCAGTCAGAAACTTCGGCTAGAGTGACAAGGCAGGTGAATTTTTACTTTACGATGCTGCAGCAGAGGCAGATGAAGGCAGCTTGTGACGTTGTATATATCTAGCTGCCGATTTCTGAACTTGTTCGATTGGAAATTATCGCTGACCAAACTTATAGTGTGTGCCTTTGCCTGCCAATTTTCGCTCTTGGGCATGGTTCAGCAACCAATATGCTGTCTCGCCTGAGAGATTCTTCAGGAAATTCCATTCCTTCAGTTTCTCTTTATAAAGCTTCGACCTTCGTCCATGTTAGCTAGGAGGTTATGATCATTGCTCTTTGACCGTTTCACTTACGAGGCCACGAATCCCAAGCTTTCCATGTGCTTCATGGTCTCACTCGAGGACCTGTCCTTGTCGAGATAGATTCGTTTGATCTCCGCTTTGTTCTCTTCCCACTGTATCTGAGTCACATGCAAAGGTTCTGCTGTGCCGACATCCTTCGCAAGTGCAATCACACTGGCTTCACTTGGGTCGTGAATAGTGCCGAGATTGTTCTGTGGCATGTTCAACGGAGGCGTCATCGGCATTCTCGTAGAGCTTCCAAAGTCTCGATGATCGGGTAAAGTCTCTACATATTGTACATAGGGCGACAGGCTATGGGGTGCTGGCCGTGGCTGGGACTGAGCCAGATAGTAACTACCCTCATGGTTCTAGAGGGATCCATTATACACTCCTTGGTAAGAAGAATAAGCTCGGCTGAGGGGAGACGAGGAGTTTGGCAAGGACAATTGCGTTCCGGGATTGGAAAACTCGTATCTTCCTCTCCACAGGCCTGAAGCATTGCCAGTTTGCATCTTACGAGCCCAGGTTAGGAACCGACGAAAGCCTAGGAAAAGCGCAAATTGATAGTTTTGTCGACGATGCTGTTGATTTATCCTCGGTTTTGTCACATGGGTAAGATGCAAATGAAGTGTGGGCGCCACGTCGTTCATGGCACTCGTCGACAGCCAGTAGGCGCCGGCGCCGCACGCCTCACCGGTGACGTGTGTCACATCGGTTGGTAGTTAGCACCGACACAGTATAAGACGCAGCAGCACAGGGCTGTGATTTAGGCGGCAGTGTCAGCTGTGGTGAACGGCAAGGCAGAAAAAAGGCTCCCAAAGTTCTTCAAGAGTTCTGTAGGTGTCGTCGGCTTGAAAGTTTCTGGGGTTCCCGCAGCTCCCGCAGCCTCACTTACGTCGGGTCCCCTCAGCCTGGACGCTCTCCCTTCAGCTTCTCTACCTGCGCAGTGCCACTGTGGTCTCCCTCACCTACCCCATTAGATGCATCTGTCATCTATGCTGTTTTCTTCCCAACATGGACCCGCTTAGTGCCACAGTTAGCATTAAAGTAGAAACGTGAAGTGAAAGTAGATTGGAAATTGATTGTCTTTTATTAGACAGGTTCTAACGTCTTCGCCTTCTGTATGATTGAATGGAGCGGCGGCAGGAAATGACGTCCCACGATGCCGTATGGCAATGTTGTTACGGCCGCCAAATAGAATACTTCCATCACATCTAAACGGTAATACCCGTTCTCGCAAGGCGATCCATTCCACCCATAAGAATGCTGTTCATAGCCTGTTTCTCATGCGAGTCTGCAAACGTCTTGTACTTGTTATCGTGCCACTCCTTCGCTGAGATGGGCTTGCCCTCCGGATCCTTATATTCGATATCGTTCTCCGGGCGCAGAAAGTACGCAATCGAGTAGCGATTCTGTGTCGCTGTCTCGGGAGTCGGAACGACACGATGCATGCAAGACGCCAGCCTCTTATCGGTCAAGAAGCGCAGCGAATCGCCCACGTTGATGATGGCGTGTCCCGGGCGCGGCGCTACCCACTCCCATTCTTCCGTCTCGGGGCTCACAAGCTGAAGTCCCCACTGTTTGCTGAACAGGAGGGTGAGAGAGCCAATGTCTGTGTGTTGATTGTGGCCAACGCAGGTAGAGGACAGGTTCTTGGGGTAACGGAGGAGGACGAGAGTCGTGTTTGAGTCGGCTTCGTCGCGGTGGTGTTGCTCAAGACGGTTGGCGGGGTCGGCACCGAGGGCATTCGATAAAGAGTGCATTATGGTCATGGTGACCAGGTGTGACTTTGAGATGAAGTCATCGAAAAGGCGCGGGTGCTTCTTCACGGTGGAGGGGGGGACCGGGGACTTTGCGCCGATCTCGTCGCGCGCGACCTTGAGAGTCTCGTAGTTATCTCTTGTGTTGGCTTTTACTCCGGCAAATACACCAGCAGGCTTGTAACTGGATACTTGGTTAGCACACGATCTGGGCTTTGCAAGACTGACTTACCCATGCTTGTGAGTTCCACGATCATCCTGCATTTTTGTGTCGAGCGGCTGATCGAAGAATTCTTCCATGGCCTTGTACATACTATCCTCATCTTCGAGGAGGCCACGGCTACTCTGGCCCTGAAGGTTGACGTAGAAGAAGCCGGCCGTTGTACAAGCGGACATCAACTTGGCAACTTCGTGCTCCTCGTGGGCGAGCAGTTTGGCAAAGTCGATTGTTTCGAGGTAAGCAACCTTGAGATTGCTCTGCTCTTGAGCAATAGATTGAGACATGGTGAGCAGAATATATTGTGGTTGTGGTTGAAAGGCGTCTGAACAGTTGGAGAACTGCAGTCCGTGATTTGAAGCAGTGATGAAGTGCTGGTCTGGCGAAAGTTTTTAGCGAGGGACTGGGGCTTGATTTATACCTGATCAACGACTTCTCTGCTTTCTATTCCCCTGAAGACCGTTAAGTTTCTATGATAGCATGCTGACCGAAATCATATCTGTCTCCGCACTCATCGTGATCTCAGCCGTGGAGCCGTCAGCATACTCTTGTCGGGCACCTTCCTTTCTCGTAAGAAGCGGGATCCAAGATACGACATATTCAGTGGCACGTAAGACCACCACAGGTCTGCCAGACTCAACAATGGCCGAACAAGAGCAGGTCTCGTCAGCCTTTTGATCAGGCGTGCCAATGATATAACGTCGGGTCATTGCAATACGGGATAAGATCCTTACGGAATGCAGCGGCAGCAGTGAACTCCGTACCGATCTCTGGTTGCGAAGTCGGTAGCTGGTCCATAAATTCTGTGCGAGCTGTCGTGATGTTAGACGCAGCGGTGAAGATCTCGGTTCGCTTCGAGCTGTAGACGTGCTTCAGGTCAACTGGACGCGAGCGAGGGATGCCTTACGTAAGTTGCCTTGATATGGCATATGGTCTGCGGCGACTTCGTGCATCTGACCGGAGAAACTAAACGTCTTGTTTAACCGCCACTTAGGCCCATAAGAGAACTTACCCGTATTGCTGGCTTTAAAGTAGCATTAGCTTAATATAGCGTAACCCGTACTTTTAGCTCCGCTTATCCTCCTAGATGTAGAAACACTATTGTACAAAACGGGGACTAACTCCGATCTAAGCAGCAGAACCTCGGTCAAAGTCCAGGATGAACGGCAGCTGTGTTGTACGAATCAGGCAAGGAGAAGGTGTGGATGGGAGTTCCTGGACGATCATTGGGCCACCTCGGGCCGTACCGCGCCGCAGTCCTCGGCACGCCATCCCGCGCCCACCAAACGTTTGGACGATCAAGGCAGTATGACGCAGTCAGCGGCCTCTTTCATTGTTGGTTTGCTGATCGTGTCGCTCACCAGAGAGCGCCTGCAGTATAGGGAAACACGTTTTTTTCCCGTGCTACGCGATGACGTTGCTCTTACCCATCTTCGATGGAGCTGCGGTGGCGCAATGCCCAGCCTTCAAAACGCGCAACCCGGAACTTGACCACACCCTCCAGCGGTCCGCCTCTTTCCTTTGACGTCAACCGCACACCGCCTGCCGCCTGCTACATGATGGAAATGCGAATCCAACCGGACCTGGAACGAGCATCCGGCAGTACCAACGGCGACCGAGTCGACTTCGACGGTCCAAACGATATATATAATCCGCAGAATTGGTCTTTTGCAAAGAAGTCACTTAACACGTTCCTCTACGGACTCACGACGCTCGGCTCGACATGGGCGAGTGCGGCATACTCGCCGGCCAACGAGATTGTTGCGCACGACTTTCAAGTTTCCAACGAGGTTGCCGTGCTAGGAACTAGCGTCCTGCTGCTTGGGTAGGTCAATTGACGTTCCGAACGTCGTCCCGTGCTCACGATTGTGGTAGTTTCGGCTTCGGGCCTCTGGTATGGGCCCCCCTTTCTGAAGTCTACGGCAGGAAATGGCCGACCGTCGCACCCTGCTTCATATCCGCTCTTTTCTCATTTGCGACCGGCGCCTCCAAAGATATCCAATCCATTATCATCACCCGCTTCTTTTGCGGCTTCTTCGGCGCTGCACCAATCACTTGCACAGGTGGCGTCTTCGCAGACATTTGGGACTCTTCGCAGCGAGGAAATGCCATCGTGGGGTACGCATTGGCTGTCGCCGCTGGCCCCGTAAGCGATGATTTTCTTATCTGATGACAACAGACTGACTGGTTGGCTAGGTACTTGCGCCGATCGTCGGGGGCGCCATTGTGGTTTGCGGCGTGTCGTGGAGGTGGACCGAATACGTGGGTGTTTCTGTTACCGAGGATGGCATCATCACTAACGTTCCCAAGATCACCGGCATCATCCAGCTACTCACCGTCGTCCTCGACGTGGCATTCGTCGATGAATCGTACGCCCCTCGCTTGCTCGTATCAAAAGCCCGGCGTCTGCGCTTCGAGACTGGGGAATGGGGACTCCATGCAGAGTATGAGGAGCTGAATATTACCTTCTCTGGACTTTTGCACAAGTTTGGTGTTCGTCCGTGGCAGATGCTGTTCACGCCGATCTGCGGTCTCATCGCATTATACGCTTCCTTCATATATGGCGTCTTCTATGCCTCTCTCGCATCATTTCCGATCATCTTTCAACAAGATCGCGGCTGGAACCCACTAGTCGGGTCCTTGCCGTTCCTTGCTCTCTTGCTCGGCATTCTGTTAGGGTCTGCACTCAATGTGTTGAATCAGGTTGTCTTTTACAACCGACGTCTGGCTTCCCAAGGTGACCACAAGGCCATCCCAGAGGCACGTCTGCCACCTATGATGGTCGGGTCGTTCGTCTTTGCAGGCGGCTTGTTTTTAATCGGCTGGACATCGCACCCACATTTCCATTGGATAATCCCTTGTACGGGCGCATTCTTTGTTGGCTTTGGCTACTACACGATATTTCAATCCGCGCTCAACTATCTTGTCGATACATTCCAGCGCTGGGGAGCGTCTGCCATCGCGGCCAATACTTTTCTTCGGAGTATTCTGGCGTCCTGCTTCCCGGCCGTTGTCATTCCACTGTATGGAAATTTGGGCACTGGACCGGCAAGCAGTTGTTTCGCCGGGTTTGCAGTCTTGATGATTCCCATCCCCTTTGTGTTTTACCAGTATGGAGCATGGCTGCGGACCAGAGGTCGATGGAGCTCGAATATTGGATGATGATGACTATATTCTGAATCTAGCTAGACGGATATATAGTAACATAAGATTCACATGGAAATAATCGGTTCAGATCCATTGCTGGCTTATCTGAAATTGACTCAAAATACCGTTCGGCGAAGGAAGCAGCGCTCACATTTTTTGTGGCTGTGTTCAAAGAGAAACCAGTTTCGCTAAGCACTACACCCCAAAATGGATTCGACAACCAATATGGATATATGCTTGCATGTGGAGATACCGATCGCGACGTTAGCTTCGTCTATCTCCGCCTCACCGGAACGTCGATCAACCGCACCCTACCAATCATCAGCTACTTCACTCAGTGACTACGAACGCATCATGTAGATCTATCGAAAGAAACGGCTAGATAGGCTGCAGAATTGACTGCGAGGTTCGCCAGGCTTCTTCATCATGCTGCTACTATCGAAAGTGATCTTCCATGATATGCGCCATGAGGCTGAGTACCTAGTATCCGCGCGGATCTGGTTCCAGACTTGTGTATGTTTCGCCCCTATGCCGAGAGGTACAACAAGAAGCGTGTGGGTTTGCAGCAAGCTCAGTCTTGCTACACCGTTGAGAGACGGTTGGTAGCGCTTGGGTCGTCCCAAGCGTTCCGAAAGACGAATGAACGTGCAGTAACTCTTGGCTTGTTACACGAGTACCTCGGGGCGAAATCCTGTACGTGGGGTCCAGTACGATCTCTGGGAGTTAAAGTCCTGTATATGTTATTGTACTGGCGCCGTAAGTGTTTCCCTTCAGCTCCTCTACACTTTCTTAAACTCACGATGGTACAGCTCGAATCGTCAGCGCCGTTATTGACCTCAAGAGTACACCAGGGAGCCGCGACATCCATCTCGCACAACGCGAACACATACGATGCAAGCCTACAGGAGGCACCCGAACCAGAGAGGCCGTCTTGCAAAGATCGGAAACCATGGCGGAGACGATGGTCACACTTTGCCCATTCCTTCATCAAGCTTGCGACTGGGATAAAGGCGGGCTACAAAAGGTCCACGCATGCAATCCGAAGATCATGGAAGAAGAGTTGGACAGTGGAAACTTTCAGCTTCATATTCTCTGTTCTTACGCTCGCTGGTCTTGTTGCAACACTCTCCACCCATCAAGGCAAACCTTTGCCGAAGTGGCCTCAGCTCATCACGATCAATTCTGTTCTGTCTCTCTTTTCATTGATTATGAGAACGGGTGTGAGTGTGGTTTTGGCTGAAGGTAGGCCATGATTCCTCCGATAAACCGCTTCGGAATGTGTTTTACTAAGGATTGAAAGGCATCAGTCAATCGAGATGGAAGTGGTATCGCAAGACGCGAACATTGGGTGACATTAAGGTTAGTCCATAAGGATCCACACAATTTGACTGTGCTCTCTTACTGACTCAACGCAGGTAACGTTACCTCCGAAGCTATCCAGAGTGGTGTTTCAGTAGAACTGTCACCAGAGTAGCTTGCTGGTTGAATTTGACCTCGCGCTGACATTAGCAGCATTTCGACGCAGCTAGCCGTGGACCTTGGGGGTCGTTCTTGTTACTATGCCACATGAGGCCGAGAAGAGCATAGTAAGCGTTCTCTCTTCATATTACAGCTTAAACTTATTCTCTCAAGCTACATGGCGTCTTTAGGTGCATTGGCAACAGTAATGACGGCTCTAACTGGCTTCTTCTCACAACAGCTTCTGCTGTTCGAAGACTGTGCGCAGCGCACTGATACGGCAATCGTACGTCTGGCAAGGACAAACAACTACACTGCCGCAGGGGGGATTCTAGGGCTGGGAACCGGAGGAAATTGGATGTTGTGGGCAGAATATGCACCAATGGTGGCTGCTACGACTGTTGGTCTTATCCAGCCCATAGAAGACTTTACCAACGTCTTCGCCCGTGGATGCGACAGTGGTAACTGCACATTTCCGTCCAGTGACGGAGCATCGTTCTCAACAGTAGCAATAAGCCACATATGCGAAGATATCAGCGGACTCATTCGGCAGTACACTAACTACTCACATACAAGCACGGTGCTGACAACACCTGAGGGAGCACCAACCCGTCTTAATTACTCGGACCATCGTAATTACTCAGACTTCTCCGTCATGACAACATCAACTCACGCCACTAAATATCGTGGCCACGACCTTTTCCCGTTGCACACCATCGCTTTACTATTCAGAGAACGTTTTGCCTCAAACGATTCCAGGGCTGTCAACTGTACCCTTTTTCCCACGGTTAACACGTACAGCGTCAAAGTTGCAAATACGCGCCTGGAAGAGACGTTGTTGGAAAGTATTCCGCTTGACTTCGACTATCCTGATATAACTACGAATTTAGCTGGTGGTGAAGAAGAGGGACTAGAATGGCGACCTAATTTGTTTGCGTTGGCAACTGACTACACCATGCGAGATGGCATCAAGGAGCCGTGTGCTGGCTCCGCGGATCCCGCACCCGAACTTGTCAAGCACTACAAAGTCAAGACAGAAGAGTGGGACGAAGAGGGAAAAATCCACAGAACAAGCACACAGTGGTATTACCCCAAAGACTGCCTGTGGACCATGAGCCAACCGGCGGCTTGGGGATTGCGAAGGCACTTTGACACTATGTTCCACGAGCAGATTCTCAAGTCTAATGGACTTTCGCTTATTGAGGGAAACGCATACTTGCGCGCATTGTGGCGACAGGACCCGGAGGGGAGAGAGAACATGACGGGTCCGCCAATAAAGGGTCAGACGTCCATTGCATCTATAGACGAATCTTTCAGAAACATGACGCGCGCCATGACGGCTTTCATACGGACCCACGGCGCAGAAGGAGAAGAGGGATGGGCGAGAGGCTACATGTGGGCAAACACGACTTGTGTGTACGTGAGATGGGAGTGGATCGCATTCCCCGTCGTTATGATCGCCCTCACAGGACTGTTTTTACTGCTTGTCATCATCGACAACTGGAAGGTTGAGAGTGATAGACTGTGGAAGAGCTCGGTACTTGCGACACTGTTCTGCGAGGTGGACGTAGAGCGCGATCGGCCGAAAGGAAAGGAAGAGATGAGTGAGATCGCGAAGAGCACGGGTGTTAGTCTTGAGGGGAAGAGTGGGAGACTGAGAATGGTGGTGCGGGAGTAGTCATATAGGACGGGTTGCGACAGGGGCGAGGAGACGGTGAGTCAACACAAGAGCCTGCGAGGTGCTTCAGAAGTAGCTATCACGATGAACGGTGGGCAATGAGGAGACGGATATGATTTCAGATAGGGTAACTGTTAGCCACGAAGAAACGAACGCAAACCGGCTGAGGCTGAGGGGACAGTGGCGCGGAGTTAGTTACAGGCGACAGGCATGGATGTCTGACTCGTACGTACTAACCGAGAAACTAGACTTCGGCTAACACAAATTGTAGCTTCAATCTCCGTCCCTCCAAAAATTCGAGCGGCGATTCCAAGAATCTTCAATCATCGCTATCCATCAAAGCCTCCGCAATCACCTTAGCCTCCTCGAGATCATCATCGTTATAAAACTTGAGTCCATAAGAGTACATAAACTGCTCCGAATTGCGGAAGTTCTTTTCAATCCAATCAAGCTGACGTTCCGTGAAGTTGTAGTCTGCCTGGTGGCCCTCGAACTCTGATTCGTCAAAACCATCCTCGTTGTCGTCGGGATCTTCCTCCTCGGACTCTTGCATAATGGCACGTAGAATAGCCTGTCCTTCTTGGCGATCTTCATCAGAAAAGATTTTGAGCCCATGCTGCATTAGAAAGTGGAATTCAGAGCGATAATTCTTCTTCAGAAACGCAGTTTCCTCGGCCGTGTAGGGTGCAACGTTTTGCGCTGTGAACATTCCATTAGCAGCTTGAAATTCTCGCCACTTTTGCTTTTCGGAAGCATCCCATTGACAGCCTAGCACATATAGGCCGTCCTTCTTCAGAGCGTGCGGACCGAGCTTTGGCCAGTCTAGTGGAGAGCGCACTTTGATTGCAAGCAGCGGACTTCCGGGGTGGAAATAGGCAACATTCTTGCCTTGACTATCTTTTATAGTTCCTCGAGACTTTGTACCAGATTTGATTATAGGATTGTATCCGTCTGTTAACCAAAGTGGTTGCCCAATGACGTTGCAGAGAAAATCAGGCACGTGCAGGACTTCGTGGAGAAGGAGAGATGCGTGCGAAGACACGCCTGAAGTATTGGGCGAGCGCTTTGTGGGGATCTCGACGGTGCCTATTCCTAGCACTGGAATGTAGTTGCCCGGGTTGAAGAAGGGCGAGGGATCAACTATAGATGTGAAGGGTGTGTACGTCTTGAACCAGCCTCGATCCTTCGCAATGCTGGTAATGCAGTGTCAATAATAAAGACTTCGCTCAGTCGCGGCGCACTCACTGTATGTTGGCATTGCTCAGAAAGACCCAAGTAGGGCACAGGCGTGAGTCGGTATCCGTATTCATCTTGCTAGCAGTCGGCTTGACGTGTACGGATTAACAGTTGATCGGAGCTATATAGGACGCAGTATACTAATGAGTGCTCCTCTATATAGTACAAGTGAGAGACTGTGCTTGTGCGGTCCCGAAGTTGTTTGTTTGCTACGTGAGATTGTCGTGTACCGTACTAGCCAGAAGCAGCTACGTTATCTCTACCCCACCTGCCCCCAGGCACCATCGCCAGGTCCCCACCAAAGCTACTGCCAGACCCTGATGGTTTAAAACTACATCGCTGAGAGGCTTGTAGTCAAGTATTGCAGCAGTTGCACGCTTGCATTCCAGAATATATGTGTGTCACAAACACATGTCGATGAACCGCTATGCGATTGTGCCCGCCTAAGATGTCTCATCCCGTAAAATAGGGGTTATAATGTTATTTTTGCGGCGTATCTTTCACATACGACCATAGGACACTGAAAATTAGGCTTCCCGTCCGCTCAGCCATATACAAGCAGTGTACCGGCGGATTAGTAGTTAGGTGGGTGACCACTAGCGAATCCCCGCTGTTGTATGTTTTTGCATCCTTGCATGGGCGATCTTTTTGTCAGCAGAGGTGAAACGTTAAGGAAGTTCGAAAAGAGGTTGCTGTATTGATAGTATTGCTGAGTAAAAGTCAACAAAATCACCAATTTTTGCTCTGTCCGGTAGAATTCGTCTTTGCTTAAGCCACGCATATACCGCATCAGGGTCCGACGATGAAGAATCGATCGTTAGCAGCGCTGCTTCGTGAAAACAGCCATTGTTGTTCCAACTGTAATGACAAACGTGGATATAACGAAAAATGAAGAGCACGAGCTGCATTCAGAGCATTTGGTGGCGCACTTTTCAATGGTCGGCCTGACCTTCATCCAAAGCAATGAATCGGGATTTGTTTTCTAGACTAATGTCACCTGCTGCACTTTCCTCGCCGCAAAGAACTCATCGTCAAGAAAAAAATCATGCTCCTCCCTTTTATCCCTCCGATCTTTCATTAATGAATAACATGAGAGCAATGGTCCACAGTACTCATACGCTTCACCTTTCGGCCGTAGGATAGCAGGGTTGCACAAACCTTTCAATGCCCAGGCACCGTCATTTTTTCCATGTGTCCGGCTCATATAACTAGTCTCTGTATGCTTCAAGAGGCACACCAAGATTTGCCCTGTGGAGAGAAGGCAGAATCTCGCTTCCGCTAGACGAAGTACAGCGTACAAGAACTTAGGGTCGCGGCAGGGGGTCTTGAAGATGATGTGCTTTTGCATGCTACTCATGCGGTTGGAACCATCGAGGGCTTCCGGGGGGATATCTTTACAGATATCCTGGTAGCGTCGAAGAAGGTCTTGCATGCTGTCAAAACTCTTGAAGTCGGAGGGAAGCATGCCCTTCTGGAAATCTACTTGCTCATTCAACCAGAACTTGAAGATTTCGCTCTTGGGCTTGCCGGTAATTTGAGACGCTGTTTCGAACAACTCCTCGTCCAAGTACTTAAGATGTTCGCCCATAGTTTCGCCTGGACGATCTGTGCAGCTACACTTGACAATCTGTCCAAGGAATGTTCCCTCTAACGTAAGGCAACGGCCATCTTCGGAAAAGTAGAGTGTTTTGTTGCCCTTAGAAACAGTGATATGTGTGCTCGTCTGACCTATAAGACTTGTTGGGTGGGCTACCCAGCTAGGACAATCTGCAGATTCATAACCCATACTGGATTCAATTATCTCCAGATCCCCGGTGCTGTCGATGATGTATCGCGTGTATGCCTGGGCTACTTGCTCAACCGGTAAGCTGTAGTCAGGGACTAGTGATCTAGGCAGGTCGTGGTGGCAGAAGAAGCCCAAGATGCCGTAGAATCGGTCTACTGGATTGGTGCACTGCGTATTGGACAGTTGCTGTAGAAGATGGCTCAGTCGCTCGCCTGGTGATAGGCGCGTCAAGCCTTCCAAGGTGTTGCCAATGTATGATGAACCGTGCCATTCCATCCTTACCCGATCCAAAGTCATCAGGTTTGCCATTTGGCCGACAGCGGCAAAGACGAGGGCTTTCGAGTGCTCGTTCATTAACTGAACTTCCCGCGACAACCGCATCATTGTAGCCATAACATGCTGCAAGTCTAACACGAAATTCCCCAGAAGTGCGATTGGTGCTCTGGGATTCAAAACGTACTCCTGTATGATCCAAACTCTTTTGAGATAAGGCTGACTGAGAAGACTTGCTAGCTGTCGCAAGAACATATTAAAAGGCGCATGCATGTGTTGTGATGAGAATTGACCAGAGAATTGTATATACTTCTGGTACATCATGTCCATCTTAGGGCCAGGCTCAAGCACAAACCCCATCGCTCGCATTCGGGCCATCGTCCTCTCCATAACCAGTTGACGATGATGATCAGCGAACTGCTCTATCAGAGGCGTGTTTGGAGGTCTCGTCGTTCCGAGTGTGGCGAGATCCTTGAAGGAATCTTGTACACAATAGTCCAAGCCTCGCTTGAACACCTCTAAATCACCATCTTCGCTGAAGACCTTCGATGCAAAGCCTATCCAAATCCATACCCGGCTCGCCATCGAATATATATCGCCCATCCGAGGTACCTGCTTGTTCCTCTCATTCAGATCATTCTGGTTGATGCAAATAGCGTCAACCCAGAATCGCATTGGCATGGTAGCGGGACCGGTCGCTTTGCCTCTGGATGATTCGGTGACCGTTCGAGCATTTCCTGTATTGTAGAGTGTTTTGTAATCTGAATGCTCATGATGTGACAGGAAGTCTGGCTCGTATTGGCGCGTTGTTTCTAAAAAGTCGTAAAGGTTCTGTGTTACATCCAATCGTTGGCCATTCACAACGATGGTATGCTTGTCTGTCCCATCCCCCCAGACGTATGAAAGCATATGGAAGTCAAGCCCTTTAGTAAGCGGCACTTGTTCCATAGCAAGTTTGACCTTTCCGTCCTGCAACGCAGGATCTATAGTAATCAATCGGATGTTAGAACCTTCAAGTGGATCATAGCAAAGGTTTTGTATCTCAGCGGCGTTTCGCGCACGTTCGTCGGTGTTGTCGTCGTTATTGTCGGAGTCTGCGGGTTTTGAGATGTCGGGATGTGGTGGGTCATGTACTGGCCGCTTGCCAAGCGCAATGGAGGACTGTGATCGCTGAACTCGTGTATTGTTTTCCGATGTGTTTGCGTCCATAATGAGTGAGAGTCTTGCAGGTGTATGAGGCTAGAAAGCGGATGTTGAGCAAAGGATTAAACCTAAGTCTTGTCAGCTTCATCGCTAAGAAAACGAGGGGGAAAGGCCCATATGAGCAGTGCGCAGTCTCACCACCAACGAGGAGGACGTAGGCAGCGACCCTGCATACGTACCTGCAGTCTTATCGAACGAGGTAAGCGGCATCCACAGCCTGGGTGCCTCAAAGGGGGCCGTGGTATATAGCCAACCGTTGTAGATCTACCCCGCTGCAAGGCTGCGCTCGGGCTGTGGGAAGGCTGACACAGCTAAGTGCTGCGACATCACAGACGTGAGGTCTAGAAGGCTTCGGAAATATCTATGGAATTGATACATGTAGTACAATGATGTTAGAGACGGATTCAACGACACGCCCTAGAAGCCTTTATGGGTGGGGTCATTGGTCATGGCGCGTATGCGCTGCCAGATCCAGCTTAGTGAGAATATTACAATGCCGCTCGCCAACATGCCCGAACCTTGGGCTTCCCGTCCACTCGGCCGTATACAAGCAGTTATATGTTTCTTGGCCCAACTTTTTGCCTAAACCATTGCCAGACTAGACCTGACACCAGGCCTATAGCCACATGCATGGAAAGAATAACGCCGACAAAGTCAAGACCAACCAACGCTAGAACACCAGTACCTCATGCACTTATCGAGATACCCACTCACTTCAACTCAATAACCTTCTTCCCCTTCTTCTTCGCCTCAAGCACCGCATCCCTCCACTCCCCCACCCCATCCAACGCACCCTGCGGATCACTCTTCTTCTGCAACAAATACCCCTGAATCTCAGCCGGCGAAAAGACAGCCTCAGGCAGCGCATCAGCAAACTGCCTCGCCATTTCCGTAAGTTGATCTGGCGGCAACGTCGCAAAGTTTGGCGACTTGTTACCTGTGGCCCCCCACCTAGCCTCCTCCTTCCTCTTATCATTACTACTACTACCCTTCTTTTCTGGTGCGTATTTCTTTTCTCCTCCATCACTACCATCACACTTCTTACCATCCGCCTCATCACTATACATGCGTCTGAAGATTTCTTCCACTTGCGTCCTCGTCGCTAGTGTGAATTTGATTTGCAGATCCACGCGCCCAGGGCGTATGAGCGCTGAATCGAGTTTCTCGGGGTAGTTCGTCGTCATGATGAGGACGCGGCCTTCGCTCGACGCGGCGCCGTCAATGATGTTGAGGAGGCCTGCAAGTGAGATTTTGCTCTTGCTGCCTTCTTCGTCGATGGGTGGCGGAGGAGGAGGAGGAGGAGGAGTTGGCGTGGAAGTTGGTTTGGTGCTGGTGGCGACTTCTTTTATGCTGGGTGCGGGTGTGAGGACGGATGGGGGTGCGGAGGCTGGTGACGAGGCTGTGGTGGCAAGGGTAGTAGTCTCGCTGTTGGGTTTGCTGGAAGATTTGCGGGGATGGAGTGAGTGCGTTATGCGTCTGCGGATGGACTTTTTCTTCTCCATTTCAACGCTATCATGCTGCTTCTCTTCGGATTTGTTTTCGGATTTGTTGTCGTTGTTGTCTTCCTTCTCTTCTGTCACCTTCTCTGTTGGCGCTGGAGCAGACGACTTGTCGGACTCGTTAACGGCAGAGTCATGCTCTTGTTCTGGAATTACAGAGGATTTATCTCGCCGGATACCTGCGCTGTCAATATCCTCCAACAAGACGATACAGCGATTCGGTAGCTGCCCGAATAGCGACGCAAGATCCGACTCGCTCATATCTCGCTCACTCAGCGAAGCGCAATATACGCTCAGTCCAAAGATGCCAGCCACGGCAAAGCTCAACGACGTCTTACCGGTACCAGGAGGACCATGAAAAAGGTATCCTCTGCGGTGCGGAATACCGCGTGCAGCATACCACCGAGCAGTAGCTGGGTGAAGGTACTCATTGATATCCGCAACGACCTTGTTCTTCTGCGCTTCATCCAGCGTCACTGTGCTAATCGGTCGTGAAGGGCGATTCGACTGAACGTGCCAATACCCACCATGTTTTATCTCAGCGCGCATGATCTCAGTCGTCTTGTTAGGCTTGTGCGCCGACCACTCCTTAACATGGTCTATTAGGTCCTTGACCGGCTTCGTGCTACGGCCCATACAACGAATGATGAGGAAGTACTCAATGCGCTCTTGGTACTTATTCTCCTGACAGTCCTTGCTGAACTGGAAGTAATGACCGTTGTGGGTGAAGCTGTCGTCACCCATGTTGGGTTCGTAGTACGTTGGACTAGTACCCTTGTACTTTTCGTAATTAAAAATGCCAGAGTCGTCCAAGACGTCCTCAAAATCTGCCTCTGAGGCATCGTCGTTGTCTATTTCGTCGCCTCGTGCTCTGGGCTTTTTGGATGTGGCTTTTAGATCTCGGCTGACTTCTGTCATGCGGTGTTCTGATATCCAGGATATAAATTGGGGGTATAAGTCATCATCATCGTCTATCCTTATTGCTGAGGTACCGTGCCCTCTATATGGAGAATTAGTTGGTGATTGTTTGGTGAATTGAACGTGTGGGCAACTTACAATATAAATCCACGTCCCTGAGTGTACATGAACAGCGCACCTTGGAATAGACCGAAAAGTAAAAGATATAAAGACATTGTGCTTCCGACATCGAAACCGAGTTTGTTAAGGAGAAGCTGCAGTATAGCGCCAACGCCTGGAATGTTGATAGCCGCATCTGCCATGCCTGGAGGTAGCGAGTCCTTCAGGTTCTCCATGATTAATACCGAATCGGAGCCGTCTTCCGAATCGAGGTACAACGATAGATAAGTAGGAGACAAAGGGTATACGGAGCGTCCGTTGCCGTAAGACGGTGTCTCGACCAAACGTGGAACTCCGACAGGTGACTTGACTTGGTGGGAAGTGATAGTAGTCCAGCCACACAATGCGAAACATGCTTATTTATCTTCAATGCAAGATAATCAGGCACCCCTACCAGAATACCTGGTATATGTTGATTTACCTAATACCAACCCTCGTCATAAGGTGGTGTTGAGGAAAAGGGCGGTGGGACGGCAGCCTAGGCTAAGAAGTGGCTGTGCATGATTATCGCAATCGATCCAATGTGCGCAAGCGCGGAAGGCAATCAGCTACCATCCTACATGGTATCAGCCTCTCGGAGACTCTGTTAGGAAGGATGAGTCGAAGTGGTCACCTGCATGGTGCATCCAGTAAGGTGGAGACTCGCATGAAACTATAGTGCTGTAGTGGAGGAGCGTCGAATGAGGGTGTTAGCGAGCGCGCCAGCAGTGCGGCTGCGAGCAAGGCGGACCAGCGCGCAGTCTAGGGAGATAGTCTATATTCTTTTGCGCATAAATTTCGCTCAAAGGGCGCAGGCAAGTGGTCGCGATGCAGCAAAGTGGCTGCGATACGTACTGCTGCGAATACAGCTCCAATATTGGTGAACTCGGTGACGCCGGCAGTGAATTGCGGACTAGCCGGCGAATCGAAGACCGTTGGCGCATAGTGGTTTAGCGAGGCAGCGAAGCCGCAGCACTGCAAATGCTGTTCGTCCATGCCTAGATGACGTGGCGAAGGCTGTGGCGCACCAGAATCCCGCCGTCAGCACTCCAGCTAGCTTATTCCCCTACACGATCTTGGCACTATACAATGTTACGAGCGAGACTGAAAACTACATTCTCCGTTCGCGACTTGCGAAACGACACGATTAGTAGAATTCGAGCAGAAGTGGTGGTGAGATTTGCATTTCAGACATGTCCATGCCCTTTGGATATCAAACGCCCCTACGCCCTTTCTTTCTTGTGCCGTAACAATCGTCAAGCCCTAGTTGCCTAACCAGTCGAGGAACTCGGGCGTGAAGTAGCTCACAATAATACTTGCACCCGCTCTCAGAATACCCTGTGTAGCCTCTTCCGCCATCTGCCTCAAGTCAAACACACCAGCCGCAGCTGCAGCGTGGATCATGGCATATTCGCCAGACACCTGGTACGCAGCGATGGGCATGTCCTTGCCAATCTCCTTGGCGTCGCTGATGATGTCCAGATACTGACTCGCAGGCTTGACCATGATGATGTCTGCGCCCTCGCCTATGTCTCTGGTGATAGCTCGTCGTGCCAGACCGCGACCGCCGGGTGGCAGCTGGTAGCATCTCCGGTCGCCAAATGAGGGTACTGAGCCCGCAGCGTCGCGGAAAGGACCGTACAGACAGCCTGAGAACTTGGCCGCGTAGGACATGAGCACGACCTGGTGTGCAATGCCAGCCTCGATGAGCCTCAGCTTGATAGCGCGTATGCGACCGTCGTTCATGTCTGAAGGTGCAACGCAATGCGCGCCGGCATTGGCATACGAGAGCGCTACATCGGCGATGCGCTCTACCGACAAAGCGTTGTTCAGACTGCCATCGTCGCGGAGGATGCCGCAGTGGCCGTGTGAGGTGTATTCGCAGAGGCAGACGTCGGCGACAATGAAGAGATCGGGGAATGCTCGTCGAAGCAGGCGGATGGCTTTGATGACGGGGCCCTTGGGGTCGTCTGCGTTGGAGCCTAGGGCGTCTTTTGCCGTGGGTGCGAGCGGAACTCCGAAGAGAATGACCGATTTGAGGCCTTTTGCGACGAGCGGGGTGAGGTATGGCACGACTTTGTTCAGGCCGCGGCGGTGGATGTTTGGCAGCGAGGGAATGAGCGTCTCTTCGTCAGGCTGGTCGGACACGAAGAGAGGGTAGATGAGCATAGACTGTGTGCCAAATGTGAGTGTCTGTGACCAGGCACACGACGTCATTTCCCACGCACCTTTGTGAGCTGTCGCTCGGCCTGCCATGCCCGCGATAGTGGATGGCTATATCCTCCGTGCAATTGACTCTTGATGTCCCCCGATATGCTCACGCTGGTGGCGGCAGTGCTGGCATAGGATCGGGTCGAGCGTGCTTCCGATATCTGAGAGCGCAGGTCCGGTCGCTCTGGCCGTTCCGAGTTCCGGTAGGCAATGTCTGAGACGAGCGAGGAGAACGACATTTCGGGAATGAGGTCGTGTTAATTCGTGGGTGAGCTCGAGGTGTCTAGGAATTTGAGTCCTCGTTTGTGCAAAGAAAGTGAGATGTCGCTGACGTTGGTTTGGTCTCTATCGGGCAAAGGTGGCGTTCGTAGTAAATGCGGACAGCCGAGGCGTCAAAGTTTCACTCCGACTATGGCCAGCGCACTATGAGTATGGGAAGAGCGGAGTAAATAGCGACGCGGAGTGTAAGACAAGAGAATCGGAGTGCAAGGAAAGAATCGAATAGCCCAATTCTTACAGTCTCCGCAATATACACAAGACGCGGCGACACTATGCGCATACGAGCTGCAAATCGATGCCGAGCCATCTCCGGCGACGAATGAGAAGCACGGAATTACTGAGAATCAAATGAGGTTAGCGTCGGAGAGTGTTAGTCAGCCCCGAGGTCGAGAGTCGGGCTTCGAAGGCCTTGTGCCTCAAGCTCATCGAGCTCATCACATGATGCATCGCCAACGTACCCACCCGAAGAGCAGTCGCGCATCGAGCGCATGCGATCCTCAGATTCCTCGACGATAACATGATGCCCATGTTTCGAGTTGCGAGAACTGGGCGGGGCCCACGCCTTTTTATGACGATGTGGCTGTTCATAATTTCCCGCCTCTTGCCGTCTGTCTACCCACCTGCCTTCTCAACCTCCACCTGCTCATCGGCCCTTTTACATTGGAATGTTACTTTTGTCTATTGTTGTCGCCATTGCTCTTCGGAGTATCTCGCACCGTCGCTGATCGACAGCAAACACAATGTGCGTTGAGGTGGCGACATCTCCAGGTGGCTCTTTCAGCTCGGACAGAGTTGATGTGATACACGCGATTTCAAGACAACAAACACCGCGGAGCACATAACGTTGGCGATAATGCAATCGTGGATTCCCGCGCCACTGACATACATATCCGTTTACAGCGGACTTCCCCTCGTATTCCAGCAAAACCAAGTTGCCAACAGGGTCTTGACAGAAAAAGCAGCATCACAAAACGAAAGCATCAGTATCTGAATGCGATGTTGTTGAGTCAAGGGTAAAGCGGGGTCAATTCCTCAGCCTATGAGACCCTTCGCTAATCTGGTAGTCTCGCTTACCACTCGCGTGGAAGAAACGTGTATACCGACGTCGTCTTTCTTTTTCAATGTCGACAAGACCCCGCTGCGTCTAGCGTGAACCCTAACCTCGAAAACAAATATCACAAAGCAAACCCGTATACTCGGCGTTGATAACTACAGCTCGCTTAGTCTAAGGAGGCGCTATCTACCCAATCATGTTTCTTCATCACATCAGTTGTTTCTTTCTAGTCTAACAGGTGCCACACGCACTGGGCGCTAAGCCGACTGCCGCGACAGTCCCTTGACAGTCTTTACTGCAAGTAGACGAAAAGAGTATTGCAGAATCACTGTAATGGCATGGATTTCTGCGTGGCCAACGCGGGGCAGCTAACGTTAGACCCCGTAGACCGTTCATCATTTTTGGTGCCGCGCATACTCGGACAAACAAACTACAAGCCACGTCTTATAGATTAACATCTTATATGTAGGGGCATGCAAGGCACACAATCCTTCTCCATCACTGGACATTGGATCTCGATCTCGTTCTCCGTTCAATCTTTTGATCATGTCCGACCTACGTGCCACCACTATCAGTGTCAACTTGACGCTGATCTGCTTGACTTCCCTTGCTATCAGCTGTCGTATCGGAAGGAAACTGCGGATACTGAGCAGTTTTGGCTGGCATGATGGTAAGCTCAGTTCAAATCTGTCTTGTTCAGCCACCGTTTCAGCATACTGACCAACTTGAAGCACTTGCTACCTTTGCGGCCTCTTGTGCCATCGTCCTGTCCATCGTCCAAATGTACGCGACGCGCCTCGGAGCTGGTCTGCATGAGAAAGAGATCGACCCAAACAACATGGAGATGCTGATGAAGGTTCGTTACCCTCTGCTTAGCATTCACCACAATACACCTACTAACCCCACACTCACTAGTTGGTCATGACAGCCCTTATCTTTTACTTCCTTGTAAACTGGGCCGTCAAGCACTCGCTACTGTTCTTCTACGCAGAGCTCACCTTTGAACCATGGGCCCGTCGATGGATCTACGCCATGCATGTCATCGCCTTCTCTTTCGGTCTCACCTGCGTCGTTACTAGCATCTTCATGTGCATCCCTGTAGCAAAGTGGTGGGACCCGACCATCGAGGGCTACTGCATCAACCTCTTCAACTTCTCCTACTTCAACAGCGTTTTCATGTTAGCTTGCGACCTGGTCCTGTACATCATGCCCGTCATCTTCACCTGGAATATCAAGCTGAGACGACACCACCGCATCGCCGTTAACATCCTCTTCGCCATGGGCGGTCTCGTGCTAGGCGCATCTGCCGCACGCATTTTCTTTGTCGACCAGCTCGCCACACACGGTGACTTCCCATTCCGCTACGCCGCATCCATGATCTGCGCCGTCATCGAAAACCACCTCGCCGTCATCGTCGCATGCGCGCCCTCCATCAAAGCCGTCCTCATCCGCTACTACCCCTCCCTGCAATCCAAATTCGAACGCATCATCTCCGACGAAGGAAGCTCTGGGAAGCGCAGTGGCAAAGCGTATAGGACGGGGAGCTCCTCCGACCGCGCTACGCTTGATCCTGAGGCTGGAACTGCCAACAGCGGCGACGATGTCAAGTTGCAGATTGTCAAGACGCAGGATGTCAAGGTTGAGAGGCCTGAGGTGGGAAGTCGGATGATTACGGGAAGCAGTGGGAAGAGTGAGAATAGTCTCCTGGGACGGTGGTGGCGGGCGCCTAATAACTGGAATGTTAGCGTTGAGAGTGGTGGGAAGTAAGATGTTGGGTTAGAGCTGTGGTCGTTGTCTGTCGTTTTATTTTCAACTTCAGCTGTCTTGGCTTAATAGCTTTTTTTGTATTCCTCAATACCCAAATCGATTCAGTGTTGTTCGCATCGGTCTCTCTGTCATGGTCCTTGTGACTGCTACCGTGGCAAGCGTGTCTTATCTCTTGGACCACATTGAATCTCCAGCCTCACTTTCTCTCATATCCTCCCACTCGCTCTCTTCCTCTTCAACAACTACCGGTACGCTCGCCATCATCGGTCGAGGCCCTGCTGTCCTGACGTGCTTGAATCCTGTCGGTTCGCCAATGCACATCTCCTTCTCGTCCTCTTTCTTGTCCTCCTGTTCGTCTTTTCCGTGCTTAAAACAAACCACAATTTTTAACTTTACCAGAACTCTCGTCCAAAGACTGTCTTTCGCTGGCTTGGCAGTGATGGCGGTATTGGTAGGCGGCTGCGGTAGTGCGGTGACTGTGGTGTCTTGCGCATCTTGAAGGTTCACGAGCGTCAGGTCCGCCGGATCAGAGAGCGAGAAGTGCGAGGAGGACTTGTTGTGGAAAAGAACTGAATTCATGGGGAGGAGATGTCTTGAGTTATTTGGCGCCATCCTGTTTCTGAAAAGGATGGAACAAAGCGAGATGCAGTGTGGTAAGTTTAAGTTGGTAGCGCATGAAGTGCGAGAGCGGCGGTGCGATGATGGTGCAATATGTGACGGGAGCAAGAGACCACAGGGTTTCTGTCGTTGTGAGCTATCTGCGTCGCATGGGTTCGTCATCTAAAAATTGCGACATCGTGCAAACGGTGTTCTGGAGTGACGGTGAATGCGATAACACGGCTAGCGATACATGAGCGCGCTGATGGGGACATTGTCACAATGAACGACCGACTCTTTTCGGTTGCTCTGAGCACAGGTGCTCTGAAGGCCTTCCAGTCGTGAGACCACCCAAGGAAGTAACTTCGCTGTATCTCGGATGTCTGGGAAGCCACGGCAGCACTTCGGTGGTCGTCGCGTTCACTGTACGATGTGTTCGTTGATACTCGCCTCTCTCGACGCATCTCGCGCTCGGGTTCCGGCCACAGTCGGACGGATGCGCTGAGATTCCCGACACCTCAATCTTAAGGTACAAGAACGCCACGATGTCTTTGATGATAGAGCCAAGATGACGTTGCCGGACCGCCGCGCGGCAACTAATCAATATCGGCCTTACGTACCTTCTTCCCCAAACAAACCGAAATTTCCCCATCACTCCGCTCATCCGCTTCGCAAAACACCAAAATGCGAATCAATGTAGTCTTCCTACCCCAGATTCACGTACGGCAGTTTAGGCAGTCTGGGGTAAAGTCGTAGACGGAACGACTTGTGCCACCAATCAAATGATACAGCGCCATCGGTGTTTGCCTCCACACTTCCCCGCAAAGTCACGATGTCCACGGGAATATGGTATTCTACACGCTTACACGATAGTCGGCCCGGAATGTGTAAGTGCGACGGAACAATTATAGATTCTAGTAATCCAGTAAAGGGGTGCACCTCTTTGTCTCTAAGGCTTGGTATAAGTACCTGGCCGTCCCGATTACCAGGTAACCAGATCCCAAGTCATTCATTACCCGTCGTTCATCATGGCAATTCAACTTAAATATATCCTTGCAGTTGCAAGTGTTTTCTCCGGGGCGTTTGCCGACAAATACTCCAGGACAAAGCCCGATCGAGGCGCGCTAGTGGTCGATGCAACTGGCGCTACCATCGGCAGCTACCCCAACATCAGTGTCGCTGTGGACGCCCTGCACAACTTGACTGATGCACAAAAGATCTTCATCCTACCCGGCGTCTACAATGAACAAGTCTACGTCCCTCCTCATGTCGGACCTATTACCATCCAAGGCTACACCAAGAACGCACGTGGCTACAAGGACAATGAAGTCACTATTACAAACAACTTCTCCCGTCAGATGCCTGAGATTCTCAACAACGACGCAACAGCTACTCTCCGCTTGAACTCACCAAATGTCCGACTCTACAACCTGAACATCGCCAACACGGCTGGCCAATTCCGTCAGAACGGACAAGCGCTTGCAATCAGCGCACAGAAGACAAATCAAGGTTTCTACGGCTGCCAGTTCACCGGCTACCAGGACACCATTCTCGCCAACAACGGCCGTCAAATCTACGCCAAGTCCTTCGTCAACGGAGCCGTCGACTTCATCTTCGGTCAGCGAGCTATCGCCTGGTTCGACAAGATCGACATCCAGGCCATCGGCCCCGGCTACATCACCGCCAACGGCCGCGACGCCGAGAACAACACTAGCATCTACGTCTTCAACGAGGTCAACGTCTCCGGCACCAACGGCACCAACACGACTGTGCTGGGCCGCCCGTGGAGACCATACTCCAGAGTCATTTTCCAGAACAGCTACCTCAGCGACGTGGTGAAGCCTGAGGGATGGTCTCGATGGGATAACACGCAGAGCACTGATAATGTGGTTTACCAGGAATACAAGAACTACGGACCTGGTGCTAATGTTGAGGCGAGGGCGAACTTTTCGTCGCAGGCTGTTGCGCCGATCAAGGCTTCGGATCTGTTTGGCAGGGGTTTTGAGAAGGAGAACTGGGTTGATGCGGACTATTTGTAGATGTAGGGGAGATGGTGGGGCTATTATTCTTGTATGATGAATTTGATGGAGCTGGTACCCGTACTGCTCAGTGTTCTTACAATCAATCCCATTGACCAATATGACCATGCGCGGCCCGGCGCTTCATGTATAAGCTTCTGACAGGTAAGAATCTACGCGTAACGTAAGCCCGGTGAGCTTAGCGTCCTATTTTGCACAACGATCTACCAATCTCACGGTTGCTCTGCTGACGATGATGTTCGTCTTGGCCTATCCTTGTTTCGACGTTGAATCACGTTTGACAAGTCACGATGCACGGCTGTAGGCCAAACGGACCTAGACAAAGGGAATATCGTGTTGGAGAATCTGTATGATAAGTATAATCATTGAACAAAAGCTAAGGCTACTTCTGTCGCTCAATGCTTCCAGCGCGGCGCGATTAGAAGGGTGGTAAACGACAATGTTCGTCGGCAAACTTCCGCGGAATGGTGGGGACCATGCGACAGCGGGATGACGTCTTCTATCCGTAAGACTACTGACAACGCGAAACTGAGACGTAGTGGCGGCGCAGAACGAGGTTAAACACTTTTCACCTTTGATACATAAGTACGTCGGATTGTATGGAAAGTTGGGTTCCAAATTGCTGCTGCAATCATCCAACGTCTAGTGTACGTCATCATCGCCATCGTTGAGGCTTGACCGCACGCGCAAACATACAAAACAGCTGGCGAGAACATAGCTCGAAACAATCCTCGCTAATCTTTGTCACCGTCATGGATAGTGAAGAGTTGATCGCGTAGTATGAGAATGCCGATTCTCCATTGATCGACCCTGGGGTTTCATAATGACGTTTCGGCAACATCAGAGGCACGTCAACAACAGAAATGAACAAATATGCTTCGCATTTACGCTCAAAGTTCCTACATTCAAACCATTTTACTTGCGAGATTTCTAAGAACAGCCGATAACACACTTCAATCAAAATGGCATCACGTTTCCTCCAAAGCTTTTCGCGTTCAGCGCCGACCGCAGCCCGCTCATTGCAACAACGAAGCGAAGGTAGCCATTATCGCCCTGGATAACAAGAAAACAACTGACATGTTTCATCTCAGTCCTCGCACCCGTCCTTACCCGCACATACGCCAGCAGCGCAGCGCCAGGCCAAGCATCCAACGTCTCCAACCCCCAAGCAAGCAGCGCCGAGAGCCAGGACATCAACAAGAGCGCCTCAGTCGGCCGAACAGACAAGAACGATGGCGATCATGCGTCGATACAGAATCCAGTCAGCCATCCAGAGCACGACCGAGTAGGTGCGACGGAGGAGACCACGGAGAGCCAGGACAACATGAAGCATGACCCGAAGGAGTCGGATGCGAAGAAGAGGGAGAAGACGCTGAACTATGGCCAGAATAAGCCTTTGGATGCGGCGGACAAGTAGAGGATGTTGAAGGAATATAATAGTTATTTGTGGAGCCCGAGTGCGAGTAGAGATTGAAGACCCATCTGATCGCTATCATTGCGACATCCATTCCGAGATCATGTCGTGATTGTACGTCAAAAAGCCTCGTGAGGAGCTCACCATTGAATCCTCCTACTAGAATACTGAACTATGCTTGTTCGTTCATCCTCCCTCGGTTGCGGACTCCTGAATATTCAAAGATATACTGGTATCCTCGATGGTAAACTTCCGATCAAAGTTGAAGTACACAGGGATGGCGGGAAGCTCTGAAGTAATGTCAACAAAGAGTTATCGGACGTTCTCCATCAGTAAATATCGTCTTCCAACTTTCGTCGTCGAATCCGACGGCTCCGAACCAGCGAAAATGACCCATTCTTTCATATACCTTCTCGCCATTGAAGTCAATTTCGCTCAGTAGTAGACCCGCTACCAAACTATAGGAGTGAACGAGCACCGCAAGTAAGCATTGGCTTCCATCTTTTGGTGAATCTTGCAAATCGTCCATCTGGAATGCAAGATTTCTCGAGATGAACAATATGTCACCGTAACCATTTGGTAGATCGGTTCTCCATTCGAATACTCGACACCAGGCTCGAATGGTTAACAGCAGCTTGTTTTCCACTTGAGCTTCAGGCCCTCTTTGGCCCACTGCAGAGAATCTATACCCATCCATGGTTGCTATGGATAATGGCCACATCGTACCATTGTCACCAATGACCGGAATCTCCAGTTGACCATCCATTGATGCCCAACTCCAGCTCGGAGTGATGATCCACTCGTCGTCTACCACCTGACCTGAGGACTTGAGCAGCCTTTTTTGCGCTCGCTTCTCGACATGTGAACTAGACAGAACAGATCTCCTTGCTCTCCAATACAGGCTTCCCGGTAGCGTTCTGAGGAAGTGGCCGCTGAGGTACTTGTCGTTCATCGCGTAGCCAATACGCGTTGCGATAGCTGAGATCCCCGCCAATTTATCAGTCTCAGGGTATGTGAGTTTACACGTAGTGTATTCTTCTAGCAACTTTGACCAAGTCTTCCCCAGATCCTCATCCTCTGGAGTGTTCGGGATGAACGGTATCGAGAGATCGAGAATCGTCTTTAGAAAATTTCTCTGGATGTCAGAGCAGAATCTAAAGCCATATGGAAGAGATTCGCTTGCATGTGGAACCTGCTGACAGTCCCAGAAGAGTTCGCCGTGACCGATGCTCAGCACGCGGGTGGCTAACAAGCGCTCTTGCATGACCCATGCGCGGCTACCAATAGGCTGTTTGTGGAGTGCCTCTCTGAAGTAATCTCCAGACACCACAGTGTACTCGCCAGTTACCACAGAGCCATGTTTATGCCCTTCATGGACGGTTTCGACTTCGAATGGCAGTGTAGAGTCGAGTGTATAGCCTCCAAGGCAACTTTGATTCGGATGAGCCGCCTGTGCCAGGGAGAGGTTGATGATACAGTTCGAATACACCTCTTGCATCCGGCCACACTCAAATTGCCAGTCCTCGCTACTACCCAATCCAGACTGTATGATACAAAGGGCGTCAATCCAGAGGTATCGGATGTCAAGTCCTTTTAAGATATCTACCGCCTCTTGGAAAGCGATGGGAAGACTGGTATAAGGTAGTCCCATACGAAATTCTTGTAAGTTATCGGCTGTTAGGCGAATAAAGCTAGGATTTGGCCCCCAACAGTAGCTTAAAGCAGCGTATGGGCCTAGAGATCTATGATCTTGTGGAAGAATCAAGCGGCAATTGTGACCTCCAAGCTCGAGAAGCCGGGTAGGATATGTGTGTGGTTGAGTATGCTTTGTGCATTGTTCGTGTTTGTCTAGGCAGGACCTCATCCACTCCTGCGCAGCCGGAAGACACTCATTCATAGGTAAGACAGACCCTCTATCGTAGACATTTGTTCTCACCGGTAGCACTGCTTGCGGCGCGATAATAAATTTTCGGGACCAGCATAGGTCCTTTCCGCCTTTTTTTATGAACATTTTCATCTCTAAAGACCCGCATCCGGAGGATTTTAGTAACAAAGTCCCAGACGATGTGTGATAGTGTCCGGATCGTCTGTAACTCCCTCTGGGATCGAGACAATCTTCCAGGGGGCCGGTCTCTTTCATTGCGTACTTCAACCAAGGAGCACAGATGTAGCAACCCTCTGCTGCTGCTTTGGTGAAGGACGCAAGGCTAGTATGGTGATTGCCACCCTTGGCGCCACTTGAGAACATGCGTGAGCATACTTCACAAAGCATCATGCTTCCTCTTCCATACGCATGTAGGTTCTCAACCAAGTGAGCTAAGCACAGTGACAGAGATCGAAGGCGTATATCTGTCAGCCGAGTACGAGAAAGATAAGTCGTGCATATGGTAAATACCCAGGTCAAGATGATGAGTACAAAGCGCGAGGTTTTTGCAGCTACTAAGCGGTGATCGATGACGGTAGGTGTGGTTGTAGTGTCAGTGCAAGGTGATGCCTAGTCGCGAGGCGTAGGTGCGGGGTTCCAGCTGCCCAGCCTAAACGCATCTCCGGACGGCTCAGAGCCGCATAGAACACTTGATCGCGCCACATCCCTAATCTTGTCGCAACACGAACACCCAATTCATCAATGTCGCATCCACTTCTGATTACTTATTGTCAAATTTTTCGACATCGTAAATGCTCGCACGCATCGCTGCAGTCGCACTAGCTTGCTGTCCAGCCGAGTTGGCAGTGAATCCCGTCTCTTCCGCCACACCGTACTGCGCCGACTCAGTGCGCCACATCGTGTTTCCGTATTCGCAAAGCCGATAACCGTTCGGAGGAGATGAAAAGCAAGTGCAAAGGCAGATTGTTTCGCAGTTTCGAAACTGTTAAACACGGGACAGCGGGCACTAGTGTTTTGGCATCCACACTCCACCAATGAGCAACGTCAGATCACCACTAGCGCCTCGGCAGCATCAGCTGTCGTTCATGCTACACCCCCTAGAGCCCACTATAGCTCTAGGCCTAACGGCGAACATGTCTCGCTTGGGCGAAAACACCAGGAGGTGTGAAACTTTGGTGGAGGTTCGATAGCGCTGAGGGAAGGGTGCCCTGGATTGTGGCACGGTGAGCATGAAGCCACCCGCCCTGCGAACCTCAGGCATAAGTACAACGATCGCCGCCTCGTGTATTTTCTTCATCGCGCTTCATTCTCTTACCAACTTTACTTACTATCCTTTTTTCCCAATCTCGTCTATCGTTCATTACATTCGTTACCAAGGCACAGGATGTCTCTTTACACTCTTTTCGCTGCGGCCCTTGTCGCTCAGTTCGCAAACGCGTACACCGTCATCCAGATCCCTCCTCCTTTCATGGAGAAGAACATTGATCCCATTGTCTTCCCTGGCGAGTTCGACAAGTCGCATCTCCACTCTTTCTACGGCTCCGACGCCGTCGTCGCCAGCACAAAGACCAGTGCTGAACTCCAAAAGGGTTGCACCAGCGCCGAGAACCCCAACGACCTGTCCACCTACTGGGTTCCTACTTTCCTCTACACCAAGGATGGCAAGAACTACGAGCCCGTTCCCGTCTTCCGCTTCAGCGCATACTACAACTTGGGCGAGACCCCTGCTGAGGTCGCCATCCCACAAGACTTGATGATGGTTGCTGGCAAGGCCGGCGCCATGACCAAGGACGCCATGGACATCAACGCAAAGGCCGAGTGGGCCTGCGAAAGCGAGAGCGTCGCCCTCGACGCCAACGGTTTCCCTTCCAAGACCTGCGGCACCCACGTCCAGCAACTCCTCTACTTCCCCCAGTGCGTCAACGAGCAGACTCTCGAGACCGGTTACAAGAGCCGTGAGAACGGCACACCCAACTGGTGCCCTGCTGGCATGAAGTCCATGCCCCAGCTCCGCTTCTCCATCCGCTACGATCTCCGCAAGGCCCTGCCCAATGGCTGGTCTGGAACCGCGCCTTTCAAGCTGGCATGCGGACCTGCGTGGTGCTCGCACGGTGACTTCATCAACGGTTGGGTTCCCGAGGCTGCTGAGAACATGGTCGGCACGACCAGCGAGAAGCAGCACTTTGCTCCCGTCAACGGTCCTCTTGGAAACTACGATGCTGGCTCTACTTGCAAGTCTGCTGATGCTGACCCTAGCCACGGCACCAGCAACTACGCTGAGAGTGTTGCTGCCATGGCTAAGCGCAGTGTTGGCGCTTGGGGCTGGGAGACTAGGTCCAGGCTCGCTCGCCTGGTCAAGGGCGCTTAGGTCCGGTCGGAAATATTTGATACCCACCGTGGTACTTGAGAAAGGCTGAAAAGATGTTCATGTATATACTTAGAAGGAGAATTAAATCTGATTGACATTAACAAAACATACATATTGGAACTGCAGTAGTTTGCAATCTATAGATCCACTACACTACCATCGCAAACCCGTACAGAATCTGCTGTCTTGTTCCACGCTGGCATACTGACACGACATATCTATCATGCCTGCTCTTCTGTCTGTCTAAGACTCTCCAAGGTAGCGTCACTAATCGTATCGTACCACTCCACAATACCGCTTTTGATTTATCCGCCGCGGAGGGTGCTCATAGCAGGACCGAGATATCTCGTAAGCGCCGAGCCACTTGCGCGGTACTCAGCTTTGAATTTTTCCAAGAAAGTGGGAAGGGGTATGCCATGTTGCATAGGCTCTATCCACTCTAGGTCGTACTTGCTCATCTCCTTGGTCTTCTTCACGACCCGGATACCAGTTGTACTTGTCTTCCAGACTCGATTGGTACAGACGTGTATTCCTGCTACGTTGTGGTCTAGAATCTTGAGCTGGCCGTTACTATCACGGTAAACTACTGCTCTCAAACAAATGTTGGGGTCGTTGCGGGTCCAACCGTGTTCAGTGTGCAACGAGTTGAGGAAAGGAACAAATGGAATGATCTCCATCTCCCCAAGCATGATATCGACTGTATAAAGCCAGGACTCCTGTGTATAAATGCGGGAATGATCGTGATCTGCGACGTGTTCGGGTTCCTGAAGGCCCACAACGAGAAGATGTGTGACTGATGGGAAGCGACCGGCTTGCCAGGATGTATGCAGCTGCCGAGCGATAATGTTCTGCCATTGCAATGAGGCGAGTGCATCAGCTTGGAAACCCAGCCCGTTCGTGTTTTCTACGGGGGCATGCTTGGGACCCAAGTGAGTATATTGCCTGCACAGCTGGTTAGGGATATCCAAACTAGATAGGTTCAGAACCAAAGTCTGTAGCTTTGGCAGAGGCGGGTCTGTCATGAGTACATCGAAGACAAAAGACGAGATTTCAACTGCCTGGATATGCAGATGCTCGAGGTGAGTTACTCGTCTTCTCAACGCTTCGCAAAAGGAATTGGTGGCAGGCATCTGACTACGTTCCTCGGCGCTGTTCTCGTCAGACTTGGGGCCTTCCACGTAAAACTCAAGTGTTGAGCAAGACAATGGCAGTGAATCGATCAGTGAGGCGCAAAGTTCAACCGGAACTGCCAACCCGTATTCCTCATCATCATCTGTGGAAGCATCAAATGTGGACCCTTGGAGGAGCGGATCAAACGGACAATGGGGGGTGGCGAATGAGAATGATATCAGTTCTTTCAGCTGGCTGGCGATAAGTATGAGGAGTTGCTTCGATGCAGCTATGAGACACAAGTCATTCGCCGTTTTAGACGAAGGCTTGTACGGCCATTTCTCCGAGGCCAGTTGCGCCGCCGCGTTGGGGTCGTAGGGTGGTGGACTCAACCGCACGGAGAGATTGCGCACAAGAGCGCCTGTCGTTTTTCGCGCCGCTTCGAGTGAACGGACGAATGGCACAATGTTATGTTGATTGATCGGAATGTAAGTCCAGAGTAGTGGCGTTCCCAGCACATTCCATTGGCGACAGACTTTCAGTGTGTTGATGTAGTCGAGTCGACCTGTCGTCGAGTCCTGGTATAATTCTTCGAATACCTGGAGTTTGAGCTCATTTGGTAAGCGATTGAAGGGTGCCTCGAGTGACGACATTTTCTACGCCAGGGTGATCAAGAGTTGAAGTGAGTGGATCAGCTAGTTTGGTTGTTGTGTATTGAGAAGGGAAGAATACATTGAAAGCGAGTCTCCTTATGTGGACAGAATACCTAGGCACCTACGGCTGTGTACAATGAAACAAGGTGATTAGGAAAGGCTCCTGCATCGTGGTTAGTAACAGTGTCACACAACAGCGTGAAGGCGTGGGTTGCGCAAATGGTCGACACATGATACACTTTCTGTGAGCTATGCACATCGTTCCAACGCTCATTGGGTTTGCCATCTGCATTGAAGCATTCTGCCCTAATTTGACCATCCCATGATCTTCGTAAAGAAGCATACGGGATAATTGGTAGCCGAGTGATTCTTGAGTAGCACACTGTCATTGGGCGGCACTGTCCCGTTCTACAAGTCACGCTCACTTCTCTCACCTCATTTACCGACGAATGGCTCCCAGCAGCGTACTCGATGTCGTTTGCTCCACTACTTGCTTTCGATTGCCTACACCGATCTCACACTCTTACCTCGATTAGGCTCACACCGGAATGAAGCTCCACATCCTCCACATCCTAGCCATCGTACCATTGGCTTCGGCACACATCCTCCCACCCATCTCGACCGACAGTACAACCGTAAATCTCACTCGCGATGCCTACAACAACACCGATACCGATGGTGCGAAACTCAGCAACATCTCCGACGACCATGATCCTTCTATTGTCCACACTCTCGCCAACCCACCCACCAAATTCGAGAAAGCAATCTCGATCGGTCAAACTATAGACTCGGCCATGCGCTCCAAGGATAGTGTCGCCCGCTGGTTTTTCAAAGACTTCCCACAGTTCGCCAAAACATGTCAATCACCTTTCACTGGTGACGGAAAAGCCGAATTGGCGAAGTGGGGTTTCGACGACAGCGACGCGTTAAGCGCTACGGTGGCCAAGGAGTGCGATTTCGATGGTTATCACAAGATCAAGGCGGCGTTTGATGAACTTGGTCTAGATACCAGAAGCAGTAAGGATGGAGGACTGAATCATTGCTTCAAGGTGAACCACCGGGGTGGCGTGGCTATCAAGAGAAATGAGGACGGGAGTTTACCCATTGAGGCGAAGCAGTACTATGATGTTTGTGGCAAGGAGTATAGGGTGACTTCTTCCCGTTTTGGAAAGTACTACTGCAACCGGGCAGTACTGACATCACCAGGCTACAGGTGCATCTTTTGAATTCGCCGTCAATCCTAACGGCCTTATAGCCCTCATGAACGTAATGAGCATGACTTATTCCGCGAAGACATACACGTGGTTTCGCACGCCCCTCCCCGAAGAGCTCCCGCATATCGGTACGACGCAGGACATTGCCTGGGCCATGTGGAACCGCGTTGACGCACCTAATCTCGCCGGCCTGAAGTATCTGCTCGTCACGCAGGTCATGAACGCGGGGAGTAGAGAGCTGTTTAGAAGCGCGCTGGAAACACTGAATCCGCCGCAGAGTGAGTTCAAGTTGTGGCCGGGGGAAGAATTCAAAATAGAAACGAAGGGAGGAAAGGCGATTTTGGGTATGTCACGCCCAGCCTGGGAAACGACACTTCCGATAAACATCTATGAAGAGGTGGGCACTGACTAAACGTAGGCTCACCGGTGGGACGATGGGCTGGCTACCTCTTACTACAGCACAAGGACCAACTTGGAGGGAACCGATATATCGAAAAGGTCAGGTTGTTCAAGCCACCAGGCGCGAGTCTACCGTATCTTCTCTTCTATGTAGCAAAGGAACCGGCGGCTGGACAAGCTAGCCTGACGGAGGCTGAGGCGCAGGCAGAAAAGGACTCACTACGGGTGGCAGGAAGAGAGACGGGTGGTAAGAACTTCGTACGGGAGCACGTCATTGATGTGGGGTTGTAGAGTACACCTATGCCGTATAGACACTGCAAAGCGTATGGAGTCCGAAATATCAGTTTCGATGCTTCTTGAATGAGAACCAAAAGCTAAGTTGACTTGGCAATAGCAGATGTGGTTTGTTGGCATACCGCCTTATCTTCCACCAAGTTTTCCCATGTGACCCCGCTACGTCAGCGCGCAGTTGACTGGGGTGTTCATTGGAGGGAAGCGCGTAAACGCGTCGACGCGTCTTGCCCCTCCATGAACTTCACACTCGAATCTCACGCTTCGCACCCACACCGCGTTTTACACCGTTCTTAAGCATCAGGTGCCTACTCAAATACTTCTCGGGAAGGCTATAAAGTCCTCCACATTGTGCTCATCAGCCCTCAGTACACACGAATAACTTTCACCTTTACATCACGACGAGCGACGAGGAAACGAGTCTTAAGCCTCGGAACGCGACAACACGGCGACCAATGTCTCGACATATTTCCAGCACACTGATCGACGACTTTGGCTTTGATCTCGCGGCGGACTCCAACGAGACCCATCTCGTACATATCGATTCCACTGGCTTGTCTTTGTGAGTCTCTCCACCCAACATCACCGCTAACCGGCTAGCCCTAGGGAACGTATCCAAAGCTACATCAACGACGACGATACCTTCCTCCCCTTCCCTAGGAGCGTAGCCGACAACGGAGGCGGGCAGTGTCCTGTGAAGTCCCTGCCTGGGAGAACGTATTGCATCACGTCGTCACGAAAACGTGGGACAAAGGGCCAGCGCAAAGAAGTCAGGAGAGCGAGCATCAGGGTAAGATATGGACAGGAGTCAAAATCGTTCTTCTAGGCTGTTTGGATACAGACCTTGCGCGCATTGGCCTTTGCATGGAATGCAGAATCTCCGCCTGTCCGCTGGCACCCATATTACTTGGGTGTTGGCAATGATGCCCCCTGCACCAGACTTAGCAAGTCTGTCAGACCTATTCATTATCAATTCTTCTCTCCATGGTTGATCTCTAATATCCCTAGTGAATATGTGAATCAACATGATATCAACATCAGCTGTCATGGGCTGGGTGGCCTCATTGTATTGACCAGGGACGTGTCGTGGAACACTTATACAGTGGGTCGGCCCCGGCTCTGCTCCGTCCCTTCGGCCAACGCCCACCTAGCACCTCACGATGTTCCTTCCTCCTCGATGTCAGCGTGTTCTCCTCCACTTGGAGAGCAAACAAGGCTTGCTACGCTACTTGGTCAGCAGTCTTTGCCTATGATGAACGACAACTTCCAGGACTTGCCTGCTAGCGTCCCGAACACGCCTCCACCACGTCCGGAGCCAAAGCCATATCCAACAGGGCCGCATCAGAGCGGTGTCTCAAAGATAGGTACCACACCTCGGGGCCACAGCATGATCATGTGCTAACTTCTAGAACCAGCACCGGCATGGCAATACCTCGGTATGGGTCCAATTACGACACCCATACAGGCTTCCCTGGTACATGTCAGCTTGATGGAGACGAGCGGACAAGAAGTTTTCGTTCTGGGCATTCTGGGACCCAAGGAAAGCGAAAGATGGGGATCATAAGAGGCAAGCATGAATGCTGGGCATATCTGCCGGTCCACGGAACGAAATGTGGGTTTAGTTCGACGAACGGTCTAGGAAATTACGAAAGAGGATTTCATGAGGAGTTGAAGGAGGCTGGAACGAAATTGAAGGTCAGCAACCGTCCAAAGAAGTTTAAGCAGGAGCGGTTCGTGTCTTTGAAGAAGGGAAAGAAGTAGACGGAGAAGAGAAAACAAAAGTGGAGGGTTGCCTCATCATTCGGGTTTCGTGGATTCGATTTCGTTCATTTAGACTATAGACAGGGATCGCGAACATGATAGCAACGCTGGACACGAATCCTATCACAACAGACAAGACATGTTTGAATGGGAAAGCTTTTAATCTTTTCTAACAAGCTCTTTGGGCCTGAGTGGGTATCCATGATAAACGCCGTTGAATGTCTTACAAAGACCCCCGATACTCCTAGTAATGCATGATCCGTGGCTTTATCCCAACAGCTCTCCACTTATCTCCGTAGACTCAACAAAAGCTCACAACGCTCTAGGGTGGGCGAGGAGTGTTTTCCTGACGTGTCTTGATTGCCGCCAAGAACAAGGCCCTCACACTCTTCATCCACTCCTCACCGTACTAGCATCATCCCCACCACCACCACCCCCTCCATCCTTCTTCTTTTTCTTCTTTTTCCTCTCTCCATCCCCAGCAGCCCCTCCCTCCCCATCCACCTTCTTCTTGGGCCTCCCCAACTTACTCTCCCTCTCCCCCCTCCCCGCGTCCTCGGCACCACCAGCACCAGCACCAGCCCCATCTTTGTCCTGCAGCACCGCCCCCTCATCCGTATCAAACGCCTTCCTCTTCCTCTTGAGCTCTTTATCCGTCTCCAGCATCTCGCTCACACGGCCCAACTTGCCCGTGTCGCGGCGCAGCATGAATTTGAAATCGTCGAGCTTGATCTTGGCGCGGCGCGCGTGGTGGGCGACAGATGCAGCTTCGTGGCAGGTTTCGATGATGTAGTCTGTGATGATTTCGTCGAGGACGCGCATCGTTTCTGCGAGGGGGTAGTCGTTGTCGCCAAAGGCGAGGAGGAAGGCTTCTACTGTTCAAGGAGTGGTGGTGTTAGTGCTATGGGGAAGGTAAGAGGGAGGTTAAAGGGCTACATCTCACAGTCTTGCGTGGGGAACTGCTGGCCTTTTTGCCGCAGCCTCATGCGTGGCTCCGTCATGCTGGCGTGCTGCTGTCTCTTTGTCGCGCTTCCTTCAGCTCAGAAATAACGGTTATATCGTCTTCGTCGCGTGCGGGTCCGAAGCGCGATACGGGGGGGGGGGGGGGGGGTTTTGGATCTGGATCTGGATTTGAGCACGTAGGAGGGCTTCTGAGGTGGAGTTGGCGATGGATCTGGAGTCGCGATTGTCCGCAAGACTAGCGCGCGACGTGCGACGTGCTGCAATGACGATCCCTCCCGGAGGTCGCATGCGGGCGCGCACGGTCCCCTGACAAGGCCGCCGCGGCGCATATGCTTGCGACCACAACAACGACAATCTAGTTCAGAAGCGCGCGCGCATCCAGAGGCAGCAACTCTTGACCCACCGTTCCAAATCAACTCCCTTCCTCTAAATCAACAAGAAAGCAACACACGAGCTACCTCTCACGCTGTCCGTCTCACATTCACGCAATCCCCTCTCTCTCTATCTCACCGTCTCCCAGAAGCCACCTAGGCACTCCCACAATCATGGTCCGTAAACCCCGATCATCCAGCACTCCCTTTCCCCCACCCCCAACAACAACCAGCTAACCACGCACCCACGCCCTCCCACAGACCGCTCTCTTCAACTTCCAATCCCTCCTCCTCGTCATCCTCCTCACAATCTGCACCGCTACCTACGCGCACGCCACGTTCCCTACTTTTCTCGATTCAAGAAAGGACTCGTACTACATCAGCCCCGTGTGGAAGGCTGCCAGGATCGGTGAGAGGCTGAGTCCGTATGTCAGTCTGGCGTGCGTGGTCATGGCTGTAAGTCAAGGGCTCTCTTGATGTGACGAATGGCGGGGTTACGAAGAGGGGGGAACAGGGACGATGGGGACGATGGATGAATGGGGTGGTTGGATGGATGGATGGGGAGACGATATCGAATCGAGGGGGACTAGATGTCTACACGGCATGGAGGGCTGACGATATATAGGTATTGCAATTTATGAGTTGAGCGGCGTTGTACAGGGGACATTGGGGGACACGCGCAGGGAGACAAAAGGATGGTTAGAAGGCGAGACCTCCACGGTTCTCTCTGTCTACTTCCTTTCCTCCACCTCTTTTTACCCACCCAGCTGATAATGAGCATCGTCATAAGATGTGAGGCATGATGTTCATGAGAATAGACTGCTACCTACGTGTCGAAGAACCACGGCACGGACATGGTCGGCTCATTATTCTAACATGGCGTACCACGTTATTCATTGTAGTCGAGTCCAATAAAGGCTCCTCCAAACTTTACAAGGTAGATATAAAGTAGAAAGCGGAGAATGAGCACCTCGGTCAACAGACAAGACAAATACTGTGCAAGTCATGACTCGACAAGGCTCAAAAGGACCCCCAAGCACGATAGAATCAAGAGAAACGAAGCCATTCATCAAGTCACACACACACATTGCAAACCAGTGAGCATTTCAAAAGATTTTTTTGTTCTTTCCATAAAAATTAAAAAGGATATATACAAAACATGTAAGCAAGCTTTTACACCTGCTATCGTGCTGTGCCAGTGTACCAGCACAAAAAAACCCTGCCGAATCCATCTACCCCAATAGAACACCACACACACACACACACCCAATTTCGTACTATAGCAGTTGATGATACACGACGTCTCCAGCGCCTGGACTAATCTCGTGAGATGAGAGTTTCTGACATTTTAAGCGTTTCCATAACAGAACAAACAAGTTGAGGGACAAGGACGACAGAGAGAGAGAGAGCAAGAGAGAAAAACACAAGGACCAAAAAACCCCCAGTCAAATGGACCCAACTCCCCGTCCATTGCTGGCAGAACCCATGTATAAGCGAACAAGTGGGGAGAGAAAACGCCACCACCACAAAACCAAAGTTTCTCAAGAGTAGATTGGGGGAAAGGGCAAGGGAAAAAAAAAATAGAACCATGAGCAACATAACCATCTCCATCGTGAAAAAAGAAAAAGGGGAATCAGAAAGTCGTTCTCGTCACCGCTGCACAGCACAAGAGCCGGACCTAACTCGCTCTTGAACTGCCATTAGTGATCACGACTCCCCTCTCCCTTTTCAAAGCACCCATGGAGCGCCGGTCGCGAACCCCTACGTTCTTGCGCACCCTCGACGTCGCTACCGTCCTCGACCATGACGTCAACGTGGTGGAGATCAGGCTGGCTATGCGCATCGTCCGCGTCCTCGTCATCGTCGTCATCGTGGTCGCTAACCAGACCAGGGTTCGACTCAACGGTGTTGGGGCTGAGATGATGATCTACCGGTGAGCTAGGCTCGTGGTGGTCGTTGTTGGGTGAGGGAAACGACAATGGGAGGCGTGCGTGGCTGGAGTGAGATCCCTTCTTGCTGCCGGGTCGAGACGATTGGGCTTTGCTTGCGGGAGCGCTGGCAGGGAGACGAGCGAGATGGGGTGGCACGGCCGAGACAGGAGTTGGTGCCGGACTATCGTCATCCGAGGCGTCTATTGCGTCGAGGTCGACCTTTGAACGCGCAGTCTCGACAAGCTCCTTGAAGTCGCCTTGTACGCCGCTGTTCTGGAAACGCGCAGCGAGATATGGCATGGATGATGACTTGACGAAGCTAGCTGGCGTGGCAGTCTTGGAGTCGTCACGTGGCGCGGCATTTGGATCACGATGTACTTCCCGAGCTTGGGGAGCAGGTGCAGTCTGTGATGCTAGCGGGTGGACGATACCAGGAGTAGCAGGGACGGGGAAAGATACGGCTGGCGGCGCAGCTGGGGTGCTGGCTGGTTCGGTGGCGGCAACAGGAGTTCCGACTTCGTTAACATCGACAGGCACACCACATGTAATAGCTGCAGCGTCGTGGCTCTTAAAGACCTGTTGATGCTTTATACGACAGTGGTTCAAGAAACCTTGAGTGTTGGAAAAGTTGCTGTGACCACAGGGAGCGCAGTACAAGCGCACCCACTGGCCGTCTGTCGATCGCTTGTGCAATAACGGGTCAACTTTGGGCGCTGGTGCTGGAGTTTCACCAAGAGGAGTGAGCTTCAACATTCCAGTCGAAGTTCGCGACGTGCGGCCTCTGTGAGCTGACCCGTAGTCAGCAAAGCTGCCGCGCGTCGTCCTACCCTCCCCAGCGCCAAAGTAACCTTGAGCTTGCTGAGCAAGTGCGCGTTCAGAAACGGGGTCGAACTTGGCATCTGAGATCAACCATTTTGCATAATGCCGAGTGTACGGGCCGTCGGTCACTCCCCAAGGAGCAGCATACTGCGGTTCCGTAAAGCCAGAGGCGGGTTGCAACGAAGCACCAACGCCGAGACTGACATCCTCACTGAGACCTTCGGTACCCGGGAAAGGAATGAGCGAACACCGCCTTAGCTGCTCGAGGGAAACCTGGCATTTGGCGAGCTCCTGTTCGATCAAACGGAGTTCGTTGTGTTTCAGCAGAATCTCGTAGTTGATTTGCGCCTCGATGGCTTGTTGCACAGGAGTCAGTCCAGAGTCCATGGTAGTAGATGGCGTGTTGATAGAGTCAGATTTGGTGGTCGGTTGCGAAGATTTCGATGCCTTGCTCTTGCTGGCGCCCTCTTTCCTCGAGGGTTGCGCCTTTGGTCTGACGTCTAGGACCTCTGCAGGTGCTTTGGGTGCGTCTGCAGGACGTTCATTTTCGGCAGCGGCTTTTGCGTTTGCATTTCCGTTGACAGCTCTAATCTCACCATGCGCGCCCTTCCACTTCTTCATTACTGGTTCAGGACTGTCAGTCCGTTTCCGCTTGATCTTGTTCATGAAGTGTGGCATGTCGACGACCGGCAGCGGTCTTGACTTGTGAAGGGTAGATTTTTCCATGATCTTGTCGCCAGGCGACTCGTTACACCATGGGAGGCGGAACATGGACTGCATTGTGAAAGAAGTGGAAGCCTAAAACCAACAGAGCTCATCTGTAGTTGTGAGGGTCGTGCGCATCGAAGTCCAGGTGCTAGTAAGGCTGCAGGATGACGTTGCGCCAACAGTAATGCGCGACTGGAGTTCGACGAGAAAATCGAACAGAAGTCGTGCGAGGGAGGGATATTAAAACAGGTAGGGGGTATCAAGTGTGCGCGAAGGAGTGCAGGAAGAGAAGCAACAAGCAGTTAAGCCGTTGCGATGGTGACGTGGAGGGCAAGAGGCGCGATGATCGGCCACTTGATAAGGAAGAAACAGCCGCACCAGCACGAAATCCTAGAAAAGAATTCGTGAATACAGGATAGAGGGGTGTATTACAGTTGTGCAGGGCTACAAAAGGCCGTGTAGAGGCGTGGTGGGGGAGGAGGTTGGGGATGGTGTGCCAGATGGCGATGATGTTGTGATGAAGGGCAGCGACGACGAAGTTCGGGGGGGAGCAGTCATTCAGCGCATTTCCGCACGTACGGGCTAAGCTAAGCGGCGCTAGCGGGGGTATCCCTGTCGAGCCACCTCCTTGCCGGAATTGGCGATGTGTGCCCTTGCGTCTCAGACAGAAGTCGTCGACAAAGCAATTCACATGCGAAAAATAACAGCCATCCAACATATCGCACCTCTCCCCCGCCCAGTGTCCCTCGCTCATCTCACTGGGGCATGTCGCTCTCGACTCAACGCGTAAGGTTTGCTTTTCGCGCAATTTACATCATTATGGGGCCCTTCGCTAAGTGTTAGCCAAGGGGCGTGTCCGCTAACCTGCTGCCAGCAAACGTTTAACGACTCAAGTCTTGTCTCAGTCGTTATGTCATTCGGCTTGCCGGCTTAGGGCTGTCCGCGGGGGATTCGCAACGTGGTAAGCACTGGGAGGGCACCATGAGATGATCTATCAGTCAAATGTGCCCACGACAACTTTTTTTTTTCGCGTAGACCGACAATTCATAACAAAGCGGAAGCGTCGGATCAAGGAACGATCCCAGGGACACTATTTACTCTCCGATGGTCTGCGCAGGTCGCTCCCACCACACCTCCAACGCCTCGATCAACGTCCGGTGAAGTATACACCTCACTCCTGCTGTGTGGAACAAGGTACTCGTCCTAGCCCCAAGGATGCCCAAGGTCAATTATGCTTCCAAGTGTGGACGCGCATGCAAGCCAAGCCAACGCCACAAAGTGCCGCCGGTGTCCCAGCCTAGCCTGGCCTTAGTCCTGCCCTCCACACACTGGCGACTAGCAGCCGGTCCACTAATACGCTGCGAGAGTGCACCCCCCAGCTGAAACATTCTCAACACCACGATGGCGATCGGCTTCCATGCATCATCCTCTCACGATTGAAGACGTCATGTGACTTGCAGTGAAGGCTTGGCAATCATATTTCTAATACGATGCAAAGAGACGAGAATGTTCTGTGAAAAATTGTCCCGAGTCACAAGCACTTGATGGAGGCAACTTCTATGGCAGAATGACTCTTATTAGAAATGGTGATGGATTGCGTTGAGGGCTAAGCTGATCGCGGTCCCGGGCCCTCTTCCGTCTCCGGTTTCGCCCGTGCTTTCGATGCGCGTTGCTTCGGCACGTGGGCTAACCGCTCCGATGCCCACTCCGAATCCAGATGTCTCTCCCTAACCAGGACCCTCCAACCATCGAGAACGCCGGATACATGATCGAAAAGTAAGAAAAATACGCCTATCGCAATCCAAAATTCTGCAAATCACGCGCTGCTACCCACAGCCCGTGGTATCGCACTGTGAGCGAAAGCGCCCACACCTGGTGATGTCGATGCCGGCTCATCTACGGCGCCCACCACATTGCCATCGCTGACTTGTTCTTCCCCTCGACTCATCCGCTTTATCGCGCTCCTCAGCGCGGCTTCGCCTTCTCGACCCGGTGTCATTGCCAGGTTTTTGAAAGGACAAGTACCCGCCGCAAGCGCTGCATCTTCAATCTCACTCTCGCTCTCGCTGCCGTCACGCAGAACCCTCTTCCCATGCAAGAAACCCTCAGGCTCAACCTCAGGCACTAATCGCTCGTCTGCAAACTCATCGCCATCGCGGACGTACCATTTTGCAAAGAGATCGTTTTGAATCCAGATGACCTTTGACAGCGCTTTGACTAATGCGATTTTCTTATCCATCTTGAGTCTAGGATGCGAAAGTACTGCTTCGGTGATGATGTCTTGGACGAACGAGAGTGTAACACCGATATGCACGTATTCAACATGCAAAGGATGCGCTCGTCCCTGGCCCACGTGCATCATACCGACTTTGTCGAGATACTCCCAGAACTCCATTTTAGACGGGTCGCTGCATAACTTTGTAAGGTAGCCCCGCAGAAACATTTTGCGGTACAGGATCTGGGGTGAGTTCTCGCTCAGATTAGGGTCCACCGGCCCTTCGTACGACGTCGATCTTGTTTCGAAGGCTCGTGCGGTGATGTCGTACTGCAGCAGCTTTTTGTAGACGATGTTGACGACGGCGGGGATTAGGGCTTTGATGTATTTGGCGCCAGTTGTTAGGGCTTCGATGTCGCCTGCATCCGTTAGTCGAAGCTCTAATAGGGGAACTTTTGTCGGACTTACGTGAGCTGAAGTCGAGAAATGAATGCAGGTATTGTATCCGTGCTTCAAGGCTGGTGTAGAGGTCGCGGCGGTCAATGTGCTGCATTGGTCGGCGGTTGAGGGGTGTCATGTTGGGCATTTTGAGTTGTAGACGGTGAGAGTAGTTGCGCTTTTTTGATGAACAATTTTGGTTGCAGATCTTGAGATGATGTTTGAATGGTGATATTGAGTACACTGTTTGATATAGTTGAGCCATATATCAATGTCGCGTCCGGTATATACAAGGCGTCCGACCTAGGTAGGTGGCTCGTGCGTGATGGTGGTGTGTTCGGTCGTAAGATGGCGTGACACTCGCCTTCGCATCGCAAGATAGCTACATTTCACACATGTCGCATGCTCCAGCGCTTCCGTCTCTTTACATTGCAGCCTGATGATGTTGTTCGTAACCTGGTGTTTCAATTTGACAGCCCCTACACCAAAACAACTTCGACAAATTCCGGATCCTCCACATCGGGGTACCAATCAACACACATGCCCACAAGACGGAAGATAGCAGGACCTGCATCACTCTGGGAGTGATATGGCCGTATAATCAGCCCAAAAGCCGAAGGTGAAATCTCCCCGGTTTCTTCATCTTTTCCATTGACTGCACCCGGCATGCGGAACACGAAGTCGCCAGGCTTCACTTGTGCGAAGGCGATACCGAACGTAAAGGACCCCTCAACTTCATAGCAAAATGATTCTAGGCCCTCTAATATTCGCTTTGCTTCGGAAGCGAACTCGAGCCAATCGACATGGACTTCTGATATATTATCCGGTTGTTCCTCTGATGCACCATCCGATAGTAATCCCATAAATCTTTGTGCATGACAGAACAGGATATCCTCAACAGATTCATCCATAAACTTCCCATCGCAGAAGTTTCGAAGATCGAACGGTGGACGGGAAAGCAACTTCGGCACACAGGTCATGGCCAAGGCCACGACCCATTCTATCGTGAGACTTGACATGGCATGCTGAGTCCTTGCAAGAGCCTCGAGATACGATATTGCGTCCGAGTGAACAGTGCCGGACTGAACATGACAGATACGGTGAATACAGCCACGGAGTGGAAGTGCTCTCATCTCGTGCGCATATATAAGACGCTTATCGAACAACCCCCATGGAGATAATTCCGTCCATGAATGCCTTCTCGAACTCCCCAACAAAGACCATGGCCAATGGTCCTGTTGGTGTTGGGACAAACGGTGATCGGCGAACCAGTCGGTAATATGCTGCATCTTGTTTGGCAAGTTCCAACCTGGAACCCATGAAGGCCAGCTTTCGTTTTGATCAGCGAGGCTTCCGAATTGGATCGTGTGCATTATCATATCTTGAGACACTCCAGCTTCCACAGCACCGCTTGCGAACATCGTGTAGACATGCGAGAAATGCATCCTGTAATCCACAGAGCAATAGTCCACCGGTCCTGCTACCAATCCTCCGAATTCAAACAAGCCATACAGTGAATACAAACGATCGCGTTCATCCAAACACACGGTGTTACTGTATGCGCTGAGAAGGTCCAGTAAATATTTCCAGGAATCTTCAACAGCGTCCCAATGACCACTGGTCCTACCTTTCGAAGCGAAAGAGTCCATCTGAGAGATACTGCGGAGATGCTTATGCAGAGCGGCAACTCGACCATGGAGAACGTGATTGATATCCGGGTCAGTATAAGCCCGAAGTAGTGCATACACGCTTTTGATGAACGGTCGCCATTGCATCTTACAATCTCCGCAGTGGATGGACACGTCACGGCCAAGAAATACCTCTTGTAATACCCAGCGTCTTGTGAACCAACTCCTAGAAACGAAGTGTTCTAAGGACAAAAACTCTGGCGTCAGATTGTCAGGGAAAGCTCGGCAGTGTCTCCATTGTAAAAACGACCTCTTTTCGTAGTCAGGTTCACCCGGCTCGAAAATATCATCGACAGCAAGTGCATCTTCGTCAGCGGCTGGGCCTAGCCAAACATGCACTTTGCGAGCTGAAGCATAGATTTTGCCCATCGAACGTACTTGATGGTTTTTCTCTACATTGTGGGACTGGTTAATGCATACTACGCTCTAGTCAGTGTCACTCATTCAGAGAAACATACATCAACACATACTCGCGTCTATCCACAAATGACGTGCTTTCTTGGGCTTCCGCAAGTATCGCAGCATCTCATCTACGACCAACGTAACACGAAGGCTTTTTCCATCGCAGGTAATAGACGTGAAGTCTTGCTGAGGCCCCCATGCATATGAAACGCAACTATACGCTGGTGGGTTTTCTTGGTCATCCCCAAGCTTCCGCACCAAGAGGTTGCCAATCAGCGGCTCGGCAAACGCGCCTGGTTCCAGGTGCAGAACACGAATCTGATGTTTCGCATCGATTGACTGGTATTCATAGTCTCTGCGGTCTTTCATACTGGGTGTATGTGATCTTTGCGCTGACGTGAAGTCTGCAAACTGTACGTTATGTCATGGAACAGTGGCGTCGACTCAAGGCTATCGAGTTATATAAGCTGAGGGTGAGCAGTGTAAAAAGCCATGCTGTTATTGAATTATGAAATATGAGCGAAAGGGCAGGAAAGAAACAGCAATGAAGTGGTTGAGGTGCTGCAGCCAGCCTTTCCGCACCCCGCACCTGCACGTTCAGGTAGGCTGTGGCGGGGCTGTGCACATGCCTGCTACTGCAAAGCGTACTCATTCAGTTTACATTGGATTTTCTAAAGACACTGTAAATGCGAAACAATGAGCCGGTATTTGCTGGCACAACTGATAAAAGGGCTACCGTTTGGTTTGAGGCTCTTCGATGCTGTTTGACTTCCACATTTCATCATTTCGTCCGACATCACTCTAGGGAAGGCACACATCACGCATCAGCCTTCTCCCGATCTCTAGACTAGAAATATATCGCGCTCCTTGTACCTTGGACCCGAGCCATGCATGAGAGCACAAGAGTCCACACAAACACCTACGAGACGGAAAAGATCTTGACGTGGCGAGTTGGAAGATCGATATGGCCGAATGACCAGGGCACATACAGGCTCAACGACAAGTCCGGGATATGAGGTCGTTTTCCTGCGAAATACCAAGTCTCCAGGCTCTACACGCACAAAAGCAAGGCCAAATATGAGTTCATCGCTGGTATCGAGACAGAACGCATACTGACCGTCTAACAACTGGTTAGCTTCCTGCAAGAGACGAGTGCTGTCGAAATCGGCTGGCACTATCGTCGCATCTGGTAGTTGCTTACGCATCTCCGTATCAATGGTGCAATGTATGAGATCTATCTGTCGACCTAACAATACTGTCCACCGCGTTGATTCCTCGCCTGAGGGTAAAAGCGTTGTGGACAACTTGTCGACGTCAGCCTCGCTTTTGATACCTAAAAACCTGACGCTATACATCGCGACTGCTAACACTGGACTTGCCAAGGTTAAGGAATCGTGGGACGGTCCGGCAACAGGCCATCGTGACAACCTGTCCATGACGAATTGCATCGCGGTACTGCAGCCCCGGCTTGTTTGGGTATCGCCGATAGGATGAATCCTGCCAGACAAGCACAATCCTTTCATCTCTCCAATATTGACCATGGTGAATTCAGCACTGTACTTCCAGCATTTGGGATTCGCGAAGAAAATCCTCGTCAGACTATTTTCTTGATCTTTCACGACTAGAGAGACACAGGACCCCAAATCTGGCATCTTGTTCATAGTGTTCCAGCTTGGTACCCATGAAGGCCAGCTTTCATCCTGCTGCGAGAGGTTTCCGAAGGTAGTAGAATGATGAAGGACTTCATGACCTAGGCCGGCCTTGATGGCCGCGTGAACGAAATCGGTATAGGTGCGGGAGAAGTGAACTCCATAGTTCACGGGACACTGTTCGTAAGACCTAGGCGACATGCCATAGAGCGAGTACAGTCGATCCCGTTCGTCTGCGCATTGGGCCGCATGAAAAGATGACAGCAGCAGAAGTATGCGTGAGTAGATCAATCTACTTTCGCTATCGGATAAGCGGGCATGGTTCAAAGTGGATTTCGGGCTACTCCTATGCCCGTACAACATAATGACTTGCTTCGCGGCTTCTTGAGTACCAGCACTCCATTGGAAGTTGTCTTCATGATTCAAACGAACTTGCGCGCTATGTTTCAACGATTGCCACGTGAATTCATGACGTCCACATCGTATAGTCAATTCGCGGCTTAGAACCACTTCTTGTAGTACCCATCTTCTTCTGAACCACCCCCGTGAAAAGAACGCATCGAGAGACGGAAATGCAAAAGAGACCGAATCGATAGGCCTGGTTGGCACGCGAAAGGCATGTTTGTCCACGTCCGGATCATCGAATATGCGGAGCAAATCATCTATTCGATCTTGATCTGTTGCTGGGCCGAGCCAAACTACCACATTGCTGGCAATTGTGTATATCTTTCCCATTGAGAGCACTTGTAGGCTCTTTTCTTTGTTATCAGCTTGATTGATACATACTAGATACCAATTAGCCAACACCAAACTTATGTGCGATCTTACATACTGGCATCTATCCAAAGATATCATGGCATGAACGGCTCTCGTAGATGCCTCAACATTTCCTCTACCGTGGTTGTGATGCGAAGGGAATAGCCGTCACAGCTGAAGTATGTGTAATCTTTCTGTGATCCCCAGCAGTACGATACGCAATCCCATTCATTGCCGTCGCCTTTCGGAACCCAATCCCAGTCTCTATCATAGAGCGTTTTCTCTCCTATCTTTCGTATCAAGAGACTGCCAACTAGTGGTTCTTCAAACACGCCTGATTCTAGAAGAAGGACACGCAGCTCTTCATCTGTGACAATCGGCTCGTATTGGTAAGTCATTTCATGTTCTTCGATCGTGGGAACTACGCATGCTGAAGTAGAGGATGACAGCGGGCTGAGTCCTTCAAAGGCGGGCATCTCGGGGATGAGCGACGTTCACAGCGAGTAATGGGAAATTGGCAATACACTTCTTTGCGCTAGTCCGGTAGCAGGCAAGGTGGAGGATGATAAGTCGTGATGCGGAGTTTGTAGAGGAACCCAGGAGCCGTATCATGCTGTGCTCGCAGTCAATCACCCCGCAATCGCACGTTCAAAGTGGGATGCGGCGCGGTCGGCATGTCTTTGCCTGTGGCATGTACCAATCAGCCATCGTCCCTATATGAAATCGTAGCATAGGACCGATTCATTGAGAAGTGATGCACGCAGGGCGATATTGCTGCAGTTGATATGAAAACAGAATGCAAGCAGGTAATGGAGGTGGGGAATGTGCCATGACGTCACCGAGCTTAAACCATGAAGACGCGTCTGTTCTCTGTTATGATGGCAAATAGCGGAGTCCTCAGGAAACCCGGGCGCTCATCTTGGTGAGAATCGTCAAATGGCCGATATTGAAGAGTTCAAAGGGCGTGTTGAAAGTGCCACCATGGCCAGAACCGTGACTATGCGTTCGTAGCCGACAGTCCCTTCCCCACGAAGCGTGAACCTCCTCGACTACATGCCCAGAACTGTATCTCACCCCACGACCCATCTTCATTCGAATAAATCGACAGGCCATACAATGACCATCACCAACGTCGCTCTCATCGGCGGCACTGGCACGCTCGGCGCGCCCGTCCTCAACGCGCTAAAATCCTCCGAGTTCGACATCTTCGTGCTCAACCGCCAAACATCTAAGTCCGTCTACCCAAAGACCAAAGTCATCACAGTACCCGATGATTTGAATGTTGAGGAGGTCGCCAAGGCGCTGCGAGATAACAACATTGACGCGCTAGTCATCACCATCGCTGGAAGCCATGTCGAATCGCAGAAGAAGCTCATCGACGCCGCATTCAAGGGCGGCGTGAAGCGCGTGATGCCCGCAGAGTTTGGAAGTTGCGACTCTGCAGACGACAAGACGAATGAGATTCTGCCGTTGATGAAAGGGAAGAAGGACGTTCGGGACTACCTGCTCACGTTGGAAAGCAAGGAGCGCGAAGGTGGCATGGGAAAACTTACATGGACAAGTCTTGTCACAGGCCACTTCTTCGACTGGGGAATGACCTGCGGCCTATTGAAGTTCGACGTCAAGGCCCGTAAAGCATATATCCTCGACGGCGGCAACATCAAGTTCTCTGCGTCCAACCTTGACTTCATCGGCAAGGCTGTCATCAAGATCTTGGAGAAGCCAGATGAGACCGCGAATCGACTCCTCTACGTTCACAGCCACCATGTCACACAGCTTGAGGTTCTCGCTGCGCTGGAGAAGGCGACAGGCGAGAAGTTTGAGAGGATTGATCAGAATAGCCAGGAAGAGTTGGACGTTGTTAGGCCGAAGATGCTAAATGGCGATGGAGAAGCAAGAGAAGAAGTCGTTGCAGTATGGGGGGTGGTTGCTGCGGATTGGAAGGAGAAGGAAGGTTTCGCGAACAAAATGCTTGGACTGCAAGAGGACGATCTTGACCAAGTCGTACGCAGGGTTCTGTCGGACCTTTGAGCGAGTGCTGGACTGCTCGCAGTGATGATAGCCAACCATCCCCGCTTGTAAGAAGCATCGCTACTCGGCACTAGTATGGTCATATCATGATGGTTACTTCACCATATGTTTAATCAGTGATTCCACTATGACTAAGCTCACGAAGGCCTGATTCGTCTAATCCTTTGCTACCGTGCAGCCTCCTAGCATCTGGCCATGGTGTGCTCAGATCTCTGTATACCCTCGTAGTCAGGCGGTTGGCACCTTGGCGCCAAGTTTGATTACATTCATGCCTGATTACACTACTGGGTGCTGTAAGACCATACGACGTAGAATGGCATCATCACACGATCCTCGGCAAATAAATCTGCACTCCTGAGAGCTGTAACGTATATTCGACATGAAGGCCAATCACTAGGACGAATCATGTCTTGTACCAAGATCTATAGACCAATCCCAACGTTGTTTCTAGCCTCGGCTCAGTAAGCGTTTAGGCGCTTGTAATTGGATTACTTAAAATGGTTGATTACTATTCCAACATACGCACCGCACACGTGCCATCCACCCAAGGCAGAGGTACACCACATTTCACAACATCACGCTTTTTGTCAACATCACTAAACATGTTTCACTGTCATATATCCCTCAATATAACACCAGCCAGATGCAAAGACGTCTTTCACCACTACACTTAACACCAACTTCAAATTCCCACTTCTTATTCCTATATCCATTTGCTACAATGCCTCTCTGGGTCTTCTACCATCCACCCAACACTTTCACCGACCCTGCCACCAAGAAAGCCTTAGCAAAAGTCCTCACAGATGGCTACGCTTCCGTCGATCTCCCTAGAAGCTATGTAGTTGTCCTCTTCCAACCCATAGAGCCCGACTCTTACTATATCGGCGGCGTAGCCAGACCTTCGCCAGATGTACCTGCCGACAAACCTGGACCCGATAGCACGCGTCCGTTTATCAGGATTAAGATTGAGCATTTCGCTAGGCCTGAGTAAGATTCTTCTACCCTGCTCTTCTTACCTGATCGCTTTGCGAAATCATGTGTCTCGTGTCCATGTCGACTGTCATCCATTTCGAGATGTGTACTGACTTAGACTAGCCCCTCGGAAAAATCCAAGAAACGCTTCTTGCGGTGGGCCGATGCGACGCTGAAGCCTTTTATTGCTGATCAGGGTTACGATTGGGAGTACAGTGTCGAAGAAGCCGACAGGAGTCAGTGGAAGATTAATGGTATCGTTCCGCCGCTTGAGGGGACGGAAGCGGAGAAGGAATGGGCGAAGACGAACATGATAACGCCGTTTGAGCCAGAGAAAGGTGGATTGCTAGGGAAGCTTTGAGAAGGCTGTAGGAATATAGTGGTCAGGCGTGAATTAGTACATGAGATGCTACTTGAAATTGAATGGTGATGTTGGTGAAAAGGTGCTGTTCTACCCGCACGTATATGCTACGAAGTATTACCGATAACCTTGATCCATTTGATAAACTTGAACCAATAGAGAATCGTTACCAATGTCCCACAAGCCTACTCGAAAGCCCATTCTCCTGATGCTAGAAGAGCGCTGTGAAAAGTCGCAATCTTGTATTATCCTCTATCATTAAGTATCGTTCCATCAAAAACCCACGTCATCAACTTCACCCGCGAAAACCCAAGGGTCGTCGTGGGCGGATGTTCTTCGCTATCACCAATCGTATGTCGTCCATTCGCGTACTGACTCCGTCCGTCTTAAACGCCCAAGATGCGCAAGCGACCATACCGTCAGTCGATGATGTTGAGATTACTCGTTGAAAAGCTTGTAACGCAACCTCTCCAATAAGTTTTCTCGGCTCCTATCCTCCAAACTCTTCATCCTGTCCTCCAAACAACCCTCTCCACCACTGTCGTTGCCCACGTTCTCAGTTCCTCCGTCTGCCCTCCAGACCGCGAGATCGTCATCTGCAGCCTTGTAAACCGGTGGCACATCCTTCTGACTGTAGTACTTGGTCTCTGACTTACCCGTAGGGTATTTATGGCCGAAGAACTCTTGGATGTCCTGCCTGAACGCAGGATCCTGGTGGAGAACGAACCCACCAGAGTACGCGGACTTGAGAGGCTCGACTGTGATGCGGCGTTCCTCACCCGAGAAGGCGACGCTGTCTGCGGAAGGAAGTGAGAAGTTGGCTGAGACTGGCTGTTGCTTGAGCGGTTTGGAATAGTCAAAGCTGAAGGACGCCATTGGCGGTGCAGGAAGCCTGGACATGTTGGTAGGGGCGAATGCAGGCGGTCCGCGGCGGTCGAAGCACAGCGACACCGCGGGCGCTTGATCTAGGGCACGATAGCGTTGTAGCTGATTTGCGGGTGATGATGATGGTGGAGGTCGCGTGTTGACAGCAGACAGTGGGGAAGCTATAGGCGCGTGGCCACCTATGAAGTTGGGCTGTACATCGGATGTGGGAGACGCGGGCAGCGGAGGTTGGCCGCTGGGAAGGGGTGATGGAGATACCATGTTGGTGGAAGGAGGAGCTGTTGTTTGTCAGTGGTAAGAAAGTGAAGGTGAATCAATGTCTTGGAATCACTTACGTTTGCTTCGTAGCATCTCACGCAATAGGAAAAGCACGCCTTGATGCGCGAACTGTAGGGCTGGTTCTTGTACCAGTGGCTCGATGTGGTGAACCCAAATCGAAGTGTCCTCGCCCTTCAATATCGCTGTTCGGAAGCATTCTAGGAACTCCTTGTAGAAACACCAGTCGAGGCCAAGCTCTTTTCGTATGACCAGAAGAAGCGGTTCGAGATTACTAAATCTCGCGTCCGGCGTGGGTTTTTGCTGCTGGCGTCGCTGCATCGAAGGCGTTGGTAGAAAGGTTGAGAAAGAAAATAACAGGGCTGGGTCAAGATAACCTAGAGAGAAGAAGAAGAATCGGAAGCTGCATGTAGTCTCAGTGAATAGTCGGAACATATACGTAATACTGCTCCATATCACAACAATAGCGAAGTGAAATACAACGCTCGATCTAGGCAGCTGAGGTGTACCTGAGCACCGTAAGTACGATACAAGCAAGTGAAATGAACCTGATCACAGCCCATCAAGCCAAAGTATCATCAGGTAGTAGACGACAAAGATAACCGAACCCCCTTACGCATTGCCGGCATTCCATCTCTTCGCAAACGGATCATGATCAGGATCAGTCCAACGCACATACTCCGCACTATCAGCCAGCTCTTGCGCAATCGTCTCACCATAATTCAGTCCCACGAAGGCGTATGTCGCATCTATACCCGCGCTGATACCAGATCCCGTGACAATATTTCCATCTACAACCCATCGTGCCTCTGCAACCCATTTCACGTTTGGTCCTGTACTTGTCGCCCATGTGTAAGCGCGCTTGTTCGTCGTCGCACGTCGGCCATCCAGAACACCAGCGCGAGCCAAGATGGTGGCTCCGGTGCATACGCATAATAGAGCTTTCAGATCAGGGTATATTTCCCTTACAAACTCAATTTCGGCGTCCATATCGTTGCGCGTACCGACACCACCGGGTACGATGAGAACGTCGATGGCGCCACCCCGCGCGTCCGCAAATGCACCAGCCTGTTGAATGTCGAGCTGCTCTTGGAACGTGCGATCTACAATCAAGCTCTGGGAAACGTTCGTCTCGGGATGCGAAAACATCTGGTTGCCAGCTCTTTGATGCGAAGTCTCTACCGGAGAGCCGTCTGCGGCGAGCATAGTCAACTTGGTGGGGAAGTGGTATAGCATGGACAGCGAGTTAAAGACATCAAGAGGACCAAAGACATCGAGCGCTTGGAATCCAGGGAAGAGCAACACGCCATAATGTATGGGTTTTTTGCCATTGATGTCGAAGAATGGAGGTTTGACGGCTGACGGGTCGAAGGTACCGTTGGTACCGGAGGCCGGAAAAACTTCGGCGGACGCGGTGGTCATGGCTTTCTGAAGTGGCGGGGTAGGAAGAAGGTTGTGCGTGGTAGCGACAACTTCCTCTCATTGTCGTGCGGCAGGGCTCAATACATACCATCACAATGATTACCGAGCTAGTCTGCATATGTGCGAACCGGCGACTGTGGCTTCAGTCCCAGCTGAGTTCACTGATTCAGCTAGACACACCGAGGTGGAACGCCTAAACCGCCAGCATGTTCGCGACAATGCTGATAGCGATCGTTAGACAACATCATGCTCACAAAGCCTCCTTCCCATCAAGGAGAGGCTCCTAGTGGGTTGTTCAGTCGATTTACCACATCGAAGAGCATGTTCCAGACTATGATCTCACGTCAGCCGTACCAGGGAGTGTTATAACTCTTCGTCTGCGTGACCGCCATGCACAGATCACGTCGCAAAGGATACAGACTCCGAAAATGAGGTATGTAGCAAGTCAAGCATGGCAGGACACGGAAAGCACATCTGAACGCTCTGATTTGACTTCATGGAGAAATCGCAAAGCGAAGCGCACGTGGCAGTCCACATCATCGTTCCTGTCTCGTTCACGTCACCATGCCTGCTTCTGGATTGCAATGACCGAATACTTCCACGTAGTAATATGTACGTTGCTCGATGTGAAATTCACGTCGAAGGAAATCAACCGCACGGCCCCGGTTTGTTGTTACCTGCGGGCTCATTCACTATCAACACCCATCACCATCTTTATTCCTTCCATTCTTCACGCATACTAAGACCCCCACAATGACGTTATCTAAGGGAAAAGGCGGTCGTAAGTCGACAGAGACAGAGGCGCAGCGAGCAAGAGACATGTGGATCGCGCGGCGAGCCAGCGAAAGCTCATTACTCAACGAAGATAAAGGTCCACTACCTACCACGGGTGACGTCGACGCACTCATTGAATGGAATGCCTTATCGACTAAGCGTCATGGCCGCTCGGTACGCCTAGCAAACGACCCTCCAGTATCACAAGAACTCACGAGACAACAAATTCGAGCTTGGAAGTAGGTCTCGATTCTATGCACCCACTGTAAACCATTTCGTATCTAACTTTACACAGGAAGTGCGCCGACGACTGTAGGGCCAACTTCAAACACGTCCTCCTATGGCCTTGCATGTATTGCCTCCACTACATCGACTACAAAGAACGACCTAAAAGTTCACGTTTCTTCTGCAGGCGATCGGAATGTGTGGGTAGAGGCAAAGTCCAGGTGAACTGCCTTTGGAAGATTACAGAGAGTATCGAATGGAGACGCGATAAACGAGCCAGTGTGATTCCTGGGCGGTCCGACGATGGGGCTAGTATGGCCACTACCAACGCCGATACAGTGCGCCCGCATTAAGGTGATCGTGGGCGCGCCCATGAGAAGGTGTCGATGACTTCCAGACCATCTTCCCAAGTCAAGTCGTCCGATATGTCTTCGGGAAGCTCGAGTCCCATGTCGTTGTGGTTGTCATCTTCTTCGGGGTGTGCAGTGTTGGTGATGGTTGAAAGCGCCGGTAACGTCACCGAGCTCTGGCGTCCTGCTGGTCCTTCTGTGTCGAGAATCTCCTCGGCCATTCCAAAGGGTTCGTAGCTAGAGTTGGCCAGAAATGATGGTGATATTGCAGGGCTTTGGGTTACCACTGGCCTGTCAGCTTCGGTATTCGTGATAGTTAAGGAATAAGCCAATGTTGGAAATCCTTCGCGTATCTCAGGCCCAGGTTCAGTGTCAGTGTCTGGAGCAGCTTCGGGTGTCATAGCCCATGTTTCCTCTGACACCACCGGTTTCTTCGGTTTCTTGCCTTTCTTTGCCCTCTCTGCTTCCCACTTCGGTTTGTTTCTCTGCTTCTCTTGAGCCAAGGTTGCTTTTATCACATCCTCGTCATCATCACCCACTGCTATACCATTCCCCACCAACGGAAATTTAACGCGTCCTTCGCCAGGCTTCTGTCCCTCGATCTCCGGATTCTGTAAGACCGCCAGCCTGTTATGGAATGTCAAGATAGCCGGGAAGTTTTCGACGAATATTGCCATTGCAACAGCAGAGTCTTGTGCGCAACTTCCTGACATAATGATATCGTCGTAGTATCCGCGGTAGATCTTGTGGGCGGCGGAAGGCAGCTTCGTGCGGATTACTTGGAGAGTAGCTGCCGCGGTCAGGAGTACCTTGTAGGGGCTGCTTCTGGAAGCGCCAAAACAGTAGGGGTCCCAATTAGACATGTTCGATACTTAGAATTGCTGTTAGATGATCTCAGGAATTGGGTAGTCAGTATGACTCTGGTGTGGTGTGATGTGATAATGCACTGGAAGACCTAGCGAAATATGAACTATGAAGGAATCTCTCTGCCTGGAGCAGCCCAGACTGTAGAATGGAATCGATAGTGAATGGAATTCGATACCTCCGATCAGGTGCCAGGACGTTCTAGCATAGTAGTGCAATGCCTACTCGGTTATATGAGACATGTGTATCTCTTTTCACTTGCTGCATTCAGCGATGATGACTTCCTTGCTAGTTGTACCATTCCTCGAACTAACTGCCATTACTACGTCCAAAACACCCACACCCTCGACCACTACGCCCAAAAGAGCACATTAACTCTCCCTGTGCAGACACGGGTAGTATGAGAATGCTAACACCTATATCGCCTGTCGAAAAGCTAAAATCGTGGTGTGATACTCACTATAAGAATATGAGGTATGCATGTGGAACGAAATCGCTGGCTGCTTCTGTCAACTGTCCCTGTAGGCCAACCCTCTTAAGAACACTATTCTTAGCGATGGAATCGCACCTTGTCGCAGTGCTGGAGCTTACCCACCAAGACGAATCCGAAGAGAGTGGAACCTTCGTTCTCAACAGGTTACAAAAACGGGCTATGGGAAAGACAGGATCAGAGAAGCGCGTGATTACCTTCACAGCACTTTGAGTCGTCGTCCAACATTCTCTAGGAGGACCTTCTGGAAGTAATATTGCGTATGCCTATCTTGACCGGATATCCAACAAGGATGGTTTTCTATCTACATTCCTACTTCTGATCGATCCATTGATTGATGATGGCTTCATGCCCTATCTGATGTCTAATTATGGGAACGACCGAGACAGATCAAATGCGTAGAGAAGTATTTATCTTCTTACGTTCGGGTTATGATGGACAAAACAATTTTTGCATTTACAGCCGTATAGGCTTGAGTTTGATATCAACGGGACTGGCAGACACCAGCCTTCCAAATTCCACGTCTCAGACGATTCAGCCGGTGTGGAATGATGCTTCGTGTCCAGTTGTCATCAATTGCCACGCACAACCAGTTTAAATTTCTTGATTGAACGAGAGCCATCGAGCAACAAAACGCGACTTTGTCGCGTCGTGAGGAGCCTCTCACTTGTATCTGGCGGTTCCTGCAACAAGACAGGCGAAAACTACATCTCTTACACCAAACCCACAGTCCGAATTAAAATGCTTTAGCAGCACATGGAAATTGCAGAATATTTTGTACCGACCTTATGTGGATTCCAGAGCATCGGTGAATTTGGGTGTTAAGGTGTTCGGTCCTCGTTCAGCCGCAACTTTGGAATGCGCCGGCTTGGTCGATAGCGTCAGGTTCACATACACGATGATGTGCGAAACCCTTGATCCACAGTTATTCCGCTCGGGGTATCCAAACACAAAAAAATAGCAGCGGCGTTAACATCGACCGGCATGTACGTCTTGCCGAGTGTAGATTTTCTCTGGAGCAAACCGGACATAAGCGGACTTAGCGGTGTAAACACAACCTTCCACAAAGAAATATGATGTAACACCGTCCGACCCACAGTTTTCTATACTGAATGAGGTGACCGGCGGTCAACTTGTTAAGCCGTTCTGTGGAGTCTCTCGGTGTCGCATTCGGATTCGAAGATGTACGTAGGTGTCGTGAAACAAAATACTGTTTGTATGTACTGGAACCACTACTACATAAGAGAGGGATCACTGTCCTTTTCAGACTTGATCATACTATTATTCCACTCATACCATTACCACTTCAATCTACAATCATCAACTCTTCACAGCCAACAATGCCTCAGAACAAAGCTGCCTGGATCACCTCGCCTGGTGCTCATCCCTTTGTAGTCAAAGAAGCACCGTACCCAAGCGCTGGACCTGGAGAAGTGGTCATTAAGAATGCGGCTATTGCTATTGTATGTCATTGCCCTGTATTAGGGAATATAGTGCTTAAATTTAATGTGCACAGAACCCCGTGGAATGGAAGATCCAATACCACAGCGATGAACACAAATACGTATACAACTACCCGTTCATCCTCGGTTCAGACTGCGCTGGTACAGTCGAAGATGTCGGTGAAGGGGTAACGAGATTCGCAAAGGGGGATAGGGTTATTGCGTACGTCTACTTTCTCATTCTTTGCTCTTACCCTTCCTAGAGACGACACATTACTTCCGACCTACATCCTTGCCTCTGCCTACCAAGAAAACCAGCTAACAAGATCCATATCACAGATTCTGTCCCTCACTTCCTACCAACAATACCGCACAATCCGCCTTCCAACACTACACCCTCGTTCCAGCCACCCACGCCATCTCCATCCCCGCTTCCCTCACCTTCAAAAATGGCGTCGTACTACCTCTCGCCCTCGCAACCGCTGCATCTGGTCTTTACCCGCCCAATCTACTCAATCTACCTCTACCGACTACTCCGCCACGCAAGACAGAGTTGAAGAAGACGGTGCTAATCTGGGGTGGTTCCTCCTCTGTCGGCCTCGCTGCGATCCAACTCGCTGTCGCATCCGGTCTCCGCGTCATCGCGACATGCTCCCCGGCTAATTTCGAATTGGTGAAGAGCGTGGGTGCGGAAGAGGTGTTTGATTATAGGTCTGCGTCTGCAGCGAGCGATATCGTGGCTTCACTCCAGCAACCCGACACCGAATTCGCCGGTGTGTACGACGCCATCTCTGAATCCTCTAGCTTCAGCATGGTAAAATCCATTGTCGAAACCCTCCAAAGCAAGGCGCCCATAGCAGTCGTTATGCCGTGTGCAGCGGACATGGCATCAGAGTGGTACAACCCACAATTCCTCATGGGGTTTCAAATCTTGGCTCCACCGCATCAGCATATTGGGGAATACATCTTTGGCGAGTTTCTCCCTGAAGCACTTGAGAAGGGGGTAATGCAGGCTAAGCCCGATGCTGAGGTTGTGGGGAAAGGGCTGGAGAGCGTGCAGCATGGTGTAGATGTGTTGAAGAAGGGAGTCAGTGCGAAGAAGATTGTTGTGGAATTTTGAGGGGCGTGTTGGATTGGAGCTTAGCTTGAGTAGGAGACGAGGGACGTGTTTGGGTGGTGATCGCAGTGACCATAGAACAAGACAATAAAATCACCTTGCATGAGAGTGCCTGTTCTTCAGCGAATTACCATACAACATATAACCAGATTGTCTTACCTGTTCTACCACCTGCCATAATTCCTGAAGAGATTGGACTTTCGCGGCTGTTTACTGAAACAATACGTGTCGAGTTGAGGTTTATGGTACCGATATTCAAAACCACGGTATCAAGAAGCAAGGGCGTTACAGCACCACATTGGGAACTAAACATGACCTGTTCACCCATAGATTGAGTATAGATTGAACCAGATGCGGAACCAAACATTACGAACCACTGTGATGCGAAAAGACAAGTGATTGGACTGCGTTCATTGATAGCTTTTCTACAAACGACTGCCGAATCCTCATCGCGCATCCTCTACAACTCGGAATTATAACACCAAGACTCAGGCTGCCCGTGGTACCATGTAAACTGATCCACCCAATGCACTAACGACCGTAGCAAGACCGACGATGACGACAGGGTCCTCGATAGTCTGGTTCCGGAAAGCGACAAGTACGCCGCCGATTGGCTGTTGTTCCAAAAGCTGCTCGACCTCTGGGCCCAGAAACAGTAGAGAAGAAATGGCTCAGGGTACAAAGGCGCGACGCTTCGATATCGGCAAATATGAACCGCAGGCGAGCCGTGCAAACCGTGGTAGGGAACCAAGCGCAGAACCAAGACCGACGAGACAAGTCGTGAAAACCGTGGAACGGACCTGCACAGATGTTTTTTCGGGATCAGCCTGCGCATCTCGCACTTGACTGGTAAGGTGGGGAAAAAACTGCTGTGCAATAGATAAAAGCCCGCACACCCTCATCTAACGTCCACTCTGATGGAGTATCTATTTTGTTAATCATCAACGAAGGGAGGGGGTATACGTACGTAGACCCTCCTCCTCTTTCTCAGAAGCTGGATCTCATCATGGTGGACTCGAATCATTGGGAGGCCAACCCTACCTTTGCAGTTCGTCCTTGTATCCCTTCTCCCAGAACCCTGACAACCCCATTGTGTATTGGCTCTTCGGTCGACGCACTGTGGGGGATGCTTGAGGACGCTGGAGATGGGAAACAGGCGATCGAACGCAAGGGAAGGCGACCTGCTGGTGTCGATCCATCGAGGAAGATTTATCGGCTAGTGATGACACTTGCTCGGGCAGCTAGACTTTCGAAAGAGGGTATGAAGCTGACGAAGCTCTGAAGCCGTATGAACAGTGGAGGCGGAGAAAGTATCAAAAGAGTTGTTGGACAGGCATCGAATGATTGTAAGGTACTCAAGAAGCATGTAGAAGTAAGGGGTCAGGGAAAGCGAAGCTGAAAGTGGTGTTAGAAAGTGATGGAGGAGAGAGGAAGACGAGCTGTTTAAGTAGGCTTCTCAATTCACTTGCTCTTGCTCTTGTTACTATGGTCTTGCTACTCTCCCGGTGTAAACAGCATCTCCTCCTAGGCATCAGGAAAGCGCAGGTAAAAGAAGACGGAAGTCCAAATCGGACATCGGGTAAGAACGCTCTGAAAGTTCCTTCTGTACTGTCCACATTTGATTCTGCACCAGGTGCTAAACACCAGAAACGAAAGAGTGCGACGGCTTGAATTTTTCCGAGAGTGCCATCACTACGTAGCTATCTGAACACGGTGGTAAGAGCTCTTAGCTCATCACAACACCTACCCTCCAGGACGATCGCACTCTAGAAGGAGCAGGAGACCACGAACGTTAAAGCAAGCCCGACGCGTCTTATCATCAGCACGTCGATCAGATCAATAGCAAGCTGACTCTCTACATAAATAGCTCTCATACTCATCGTGGCACACTACCCAAACTTGCAATAAGTTTGCAATGAGTTTTCGATTGAACGGTACTAGTAGGTCGTGCTTGGAGCCGGTAAACGCCTTCTGAAATCGTTGCATGCGCAAAGGATAAGGGTATGGCATCGCGTACATGTCGTGAGACAGCATTTTCTCGCCTGTTTACCCGTGGAAGGCAGACTTCTACCACCATCGTCCACGCCCACCTCACCCACCAACGTAGAATCAAGGACGCACTGGTATTATGTCTCTTGCGGCTGGCGAAATACTGGCTCAAGCAATCTTGGCCATGAAAAGTTGAGTCAGACACATGATGAAAATGGCACAGAACGAAGAGTAATAGAGTATGATGGCATTTACTGGACATGATATAACCTACAATCCGCTCCTACAAAAACTCAAGCTAATGCTACAAGACGTTGCTAAAGACCGTAACGAATAAAACAAAAGCAGTCGTTTCGACCAATCTATTACAACGTATATTGTTGCCCTTTCGCAGTGCAGTGAGAATAAATGGTATCGTGGTGATAAAAAAAAGTGGCGCCGGGTTGTGTGTATCTTCATCATCCAGTTGTCCTACCTTTTTAAAAACGCCATGGAAAAAAAATCGCAAAAGAACAATGGATGAGTTGTTATTGAGGAAGAGATTGATGTGCGGCGTGCGCATCTTGGCCTGATTCAAGCGGCTCGCCAGTCCTCATGCTTGTAGGGACGGAGGCTTCTTGCTCAGAGTTTGAAGCCACCTGTCGTGACTGTTGTGTCTGTGTTTGGGATACTGAAGCAGACAATACGCTTCCATCGGTGGAAGAGCGTTGTACTTCATGCTCCTGGACATATGCAATAGGGCCCCATACACGCCAGTGGAGCAGTATAATATGTGTGATGCGGTTTGCGAGGTCATTCAGCTTGGCCGTCTCGGGATGGAGGTGAGCGAAAGCAAACGCATCATTGGTAGAGGGGCGTGAAAGCGTTGTTGGAAGAGGCGGCATGGAAGGCGATATGGATACAAGGCTGTTAAAGAGTTCGATAGGCGATGAGGAACTGTGACGATCGACGGTGGCGAGGATCTGGGGCAGGAGCGACGCTTCAAGACGGGAAGCATGCCACGCTGATTTCCGGACGAACATGAAACGGAGGTGTTGGTTTGCTTCGGCCATGCGATCAAAACTACATCCAGGTGTTTGTCCAGCGAGATGGGAAGCCTGACGCAGAATCTCAAGTGAGAGAGCTTCCGAGTTGATCATCCACTGCTGCGGACCATGTCCCGCTGCCTCACCCATGATAGCAGACAGCGCAGTCCTCAGCTGCTGTCCAATAGCCATGGTCATCGGCCCTTGGTATCCCAACTGTCTCGCGAGCATGACGTGCATCTCCACGCACACCTCAAACATAACGAGGTCATCGACCTCCGCTTTGAGCGCCACTAGTCGGTCGTGGTCCAGGAAGAAGGTTTCGGGGAAGTCGCTCCGGCCGCCCCGGCCAAAGGTAATTGCTACAACTGCGCGCGTAAAGACCTCTAGCTCGAAACATGGTCCGGCTCGGGGTCGCGGCGAACACTGCAGTCCGAATTCGTCGACGGCGTCTGTGAACCAGTTTTGTGCGGTGTTAATGTTGACTCTTGCTCTGCCGTGCACAAGTCTGTCGAGATGGTAGTGCTTCTCAAAGTTGACTGTGTCCTCTATCAGGAGGGTCTTCAGATTGCGGATTTGGTGGTTCGCGACGTCCTACGCTTGGTTAATTCCATATCCTGATGACTACCCTGCAGGCAACTTACGAGCTTCATGGCCTCCAATATGCCGAACAGCTTTCGCAATCCTTCAACGATCTGTTCGAGATTACGATCCGCCTCGCCTTGTCTTGTGCAGGTCACCATCTCATCGACCAAGACGTCGCGCATCGGCGCGCAATGCTCCTTGAGTAGTTGCGCCATCCAATCGGCCAGCCGTCCCAAATCGCAAACTCCGCGTTCGATAGCCTGCATCAACATGGGAACATCTAAATGTTCGTCCACTCTGGAATGATCGCGATCTGGTACCAGACTCTTGAGAACGTCCCGGACGTTTTGAAAGAGGATCGGTATCCGGCGTTGCGCATACGGTGTGAAGGCTTCGACTTGGATCGCCGACAGTGGTGGTGTTCCGTGAAACAAGCGGTTGTACAGTACCAGTTCAGCGATCAACGCTCCCCAGTACTTGTCTGCCACCCTCTCCTTCTCTTGCCCTTTAACACCGTCGACGTTCGGTCTGAAGCTGAGGTCTCGGTCGAAGTTGACGTCGTGCCGCAACTTGATGTTGGTGATGATGCTCTGGATGTCCAGCTCGCTCAATGACTGCTTGGTAACTGGGGGTAGATCCCACGCTTCAAGGAAGTTGTCTGCCAACTCTTCGCCTGACAGTTCCACTCCAGTCTGCCCAGGCATCATTGCTCGTAAATGTCCTGCTAGCTCCTCTGGAATGGTAGAATGATAAAGTGATAACGACTTTGCTGGACCTCCATCTCTAGACGCAACCTTGACCGATGTGTGTCGTGATGCAAGGTGCTCTTCTCCCATGGGTTCATCTGAGCAAGTAGTCGAACTATGCCATGACTGCGAAGTATTCCTTCCAAAAGAGGAAGTTGAGTTGACAACAGACTTGGTCGACTGGGTACGCATCTCCTTCCGCCGACGGATGCTCCCGCAGTTCTGCTGCATAGTCGGTCGGGTTCTCATTCGATGACGTGGGTAGGGTGTACGGCAAGGGTTGAACCGTCTCGGGCTGTGTATGCGTAATGGCGACGATGAAGCCTGGGGAAGCGAAGGCTCAAGAAAAGCGCATGGGGTTGCTACAAGCGCAGACTACCACTCGTTAGCTTACCAAACTATCCAAGACAGAGCGGTTTGTAAGACACAAGCCGTGAACGTGTTCATAGGTTGTTTGACGAAGGCACGGGTGGCCACTGGAACGAACAAAATAGCTCCCAAGTCAGACAAGCACGAAGACGCGGCGACTGGCGGGATCGTGCTTGGGACAGTCGTACCTTTTTCGCATGTGCCCCAACTTGATACTAGATCAATAGGATCATATGCAAGTTCAGGCTTATTCAAGAGGACAAAGTGGTCATTCGCGATGATGACGAAAGCAGAACAATGACGATTGCGGAAGCGTAGAGAGACAGCTTCAATAGGAAAACCACTTTGCTGCGAAAAGCAAAGTGTCGTACGCGGAGAACAAAAAAAGAGCAAAAAACAGAGAGACAGACTGGAAGGGGTACTACTGAATGGAGTAGTGAATGCTGCGGCAAGGCGTGCGAGTGCTGCAAGGTGACGCTGCGGAAATCAAACAGCGTTTGTGTCGTTATGGGTTGGTTGTGCAATAACGGAGGCTGAGGTCAGAGCGGGTGCCCTTGCATTCTTGTTTAAAAGGTAGGGCACAGACTACAGCACTACGTCTGTGATTATGCTCTGACCATATCTTAAATGTGCAATCCAATACTTTGGGAAGCGTGGAGGCGATCGCCACAGAACGACCGACGGCGTTAGGGCGTTCCGTCAAGTCCACCATCGGGGCGTCTGGTGAGCGTGAAGCTGCAACGCGTGTCATCCCAGCACCGTCCCCCCAGCGCAGTCCACACCGCTAGTCAGCAGCAGCAATGAGCAGTAGCGCTGTCTCGCCCGTCAGACACTGTAGGCGACGATGTTGTAAGGGAGCAGATTGCAGCAGATGTGCAGGCCCAGGACGCCGAGACCGCTTGCGCGTGGCCTTGATTGGCTGCAGCATCGGAGAGCGCATCACGACCGCCTCACTTTTGTGAAAGTAGGGCGAGCATTTAGCATCTCTTTTCATTCATATCCTTGGTAGCAACGCAGAAGAAGAAAAAAAGGAACAATACCCAGTGCTCGTGTCGCGATGCCCTCGATGCGACGACCCAGTCTGACCGGATGGCTCCCAGCCTTGTCATCGGTGATCTACCGGAAGCCAGCTGCAGAAGCCATTAAAGCTGCAGTAGTAGACCAGACGGCGGCGAGCAAGACGGCGATGCGACGGGGAACAAGCGGACGCGTCGCACTCGCGGCACTCGTGTCCAGCCTCCAGGCTATTCTACGGTGGGTCAGACTTGTCGAGGTCAGGTTCGTGTTCTTGGGCTCTGCGATGCCATCATGAGTCGCACACGAGTGCTCCCATCCTCGCGTGCGGCTTGCTTGAAACGCAACTGCTTCACCCAGCAGCCGTGCCACTCCGACAAACTGCCGACGTCCTCAAGGACCGACTTGTTCACAGGCTCCCTCGGTACGTGTGTTGCCGCAGCATGGTTGCTGATCGTGATGTGCAAAAGTAGAGCAGCCTCTCATGGTATGCCAGATAAGCGACGGGCGGGTGAGTGAGGGCTGCTAGTAACTAAGTTAGTAAGGAGAGCCCTGGTGTGGGGAGGTATTTGTCGTGTATCACAGTCCGGGTATGAGGCGATCTATACCGCGTGCAGAATGCGTGCGTGGGACCGAGAGCATCTAGAAGAACAGAAGCACGGAGGGCCCATTTTATTTATATAGCAGGGCTGGAGCCGCTGCGACTGTTCCTGAGGCAGCAACAAGCCTGAGAAAGCAACGCCCTTTGGTGGTTTTGCAAGGTCGCAATATCACACGACGCAATTTCCATTGGTCGGCGTGCTGCCGGACTAGCTCTTTGCTGCTGTCCGGCGCACTCTGAGTGGCCCACCTCTCAGAAATGTCAAAAGGACAACGTTATGGTGAAACATAGTCAGGTAGTCCTCCGTCTGTCAGGTGGTCACGATGCAAGTCCGGTAATGCCGACGTAAGCGCAGGGAAGAATTGCCTTCAGGAAGATCATGTTCATCAACAGGCACAAGTCCGACGTGCGGAATCCAGGTACGCCTCATTCGGCTTTGAATACTCGAACCAATCAGGTCAACGCGCAATCTTTTCAAATTTGCAGCATTGCGAATATCACACACGCTGCCCACCTACCTATCCAAGGAACGCTGCAATACCGAAACGACCGTTTGTAAGACAGCCCACGAATCACCAGCTATCCTGCACGGCTTACAGAACGATTGCGCAATGCTTCAAATGCTATTATCTAACGAGTTTACTCGATATCGTGGTGTTGTCTTACGCAGCCTTGGACACGTACGCTTATCACAATACCACCCGTCCAGGTTCTTCCCTTGAAAACAGAACTCTCCATTGTAAACTCTTCTCGCTCATCCGTCGGAATACTCATCCACCAACCAGGAACCTTTTTGCATTCCATGACCTTTCCCATTTGTCATCTAGCTGTCAATCTTTCCATCCGTCATCCGGTCACTACCCTTGATCCCTATCCCCCTCCCCCTTCCCTTGATATTCAATTCCGTCTGACGAACCTCCCCCTCCCATACCCTTCCCGATACCCCTCCATCCCTTTACCCGTCTCCGTCTCTCTTATTGCTTGTCTCCTCCCCTCCCTAGCTCTCTCCCTGCCACACTGCCTGCACCACCCACATTCGCCATCAACCCACAGCGTCTGACTCATCCTCCTCCCTACCGGACACGCCTTGATGGGCTCAAGCGACCTAGCGTAAGGGCACAAGCGCAGGTAAGGGTAGCAGGGCGCGGGTGGGCAATGACAGGAGGATGAGGTGCTAAAGAGTACTATGCACATCGAAGGCGTGGGTGTTGGTTGGTTCGTGCTCGTGAGGTACGGTAAATAGTGGGTATGTATGTACGTATGTATATATGTACGTCCACTGCTACGTTGTTCAAGATGTTGCAGAAGCCGTGTGCCGTACTAATGACTCCTCTGCGTATGTACTCACGACCGAGCGTTGGACCTTGATTGCTGATCAGATTGTAAGAGAATCTCAAGTTAGCAGATATGTAACAACTGTCAACGGAGCAAAACACTTATTTCGACTGAGCAAAATTTCTTGTTGGCTCACCTCTACTCATCTATCTTATCAACAAGTCATGTTTTTGAACAATGCCTCAATCCCCCTTTGCAAGATACGCGAGAAAGTGAGGAAGGGAAACAAGCTAGGCGATTGTTCTGTGCAACAAGCACGCGTTTTGGCCAACTAGTTGTCGTTTGACCAAACCAACAGCGGAGCAGGTATCGCAAGTTACCATTGGAAAGACGTGAGCATGCGCGGTCGCAGGGTTTTGTTGCGCTGCAGGTAAAACATCTATCTCTGGGTAGCGGGACACCCTGTGTGGCGGGATGGCACAAACACTTGCCAACACTACGTGCTGCGCTGCGCCTAGCTAACACCATTAGAAGAACACGTCTCTACTAAGAATGCAATCGCGCACGGCAGAGAGAACAGGCTGCGAATGTGTAACAGTCCGCTAATCTCGTCAGTGTATAGCAATGGTAGGCGCAGCCTCCTCTTGGGCGCCTGAACGAGGGCCTGAACGAGGCTGTGCGCTTGGAATTCAACCTTCAGCATAGTATTTTTCTTTGCGCGTCTTAAGACAGTAGAGCCTCATCTGCTCAGGCAAAGTCTCCCTCATAACCGCAACTTTCAATCATTGTTACTCTTTACGTTGCACTGTTGATGATCATGGGGAAACCAAGGCGAAAGGCACTTTGGCGCAGGTTTCTTCAACTCGGAACAGCACCCCCGGAAGTGACGAAATGGCGGCACGTCAATGGCGACGCTCTCGAGATGCAAACTCCTCTTACGGCGCAAAACATAGAGAGTCGCCATAGCAGTAGCACCGCGAGCGAATTGATCGAGAGAAGCGTTGTCAGTCGCACACTAGGACGATTGGTGGGCCCTCGATTCGTAGGGTGGCGACTCGGCGTACTACACTTTGGAATTTGGGTTTCGATTGTCTTCGTGCTTAATCTCACCGCGACGATATGGGCCTCTTTAGCTACTAGGAAAGACAGAGGTGTCCTTTTCGAGGGCGAGTGTGTTTTTACAAAACAGCTAAACACTGGACTGCATGTTCTAATCAACCTGCTGAGTGCAATTCTCTTAGCTGGGTCCAACTACACCATGCAATGCATGTCTTCACCCACACGACAAGAAATCGATCGGTCGCACGCGCTATCACGTTTTCTTCCTCTCCAGATAGGTATTCCAGGTATTCGAAATCTCACCAAGATCGGACGCCACCGAGCAATACTATGGTGTCTTCTAGGAGCTTCCTCTCTCCCCTTGCACCTATTGTAAGTCGCAAAGTCATGTTAGACGCACCCGCCAGCTGACGACTAGAACAGCTACAACTCTGCAATATTCAGCTCCCTTTCTTCCAATAGCTATTAGGCGATATCAACGAGCGAGTCTTTTATTACAGACTCAAGCTGTCTGAACTGTCCTGAGATGACCGGGGAATTTCCTTCCGTACTGCATCGTCTTTGGAACAATGCAAGCACCGGCACGCTCGAAAGGCTTGATCCCGCCGAATGCATAGCCAGGTACGCAACGAGTATTCAATCCGCTCAGCGCAACGTCCTGCTTGTTGCCAGCGATGACCAGGTCCTGCCTCCGAATGAGAACCCACTTATAAATGGCTCTCATGCCTATGGGCGATGGAAGTTCAGTGCCATGAGCGCAATGGCGCGTGATACGGCTCGCAACTCCTTTGACTGGATATGTTCAGGCATGGATACTAAGAGACCGTGCTCGCTTGGAATCGATGCTATTCGGGACTCATCTGCTGAGTCGTGGCTCATGGGACCCGGAGCAGGATGGCCCGTCAAGTACTGTCTTAGCGAAAGGGCAGATCCAACCTGCAAGCTCCATTTCGAACCGACTATCGGCACTATCGTCACAATACTCAACTTTGGTAAGTTTTCCTTTGGAAGAAAAATACTTATTCGCAGGAGGGCTGCGTACGGAGCAGCTAATGAGTGCAAATAGTCAAAGCGGGCGTCATGTTTTACGTAGCGTTCCTCGTTCGAGACGAGCCACTCATGACAATGGGCGACGCAGTCGCATCCTTCCTGGAAAGACCGGATCCTACAAGCAAAAACAGGTGCCTCTGGGCCTTTGCAAATCAAAGAATGTTCAGAGACGGCAAAGGTATCAAGCATTATAGAGTAGGCCCGCAACGCTGGACTTGTCCACAATATCGATGGAAGGATGCCACTAGTCCAGAACGCCGCGTCGTCACTATCTTCATGTAAGAACAAACCTCACCTTCCGCTTTTTTCCCCAAGGCCAGAAGCTTATATTGATCATCAGGTTCTTGCTTGCTCTCTCGGTTGTCACCGCATTCTTAGCCGTCGGAATCACCGCCTTGCCACCAGGCATAACAATCTCACAGCTTGACTTCAGTACGCATACACCCATCTCGAAGCCAGTGGATACCTAGGCTGAAGAGAACCAGCAAGTTTTGAAAGTTTCGCTAACGCCGTGTATTGTAGTTGGCCTTGATCCAAGCTCCGCCATCGACATGCGCAATTTTCCAGATTCCCTCGTGCTCAAGGTTGTGCTCGCCAATTTACCTCAGCTCGTATTCTCTTTGCTCTACTTTTCTTACAATGCAACTCTGACAGCCATGCTCATGGGCTATGAATGGGTATCATACGCCCACAAACGAAAAGGCCTTCGGGTATCGCACCAGCCCAAGGGCGCTCAGCGCTGCACCTACTTCCTCCAGTTGCCATACCGGTTCAGCATACCACTTCTATTACTAAGTGCTCTATTGCACTGGCTCGTCTCTCAAAGTTTATTCCTCATGTCCATTGATTTCTACGACAGTCTTGGCAGGCCTGGCGACAATGATCCATACAATTCCAAGTTCTTTGGATACCAAACTGTGGGCTTCTCGCCGCCTGCTATTGTTGCTGTTTTGGTGTGTGGTGGGTTAATGACGATTAGCATCGTAGTCTTGGGTCACATACCGTACAGGCGCGGCATGCCTGTCGCAGGCAGCAGCAGCATGGCCATCAGTGCGGCGTGTCACTTAACGACGGCTGAAGATGGAGCAAACGAGGGCACTGCGTCGAGTGAGAAGTTGCAATGGGGCGTTGTGGCCAGGGCAGACAATGGCCCTGGGCATTGCGCATTCTCGCCCAGATCAGTAGAAGCGCCCGTCAAGGGCAAGGTGTACGCGGGCTCTTTCAATCCAGGTCTTTGAATGTTTTTAAGATTGGGTCGCTGCGGAAGCTGGAAGTACAGGTACGGGAGTCCTTCGCATACACGACTAATCGCTGCCATAGCTCGAGAAGAACCCTCTAGCCTCGTTTTGCTTAAATTTCCAATCACATGCTCCTAGCGTTACATTTCGCACGTTGTGCTCGTGCTTCGGCTAACGTAACAACAGAGCGATGTAGTCACGTTAAGGTACTGCCTCGCCAACGTTGTCGTGAATGCAGTTGTGCAAAACAAGAGAATGGGAGAGAAGTACAGTGAGGGCACCACTATCTTGCGTGATGTTTAGGAGACTCCACAAAACGCGAAGCTAAGCTGGAGAAACCGCAAGATATTGGCGCGCTTGCTATACACTGTCTGGCGCACCTTACCACTTTCTGCGTTCTGTCATGATTGATCATGACGGACTCGCACATCTTCCTCACCATCCATGCCTGCGCTAGGTACGCATATTTTGTCAAAGCTTTCCTGTTGAACCAATAACTTACACTCAAATATCATAGCCTAAAAGTAGTCTTACCAATGTAGGCAAACAAAGAAAGTTGTTCAGTAGCACGAGATAAGGCGAAAGAAGACGCAGTCGGCAACACGAACAGGATAAGTATTATGATAAAATAAGTTTCCCTCTTGACTAGAGAGGGGGAGAGAGAGACGGTGCAACGAGCGCACACTGATAGCCTTTGACCTAGCAAGCACCGCGTAAAGGACCTCGTGCGACTAAACAAGATATACGTGGGACCAAGGGGGGAGAGGGGGGGAAAAAGAGAGAAAAAGGGAAAACATTTTCATCCTCCCACCTCCCCCAAACCCACCACAACATGCCGTAACATAAGAGGTCTAATAGAGGTACTTGGTCAAGACATCCTAAGCCGCCGTATCCATGCCCTCGCTCTTCATCTGTTTGCCCGTCCGTCCACGCGTGACTTCCTTGTCCTGCGGACTCCTCGCGACCTCCTGCTCGTCGGAGCTCTCATCAAACGTGGGGCTCTGGGGCCTACTATCGTTCAGATTACGGCGACTGCGCGCCATCCACGACCTCACACCACCAATCAGACCCAGATTGTAGCCCGCCGCGAACTCGGACGACTCCCTGGTACTGTTGATGTTCGCCCTGGGTATGTCCAAGTGGCTCAGCCTACTAATCGCACTCGGGCTCCTCGCAACATTGCCGCCAGATTCCATAGCCTCAGCCTGCGTCTGCTCCCTCGTTGACGTCCTCGCAGGACTGGCTGGCCTCGAGGTGCCGTATTGCCAAAACTGTCTAAAGTCCTTGCTCAGTTCCTGGCCTGTGGTGGTCCAGTTGGCTTTGATGCTGTCGCGCAGCTCGGCCATGGTGCGCTTGACGTCTAGTTCATTCTTCTTGAGCCAGGACACGTTTAGTTCTTTGCGCGAGGTGCCGCGTTTGAGTTGGCGGTCGATGTATTGGTCGTAGTCGCGTACGATCCTGTGCATATGTTAGCCTGGCTACTACCGTCAAACACTGCATGTTCGTAGACTTACTTTGTAATGATACCCGTTGTGCTGAGACCCTCTGTTCGCTGTGTGACGAGGAACATGCCGCGCTCCTTGATGGGACCGTAGATGTCATCGCCTTCGTCTGCGCCATAGGGAAGGTCGTCGTGCGCAACATAATCGATATTGTGCTTGAGCAAGAACTCGGCGGTGACGATCCAAGGACAGTCCTCAATCACCTCGTCAACCCACTTGCAATGGCGCACACTCTCGGCACGCTCCCTCGCCGACAAAACGGTCAGACCCTTGCGCTTGTGCGTCTCCTTGTTGCCGGTAACGCCGACGACGAGGTGGACGTCTGGAAAGGCCGTCTTGGCTTGCTGCAGGGCGCGCATGTGTCCAATGTGGAAGAGATCAAACACACCGTCTGCGTATATCCTGACCGGTCGGCCCTCTGGCGGCGGATTCGTCTTGTACCCTACAGGATCGACGAGGCCAGCTTTCGGCGGAGGCTCCATGCGCATGCTTCCAGCCTCGCCTCCTTCGCCGTGGTCATCGTCGCCTGCAAGCGAGGATGTGCGGCGGCTCTTCTTGCTTGCGCGCTCATCCTCGTCGCTGTCTTGGTCGCCGTGGGCGCTCTTGACGCGTACCCGTTTCGTCGTCGTCGTCGTCGTGCCATTGGCATTGGCATCGGCCTGGCGCTCCTTCTTGGACGCGACGGCTTGGAGGACAGGATCCTCGGCACCCTCGTCCGAGGCGTCGCGCGATGAGGGCTGCACAGCGTCCATGGCGTCTTTCTTGACCGACGTTACTGTGGTTGAGCGCTTTCGTTTTGGCGGCATAAGCGTGGGGAGTCCGAAGGCTTCAAGCGGTGAACAAGCAGCAGGACAGTAGGTGCAATTACGGGCGCAATGGGCGGGCGTTTAAGACTAGTTTTGCGAAACCAGCACGTGCAGTGTAGATGGAGGAATGGGCAGGTGAGGAAGTAGGTAGATGTCGGATGCGCAATGTCCAGATATGGGGAAAACGCGGGTGATAACGGTGTCGGGAGACAATGCGCAAGCGCCAATTAGATGGTGGAAGAAGTGACGACGGCGACGCCAACTGAGCACGACAGGAAATACAGGCCAGAACGTCCAAGGAGAAGACGTCGGCGGATTTGACGGCGAGGTCTAGTAGTTGTTGAACACGCGTAGAGTACACCTAACATCATCCTAATAAATTTCGCGCTTCCTTGAATCCTGATCTGATCGGCACGGCTTGGCATGACGAAAGTCCGCCCGACGCTCCCTGCGCCACATAGCCAACCCACGTGTGGCATTTGCCATCCTGATTCCTTGCATTTGGCACAATTGCCATGACGCATCTGCATATGAACAACATCAAGGAAACCTTGCTAACCTACGTAGGAACGGCTGCGTCGTCGTCCAAAGTCCACACCCTTACTTCGCCATCATCGCCCGTACTCAGTATGATCTCCTCATCTTCTGACCGCTTGCCCTTGTCTGCTCTCCTCGCCCAACAAACATGGTTGATCTCAAACACGTCGTGCCCTGAGAATAGCTCCGCAATAACCACCCACTCAGTCAACGACTTGTCCGCATCCCCGTTGTCGGTATCCGGAGCAGCTTGTTGTTCTCTCCACCTCTCCTTGTAGACCACAATCTTCCCGTCACTCCCCGCGCTAACAATCAACCCCGTCCTTCGACTCCAACTGACCGAGTAGACGGCGCGTTCATGAGCTTTAGGTAGCACAGCCTCCTGATGCCAGTCCTCGTCAATGGCCGCAGAACGAATAATACTGGGTATGCCCGTGTTGCGCTCGGCATACTCGTCTCTCTCTCGCGGCCGTCTCCGCCATATGCGAACTGTGCAGTCATCCGAGCAGGTCGCGAATCTAGGTCCTGATCTCTCCAGTTCCTCCATGTGTTGTGTTTGCTCGGCTGCCAGCCCTGCCGTGTCTTTCCTGTAGTCCTTTTTACTCATGCCGCTGCCTTCAAACTCAGCCCACCAGACTGTCTCCTTGTGCCCATCAATCATAGCCACCTGCACCCAGTCGTCTGCATCTTCCCTGTACAACCGGACAGTGTCGTCGTAGCTCGTGCTAACCAGCAAGTCTTCTTCTGGGTGCCATGCCACGGATTTGACGTCGCCGTCGTGTTCTTGTAGTACGGCGACCGTCTCAAAGTTGTCGTCCTCGAGCTCCTCCCATATCCACACGCTCTTGTCACGGGAGCAGGTAGCTAGATATTGGCCCGAGGGTGACCATGCCAAGCACTTGATCTCCGATTCGTGCCCGTCGAGAATACAAGAGAATTGATAGTCGTCGGCGTCGTCATGGTCCGAGACTGTGTCAAAGTTGTCTTCATCCATGCATCCGCCGGTTCGTCCGCCTGCATCCGTGAAGTCGCGCTCCATGCCACCCACAGCACCGCCGCCTTCTTCCCGCCGCCATATCCCCGCGCTCGAATCAAAACTCCCCGTCGCAAGCACGCTCTGCCCCCGCGTGCCAGGTTTCCAGGAAACGGTGCGTACACTGCGTTTATGGCCTCCGGTTATCGAGTGCAGGAGCGTAAAGGAGGTCAAGCTGTACACGCGGACGCTGCGGTCGGAACATGCTGTTGCGACAATAGGGAGAGTAGGGTGGGGCGCCGATTGCCATGTTCGTGAGTTGGATGGCGGTGTGAGGGTTGCGAGAGGGGTGAGGGTGTGTGTTCGTGGGGAAGACATGGTCGAGGGGCCGCCGCGGGCAGGGCGTACGCTACGAATCGAAGCAGCAGCAGCAGCGCGCAATTGGTGATTCGGATCGAGGTAGGGGTAAATATGTCTTATGAACGAGCAACGGCGTGAGCTTTGTCTGCTGGTGTCGCGCAGAGCTAGCTTTGAGTCAATCGATCTGGAGAGTTCACGCGTGGGGCATAGAAAGTTCAGATGAGCGTCATTCGCCAAGCCTCCTCCCACCATTGTGGGCCTGCGTTATCGGACGACCTGCATATGTGCCATGCGCTTTCCTGGCCAGATTGTTCCTTTAAATCCATGCCATACGTGATATACATATTACTCTATACATTGTCCTGAACGACTTCAAAACACTTTCTACTCATTAAACCTATTGAGCGCCCCCCAACAAAGGCCCAAACTCCCCTTCGTATCGTCATCGTATGTCATTATGAAGGGGTATCCCGATTACTCAATGATCCAACGCCGCGCAATGCTTCTGAAACAAAATCACCGTCTACTCCTTCCCATCCTCTACTTCCTCACCCCATGATACCCTGGCCTCGTCACCGCATGCGGATCCCGAAAACTCGTCGTGATACTCATCAGCCTATCTGCCAACGTCTGCTGCTCCGTCTCCGCCATTCCAACCTTCGCACTCACCCCCAACTCACTGAGTTCAAGGTTCGCTCCATCTTTGCCCTCATCCACATGGATATTCTGCGTACTCGTTACCATAATGCCTCCCCAGGGATGGCTCGACGGCTCAGGTGCTGACGTCGATGTTGTGGTGTAATTTACGAGTCCCTTTTCAGAACAGGTGTCGGTCTGCCAGCTTATCTCTGTCGAACTCGAGCGTTTGGAGCGTAGAGCACGTGGCCATTTGTGTCCGCGGCTAGACGGTGCGACTTTGGTCACGGACGGCGCGCGGCGTAGTGAAGAGAATTCCTTGTGGTTCTTCTGGGCCAGAATAGCGTGATCGGCACATCCTTCCTGACTCCTCAAATATGTTTGGAAGAAAGACAGCGGAATAGCTTTGAGCGTCAGGCTCTGCAGACTCTGCACGTAAATCTCTTTGATACCGCAGAAGGCGAAGATGGTTGCGTGGCTGAACTCCGTCTGGCCGTGCATCATGTCGAGTTGTTGCGATGAAAAGACTGCACGATGCAGCGTTTCTTCTGGGCAGTCGCGGAGGAGCTCCATGATCCGGTTGCGGAATTTATCGAGGAACAGATCATCTTCTGAGTCTGTCGCTGTGCGGTTATTGATTCGCAACAAGCAATCATCCAGCGTGGAACCGTTGAAGGTGGCGAGAATGCTCATTTGTCGTCCGTCGAGCTCGTCGCTGCTTAGCTTTACCATTGGAAGGCGGCCGGGTGCGGCGCGCGGGACGATGACATCTAGACCCCTCATGCCGGGTTTGGGTTGTACGAGAAAGGAGCCAATGTAGGTTCCTTTCTTAGGAAGTGACAGCTGTCTCTCGCTGAATGCATGGAGGCGTCCGACTAGGTTCTCGAGATCGTCGCGTGGTATCTGTAAACTGCGGGCTAGGTGATCGCTAACCTGTTCAACGCTCGCGAATCCATACCCGAGGTTGTGTAGTCGGTGTGCCTCAGTTGTATCGACTTTCTTCGTAAGTACGAGCATTTGGCCACGGCCGAAGAGGATCGGATTCACGATAGCGGCTTCGAGGTCTTTTGTCGCCACGTCTGCAGCCACAATGGTCTTGTTGCCGTAGTTGCTCGTCCAGATTGCGCGGTTGTTCATGGTTCCCGTTGTTAATACCTCTTCGTAGAGACATCCCAAGTTATGCAGGCTTGTATCGAGAGTCTTTGCGATATCGTGAGCGGTGACGCAGAACAGCTCTCGAAAGGTAGCTGAGTAACTCAAATCTTCGTCAGTATCAAGAGACGTCCTGCTGTTGCTTGCGTGAGTTGGCGCTTGGAGATAGCCGGTGGCTTGGAGATGCTCTCGCATTTTTGGGATGAGATCGGAAATGCCGGTCCAGTTGCGCGATACTCGAAAGATCCATTGGAATACGGGATGCGAGGTATTGAACTCTTCATCAAAAGTTCTTTGGTGGAATTGTTGGGTGATGGTCTGACACGGCATCAGTCCGCTTTGACTGACGAGCAGTCTTCCTTCAGGGTCGAATGTGGCGATAGCCAAAACGACTTGTGCTGCTCGATTCTTCTCCAGTCGTCTTTGACGTTGCTTGATGAAGCCGAGCAGAAAGCACACGACACACGCGCTCAAGCACTGGTGCTGATTAGTGGTGCATAATTTACTTGAAGCAAATGACTTACAAGGCACAGAGAGATGATAAGGTTTGTGTTCCTTTCCTGACCTGGTCCGCTGTGGTAGCCATGGATCTCATACCAGGTACCAGCTGCAGCAGTCCAGTGCATTCCGCACACAGCCAAGGCAAGTACAATTGCCACAATGATACGCCGCCAGAGATTGTTCATCCAGTGTTTGCTCCAGATGAAGAAAAGGCTAAACGAGATCAGACATGCGCCCACGGCGATGGAGGCGGCGCCAACAACGTGCGCCCAACTCAGAATGATTCGGTAGTTAGTAGTGCCGTTGTTGCCCAGATAATGCATCTCAGTGACCGCCGCTCCTCCGCAGACACCACAAACGCCTAGGGATGCGAATCGGACAAAAGACCCTTTACTTCCCTTGTAAAACTTGTCTGCGGCCAGTAGTCCTAGGAAAATAACGACCACGGGGAGGATAGCCGAAACTGCGGTGTAGGTCGAACTGTAGTAAAGCTGGATCTCTTCTTCCCCGTCACCGAGCACGATGGCTCGATTCCCTACAAAGTGCATGCACCAGATCGCCACCAAACCGAAGGATACTGCACAGCCTCCGATTTGTACCCTGGAACTTGGTTAGATCGTTGTACGACAATGTGCTCTCAGAACATACCACGATCGCCATCCTGCTCCTGAAACTCTGCGATGCAGCAGTTCCACCGTTGTGAAAGCACCGATTAAGCTGACAATGTATGATCCTACGATGAGCCCTGGGAGGAATGATATGCTAGGTCTACTCCCAAGAGGGTACTTGGTCGCAATCTCTGGATCAACAAACATTGCAATGCGTATTCCTCACTTGGCGTGTAGGAAGGTATAGTAGTCACGTAAGGCTGAAGATGCGCCTTGTCATGCGCTGCTTGATAAGCAAAGGCTGCAGTCTGTCAGTCAGTTATGTTCATTGAACTGCATATAAGTAGAGATGATCAGGGACGCACCTCCACAGAAGAACTGAATAAAGCTAGAGATCAGCCTGGCGGAGCCGCCTGGGGTATGATCGCTCGGAACAGGTTCCAGAGAAGAAGAGGTTGATCACAGTCAAGTGATTGGCATCATCCACGGCTGATCGGCGCGACAAGGCGATTCCGGTGTTTCGTCAAAGTCGTCCAAGCCAGACGATATCCAGCTTCCTTCAAACTACGGCTATTCCAAAGATCCAATCAGCGTGTATGCGGAGTCGTTGTGTATAAAGCGTTCGGCCTCCTTCCAGTAGTCGAGACTCTCAAGGACCGATCGGAGAGGTAGCCGGGCGAGCAGTGATATGTAGCAGATATGTATCTGGGACCCGCACCAGTATTGTAGGTAAGTTGGGCGCCCTTCTATTCTAGACGTTCAGTAAAGTGGGAGAACATGAACATACTTTGGCGCCTGATTAGTCTGGCGCGGCAGGCATGACAGCGACACCCCGTCGCACGGAGTATCCACACTTTGCTGCTGGGACCGATCACAAAGCTCCGCCGTCTCTCAAGCCGAGATGCCAATGGCGCCAGTCCATTTTTGCTACGCCACACCTCTGGCCCTTGAATGGCGAATGTCGCTTGGAACGGGATGCGACCTAGTGGCTCGAGAACTGCTACTCGAGTAATTACAAAGTTCAGGTATGCCGTTCGGTCTTGGTGCTCTAGCCATTTACGCTGCTAACGTGTTCCGCTAGTTATGCGGACATCTATCTTCAACGGGACTTAGTCTCACGCTGTGTTACAACCGTGGCTGCTGAATGCCCGAATGACGGTGCTCCTCTCGTCAACGTGAGCGCGCCAAGGAAGGATCGAAGAGGACATGAGATGTATGCAGCAATCACTTGCCGTGCAGATTGCACAGCCAGGAGCGAACATTCATGCGGCCTAGAGTTGGCCCGCATATCAAGGTAGAGTTAGCGCGGAGGCTCGACTTTGGTACGTTGGCCGACTGATCCCGGCTTTTCAAGTGACATTGGTGAGAACGGGTGATTTGAATTGTTTCGCGACGCCAACACGGCACGGAGATGCAGACTCCAGGGCAAGATGTAGATGCTCACGATGGGGCAGCCCGCGATTTGGCTAAGGTCGGCATGTTACACAACCCTTGATAGTATGTGCCGTGCGCCCAGAGCATTGGTATCACAATCGCCGATCAACTGGATCAAGCCAAGATGTGATATTATGTATGCTTTCCAGACAGGCTCATGGATTCAATTGTCTTGTCTCTCTCGTCTTCGTGCGTGGGCGCTTGCAACTTCGCTTTAAGGACCGCTATCACTGTTGTTGCACATGCGCAGCGACGAAAATCGTATCATTCGCATGACGAAGGTCATCCATTATCAACCCTCACAAGCATAGACTCCAGGCCGGCAACCCGTTCGGCTGGTAAAACTCGGAAGTCCCGACTTGACATGTGTCGCCATCCTCGCGAACTATCCGTTGGTGCGACGGCTCATCGCAAGGTGGAGACTGAGCATGGTATGCTTACCTCCGATCACATCTCCTAGGCCACGACAAGGTCTGTGCCCCGATAGCCGAAATGATTTTCGCCCGTGCCTGGGCCTTCCGCGCCGGTGGGGCACGAATCACATCACCTTCAGGAGGCTGCTGTTGGAGAGCCCACCAAAGCTGTTGAACTGTTTTCTCGTAGCTTTGAGTTGATAGTGTTACAGCAAGTCACCACTGGCATGTGACGTATGCCAACTGTTCATGGCATGTTGATCCCATGGTAGCTTTCGTCGGTGTTTGGCGTCCGAAACAAATCTTGGTTCGCTTAATGCAACCTCGGTAGGAGGCGACCGTAGTCATTGGTGGGCAGCGGCGTTGACTGACAGGAGAGTTTCGACGGTTCAGTTTGCGCCACATGAACTACGAACAAGACCCAGTCTATAAGGTGCCGGTAGTGGGAAAACTCTCGTCAAGTCCGTGTGGCAGCAGTTACGGAAGGTGAAGAAGCTGTTCTAGGCGGGCGCACGCTGTCAGGGTTCAGCTGAAGGCGAGCAAGTGCTTTTCCCGTCACTTCCGGGACCTGCAGGATGATGTGCAGTTCTAGTTACCAGCCAAGCCATTCTTGGATGGGGGGTGCGTGTTTAGAGCAAGGGTTGACGTCGATTCATGCTTCGTATTATGTGCTGGTGGCGGCTTGGGAAAGGGCGTTCTTGTGAGCTGCGATCAACATGCAGCTACTCGGTCATTGTTGAACTATGGTGTTGAACAACGGATAACGCCGTCTGGGGATGAGCCAATGCTCTGTGTATAGCCGGTGGATAAATCATTGCAAATGCCCCAGGTTCTTCCGTCACTGCGCCACGTGTGACCCCGTTCGGAGATCAAGAGTAAAAATAAACTCAAAGCCACAGCAGCGACTACGTGATGCCATCCTTTCTAGGTGAAACGGCTGCCAACCCACTTCGCCTGAAAACCTGTAGAGATGCAAAACTCTATCATGCGAACAACAACGCTAGTGAGCTCAAGCCGAAGCGAGCTTCCTTTACTAATCAAGGGTTCAAGACAAATTCCTCGGTACGTTCAACGTCATTCTCAAGTAGCAGCTGGTTTAGGTTTTCAGCATTTGCGATTGAAGAATTTTCCAAAGAAAGGCCTGCAGTCTGCAATGTACTGAGGCAGTGGTAAGATTCCGCGATGACCGACTGCTGGTTGAAGACATGAAGTGTTAAAAGAGATCGTCATCCAAACTATCAGGCGTCTGAAAGTGCCTATCCGCGGAGCAGGATGTATTTGCCATGGTATTCTGAGGATATGAGTCAAGGAGTAGGTCATCCTCGCTTTCTCGAACATCGATATCCAGATGGGGACTGCCGATAGATCTCCCGTGCTGTTGGTTCATTTGAGCATATCCGGCCGGTGGTGATACATCGTTGCACAATTCACGCGGACGATTATCCTGGACTGGTGTAGTGTGTCGGGAATAGTGCCAGAGTGGCTCCTCTTCTGCCAACATATCGTCCGAAACCGGATGGTCCGGATGAGAAGAATTAATACATGCCTGAATTGAAACCACGGGTTTGTCCAGAAGGCTTCTCTGGGATATCACCCATAAACGCCTTGCGATGGCTAAGTTGTTCTCAGCAGCGTCACATCCAACGATTGGCCATTTGTCGCTTGGGAGACTTGACGAGGTTTCTTGCGCCATCGGACTCAGTCTTTTCATCTTATCTCTAAGCGAGATGGACATGGAGTTTACGCTATCGATTCGAGAAAGCGAACGAGCAATAGTAGGGATCAGACAAGCTCGCTGAGACATAGCCTGCTTAGGGTCAGCCATGCAAGAAGCATCAGTAACGAGATCTTCTTACGACCAAATACCCGGTTCTCCATATCGCAGGAGCTACGTCTGCTAAGCCTAGACGGAAAGTGCTTGCTTTAGCCTTCCATCCGACTAATTTCCTGTTCAATGTGCCACAAATCGACAGACGCATCGCCCCATCAACCATGCTCGCGACGTTTATCCGGTCTGATGATGTGAAATCTGGACGTGACTTGCGCTGCATAGAGGAATCAACGATCAGGCGTTTGCGTGGTCGCTTCAATTTTTTGGCCTTGTCGGGTGAGTGTGACTGAGTCGACACCATGGTCTCTGTAGCTGATCGTTTTCGTTTCCGACATGCAAGTGCCCTCACAGCGGTTTGGCTGCGGTCGGTGTCAATATCATGCAGTAAGTCCTCGGAAGCCATCTCATGCAAAAGCGTATCAGAGTCTTCTTCGTCTAAAGCTGATGCTCTTCGCTCGCTTCGAGGTGAATTCGATCGCTTCGTTGTGGACCTCCGGCGCGGGCTTGTCTCGAGGATGTCCATGCAGAGGCGTACCGTGTGGAGTGAAATCTCTGCAATACCCTCGGGCGGTCGAACATCTGCTGCCGGTACATCTAAGAAGAGTCTGTGACGCTCCTTCTTTCCCTGCATCCCCATGACGGATGCGTGGTTGACATCCAAGCGTATCGTCCCTGGATCCACAGCGGTATCTGTTCTTTGGGTTGGCTTCAACATCAGCTGATCCCAAACCTATGCTTTGTCAATAATGGCCATCTAGAGAGCATCGCACCTACTGGTGCATGAAGGACAGCATCCGCGAGGTCTTGCAGTTGCTTGTCAGGTAATGAGTCCTCGCGTAAGTTGAGTCTTATTTCAATGTGCATATGTTGCCCGCGTTTGACCCAAGTATTTCCGGACATCAACAAATCGAGGCACTGGAGTGAAGTGAGTTGCTGTAGGTAAGTTGCGTCCTCTGTTGATGAGACGGTGATCAATGTTGTGAGCCACAGCTCGTGATTAGTGGCAGGCGAGCTGAGTACTGCGCGCCCGAGCTCAATCGATTTCGACATTGATCTTCAGCTGTGTCAGCATTTCTGGAGATGGCAAGAAAGACGACACAATAATTGCAGAAGTTGGTGGGAGAGCTGAGGCCGGGATGGTGAGGTGTCGCGGTTGACGCCAAGACATGCGTTCGGCAAGCACCCTGGAGGTTGCTTCCTCGCAGCTACAGCTCTACGCAAACTCCACCGTCGGCTCCAGCATGAGGAACATCGCCAGCAACGCGCTGAAGCGTGTCGGTCAAGTTGGACCGCTTAAGCATGTCACAAACCGGTCGTCCGGAGTGCTTGCGTGTTCATCGGCGCGCAGAACTCTCCACGCCAGCCCTTCGCGACGCACCGATGGCGTCTTCCGCGAGCTCACTGCCATGCGCGTGCGTACACCCTGGGTAGAAGCTCTGCGCCAGCAGCAAGTCGAGGGGAAACAACACAAGGAGCCTTCAGGAAAGCCTGAAGTTCCCAAAGACCGAAAATTGACACCGAAGCGTATGGATGAAAGCTACCACTCAGTTGTGCTTCCATTGGCTCAAGACCCATGGATACTCGACACATACCTCAACTCCTCGGGCCATATACGGCTCGGAACCATCTTCATGGACCTTGATGCACTCTCAGGCATCATTGCGTAAGCGTTCAACAGCTACGCGACATAGCTGCCCTGCTCTAAATGCTCCGACAGGTACAAGCATACCGGAGACGATGTGACCACAGTCACGGCTAGTTGCGATCGCATTACCATTCACTCCCCACTGACGGAGATATGTGACCTAGAGTTGTCCGGACGCGTTACCTACGCGACTGGCAGAAGCAGTTTAGAGATTACTATGCAGGTTGCCAAAGCACCTCAGAAGGGCCAACAGGCCAAAGACGAGGATGTACTGATCAATTGCACATTCACCATGGTCTCCCTAGATCCAGGCACCAAGAAGTAAAGCTAATTCTTGCAGGCACACGTCGAATCACAGCTGACAGGTTTCTAGGCCGGTAAATGTCAACCCCTTGATCGTCGAGACGGCTGAAGAGAAACGCCTGTATGCTTTGGGCGAACGCAACTCCAAGGTGCGCAAGGAGCGCCGCGATACTTCCCTGCTCAAACATACGCCCAACGATCTCGAAAGCGACCTCATACACGCCTTCTGGCAGAAGCAGCTGCAGTACCATGGTCGGGTCCAGTCCACCTGTTTTCATCGCACAGCTAACATGTCTAGATCCCTACGACGAGCTTCGCAAACCAGATAACGTAGTCTTCATGGACGCCACGCGTCTCCAGACTGCTACAATCATGCAGCCACAATACCGCAATCGACACCACTTCATGATCTTCGGCGGTTTCCTTCTCAAGCAAACCTTCGAGCTTGCCTTCACTGCCGCGGCCGCTTTCGCACACGCCCGTCCAACCTTCGTCTCCCTCGATCCCTCTACGTTCCAGAACCCTGTGCCTGTAGGCAGCATACTATATCTGACCGCCACGGTCGTATATACAGACCCACCCCTAATTGGCGCACCCGACGAGAAAGTCGACGAACAAGCCGGGTACACACGTGTGCAGATTAGAATCGACTCCAAGGTCCGCGATGTTGAGCATGGCCACTCCAAGCCTACTGGCCAGTTCAATTACACGTTTACCGTGCCAAAGAACATTAGGGTTATGCCCAGAACATATCAGGAATTCATGATGTACATTGATGCGAGAAGGCGAGCTGAGCAGGTCAAGCGTACGCTGGAAGAAGGATATGGGGTTAGCCCGAAGACGGCGGAGGACAGTTTGACGGAGTAAGACTTGGGTCACACATGCTGGAGAACAGTATTAGACGTCGACACCTCACTGAACATCATACAACTGACAGTATATACTGTAATTGAACTCATACCCATAGTATAAACATATTGATCAAGATTTCCGAGCATCCCAAACGCCTCCCAAGAGCATTCCATCGCAAATGCAGCCCCAAAGCCGGTACGCGCGCCTGCATGCGCCGATAACGCTTTACTCAAACAAGAAATAGGTATAGCGCGTTTAATGCAGACTTGAAAACGTGAAAGGAAAGTACCGCGTGGGATGGTTATGCATGAGACTGAGTGTGCATGCATCGATGAGGCGGTGAGCAAAGTCCGACCAATAACTCCGACGGCATACGCGTGCCGGAACGACGCTATGCGCAAGGAGAACACGACGTGTGAATGCACCTGCATGGCAAGTCAGTACCTCGTGTACTTCTGGTCCTCCATCCTACAAGCAATCGGCCGGACACGTCTCCCCGCCTCCGCAGGCCGCACGCCCACCCCCATAACCCGCTCTTCTGCATCTCGCTTGTGGGGGGAAGAATGAAGCGTACCTAATTTGACTGGCCCGTCCATGTCCATCATCCACCATTACTCGCTCTACAGCTCATCCAACTCAAACTCCAAAGCAACGTCTTCCGAGCAGTCCGTGCAATAGTAGTTTGAGAAGCCACCGCATTCAATCTTCATCTTGGAACACATGTCGATGGACCAGGCGTCATAGGAATATCCCGAAAGGAGGCGGGAAGAGCAGACTTCTATGCTGTTGGCCCTGGAGGTTGGTCAGTCAAGGGGTTGGCAGGGAGTTGTGGAAGGGAGGGAAGTACCAGATGTAATAGTCGTGGTTGCAGTAGTACCATGAGTAGGTGTAGGAGCACATGTTGATAGCTTATTCTGGTTTATTCGCGGGAATCCGTGCGATGGCTGTTGTGCTGTACTGCTATGGATAATACTGTCCAGATGGGCCTTGTATATTTCAACAGTCTATATACACGTTAGCTGACCGCTTCTTCTTCCCCTGTAGATCTCTCTTCGTTGTATCTCTTGTTGGACTATGGTTCCGCGGGAGGGAGTGCGGAGTTCTAGACCCGGGATTGTAGTCGTGGCTCCAACAAAGCTATATGCAGGGCTTGCTGTTCAGCTAGCTTTACTTACCTAGATGTAGCCTTTTTCGAAAAGAAAACAGGCTTGGCAATGATTCGAGATATACCTGCTTGTTCGGCAATCGATTGCGTGCTTCAAATCCGCTTTCTTGGTCTCGCAGTCAAGTCTTCTTCAGGTCCAAGGATATAGAAGTACTCCGGAGGTGCTTCTGCAAGACAGCATCGGCCCTTTATGCTCATCCCGAGGCCTACAGTCTGACTCCTAACAAAAGCTTGGGCCGACGGCTCATTGCAGATACGCCGATATGCTCGAAAGCATCCCCCGGATTAGCTGATAAGGTGAAGCGGTCCCTTCCAGCCAACCACATCTTCGTGTTTCCAAGATTGGAAGCCGAGCCGGGGGATAGATCCATGGCCCATGCGTGAAGTTCGGCTATCCGTGGAGAAGGCGGTGGAGGGAAGCCCTGCGTATGTCAGATTGAATGAGATCTTCAGCTTGAAGATTGTGTGCGTCAAGTATATGTATGGCGGCTTTCTGTGAAACTGCAAGGTCGCATGAACGATTACATACGCTGTCTAGACACCTCGGGTGTATGTATCTCGCGTTCCAGCGAGGAAAAGGTATGTCAAGACACCCCAGACTTTCCATCTCGCCGACAACCGGTTGGACCCTGCGTCTGCGGGACGTGCATGCAGGGTCCTCAGGCTAACTTTATCGGGTCGAGTGACGCCTCATTGGATAGGGAAGACCGGAATAAGCAGCTATAACGGCCTTCGGCCTGAAGATAGCGATAGCAAGGCTGCGTGGAATCGATAATATGACATTTGTATAGTAGTTCATGGGAGTAAGAGTGATAAGGCGGCTGTTTAGAGGCAGAGCAAGAGTCTCTGGTGATCATACGCCAGCATACATACCTAGGCGAGGAAGACGTAAGCGTAAGCGAGTGCAGGATGTACAGGTCGCACTTTTCCACATCTGATTTCTGGCAATTGCTGCATTCTGCTCAGCTACTGTATCTCTCTGTGCAAACTGTATTCAGATGGTTGCCAACCCCAAAGTTGGCCGAAGAGCCTGGTGCTGTTAATGTCTCCCACTAGCGTCCGATAACCGATGTCCTCCAGGAAGTCGGCATCGTGCTCAGCAACGCTTACTTACAGGAACACAGACTTAGAGAGACTGGCAACTGAATATGCGATGCCGACACTCACCGCGCTAATATACATTTCCCTATTGCGCTGACTTGCCCCGACACGTTCTTGTCTGTCCCACACTCACAGCGCCTTCCGGACTTTCAAACTGCCGATTCCGCCCGCTCCGCTACGCCTCTTCTCCTCGATCACGCCAGTTGATACCCTCCATCGCATCGTCATAAGATCCGCGCTCCGATGGCTATCGGGCCTGTCGCACCATTATGCCGACGGATTTCGATGGTTTTCGATGCAAGTTGCCTGTCTGGGAAGGTTGAGTAGTGGTGGACCGATATTCGTCGCATTTCGGACGCCGGGCACCGAAGATTCGCGGCGTTCGGCGCTGGTGTCGTTCCACGTTCGGCCGGGGAGCGGAAGGGAAGGGAGTGAGAGGGGTCGCGGTTTTCGGAGATTATGAAATGTGTTTCTGGAAGATCGGGTGTGTTATTGCTTCTTCTACTCTGGACAACGATCGAATGAGAGGCGAGACCTGCAAAGTAAGCTCGGGACATTGCTAGACCAGCGTAGTAGGTGCGTCCGCCCAAGCGTTCAGCCAGGTCAGACTGTGGTTCATTCTTTCTTATTCCGTGGTACCGTGATGACTTATAAACAACGAGTTGCCCACGCGCGTATCCTACAGTCGGCGCAAACAAGCTGCTGCATGTGACCTCCACGTCTTCGCCATATGAACACGATCGCATCATGCTCGCCAGTTCATGGTTGGAAAATTTGTAGTTAAGCATCATCCAGACCTTCAAAATCTTCAGCACCGGAAATCCTTGCGTCCAGGCTTCAGACCTCAGTCGACGTAAATGATCTCAAGGTCCTTCCCAAGACTCACTTTCAGCTTCTCTTCGATGTAGTCACGGCTGTAGAGATGAACCATGTAACTCGGTAGAATGACTGTCTCTAGCCTGGCACACGGCCGTTCAACAATAGACTCTCGGCGCACAAGATCTTGGAACAGCCCCACTGGGACGTTGATGACTTTGATCTGATGGCGCAAATCATGGGGTACATGCCATGCGAAACCATCGACACCAAGAAACCCCAGATTAAAGGTCGTGCTTGACCAAAAGTATGGAAGAGCTTCGTAGCGGCACTGCGTGCAACTTTGCGCTAAGCTCATGGGATGAATCCTCAACGTTCTGAAGTAGCGATGATAGAAGCCGCGCGCAGTAAGACATACTTCATTGGATTCGAACGCGTAGCGATAGATTTTGTTTCGGAGCTCAGCTGGAAGGCGCAGGAGAGGTGAGTTGCGCTGGTTTGCGGCGGTTCTATTAGGATATGTGAGTACGAGAGGAATCTCATGATAGGTTCGAGTTCCTACATGCTGTCGAGATCCATATTCATCTGACGCGGTAGAGTTGACGAATCACTGGAATGATCGGGAAACTTCTGGTCGAGACCGCAACTGGTGAGTGATCGCAAAAGAGATAAAGATGATATCGGCAAGAGAAGATTGTGCTAGCGCACGAGGCTACCTAAGTACATGTTTCACCATCCCGTAGTTGCTCCGCCATACCAAGCTGTAATACCTCACCAAACCCTCCAGAAAAGACTTCACCATCACCTTCGCTTCAAAAAGACTGTTGGGGTAAAGGTGCGATGGATTGATGGAGAATTTGCCTACATAGGCAACACACTAGTGGGTACGGCAAGCACCAATAACGATACGTGAGATGGTACCTTCTCACCAGGACCATTGAGGTATCCTTCTACAGTGAGAGAAAGCGAGAGGGAGCCGTCATAGCGCGTGGCCCTCCGAACGTGGCAGAATATGTCACTTGTATCCATTAAGGTATGGCTATGTTCATGTGGGAAAGTATTAGTGCCGACTTGCAATCTTGATGATAAGTAAAGAATATGTGATCTCGAGTTATAAAGACATGTCGGTAGATTCCAAGCTATCTTTATTTCTGTCTTCGCCTCGGCTGTTTTACTTTTACTTTTACTCACGAAAAGGGTAACATAATAGCAAAAGCTTCCAATTCGATGACGCAATGACAGGCAAAGTCAAGTCTAAGTGCGGAGAAAGCAGGTGTATCTACAATTGTCGCCCGCGCATAGTATCGCGAACCGTGCGTTTGCAGTAGCATCACAGCCATTGTGTCATTGAGAGTTTAACAATATTGTTTCGTGCATTACTTCGTCTTGCTCTAATCTGCTATATAGGATTTCGCCGTACAAAGTTGATAAGTGCATAAGCTCCGCTCGCCACGGCTGCTCCTCCCAGTGGACCCACCCAGTAGATCCAGTGATAACTAGTAAATCCCACGACAACTGCTGGACCAAAACTTCGTGCTGGGTTCAAGCTACCACCCGTAAAGTAGACACTGCACATCTCGGCGATGAATAGTGACAAGCCGATGTACATTGGTTTCGATGATCCGGCCTCCAACATGAGAATGCTCAGGACGAGTTGCGCGGTGACAAATGCTTCCAAGAATAAACCTCTAGTCACGCTAATCGATGCGTCAAGCTTTGTGTCGATAGTGAGGGCTCCAGGCAAAAGACCGGAGACGAAGCCTGCTGCGGCGATAGCAGCTATCATTTGCGCTATGATAGTTTGGAGCGCACGGTGCCAATGTATCTTTCGTGTGAGCCACAAGGCGGCAGTAACCTATGGATGATCAGATTAGTACATGTTACACTGCATGTTCGTACAACCGCCACGTCTTAGCGATGTCGCAAATGGTGTTGCCCGTGTGCTGGGATATATGAGCACAAGTTGCACGGCTGGACTTACTGCTGGATTGAATTTACCACCGCTGATGTCGGCGAATATGGCGACGTTGATAGCCAGGGAGACGCCAAAGGCGAAGGCAATGTAGAGAAGCTTCCCAACATCGGGAATCGGGTTCGAAGATGCCGTCAAGTCGTTGGTGCCCGCGGCATTGAGCGCGATCTGAGTACCAGTGAAAGCCAGGGACAGAAACATGAAGGTGCCGATTAGCTCTCCCAAGAAAGCCGTGACCTCTGTACGTAAGATATGATGCTTCCTTCGGTCCTCCGAGGGAGGTGCGGTTGATGGCTCATGGAAGGGTAGACCAGAGTCTTTGTCCTTGTCGTCGAACATGATCCAGTACGGGTTGCTACCAAGAGTGCTTGAAGAAAAAGGTCTCAAGGTGATGGGAGGTGAGAGCACAAATGAAAGAGAGGATGTTCGTTTGTAGATTGAAATGTGCTTCTCGAAAGCCATTATATCGCATCGCTGAAATGGGAGGAGTAGGGTGGGCACTGCCGATTCTCATATTCGCCTGTGCGACCCGCAAAGCCGTGCACGCTTGAGAAGATCATGGTTCCGTCGTCCTGGGGTGGGTGTTGTCTGCTTGAACCCGCACGAGCCTGTTGTTGGAGTTAGAATCCATGCATCACTCCAGACCAGGAAGTGCTGATGCATTAGCGGAGTGTGCATTCCGACTGGCGTGCCGTTATAGCGAGATTGGGAAGTCAAGGTACGATAGAGCTAGAGCGGAGAAATGTCCATGGGGTCGCCTGACGGTGCGCCACAGCAACTCAAAAGTGATGAAGATTGTCGACATAATTTCGATGGTATACACCATCCCGAATGCTACTGGACTTGATGTGCAGTAGCAGCAGCCGAAGATGTTCCGTCTACTGTGGACAGGACTATCCATTACACTACGCGTCAATAGCCTCACTGTTGGTTTGGAAAGAATGACTGCGATTCCTGCGAGGAGGGTGTGCATTGAAGTTCGAGCGTTGCCAAGATTGGAGCCAGCAATGTTTTGACAGGTCGTTCGAAACGTTGGTCGCTCCATGATACTGCAGAGACGCGTGCGCCGCCCCTTAGTGGCGGCTTCAGAAGAATGTGTCAATCAATACTGAAGCGATGGTTGCGCAATGATGCCTGTCAAGTAGGCAGTGTTGTGTGCATGGACATCATGTAGGGTGCTGCAAAGTGCAGGTGTGACGAAGGATCCGCAATGGGCGACTAAACATCAGCATACGAACGTGGTGTAGAAGAGAATTCCATGAACCCACTATCGGAGTGACGCGTGGCAGGCCTACACATGAAGCCTGGAAACGACTGCGCCTTCAAAATTGACTCGCATGGAATATGGAAGTCTTTCTCCAAGCGCCGCTACCGCTCTTCGTGGGCCCAGTCGCTGGATTTCAAAGATTCTGTACTGTCCACACATTTCCACTTCTGTCATTTAGTTCAGTTGTCGTGCAACGTGCTCTGGCCAAGATTGGTGTTGCTAAAGTTTGGTCCCGGTGCACGGGACTCGCGTTGTGTGCTCAAGCTGATCACCCGTCCACAACTAAATGTAAACTGATACTCACTGGGAGTGCAGTGCTCTCGGGACAGCCGCTACCGACTAATGTGGGCATAACCTCGTTGTTACTGGCTTTCAACCGCACGTAATCTCAATAAACCTCCACATTCGATAGAAACATGCCCCTGCACTTGCGCGGTGCCTTCATGGACGTAGAAAGTCTACACAATCGACATCAGCCAATCATCGCCGCAAGCAATCTCATACCAAAAGTGTCTTTGTATTCAATAGTCCATTCCAAGGAGCAAGCAACACTGCAAGCTACTTCGGAAGCATGTTATCAGGCGTATCCTCGCTGCTGTTGGCCGTGACGATTCAGGCACATTGTGAGCTTGTAGTTAGACATGCGCATCTACGCCACAGCGATCATTCGATGCAGGTCGGGGAGTGCGAGACCGTGATGGATTTCTTAGTGCCGCCCTACATTTGATGAGGAGTTTCGGAGTCGCTGCAACAGCTTACGACAGGCTCGGGCCGATGTTTTAGATCTCGCGCGCCGTTTCACCCGAGGATCTTCAAAACAGGAGACATCACTGACGACTTCGAGAAGGCCTTTTATATGCGATGCGATCCGATGCGAGAGCTTCGTAAGTTCCTGTAAGGATAACACCTCGTTTGATATTTGCCGGTAGCCGAGCGCACCGGGAGCGTCCTGGCCTGAGTGCACGTCGCAGTTTCAAGGTGAACAAGACCCAGCATCGAGCATCAGCGTCGAAGATACATAGACAGTGTGCGAGGTATCATTGCTGCTTTTGTACAGCCGTTCATCTTGAGATGTATTGTCTTCGCGCGTGGGTGAATTGGTGGGTGGGACAACACTGCCGCTTACTAATGTGAATCCGGCACAGTATGACAGCCAGAACCTTCAAGAAGTTCGTAAGAGTCGGCAAAAAATCGCAACGTTGTCAGAAGCAGAGAACAGGGCAGTGCAACATCCCCCTTAGTTTGTTGACGAGTTCATGGGTAGACAGGTGTGAAGATGGAGTCGAGTTTCGATCCTTGTTTAACCTGTGGAGCCTTAGGCAGGGGCAAATTACCAGAATCGCTAGCGAGCCGCCACCGAAAACCAAACCGCATACGTGGAGATGATGCCAAGCACTAGGACTATCAGTTACTTTGGTACCTTTGTCGTAGTAGTACTCCTTGAGAAGTTCAGGCTGACCTCGTGATCGAGCACTGCAGTCGCTGCACTTTGACCCTTGATATTAGCTGGATACGTGAGTGCATCGTGTCGTTGTGCTAACGATGTCGGATGCTGGGACATAGATATATCACTTACGACACAGGTCCAGTCTATGTCCGCTGTCGGTTGAGATGATGCTCTACGTTGCCCAGAGTATTGACGGCTGCAGTGAGAACGGCTGAGATGCGATATGCCAAGGCGACGCTATTGATAGTTGACGCTACTGGTAGCAATACCAGGGGACCGCGGACAACGAGAGAAAAAAACGGGTATCCATTCTCGCATCCCCCACGGACTTGCAACGCACGCGGCACAACACGTGCATGTTCTGGACTTGCAGACGCAGAACTAAACCGAGACCCTACGGACGTCTTTTTTAGCTCACAGACTTAGTATATTTCTCGGTGTGTGGCTTGGACGTCTACCAAATTTCTTCACATACTGACTGAACGAGTCAAGTGGCACATACAGACCTACCCTGTTGTGGTCTTCGTGCAGCCATTTTGAATATATGGCATGATTTTCTGCGATTCACTCAGCTACGCCTCGAGAAAGCCATGATTTTTGCATGCTTCAGCTGCGGTCACTCCGTACCTCATAGTGTAAACTTGACTGCATGGCAGTCTTGATGAACTAATGACTTGGTTCACCATGAGTATATAAACACCTTCAGAGATCAACTAAATATCCTCATCACCAGCAGCAGCTTCAGCTTCTTCAATCATTCATTAATTCGCTCAGTCACTCTTTAAGCTTGAGCACCGACGTTCTTTAAGTACGCGTTCTTCATACGTTCTTTCTGCCGCTGCAGCGTTTGCTGTGGTAGGAGCTCAGGATATCGACTTTGCTGGAGTCGATGCCACGCCTGGTATGTTACCTTTCTGGCTAATGGATGGAACAATGCTGACGAAAGATAGACCCAGTCATCAACATCATTCCTGGCTTGAAGGAGCAGGTGGTTCCATTCAAGGAGGCCGAGGCTATTGCAGACGTTGTCTCTCAGGTCACTTCCGATCCGCTGGATGTCAAGCCTGTGTCTGAGCCTTCAGCTGTTCCGGATGTCAAGCGACATCTGAAACGTGCAGCATGTGACCCCGAGCCCAGCAACCCCAACACTTACGGGATTGATCTATCGTCTGCCAGCAAGTTCCGCGCTGACACTAAGCTTGCCTCTCTTGCTAAGGGTGCTTCCACACCTTCCGGATACTTCAACACCTTTACAAACTTGCAAGGTGCCAGCAGTGCTTATGGGTACATGGGGTACAAAGTGGTAGAAAGCTACGACCCATCTCTTTGCGCATCCGAGTGTGACTCGAAGTCTGGATGTCTCAGCTTCAACATTTATGTGGAGCGCGACCCTTCGGCGAACCCGGGACCTGACTGCCAGGACCCCGAAGCTGTCGCCAACATCAAGTGCTCTTTCTGGGGTGGGCCGGTCTACACCGACACGGTGACCAACACTGGACAATGGCGAGAGAAGTTCGAAGTCGCCATCGCTGGAAGTAATGGATACTCGTCTCTTACAACACAATCCGCCGAAGGTTACAAGCAACTTGAGCTTAAGAACAGTGCCATCAACTCTCCGCTCGACTGCAACAAGCAGGGATCATACATGGGCTACAAGCTGTTCGTTCAAAATGCATTCGATGCCAAGCTCTGTGCGACTGCTTGCAAGGAAACCAATAAGTGGGCACTGGAACATCCCCCCGCCGAAGGCAAGCCCCAACTCTGCCGCTACTTCAACACCTACATTCTGCTCAAAAACGGTGTTTCCCAGGGTCAATACTGCTCCATGTACACCCAGGAGTGGGACGCTTCCTTCGCCACAAATGACGGACAATACCGCGGCGATGACCACTACACTATCCAGTACAGCTTTGGCTTCACTGACGAGAGTGATGACGGTGTGCCTGTATGCCCCAATGACATCCCATACCTCAAGTCAAGCGGCCAGGAGTTCTGCAGCAGCTACATTAGTTATGAGCAGCCGACCACAACTGCGACCGCAACCGCTACTACGACGCCAGCCCCTCTGACGATTACAATCACAAGGACATCGACTTCCTACACTACTGACACTACTGCGATCACGACTGTCACTGCTGCCAAATTCGCCGGGAGACATGCTCGACGTGCGGATAATGGCACAGAAGTGTCTCACGATATCATTGTTGACCCTTACGAGATCTCCATCGTGGCTGTTCAAACCATCTCTCCCGAGGACGCAGGTATGCCAAAGCTCAACGACACTATGGCAGCGGAGCTCAATGGCGGCGCCATCGAAAAACGTGACCTCACGACTCCAGCCTCTATCGCAGCCTGGCCCACCAGCAAAATCTCCGCAGCTTGCTCCCAGGTCGCTACCGGAACTGCTACAAGGACCGCAACCATAACTGCGACCGCGCCCACCCCACTCGCGACTGAGACAAAAGACTCCTTCCAGACTGTGGTTGTCGCTCAGAGCACTTGCACAGCTCCCGCACCCAGGCCAACAGCTCCTTCGTACACCAAGATTGTTGGTGGCGAGCCATCGGAAGGCGTGCCTATGGTACCTGGTCCTTCGGACCGCAGGCATTACGGTGAACAATTCAGCCTCGCGCTACCTTTCCCAGTCAAAATCTTTGAGACTTCTTCCACGCAGATTTCCATTGCTGTCAGAGGATACATCACAGTCGGACCATACACATTCAATGCATTTGCAGACGCACTCTACGTCTATGGTCCTGGTTGGAATCAAGGTCTATTCTACCGTGTCGATGGCGCCATTGGCTCTCGTAAAATCCACTTCTCTTGGTTCACAGGCAGCTACTACTGGGGACACGAGCGCTTCCACATCACAGCCACTTTTGACGAAGCTAAGCCTGGTATCCTTGTCAGCAAGATTTTCGACACTTGGGGTAAAGTCAATCCTAGACGTACAATCTCTGTTGCTGGCAATGGCAAGAACATCCTCTTCGCTCAGTCTGGATCCACCAACGTGCATGAGGGCCAGGAGATTACCTTCGATACTACAGGTGCTGGGAGCGTGTCGGCCAAGGACTTTGATCGCATTGACTGTTGCAAGAAGACGGGATTCGAGTGGCATGTGTGCACAGAGGTTTAGGCTACAAAGCAACATCTCACCCCACCTATCCATAGCTCGATCGAGCTTCATATTTCCTTGCGTACATCCCAGAACTCACTAGAACCGTGTCTAGTATACACACTCCAGTAATATAATATAATGTAATGACATTTGTGATCTATCATCGTGCTGTTTTCTTGTCGTGATCCTTCGTCTTCCGCTCGTGATTTGGTATATGCAATAGCTCGGTAGGGCCAGGCTGCAGATGGCAACACAGAGTGATACGCATTCGCCGGTGGCCTGAGTATGTGCCCTCATCTTCGAAGCATCATTTTGGGTCGAACCGAGACGAGCAAGCGGTAAGTTCACCAGTTCCTCACATGATGCAAGGAAACAACACGGAAGGAACCGTACTAATCGAATTTCCAAAATCCAAACTACAATGAGATTCAGCGATGAGATTTCTCCTATGTTCGAGCGCGAAGACCAGAAGAAGGTGGGCTAGGCCTGGAGAGATGGGAGCTGATTTCTATAGCCAGATGTTGGAGGACCTAAGGATTCACGCTTTAGTTAACCTTCTCGACTAGGAAAGAGGGGTAAAAGGTCCGGCTGTCTGCGAGCACTTCGAGTTAATGTAGCGCTAGCTCCGATACGGATTAGTACCGGCATCACGCCTCACCTGGGCAGGGGCCCACATGGGGCGAAATCCTTCCGCTCCCTTTCTCTTCTTCCAGAGCAGCGTATGCAGGTTTCTGATTCACGATTCACAGCTCTTATTGGTTTGACGTCAATCACGCACCTATGTAGGGAAATGCTCAACCACGCCTCAGCGCGCCAGTTATCTTGGCCATGGAGTTGCGATGTCGCATTAGGCAACCACTTTTTGCAGGGCTGAGCGAATGCGACCCCAAGATGGCGTAGACAGACATGCCACTAAATTTCGATCAGCTAACATCACTCTTCATTTCCATGTATACTACTGAAGGCCGAACACTGACCAATTCCTGGTGACGCAAAACCATACCTTAGTTATGGTCAATTCGCCCATCTACCCCCATGAGCTCACAGGACGTACTATCCGCCTGCTTACCGTCGAACCAGGCGACCCAGAAACCCCACTGCATTGCAACCTCACGGAAACATGTCTGGATACAACTCCGTCCTCTTACTACGCCTTGTCGTACTGCTGGGGCGCAAACCACTCTCCTGTCCAGATAATATGCAACTCGCATCCTCTTCTAGTAACGCCCAACCTGCATTCCGTCCTGTTCGAATATCGTCGCAGAGAAACCGGAATCCCTCTTTGGGTCGACGCTATATGCATCGACCAATCTAATATCACGGAGCGCACATCTCAAGTTCGCATGATGGACCAAATTTACTCCGAAGCGGAGTGCGTCGTCGTCTGGTTGGGCGAAGCAGAAGCGACCGATCAGATGGCATTGTGGGTGTTGAAAGAACTGTATCTGCCCTGGGCTGACTCTACGGATATACCGGTAATGGAGACTGGTGAACGTGCTCTGGTATTAGATGGGTATCACGCCACAAACGTGCCACAAGCGTACTGGAATGCGCTGGCTGCGTTCCTCCTACGACCATGGTTCAGCCGTATCTGGATGTAGGCTCCATACCCTGTAGCTGAGGCTCAGTCACAGCCAGGAGTTTGTATTGACGTAATGTAGTGTTCAAGAGCTTTTACTAGCACGTCAGGTGTCAATCTGGTGTGGGTCGAGAACGATTGACGACTTTCCTGTCCTTGAAACAGCCGCACGATTATCGCAGTACATAAGCTGCCACTCTTTTGTCCAAGCCGGGTTGAAGGCAATGACGTGGAAAGACGAACACGCGCAGCAAGCAGCCGAGAAGAGGCTGGCGAATGCGCATGTTCTATTTATGATCAAGTATGCAAGAGAACATGCAATGAGTGGCACATTGTATCTCTTCACGGCGACTAGATATTTTGATGCCACAGATCGGCGTGATAAGATATTTGCGCTTGTCAGTTTGACAAGTGACATTGATAGGAGCTTTGTGGACTACTCTAAAAGCTACGAGGAAGTGATTAAAGAACTTAATCTCATGTTCCTAGATGGCAGGATTGGATCTATGGGTTGTGTGCTGGATATCTGGTCGTTCATTACAAGGGCAGAAGAGGAGGATATCACGCAGCCAAGCTGGATGGTGGATCTGTTGAAGGTGCTGGACTCTAAGTACACAGCTATGATGACTGCATACGCGACTTACGAGAAGCCGATGATTGAACGTACTCCAGAGCTGCAGTTTGTGGAAAGAGATGGGAAAGAGGTACGCTCTACATCGTTTCTGCTGTCTGCTCCAGTTGACTTGGTTTTAGGTCATAGACATCCGCGGCACCGTCTTCGACACCATAACGCACACCATCCGCTTCCCGATTTTGAAGGATATGTCAGACGGGACACAGCCCTCTGTCGAAGCTCAATGGGCACATGAGTATCTCGACTGGGTCCAACGCGTGACGAATCTCATAGCATCATCAGGTGATCTCACAACACCGTCTTACGGCTCGGAACCTTCCAACATCTATCAGCCCAGCGGATATATTTACGATGCTTTTTGGCGCACTTTGTGCTGTAATCGTCAAGCGGTGGAACCAATAGATCCTCCTCCCGATTCCTTCAGCTACGAGTCGTTTCTAAACCTTCTTCGTCTCACTCGATGGCGCTATGAAACCCGTTTTAGAAAATGGTGGTATTTAGGCATAGCTATGGCCCCGTATTCAGCTCTGGTGTATTTTCTACGGAGGAATAAGCTCCTGCTATCCGCTACACTACTGGCTCTTCCCACTGTGGTTCGCCTTTGTAATAGAACTTGGGAGAGCTTCTGGTATGGCGTGCGGGGCTATTTCGAAGCTCAGCAAAAGGACTTCCAAATCATGCATATCCAGTGGACGATGGGCCGAGAGTTTGGTCTTACAAGACTAGGAATGATTGGCATGCTGCCCATCTCAGCGAAGGTAGGGGATAGTGTCGGTTTCTTCGCTGGCAATAGGGTCCCGTTTGTGTTGAGGAGGTCTGAAGGAGGCTACAAGATCGTGGGCGATGCATATTTGCATGGGGTTATGAACGGGGAAGGAGAGAAGAGCGAAGGGGAGATGCTAACGATAGTGTGAGGCAAACCGCGCATCTTTGCAAAGTGTCAAAAACAGCTTTGCAAATTCGGACGAACGAGAGCATAAGATGGGTAGCATACATGCAACTCAATCTAAAAAGCAAGAAAGATCTCCCAATCTACTTGTCAATGTTGAACTGTGTTCCCAAGCAGATTTACCTAGCTAGCCGAGACGGCTGTAGGATTTGATACCTCGATACGTATTCATGATTCACGAGATAGTATACAAAAACAGGGGGGACGACCCCAAGTATCACGAGTCACGTACGCATACGGCAGCACAATCCAGAATACGAAAAGAGATGTATTATATAAGCTCAAGGGGTTGTACTACGATGATCAACAGCAAAGGGTACTTAAGTCGGGTCTCAAGGTAGCAATTAAGGTACCTCGTTCTTTCTCCCTCGACCACAAATCATCGGGCCAATAAATATCCAGCTCTGACTTCATATCATCGGTTCCAACGTCCAAGACAAGACTGGCGATATGCGTTTCTCGGCCGTCATCCTCCCTGCCCTCGCTGGCCTAACATTCGCCGCAGACCCATCGACGTAAGTACCTCCTCACGCATAGAATGCTTCATCCCCTCTCCTTTTATAGACTCCATCGCTGTACTCACATCATATCTTCCAGCAATGCCTCCCCACCCATGTCTTCCGTCGCAGCCTCCCTGTCATCCGCAGCCTCGTCCAAGGCGGAGGAAACCATGTCCAAAACCACTCCAGCAGCTACTCCCAGCACCACGGGTAAAGAACTCCACTCGTCTTCCACCGCTGTATCGACGGGTGCTGCTATTACTATCAACGCTGGGGAAGCCGGTGGTGTGGTGGTAGCCGTACTGGGAGCTATTGCTTGGGCGTTGTAGGTGCAGGCTAGTGTAGTTTAGGATGCACAATCACCTCACTGATCATAAGAGGGAAAAGAAAGTTCGAAGAGAGGATTCCTGGGTTCGATGGATGAGGAAAGGGTGGATGTATACCCATTGGATCGCGAGAAGAAGAGAAAGAAATGTTTGAATAAAACCATATCAGAATTCAATTCATTATCGAACCAATAGCTAAGCATCGTATGCAAATATCTTACAAAACCATTCCCTTCATATATATATGCTACCCATTACTCCATCCGATGCATTTCATGCCCTGTTAAATCATCGTTCCATCCATCTACAAGATAGCGATCCTTCTAACCTGCACCTTCTGCGCCCTAGGAACGGTGACCCTGAGCACACCATCCTTGAAGCTAGCGCCCACATTAGCTGCATCAATGCGTTCCGGAAACCTGAAGGTGCGCTCAAACGACCCGTGGATGCGTTCTTGTTGTTGCGACTGCTCCTGTGGCTGTGGCTGTTGCTGCTGAACTGGTGCTTCAGGTTGTGGCTGAGTTGCTACCGCAGTCTCGGTGGAGGCAGGCTCTTCGACTGCCTTCTCCTTGCCCTTGGGCTCGCGGGGTTCGGTAGGAGATGAAGGGCGCGAGTTGGGGAAGTCGGCGGCAAGGTCTTCAAAGTCGTCCTCTACGGTCGCTTGGTATGACTTCTGGCTTGCGGTATCGCTGACACTGTCGGTATCTGGTGTCGCGGCGCCGGTCGTTGTAGTGTCGGCGTCGGTAGTGGTCTCGACTTCCTGTTCGGATTGCATGGCAATGGGGTGTTGGTCGGCGGGAGCGGACGTGGGCTCGGCTTCGATTTGAGGTTGCTGTGCCTGAGGCTGCGACGGCTCCGACTGCCAGTGGGTGTTGCCCGCAATCTTCAGCGTCTGTTCATCGATGACCTCGATGTTGATGTTGTCTTGGTTGAAGCCGTGGATGTCGCCGTCTACCTGCCATCCCTGCTCCACCGGGTTGACTTGGAACTCGGCGCGAAGTGCGCGCTTGCGTTGTAGCTGTCGCTGGCGGTAGGCTTCGCGTAGTGCCTCGCGGTGTGCCTCGATCTGTGCCTGGCGCTGTGCTTCGCGGTCGATCTCGCTCAATAGCTCATCGACCTGGCTGAAGAAGTTGTTGTAAGGCGAGTATTGGGGACGACGAGGCTGGGGACGAGCGACGCGGTAACCGTGTGAGGGTCGTGATACTGGGGCGCAGTAGCCAAAGGGGTTGCACTGCGGTGCCTGGTAGGCGGGTGCGAAGCGGGGGGTAAGGACAAACGCCATTGCTGGGATTGTTCGTTCACGAAGAGAGGCTTGTTGATTGATGTGTAGAGTAATAGTGGCTGATGAAGCTCAAGAGTAGTTGTAGATGGGAGATGTGTAGATGTGCTGGTCTTTGAATCTGATGATGGGCTCCTGGAGAGCCGCAACACATTCCTTTATAGGCATGTTGGAGGCGTTCGAGGCAGCAGTCGATTGCGTGCGCGTGGATGAGAAATTCTGATCTCGTAAGAACAGGACGATGCTGGAAGAACGTAGACGATGCGCGACGATTGGTGATGCTTCGAGCTTTGTCACGAAGACGCGTGGAGATTCGCGACGCTTCTCGAAGCTTCTACGTCATCTGATGGCTGATGTGGCTCGTGCATGCTTATGCAACGCCGCAGCCTCCCTCACCAATACATCGACCAAAATCACTTTGCATCTTGGCATATTTGTTGTTGACATTGCATCTCATGGTTGCATTAACATTTCATCTACAATATCGCAAGTCTCTCAAGTCCATCCACACTTCCTCTAGGCCTTGTACCTAGCAGGCATCGCAGCCTTGAGCAACTTGGGGAAGTTGGGAGTGCCCAATCCGGAAACCGGGTCCCATCCCGCAGTAGCGTTCCAGCTGGCATATGGGATGACAGGGCTACCATTAGGTGCGCCGTGGAATCGTGCGTGGCCGTCACAGCCAGTGCTACCACCAAGAACAATGTCGTTGAGCGCATCAGGGTTGGAGTACAGCAGGGGGTTCAAGAAACCAAGAGCAGGCTTCTTGGCCCTCAGACGTGCGTCATTGAGGAGGGCGACGATACCACCGAAAGCAGGAGCGGAGCAGGAGGTACCCTGGTATCCCTTGAGAGAACCCTTATCGTAAACCTAAACAGAGTCAGTCTGTGTCTCGCGTGCAGTTTGTAGAAGAACATTTCTTACCCTGTAACCGAAACCCTGGGCCGAGACGTCGGGGAAACCGCGACCGTGACGGTTGAAGTAGGGCTTGTTCTTTTCGCCGAGCTTGTGGAAGTAGGCCTTGACAGCATCGTCCTGGTAGCTGGGACGCTTCCAGTAGTCGGAGAAGCCGCCGGAGGAGAAGAAAGTAGCAGTCTCATTGAGGTAGCGGGTCGAGCCGACCGAGGTGACAAAGGGGCAGGCAGCGGGGTACTGGGGCTGGAACTTGGTAGTGTTCTTGCCGTCGTTGGAAAGGCAGGCAGAGCCAGTACCAGAGTCACCGGACGAGAAAATGACCGAGACACCGCGGCTGCCGAGCTGAGCGAACAAGTTGCAGACGCTGAGAGCGTACGACTTGGGTACGCTCTGCTCGTTCTCGCCGTACGAGGTCGAGATGACCTGGGGAAGGTCCTTCTGCGGGAGCTTGAGCACGCTCTGGAGGAACTCAAGGTAGGGCTCGTTGGCGCTGTCCGCCTCATCGGGCTGGTCGAGATCAGCGACCCACGGGCCGCGTCCACCAGTGCTGTATTCAGTAACAGGCAGGGGCTGGGCAAGACCAAGCATGTACTGCAAATCCAGGTTGGCCTCGCCACTGTCGTCGGCAGAGGTTTGATCGTTCAAACCGCCGTTGAATTGGACAACAGAAAAGTTCTGACCCACAGCCTCGGGCAGGATATTCTTCTCAAAGAGGGCAAGGTCGCTGTAGCGCGCGTACTCCTCGAGGTAGGAAGCAAATGCTGCCTTGCTGCCGCTCTTGGGGTCGGGAGTGTAGTCAATCTTGTAGAGCTGCTTCAAGCACTGGGGAGTGATAGAAGCATCACAGTTAACAGTGACGTTGGGAGAAGAAGCGAGCTGGATGCTGAAGATCTCGCGCTCAGTCTCGTGGTTCGCGCGGATAGCAGCGAAACGAGTGGTCGGTTGAACGAGGTTGATGTGCCCGGCAATCTCATCTGGAACGGAGTACTCGAGCGTGCGGAGAACCTTGCGAGGCGTGCTCTCCTCGCTGACGAACCAGGAAAACTTGGTTCCGAGGAGCTCGTTGGCAACACCGACGGTGGTCTTGAAGGTTACCCAGTCGGCATCAGTCTCGAAATTCTCGATACCGGCGGCCTTGAGCCAGGCAGAGACCGAGGAAACGGTCTCCTCGCTGGGCATGAGCATGCGCTTCATCTCCTCGTGCGACTCAAAGTGCTGTCCGTACTTTGCGTTCGAGGGGGTGGAGATGTCCATGACGGTCTGCTCAAAGCCTGCGGTATCGCCTTGCTGGAGCGCGATCTGGAGCTTGAGCGTGTGCGCATCCGATGCCGGGCCCTGAAGCTTCCATCCTGCTGGCCGTTAGCATTGATCGAAACTCGATGAGACGTATAGCTCACCCTCCGGAACCTCGAAAAGCTTCTCAAACGGCTCGGCGAAGGCCTGCATGGCCAACAACGAGCCGACGATGAATGAGAGCACTGGAGCCATCTTTGCCACAACCGATATTGCCTTGAGCGAAGGTAGTCCGAAGCGAAAGCGGATGAAGAGGCCATGAGAGCAGGACAGTATAGTACTTTTATACCGCTCCCGCAGTCGACTTCAGACCCTGCATATTGGATATCGACCTACCTCATGTAGTTTAGAATACTTAAACTGGCTCATCTCGCCATGCGCGTATGCGACGCGTTGAGCGGGACTAATCGTACCCAAGCAAGTGGCTAAGGAAGACAAGCCTCGGGGTGGAGTCCTTGACGAGGCTTGTGTGCCGGATAAGCTCCTTCTTGTTTTGGCCTTGGTACTGCGATAACATGACCGATTGCCCCACTTGGCCTGTTGTGATAGGCCGATGGCGTCCGGTGCGGGATCGCTAGCACCGGTTTTGGGCTGCCTGCATGGGATGGCGTTATAGCCGGACCGTTGCCTCGGCCACAGATCATGCAAGGCACATACGAGCACCTTCCGCTAACAACATAGTATTGGTGTGTAGAGCATGTCATTAGCATCCGAGATCCTTCTGTGCTGTCTAACAGATACGAATGGACTTGTTTTTTTACAATTTTCACACCTAGACTTGAAGCTACGGGTTCTCGAATCCAATTCACGACCAGCACTCGATGGATAAACAACAGGCTATTCTCGAAGAACAGCACTATATGAGCGCCGAAAATGCTCCGACTTGCGCCAATTCGTCAGATCCTACTTCTCATTCCGCGAAAGTACGCCTTGGAAAGTCCTTTAGGTGTGGGCCATCGTAGTGATTCATTTGAGGCCACGACCAACAATTCCTTCTATGACGAACAACATCACCTTCCTCTTCCAATCCGAACCCCCAATGCAACGGCTTATGTGTATAGTGTTGCAATTGCTGGGCCGAAAAGCCATGGTAAGGATACGTGGGTGACGGCCACTGTAAACCCATATCCCACATCATCTGCCACATATATCGGTATAATATGAAGTTGCATGTGACAGAAGAACCTTCATCTATCGAGCATGCTCCTTGACCAAATTGATACTTGTAAAGATTATCAGTAATTTGAGAGATCCGTTCCTCGATACTGTCCGTTCGTCGACGTTCAATACTTGCTGTTCAGGATTAGAAATCGACGAACTGTGTACATATCTCATAGTTCACTTACCTGAAACTTCCTGTGGTATAGGAAGGCCAATTGTCCGAAGAGTGCCCTCGTCGCAGTACGCAGCTGCAACATCCGTAGCAAGCTGGAAGTGATTTTCGTCTCGGAAGACATAAGAGACCCAAAGATGAAGTAGAAGATCACGACAATACTCAGAGGGTACCTCTCTGCTGTCGAAGGATTCCATTCACGTAGTAGTGAAGGACCCGACTGCGTCCTCACAATCATAGTAGTCTACGAGTATGCCGACCTTGGCCAATAGCTCGAGACTGACGCGGCGTGGGATCTTACGACCCCGTAGATGTAGCATGTTGAGGAAGACAAGGAAAGCCTCCTCTTCCCAGTCCTCTACTACGATGTAGTGGCGGCCATCTGGCTTCTTGTATCCCTCACGAAAACCGTCTGGCGATAGCATCTTCCTGAACACCGGAGAAGCCAGGGTAAGATGACGCGAAGAAACACAGTACAGTACCGACCCAACGGGAACGACCGGGATCGTATGCTCGAAGCTTGTAACTGTGATACCCTCGGTAGGTGCCTGATGAACTGTAGTGTCGTTCGTATTCGTGGTCTCTACGTCCTCGGCCGCCAGGCAGAAAGGAAGTTGAGCGAGTGCATCGAGATTCTCGAATGGCGAGTTGTCCCACAAGGCGAAGTATTCTGGGTTTCCTGGTGATCGCAAGATGATAATGGTATCCGCATTCGGATCGATCACGTGTTGAGCCGAAGCCATGATGTTTAGATGTGGGCAATGTGTCGGTTGAGTGATTGTGATTCGATGTTAGGAAGGGGATAACGAAATCTTCTTTCGACTGCGTAGGCGTGAGGTCTTACGTGGACCGCTAGTAACACGTTGAGCGACCAGACGGTCGAGTGAAAGTCTGATAACCCATCCATTGATGAAGGCTGAGAGTACTGGTCATATGAACTTGTCGTTGTCGAGTGAAAACCAGATGCGGTAGTACTAGACTTCCATCGCCTGTCTGCAAAGATTTTGATTGGATACAAAGGGGGGCCCGAAGCTGTCGTAGAGAGGACGCCATTCACCACACCTAGGATGCGCATTGCCGCCTTCACCAACGTCGACCGTGACTTCATGACGACCGTCTTCGATGGCAGTCCAATATACGCGTTCCGAAAATCAGGAATACTTGGGGCCTATATCTGTTGAAAAGTTGACTAACTAAAGTGTATAAAGATAAGTTGTAATGTTCTATCTACGCGTAAAAGAGTTCTTATATCTCTTAAACCTTTATTTGTCTTAAAGTTGAACTGTATAGTTGTTTGTCTTAGACAACAATATCTTATGCCGGACGTGTGGGAGAGTAGTTGGACGCGTGACTAGAGGCAGGGCTGAGGGTGCTACAACCCCATTTGTACTAGCGCGGAGCCCGAGCCCTCAGACCCGCCTACGCTAGACTGCAGCTTGTCTCCTTTTCGCCTGTTCGATACGCATCACATTACAACGCAAGCGATCGCTGCGACGAGTTGACCTACGGCTAATCCGGTGCCTATGACTCCTATCGTTGTCGCACTGCGCGAGCGCTTAGTATACCGCCTGTTCAATCTTCGGCCCATTTGATACGTAAGCTCTTTCCGTTCTTTTTCGAGCTCTTTTAACCTGCGCGACATGTCGGCTTGTGAAGACTGCGATCCACTTGCTACTGAAGAAGACACAGCACTGGAGCCTCCGTAAACGGTGTTGTCTGAAGCAGACTGGGTTGTGCTTTTAGTTCCTTGTCGACAGCGCTCGATCTCCAATTGCTGCTCGATACGACGTGCTGCTGCCGAAATAGTCTCGTCGTCGCGATCAATATTCGCATCCCACGCCTTGCGAATGTCGTCGAGCGTCACTTTTGTGTGGTCAATATCTTCGTCGACCGATCGCATGGTTTTAGTCATCTCGGTAACGGCGTCCTCGAGCTCACGCAGTTCTTCTCTTCGCGAAGAGTGAGCCATCTTCTCTATTTTCTCCTGGGCTTCTTGAGTCTTAGCCTGCAATGTCTCGATTGATCCTTTCAAATCGTCATACAACACCTGACCGGCACCTGTCTCGTGGATAAGCCGATTCTCATCCACTAGTTCTCGCTGGAACGCCAGCGTTAGTCTTCTGTCTTTGCTCACTATATGTTGAAGTATTCTCGCTGCGTCTATCTCTACGGCCGATAGCCTCACTAGTTTGCCGCCTCCCCGAATCACATCCTGACGAATCTTCGCTTGGAGGTCCTCATGCCGAACTTCAGCTTTGGCGAGTTCATCTGTGGTGACTTTGTCCCACATTGTCGTTGCCACGATAATCCCTTTAAACACCTCTTCCCCGCACATCTTCTTGAAAGCACGCAACGCTCGTACAGCGGAACCTTGAAAGCGATTGTTCGTTATGCAATGTAAGTAGATAATCCCACTAAGTTTGATATCTCTCTCGTAAGCGGCTGCTAACCAGTATGCTAGTTCTTGCAATGTTTCGCCGTCAGACCGTCGACTGTCGTTAAAGCCAGGCGTATCGATTAGATGGACTGTCCGTCCGAGAACGCATGTGGTATGTATGGACACTTGACTCGTACCTGTGTTACCAGTCAACGATCGGCCGAGCTTGTCGTCCACGAACATGCCTACATGATGAGAGTTCATGGCCTGACAAGCGCTCTGTCGGCTTGGTGCAGTGCTCAATGAAGGTAGACTTGCCGGCACCAGTCATTCCCATGACTGCGATGAAAACATCATCGGGACTACCCGTCGAGTCAGCTCTGTGCATCCGAAAAGTGAGAATATACCAACTCAACGGGCTGCAAGCCTCCAACATCTGTGGTTTCCATCGAGGGCAATGGGTGACTGTACGAAATTGCAAACTAGCGAGTACAGTTGCGTCGGACTGGCATTCAGTTATCGCTCTGCTATAATCATGTCGCGCCGCAGCTTTCCTTGCGGCTGAAAGTAAGTCAAACCATGTATTTACTAGCGACAAGGTTGAACATCAGGCTTCCATTCCGTTACTTCACAGCCACCAATCAGCGTCACACACGTCAAGTTGAGTGCGACGGGCTGTGCTGCAGGGATACCGATGCGTGTAAGACTGCGCCTCCTCGTCTAGGTGCAGTCCGTGCACGGGTGCGCCTGCATGAAGCAAGCTAAGGTAAGCACTCCAGCTGGGATCGTCAGGACACTGCAGCCTACTCGCAATAGCAACTCGATGCGTTTACACCTACTGCCATCAACTTGTCGCATCGTACGCGATCATTCATTACGCAACTGACATTATCGTAATGTACGCAACATGAGCACTTATAGAAGTTCTTCAACAAGAAGGGGGAGTTTCGACGTGCCGGACTCGGCGCGCTCATCTGGGAAACCCTCCACCTCACTTCCCTCATCGGCTCTGACTGTCACGGCTCTCAACAACAATGCACCGTCTTCTCAGTACGCTTAAAATCCCAAATTGACTCGCTCATCTAATTTATCACCAGAGCAATTGGCATACTCGTTATGGGACTTACCGGTGCTGGCAAAAGTACCTTTATCTCACAAGTCACGCAGAAAAGTGCAGATATCGGGCATTCGCTAGAATCTTGTACGTTTGTTCATACTGATGAAAATTTAAGCCTAATTGTGTCAAGGTACAACTGATGTCACCTTCCGAACATTGCAACGAAAGAACGGCCAGGAAATATATCTCATCGACACACCAGGCTTCGATGATACCAAATTGGAATATGCGGCAGTCTTCCGAAAGATTGCTTCATGGATTTGTACCTACTGCGATGGGAATAGGCGCGGCCTTCGTATAGGTGGAATGATCTATGTTCAACGGATAACCGACATGCGAATGTCAGGGTCTTCTCTCAAAAGCCTCCGAATATTCGAAAAGATTTGCGGCGAGCGAAATTTTCGGGATGTTGTGGTCGTAACGACTATGTGGGGGTCCTTGAAGACGAATGAAGCACGAGATGCCGCAGTGATGCGCATGAAGATGATGGAGGAAAGACCAGAGTTTTTTGGCAACTTGATAAGAGGTGGAGCTAGGATGGAGAAAAGCCAGGGTGATGGTCAGAGCGGTGTTCGTATCGTCGAACTTCTGGCAGATAGGCGAAAAACGGTGGTGTTACAGTTACAACACGAAATGAGAGGCGGCATGAAACTGGAAGGAACGACAGCGGGCAGGTACCTGGAAGGTGAGCTTGTGCATACACGTGAAAGATACGAGGCGCAGAAACGAGAGCTAGAAGAGTGCGCTGAGGAAGTTCATGATGATGATGATCTCAGAAGCGAGTTCCTCGAGCAAATCGAAGACTGCACTCGCCTTGTGAACAACATCGTGGACGATCAAGGGAGTCTCTCCGTCACACTCGAAGATATGTGGAACGAGCAAGCGGTGAGCTGTGGAGCGGGTCGCGACGACCAGGCCGAGGACACTACGCAAGAAAACACTTCCGCCCACATCGTTAAACTTGAGCACAAGATTCAAGGGCTTGAGAGAAAAATTGAAGCGCAGCGCGATGATCTCGACGCACAACGTGAAGAAATCGAGAGGATTGAGGCGGCTAGTAAGGAGATCGCAGAAGCTAAGGAACGCGACCAAGTCGCGCGTACTAAAGTGAAAGAGAGGCGAGCGCCTCATAATGAGGCTATTCTGTGGATGCAAAACTTCTTTGCTGGGAGACGCCCCGAAAACTTTGTACAGCCGCCACGTCGAGCTGACTCCATGCCGTTGGAAACGAAGGCGTCTAGAAAGTCTAGCATAACGTCCTGGCAAAAGCGAAGCCGATCGAAGAGCCGCCAGAGTCGCAAGCCCGACAATATGCGCACATATTCAGAAGAGCAAACAAAGCAGTCTTATATCGCTTCGCACTATCATCAAGGTCAATACACACACGAGCCTGGGTATCCTGGTGTATCGGGAAGTGACTACGAGAGCGGGATGAACAATTCAACACCTCAGATGTATATGCCACACCAGGCTCATTCATACACTCCTGTGGCTCTGCCTGCACCCAATGGGCAATACCAAGTACCGCCTCATGGAGTATCTATCGATCCCTCTAGGACAATGCGCAATCCGCCTCCGCCCTCGCAACCTCCTTTACGCAGAATCCCACCTTCTGTTGCTCCGCCACACCACCAGGTTGTTGTCAGATCTCCTTCTTATCCCAGTAACGCGCCTGGAGAAACCCATTATCGTGGGTAGTTTGCCTAGATTGGGACCATCTATTTTCTAGACTGGGCGTACAAACACAACTCTTCAACGACTACCAAAAAACTTCGTGCGCGTCAGTGTAACGTGATGTATAATGTAGCCATCCCTGGATCTGGAGTATCCCAGGGTCTGATCAGATGCATTCGTCTAATGCCTAGACTATTACAAAGTTCTGGCTACAAGAAACTGCCTCGCGTGGCGCAGTCCACGCATGGCATGTGGTTGTGAAGAGTGGCTTTGGGACCAGCTACGCCATGCCATCTTCAAGGGTGCATGTACTGCCCCACCAGGACCATGCACATAATACGAGATGTGGGGGCTATTAAAGAGCTGAGAACTATCCGGTGAACTTCGAAAGACGGTTGCGCGATAGTTGCAGGGTGGGTCCCGCGTGATGGAGGGGCAGATGCAACGGTGGTTCGTCACCAACTAGCCTATCAGCCGCACCTGTGCGTTGTCACTTGATGACCAACCCGATGGCTTGCATATGGGCGAACGACACGAACATGGTACTTTCGAGGCGCAATGCTGGTCCAAGCTTCGTGTGAGTGTATGCATGAACCTGTAGTTCCCAGTCTAGGATTATATCTTAGCAAGTGGTTGCCTTCCAGCCTTATCGTCATTCTTCACGAGATGAGAAGCCCATATCGGTCCAACTGAAGTACGATAGCTTTACAGACTCTTTTTCTTCATCAATTGCATCAATACCATAGCAGCTATGAAGGACAGAGTGGACAGTCCTCATCGTGAGGTACCTGTCATTCCAGATTTGAAGTAAGTGCCAACCAATATTTCGGCGAGTACTGGCTGATCGTTTTACAAAGACCTGACGACATCATAATCGCTGTGATGGGTATAACTGGCTGCGGCAAAACCACCTTCGTTAATCTGTTCTCTGATCGAAAGCTCGAGGTTGGACATGGACTGGACTCATGTGAGGACCGAAGTTTGCGGCAGAGACATTATCTCGACTAAGACTCTCTAGGTACCGTATCAGTGCAAGTCGTGCCCTGCACATTCGAAGGTGGCGCAAAAATATATCTTGTCGATACTCCAGGTTTCGATGACACATATCGCACCGACTCTGAAATCCTGCGAGAAGTCGCGCTTTGGCTGAACAAGGCACACTCTGAGAAATTGCGACTAGCAGGAATAATCTTCCTACAACGGATATCAGATGTACGAGTAGGCGGTAGCGGAATCAAGAACATCAGAATGTTCCAAAAGTTATGCGGTGATGGCCCGCTTGCGAGTGTGGTATTAGCGACCACAATGTGGGATATGGCTACGAAAGACGCTGCAATTCAACGAGAAAAGGAGTTGAAAGAACAACCACAACTTTGGAAAAAGATGATAGATCATGGCAGTGTCGTTTTCCGTCACGACAAAAAAGAAGCGTCAGCGCTCAAGATCATTAAATATCTGATGAAGAAGAAGAGACCCGTCACGCTCGACATCCAGCGCGAGATGGTCGATGAGAAGCGCGAACTGATCGATACGGGCGCTGGCGAAGCGCTAGCATCAAACATGGAAGCGCTCATTAAGCTATATGAAGGGAAATTGAGGAATCTAGAACAGGAATTCAGAGAGGCCCGCAAGGAGGACCGAGAAATGTTGGAAGAGCAAAAAAGAGAACATGAGGAAAGTCTTGCAAAGCAGCGAAGAGAGATGGAGAAGCTACATGTCAACAGGTTGCAGCTTATAGAAGAAGAGAAGAAGCGATTTGAAGAGAGCCAGAGGGAAGCTAAAGAAGAGATGCAACGTGCTAAAGAGAATTTTGCGGCAGAACTTGGAAAGCAGAAGAAGCACATAAGAGAGCAGTACATTCGGGAAATGCAACGCTGTAATGTAATGTAGCGCTTAGAACCAAACAATTTCGTTTATCTTGTTATCCGACCGAAATCGTCCTTACCTACTAGGTCTAGGCACACACAAACACACGTCAGCAGGAGTTGATGGTGTAGTACGCGTGCGCTTAAGATGCATTGGATTGAACAGGACACAAAGCAGCGTATCTGCGGCGCTCCCACACCCGCGACTGGCCTATGTAGCACGCCATCTTCGCGCGCAAAAGAAGCAAAACCCGACCACCTCCGAAGGAAAAATATTCATTGCATCAGAGAGCTTCAGACTGAATATATCTTCATGTACATGCTGACCATCTATCGAACGTTCGAGATCTTAAAGCCACCCGGTACAAGCTTTTGGAAAACACCAGAAGGATCATACTTCTTTGCCGCCGCCTTCATCTTCTTCACATTCTCGGAGCCATAACTGGCCAGCGGATCCTGTGTGTTATCCGCATAGTTCAGGTAGAGATATGGGTTGTCAGCGCCGATACTCTCAGCATACTCGCGAATCCGGTTAACGAGATCTGCGCCTGCGCCTTGGAAGAGGGCATCTTGTTCTGCGCCTTGCCAAGAGATGTAGGGTTGGTAGACTGATACACATTAGCTTGCGATTATCTTTCGCTGTAAAGTCAAAGAGTGGACTTACGACACAACAATTGTTCGCCGAAACGTTCCAGGCCCAGCATGTTACCACCTTTAGAGGCGCTCTGCCGCCAGTATGAAGGCGGAAGAGGTTGGTAGAGAACGTAAATCTGCCAGTCGCCCGTCGCCTTGGCTTTGAGGTTGGAGAGTACGTCCATGTAAATTTCATGTGCTTTGGTCATGACGCGGAGGTCATTGGCGAAAGTGAGTGTGCCAAAGTATACGCTGAAGATTTGGTTAACATCTGCTAAAGTGAATGCTGTGACTGGCTTACCTATGGGTTGTGGCACCTGCAAGCTCTGCTGCCAGCGACGACATGTTCCTGATTCCTGTGGTATCGGAAATGTTGCCAGGAATCGCTAGAAACTCATCGTAGGCCGCGGGTCTTGGTACTGGCTCAGCATAATCATACGCATTCAAGATCAAATCAGCACCAGCGGAGCTTTGGTATACCGGCATGACGATGGCCGAACCCTTGGGCTGTTTGTCGATGTTGTTGGAGAAATTGATGAGGGCCTTGAAGTGGTCTTGTATGGTCGACTCCGGGTAGATGACAAGGCCACCCCAGAGGCCGTTGTAGTCAAAGGTACCGAACTTGAAGCTAGTAACGACGCCGAAGTTATTGTTGCCGCCTTTGAGGACAGCAAAGAGGTCGGGATGAGAGGTCTTGGAGGCGGTCACAATACGACCATCGGCAAGAACGACTTCGAACTCAATCACGTTATCGCAGACCAAGCCCCGTCCTGGCGAGAAGTATGAGATACCACCACCAAGTGTAAGGCCCCCGACTCCGACTGTAGATGAACGCCCACCGCTCGTCATCACATTGAGAGGTTCAAGAACGTTGTATACGTCGTCCCAAGTCGCCGCAGGACCGACCTTGACGAGAGTGTTCTTAGCATCATACTGAACGGTGTCGAGGTAACGCAAATCGAGAGTGACGCCATCCTCGATATTTGAGGCTCCAGCGTAGGGAGTATGCCCAGCACTGCGGATCGCAAACTTGCAAGACTTCAGTAGGCTGGCAGCCGTAAGAGTTTTGAGAGCAAGTGCGACTTCCTTGGCTGTCTTGGGTTGGACGATGCAATTGGGTGTGATGACTTGTTGCTTCACATCGAAGTAGGAGTCCTCCCGCGTCTCGTACGCGTCTTGACCGGGGAATAGCAGGCGACTTCTCAGGGAAGTGAGTGCGAGGGCGGAGCACTGCCATTGTTAACTAACGTTTCAAATAGATGGAGCTCAGCGAGCAGCCTTACACAATAGTCAGCTTGCACGAACGGAGCAACAGCCGCTGCCGCCAACAGAGTAACGATCAAGCGAGCCATTATGATAGTCAGCCCAATAACCAAAGAGACGATACAAGGAGTACTGGATGATCGCGATCACAACGCAGGCTGTAGCACGGTTTTCTACTCGTTCACTCTCTCCGACAAATTTACAACATAGCCTAAACAGGAAGGCGCAATCACTGCTTAACAATGACTCGGCATATTAAATGAAGATGGATTTTTGAAGGATTTCCAGAATTGATTGAAGGGCTAGATGCTTTGGAGCGTTGGGTTTGCACTGCGAAGGGTACAGAGCTGTCGGTAGTACCTCGGTCGAGTCTACAATTTGTTCGCTAAAACTGTGGCTTGCAAGGGTAAAAGAACGCGTGTTCTGTGATAGGTGCGAGGGTACTTACACGAGGCTCGGTCCAAAGAGTCAATTGGAAGATCTTTCCGCGTCCCTAGAGGAGCGGACCGCAAGGGGCTGTGGTTGAGGCGCAGGCATCTAGCTAGGCCATCCGGGGAACTCCGGGCGACCAGAGTGACGGGTGCAATGTTCAAGATGTAGCCATCTCATCGAACGCCACATGCTTGGCATGCATCCTCTCCCATCCTCCTTCCGCTGGAAAGGGAAACATCCGAGCCGTTGTTGCAATGCCAAGTCATTGCGCCCATGCGATGGAGCGGCGTAGGCATGGTGAACAGGTTCACAGCAGGCTGTGCCGTACCTTAGACCAATCTCCTGCTGCGTGTCGCAACTTTACAACTTAAGCGATGCGGCACATATGAACAACCCGTGCCGCTATCGGACATCACAATCATGAGAGGGATTCTTTGCGGCAAGGAACATGGTGTAGTGAGGCGACGGATCTGTTGGTCGAGGAGACTTGTTAGACGGCGGAATGCGATAATCCAAGCGACGGGGACGATAATGCCAACTTGGAATATAGATGAGTGAAGACGACGCTTCGTTCGCAACGATGCGGATTTGTATCGAATTTTCATCTCAACATGGACATGAACCAGCCCATATTTTCGGCCCCGCCTGGTTACGTCGTCGATGTGGAAAATCCCCAGAGAACCGGGGAAGCTGCAAACTTCTGGGTTGGTACCTTGGGCATGATTTTTGCTGCCATCTTCATGGTTATACGTGTCTTTACAAAGACAAGGCTAGCAAAGGGCTTTACACCGGACGATAGTAAGCTCGCTCAAATCTCTCAGAACACCTCTGAAGCCTTCTGCAACGGAATCCAGTATCTGACGAAGACCAACAGTAGCGTTGCTCGTAGCTTGGGTACGTGGCAGTACATTTCGCATAGAGCAGGATGTTCGTTGGGTCTTGCTGACGACCAAGTCTACAGTGCTTCTCCATTGCCATCCAAGTTCCTATTCTGTGTATGTTCTGAGGTCTTTATCAATGCCCTCAAGCCTGATCTAACCCTACAAAAGTCCAGTATGGCCGAGGCACTCTCGGCGTACACATCTGGGAATTGACTGGCCATAGAGTCAACTCTACAATGAACGTAAGCACCACCCATCACTCTGACCAAGCGACCTCAACTAACTCATACCGCAGCTGATCAGTGTAGCAAGCATCATCTACTGTCCTTTCCTCGCTAGCGCTAAGCTATCTCTCCTCTTCTTCTACCTACGCCTGTCGCACATACAATGGTTCCGACTGTGCGTATACGCAAGTATGTTCGTCGTCGTCGGATACAACATTGCGCTTGTCTTTCCGCTCATCTTCGCATGTACGCCTTTCCGACGGAACTGGGATGTTACAATTACCGAGGGAAGTTGCATCGATAGGACACCACTTTATATGGCGACGGCGGTCCTGAATATGGCCACAGATATCTTACTGCTGATCTTACCTATACCGATGGTGGTCAAGCTGCAGATGCCTAGGGCTCAGAAAGCTGGTTTGATATGCATATTCGGTGTGGGCTCGCTGTAAGTAGCAAGGCCAAAAGATAGAGATGGAGAGCACAATCTAAACCGCCACAGGACATGCATAACAAGCGCCGTACGACTAGCTCTACTCTTTCCCATGCTTCAAACCATCGACCAGACGTGGGCGATCGTCATGCCAGGTATTTGGATGCAAGTCTTCCTCAAATCCAGGAATCTCATCCTCATCATATCATATATACTGATATATATCTTCTCCGCAGTCTCATCGAAGCCAACCTCATCATTATCACAGGCTGCCTGCCAACAATGCGTCTCTTCTTTCGGCATGTCGCACCGCGTCTGATCGGCGAGTCTTCGCTTCGCAGTCGGAGCCGAAAGCAAAGTAGTACAGGATATGGGGGTGGCTCACATCACCAACTGGAGCTCAAGACCATCGGATCGAGGGCTATGAATAAGAGATTCGAGTACGTGGAGGATGACACGGTGAGTGTGGGTAGTGAGGAGAGGACGACGGCGGGCTGGAGGGGTGACAGGGACTCTGAGAGGGGCATTGTTGTCGCGGGAAATGCCGGGGGAATTACGAAGACGTCAAGTGTTGTTGTCGAGAGTGAGTTGCGGAAGAGTAGTTCGACGGATCTAAGGTCGAGTGTTGCATGCCTGCGGTGAAGTTGGTGAAGTATCCGAGGATTAAGTAACCAAATAGACTCATTTCTACATCTGTCTACACCTACTACGCATCTCAAAAACGATCCTTTCGTTGAGCAACATGAACAGCCATAGCGCATAAAGGCAAAACATCATGGTATCTATCATGCTCTGCATCGCATGGCATGGCGTCGCGGTCTTCCCTTTTTGCAAAAAAGAGCAAAAACAAAAACGCCATATGTACCCAGACCACGCCTGCGCTGGAGATCCCCTAATCTGAATCAAACGACTAGATGATGAAAGAAACATCGCCATATATGAGAAAGAAACGTAGATCCGCAAGAAACCGTTGGCACCAAAGAGTCACATCCCTCGTCTTACTCATTTGCCTTCTCTTTGCCATTTCCACTAGCCATCCTCGCACTTCTAATACTAGTCTGCCTGGCCAGACTTGTCTCACTACTCTTCTTCCCTCTAACCTTCAAACTCTTGATAGAGTTCGACGGAGAAGGTCTGGGCGACGTTCTCGGTGTGCTGCTTCTACGGCTCATTTGCTCAAAGCGGCCAGCGAGATCCTTGACACTTCTTGTGTCCTTGACTCCCCTGCTGCTGTTGTTGTTGCTGCTGCTGCCGTTGCCGTCATCAGCGTCTTGTCCTACAGACAATATGCTGTTCCCGTCTACATCCGCATTGACGACGCGGAGTTTAGATTTCGGAACCGTAAACATGACTTGCACAACCCTCCTCTCAACCGCAGCTTCGACATCCCAGTCCGCCTCGCTAGCTGGTGTGCAAGGCCTACTAGTACTCTCACTTCCTCCTCTTCCTCTTGGCACACCCAACTGCTCCCCCCTGATAGGCGTTTTAGTAGGCGTAGGCAACCTCTCCTCACTCCCCACATTGACAAGCAGATTCGCACCCCGTTCTCTCCACTCCTGCCTCGCACGTTCCCGCTCCGCCATGGCAATGTCTTCCGGTGCGCCCCAATCATCGCCCGCCGTGCGACGCCAAGCTGGATCCGTTTCATCTTCCAACCAATCCTGTTTCCCTCTTCTGTTTCGCCAGAAACTAGCATCCGAGGCAGCTCGCTGTGGTGTCGCCGTCGTTGCAGGCATGCTTTTCCTGTGAACCGGCGTAGACGGCTGCTCGACGGGATCGTCTCTGTACGGCTCTTGTTGCACATCCTGATAGTTCATTGTCGCAGCAGTCATACTCCTCGTCCTCTCAGCACTGCTCACACTCCTCGTCAACACTCTCCTCACGCTTCCCAACCAGCTCATCCGTCGTTCCCTGGGAGCTGGACGGGCAACGGTCGCAAGGTCCATTGAGAATGGTGTTGCTGGCGTAGCAGTCGCAGCCCGACTATAACTACCGTCTGTATCGCGATGAGTTGTCGACTCACTTGAACCCGTGTCTGGCCTTGCTCTATTTTCTGGGTTTCCGCCGAGAAGTGCTTCGCCCTGAGCTTGGAGATGTGCGAATGAGGATTGGGGGGTATGAAAGGAGTCGATGTCGTGGTGACCATTGTTGCGTAGACTGCTGAGAGAGTGCGTTCGCGCATGGTCTGGAGAGTGTGAACCTGTGTCATTATTTCTGCTGGGCTGGTCGTGAGTTGGGCTGGAATCTGGCGTCTTGAACGGATTACCGCGGGTGGCAGTGTTTAGCATGGGGCCTGAACGCATGGATGTACTCCGCACGACGCCGCCGTTGGAAGACGTCCAAGACAGTGTACTCCTCTCGCTGAGGTTAGAACTAGTACGTTCTGAGGAAGATTTGTCAGGCGAGAGCCTTCCCGCGATCATCGGCTGATTCGTGTTCATCTCAGAGCTCTGGTGGTGAGGCGAAGTAGGGTTGGAATTCAACGCATTCCTACTACGTCCAGGAGATTCGGTAAAAGGATCCAGAACAGGGGCGTTATCAAGTATAGCTGCCCCAGATCGTGGCCGTGTCTCGATCATCTCAGGTTGCCTAGCTGGTGTACCATTCTCGTGCGCCAACTCCTCATCAGGCTCTTCTTCTAGTTCATCAATGGGATGAATGCCTCCCGGACCCCGAGGCCTGCCCATAGCGTACTGTGGTCTACCGCTTAGGTTGCGTCGTAGTCCGCGCGTTGGACTCGGGATCTCAACAAGTAAGCCTGACCTCTCTACATCACCTCGTTCGGCTGCCTTCCAGCCTTGACCACCCTGTGTGCCGGATGGGAAGTAGTACGGGCCGTTCTGATCAACAAGATAGTCCAGAGCGTCAATGCGTCCGCCGCGATCATCGAAACTCGGGGAGTTTTCGTCGACGTTGTACCTGTGCGTTGTGTAGGAGATTTCTTGTAGTTGCTTTTCACGAAGCTCCTTTCGCTTCTTTGAACGTCTTGTGTACCACATCCAGAGTGCGAGTAAACCACATACAGCAGCGATACCGATACCGATACCAACGCCCAATCCTGCCTTTTGTCCAGTCGTAGACAAAAGGCCGCTGTTGGAAGACTGTGGTGGAGCCTGGACGGCAGGAGGTGTGTAGTCGGATATCCAGGAATTGGAAGTGACGTTAAGGAAGTAGGTCTGCGTATTCGCTGCTGGCGTAGTATCTCTCCGTCGCGCACCAGACGATGGTATAGAATAACCTCCGGTGATCATTAGAACACCACCTGGCAACATGGCCGCGCCATGGCCATAGAGACCGGCATCATTTGGCAACCCAGCACCAGTGGTAGACGGCACTATCCACTGCCAGTCACCACTACCACCATAACCGTCTGCGACGTTCAGTACAGCGAGTTGAGGATCCGCTGGTGTGTCGATGTCGCCCACCCAACCACCGATGACGATGATCTGCTGACCATCTGGACTAAGCACGGCTGTATGACCGGAACGGGGATCGACCGAGGCAACGTTTGCTCGGATCGCTAGGTCTGTACGGGAGGTATCGGGTTGTTCGACACCAATGAAGGTCCAGCCCTGTTCTGGAAGGGAGAAGAGGGCTATCTGGGACATGTTGATGAAGGCAGCTTCGGTGTGACCTCCGATGAGGACAAAGTTCTGTTGCTGGATCTGCGTGCCATCGCTTCGGTCGGAGAAGGTGGGTGGTAGACCTGTGATTGTGAAACCGGCTTCTGGTACAGGCGGCCCGCGACTGGACGATACATCGGTGTCGTAGTTGAGAGGTTGAGCGGCATCTCCGGAGGGTTGCAAGGTGACCATCAAGTTGGAGTAGTTGGCGGCAGATTGCCAGTCGCCTGCAGTGTCGTTTTGGTCGGGGCACATGCCTCCAAACAAGTACGTACCGGTGTCTGCAGCGTTGCCCCCCACAATTGACGAGAAGGTCATGCCGCCGCTGAGGTAGTTGGCGCCCATAATGGACGTATGTGAACCGTCGACGACTGAGACATGTTGCTTGCTCCAACTGCCCTTGACGACATTCTCCGACGTATCCGGCACAAAGGTCCACAACTCTCCACCACTCGCACCCAGAGTGCAGTCGCCAGTATACACAGTCAAGTTGCCGTCCTGGTCGAGAACTGGGGTGAAAGCCCGGGGGGTTTCATCGTCAAGGAAGGGTAACGCAGCGTACAAGGTATTGTAAGGTAGATTCGACGCTCTGACCGGGGAAGATAGATCGATGGTGCTAAGGGCGAACTGTGTGGTGGATTGCGACGAGGGGCGGAAGACGTAGAGGGTGTCGTTGGTTTGGAGGAGGCGTGTAGGGTTGTAGGGCATCTGGGGCAGGGAGAGGCGCTGCATGCTTGGTGCGAGGAGAGCCTTCACCTCGAATGCTGGAATCGACGTCCCATGAACCGCGGCTTTGGACTCTGCGGGGGACGGACAGTACAGAGCAGGCGACGACGATACAGTGCTTGGAGTTGTCGATGAGACGGGAGTCGAAAGGTGGGCTCAGATCTGCGGTTCATGCACGGGACCGTCGAGGTGGCTGGCTATCGGGGTCTGTCAACAGAGGCCCAGCCCGCAGTCATGCACCAGAGACCCAAGCCGTGCACCAGAGGGTATACACCAGCTTGCGCAATGCGCTACCGTGGGTCCATCGGCCCAATCAGTATGCGTTACGCATCATCGCGTCTGCGCCCGGCGCGCGTCTGGCCCTGATTTTCTCACGCCAAGCCAGTTGGTAAACACGGTCGCTCGGAGCAACGGCCTTTGGCGAACGTTGTTTCTTCACATGCTATCATCGCGGGCAAGCCACACAGTCCGACTGGGGCAATGAGTCCGCTCGTCAAGACTTTTTTTTCCTGGATAACGGAATGCATACTGGCATGACCCGTCGTCTAGAGTGTGCTGTGCTGTGCTGTGCTGTGCTGCGCGTCGACCCGGACTTGGGACGAGAGGGAGGTTGGTGCAAGGTCGGTGGTATGACAGCATACCTCCCCCCCCCCACCTCACCGCTGGAGAACCCGGCTTCCACGCGGAAGAGTCGATGACACTACTCTGCCAACCGCCCATGTTTCAGATAAACGGCGCGCATCAGCTGAGAATGATTGCCCGCGTACAATTGCCTCTCGGTCCTTTACAAAAAAGAACCACCATCAAGGAAATCAAGGCTCTCGAGGTACATGGAGTCGGGCCTTTTTGCACCGCAGACTGCTACACAACTGGAAGGTTAAAACCGAAATCCTGATTTTCGAATCCACGAATCATCTTGTGTATCCATCGCATCTCGCATTTCAATCTGCACATGATAGGCGGCAGCTAATTGCTTTTCGATTGAGCTGTCCAAGGCGGTGACACGGTTTTGCAACGTAATTCCTCGCATAGGTGAACCAAATGCTCGAATCACACGCTGCAGCATCTCCGCTACCGTAGCCGCCAACGAACCGTCGAGGCATCATCTCTTTGATATCTTGTGCACAGGCCTGTAATGGGGGCAGGACGTCTTGAGGCTCAAAGCTGGAATCAATTCTCGACCTTCCCAGCGTACTAGTCCGCCGCCCACGATCAACGAACAAAGGTGGAATCGGGCCTTTGCAGCCGTTATCAAGATTTGCGCGTGCCGTTGGACACGTCGAGACCACCACCACCTTCACATCACACACGTACAAACATACACACATATTGTTAGAGCGACACTGAAAATTTTCATTTCAGCTCATCCTTGGATGAATCATCTACTCTAAAGGCATTGACCGAGCTCTTGCTCCATCAATCATACCACTACCATGCGACAATCGTCGCACCCGACAAATCAAAACGCCAAAGCCAGCCCATTCGCTGCTTGTGATGAACGCCCATGTTGAGATGCGTTCAAGCACACTTACTCAACTCTTTTTTGCACCGCCAAACGACCCATGATGCAGGTTGAACTTTTGGGTATCATAACTTAGTCATTACACACATTACAAAGCAGCATGTTGATATGCTGCTTGAAGTGACTGCGTTGATGAAACGCAGTCAAAAGGATATGTCAAATGACACAGAGCCTAAGAAGAGTACTTCTCGCGGTAGAACTTGGCGGCGTTGACCATGTTGACAAGCGCCGCCTTGGTCTCCTTCCACTGGCGGGTCTTGAGACCACAGTCAGGGTTGACCCAGAGCTGCTCGGGCTTGAGGTAAGTCAGCATCTCAGAGATGCGGTCCTTGATCTCCTGCTCCGAGGGAACACGGGGGGAGTGGATGTCGTAGACACCGGGGCCGATGTGGCGGGGGTAGGCCTTGTCCTCGAACACCTTGAGGAGCTTGGCGTCGCTCTTGCTGTTCTCGATGGACAGGACGTCAGCGTCGAGAGCGGCAATGGCGTGGAAGAAGTCCTGGAACTCCGAGTAGCAGAAGTGGGAGTGGATCTGGGTCGAGTCTTGGACACCTGCGCAGGCAAGCTTGAAGGAGTCGACGGCCCATGAGAGGTACTTCTCGCGCTCAGTGCCAGCACGGAGAGGGAGACCCTCACGGAGGGCAGGCTCGTCAACCTGGATGACGTAGATGCCGGCAGCCTCAAGGTCAACAACCTCGTCGCGGAGAGCGAGAGCAAGCTGTTGGGCCTGGACGGACTGGTGGACATCGTCACGGGGGAAGGACCATCGGAGGCAAGTGATGGGGCCAGTAAGCATACCCTTCATGGGCTTCTTGGCAACCGAGGCAGCGTACTTGGACTCCTTGACGGTCATGGGAGCAGGGCGAGAGATGTCACCGACGATGATCGGGGGACGGACGCAGCGGGATCCGTAAGACTGGACCCAACCCTTGGTGGTGAAGACATAACCGTCAAGGCGCTCACCAAAGTATTGCACCATGTCGTTGCGCTCAGGCTCACCGTGGACGTAGACGTCAAGACCAAGCTCATCCTGGATCTTGACGACCTCCTCAATCTCCTTCTCAATGAACTTCTCGTACTCCTCGGCGGTAATCTCACCCTTGGTGAACTTGTTACGTGAGATACGGATCTCCTTGGTCTGGGGGAAAGATCCGATGGTGGTGGTGGGGAAGGTGGGGAGGCTGAGGTGCTTCTTCTGCTGAGCGTAACGCTCGGGGAAGGCAGACTTGCGCTCGTGCTGTTCAGGAGTAACGCTAGCCTGGCGGTCCTTGACAGCCTTGTTGTTGGTGCGCTCAGATGAGGCACGAGCCTGCATCGACTTGGCATTGGCCTCAAGAGCCTCGCGGACAGCAGCCGGGCCGTCGTTGACAGCCTTGGCAATGACGACGACCTCAGAAACCTTCTGGACGGCGAAGGAAAACCAGTCCTTGACCTCCTCGGGTAGCTTCTTCTCGCTGTCGAGAGAGTGGGGAGTGTGGAGGAGGGAGCTGGAGGTGGCAACGAGGACACGGTCCTTACCGAGCTTCTGGACAGCAGTCTCAACAAGCTCGATGGCACGCTTGAAGTTGGTCTTCCAGATGTTACGGCCGTCGACGACACCGACGGAGAGAACTTGGTTGGAGCCGAGCTTGCCAGCGACGCTCTCGAGCTGCTCAGGGTTCCTGACAAGGTCGATGTGGATACCAGCAACGCCCTGGAGGCTGGGGAAGACGTCGAAGTTGTGGACAATGTCGCCGAAGTAGGTGGCGAGGACAAGCTTGGGCAGGCTGTCGCTGACAAGCTTCTCGTATGCGGGCTTGAAAGCGTCCTTGACCTTCTGTGGCAGGTCGTAGACGAGGACAGGCTCGTCAATCTGGACGTACTCGGCACCAGCCTCCTTCAGCTTCTGGAGAAGCTCTACGTATACTGGCAACAACTTCTCGAGGAGAGAGATGGGGTCGACGGACTGGCCACGGTCGGCCTTACCGAGAGCGAGGAAGGAGACGGGTCCGATGAGGACGGGGCGGGTGGTGATGCCAGCCTCCTTAGCCTCGAGAAACTCAGCAACAGGCTTGGGGTTCTCGGCGAGCTGGAAGGTCTGGTTGTCCTGGAGTGTGGGCTTGACGTAGTGGTAGTTTGAGTCGAACCACTTGACCATCTCCTGTAGTGGGGTTAGATCGTCTTCACAAGTTTTTAGACTGGCAGAGCTTACGAGAGAGGGAACGTCGACACCGTCCTTCTGGTGGCCACGGCCCATGGCAAAGTACTCATCGAGCTTGTGCAGTGAGTGCTTGGAGTAGCGCTCTGGGATAGCCTAAGAGCCGTTAGTGGGAGCGGATAACAGTCAAGTGGCATGTGCTTACGTTGAAGAGCTGAATGTGGTCGAGAAGGTGATCGTAGAAAGCGAAGTCGTTGCTGGGAATGACATCGACACCGGCGTCCTTCTGGATCTTCCAGTGCTCCAATCGCAGACGCTTTCCCTCCTTGATCAGATCATCGCGGGAAAGCTTGTCAGCCCAGTAGGCCTCGTTGGCCTTCTTGAGCTCACGGTCCGCACCCATACGGGGGAAACCGAGTACTGATGAGTGTACCATTGTGATGTGATAGTCCAATGCGGACAACTGTGATGGATTTGGGGGGAGGAAGGGTAGATTCTGATGAGAGAGAGGTGAGAGGGAGGAGGGGGAGGAAAAGGTGGGATGTAGGAAGAAGAACAATAGCGGATGGTGTGCTTTATGTTTTTTGCTGGCGTATGCAGCAGCGTCGCGGGGTTGGCGTCTAGCTCGCTCCGATTCGACGACGCCTTCACCGCCTGCAACCTTATTCTGCAACGGCGAGAACAATCCGCCCGTTCGTCAGGGCTTCCCAAAGTTAACGTCGTGTGGAGCGCGTATCTCTTTCTACTTTAGCGCTCCATGCCCACAGCCAACTGCGACTAGCTCTGGGTGGTGCTAAGTTTTGCCCAAACCGACATCGGGGAGGGGCTGCTCGGAGTCTTGGCGACTACGAGCTTGCGCAACATCATCCACGTCCGGTGGGTTCTCGGATGATTTCGTAGCACAGAGACGCTGCGATAAGCACGCCCAAGTGCGATCCTTTCCAGGCCAGGCTTTTAAGTTCTGACAGTTTCTGCTATGGTGGGCTCGACTCGACTCCTTCGCGTCGTCGATGACAGCATGAATCAGCTTGCGCGCCATAGCTCCTAGCGGAATCTGCATCTCAACAGGCATCTTCTGGGTTAGCTCAGACCCTGAAGATCATCAACCTTCTGGACAATACCATCGCCTCAGGAATGAACAACTCCAAAGCAGGCTGCTGAGTCAGGTGCCATCGGCGCTGGACAGCGCTTTTTTCACGACAGTCGGTCAATGTCCGAGCAAAGGGTTCACGATGATGCGGCGGAACCACCGAGTACTTGCCCTATTTAGCTGTCTCCACAACCCCGCATCATGTATAAAACCCCGCCAACAACCAACAAAGTACGCGACTGCGAGTGCAGCATCTCTCCAAGCCACTTGAACAGACACGGATAATCTCCCTCACATCATCCAACATGGCCTCAAGACCCACTCACACCCGGACTGCCTCGACAAACCTGGCCAGCGGCTCAGGCCAGCGCATCTTGGAGGGAAGGACTGCCATTGTGACGGGAGCATCTAGGGGTACTGAATGGAGCACTCCCTGACCCCGTGTCCTGCTGACACTCTCAGGAATCGGTGTCGAAATTGCCCGCAACCTCGCCAGCAAAGGCTGCAACGTGGTCATCAATTACACGTCCGACTCGTCGACCCAAGCCGCCGAAGACCTCGCCTCCGAACTCTCAGCCGAATATGGCATCAAAGCCATCAGCGTACAAGCAAGCATGGGCTCTGAGAACGGACCCAAGCACCTTGTTGAGGTCACCAAGAACAACTTCCAACACCCCAAGACGGGCAAGTTCCAGTTGGACATTATCATCAACAACGCGGGAGTCGCAGGCAACAACTACGTCGAGAACGTCGACTGCGAAGACTTTGCCAGACAGTTCAACATCAACGTACGGGGTCCACTGCTCCTCCTGCAAGCCGCCGTCCCCTATCTACCCCACGACCGCTCCGGCCGCATTGTTAACCTCTCCTCCGTCAGCTCGTCGCTGGGATACAAAGGTCAATCCATCTACGGCGGAACAAAAGCAGCGCTCGAGAGCATGACAAGGACATGGGCTCGCGAATTAGCAGAGCGCTGCACTGTCAACGCCATCAACCCAGGCCCCGTTGCAACCGACATGTACTGGAGCAACGACGACGCTTTCATTGCTCAGAATAAGCCTTTCATAGAAAACACACCCCTTGCTGCACCACGGAAGGGCATCGACCCGGAAAAGATCTACGAAGCGAGCCAAAACGCTGGTGGACGGCCAGGCTACAGTGAGGAGATTGGTGGGATTGTTGGTATGCTTTGCTTGCCTGAAGCGGGTTGGACTACCGGTAGTGTCATCTGCGCAAATGGTGGCATGAAATTCAGCTTCTAAATGTTTGATACCACAGAACGAATGAAACGATCAAGGAAGGGCAACAGGCATCACTCTGCTCATCTTCAGAACATTCAACTTGATATATGTGACTTTTGATTCTTTGTATTGTTCAGCCTCGCCGAATAGCTACAGCATCTATATATTGTTCGTAATTCGGCTGTTAGTCATCAAAGCGGGCTCGGTGGTGTAGTTGGTTATCACGTCAGTCTAACAACAACAATTGTTTCTTGGACACTGAAGGTCCCGAGTTCAAACCTCGGCTGAGTCATCTGCAATATCTACTACACGTCGTGTAGTAACTTGCTTTTTGTTGGTAGGGAGGGCTTGGTTGGGTCGAAATTTTTGGACACGGAGCGTGAAGTGCGGATGCGCTAAGTCTGGAAAGGATTTAGCGGCCCCGCTAATCGCGAGGCGGGCTTTTCCAAGGGGCGTTTCCTACTCTTCGACTCTGACGTCGCACTGTATATATTGCCGTCACCTGGTCGCTTCTTCATCACTACCGGGAACGTATCCTACGCAAGCTACATATCTTGTCGCGTCACTCTCTTGTAAAGATCGTTGATGCACGCACCTGGATTCCGGAGTGAATACGCTGTCGCGATCGCGTTCGACGCGTCTCAACCAGAAAGACCATCAAGACATTGGCCGTTGGCTACTCATTTATCGCACCTACTGAACGTATCATCGCATCGTCGCGTGCGGGGTTCATCGCCTGTTCTGCCAAATCACTATCCTTCAACAAACCCATTAACGGGCGTAACACATCCGCGGTCTGAGATCGCGTTTGTGGGTTCAGCAGCCGGGGCTGTCCCTTCATCTTCTGATGGATGGCTGCTGAACAAAGGCAACGCCCAAGAGTAATGCCTCTTCGTCCTGGCGAGTCCGAGCTGCTCTGCAGCAAGACTCGTCGGTGGCTTTGAGGTAACGAGCCTATCTGGCGGCTTTGCCCTGCTGTTGCATCCTCTTTGTTCCTGCTCCCCGAGCAGTTGAGCATCGGCGGGCGCACGGTATAGGTGGGATCGACGTTTCGTTTCAGCTCGCACATATCTCTTTCTTTCTCTTTATCTTTCAATAGTGTGTCCCATTTTGCGATTTTACATGTTTCTGTCTTGTTGCCTAGAAGTAGCTGTCGTATGTTACACCACTTTCATGTGTGATTCCTGGTATATCTCGCGCTTGCTAGTTGCTGAACATGATTGGCCTTTGCTGACCTGAACGTCATCCGCCGATCTACCCCCGCTTCGCCAGGCTAGGCAGCCATCTTGGACAAGAACACCTGGGATGACATTGACAGCCTCTACTCAATTACACATCTTCAATATGCCTTGTTATTCACGCAAAGACTTCATGAGAGAATTCGTCTTTCCTGACGAACCGGCACAAGACTTTGAACGTGCTGGCATCGCGGCCCAGTATGCATCAGGCCACCCAAAGGATTGGTCACAAACCGACGACATCCTCGACTTCAGCAGTGATCTGAGAGAAGACCCCGAGAAAATATACAGAAGCTACTACACTGATCTCAGTTCCGACAAAAAGTTGTTGGCCATCAGCACGGATGCAGAGCGCATTCTCATATACGACCTCGCATCCCGAGAGCTGTGCGAGGTCCTTGAAGGGTCGGGATCTGTGACATTTCGGCCTTCTGACACCAACGAAGAAAGCGTTGCAGATGTTGACCAAGGCATGGGTATAGGGACTCCGAGACCGGGTTATACCCTCGTCAGCTCCATTCCGCACGAGGTTCATCGCCGCACTCGTAGTACCAACCAGCTCATTCTTTGGGATCTGGACCAAAATGGCCGATTACTCGACAAAGAAGAGCCCATTGATCCCGCCGTGCTCGCTACTAAAGCCATCGATGCGATCGCTCCAGATCTCGCCGCGAGTCACGAATGGACTAGGGAGTTTATCAATGCGTCAACACTCCGTTCTGACTTTATGAAATCGCTCAATCAGGCAGCCGCAGATCATCGCAGGCGTCATAACACCATCATTGACAATGCGAGGCTTGGGAACTTTGGGTCTGTAAGCTTCAGCGCTGATGGTAAACTGCTACTGTATCATTCAAAGAATGATTCTACCCAACAAGGTATGCGTGAACCAGACGATCTTCCAGTCGTCGCCATCTACGACTTGGAAGCAGGCATCGAGATCCACCGCCTCACTGGACATACGGATGCCATTATGTGGTCGGCTATCAGTCCGGACAAGGAATACGTTGCTTCGGTATCCTGGGATGGCACAATGCGCATGTACTCTGCCTCCACTGGAGCCTTAATGTGGGTCACAGAAAACTCTGGTGGACAGTGCTGGGCTGGCGCATTCTCGTAAGTAGCGTCCTTACAAACGACATATGAAACATATACTGACTCTAGACACCCGCCATCTAGACCCGACTCGAAGCTCATCGTGTGGAGTTCCAAAAACGGCCACGCAGTCCAAGTGCACGTTGTATCTGACGGACAGAAGAGGGCAGCTATGCAAGAAAAGTTTTCCCACTGGTGCCGTAGTCTCAAATGGCATCCAACAGAACCAAAGATCGCGCTTTGCGTGGATGAAGATGCGTACATCTGGGATCCCTCCGACGGCCCCAATGGTAAGGTTCTTCAGCATTTCAAAGTCAAAAGTGACAAGGGACACATGCGCATGTCTGGGTGCCAAGATGTTTGGTGGATGGACGAAGGTCGGCTTTTGGGACTGGAGTCAAGCGACGGTTCAGTCCTTGTCTACAACACGCATAATAACGCGAAGGAACTGTTCCGTCGGTCTGCTGGTACTATGGCCGGCTATGTACAAGGGGGCCTTTACGGAATCATCAAAGACCAACAAGAGCATGATGTTTACGCCATTGTCTGCGGCGATGAGAAGGTGCGCTTCTTTCGGACAAGTGTTCCAGCTTTTCCGTCGTGGTGGGAGAAGGAACCACCATCAGCGGTGGTAGAAAAGAAATCATTCCCCGAGACGGGAAAGTATGTCAAAATCACCAAAAATTCGAAAAAAGCACCATCATAAGAGGAATCCGAAAGAAAGAGTTGGACTGGGAGGAGTGCGACTTTGTGGACTGCTGAGTAAAGTCGTCCAGTAGAAGTAGAGAGGTAGCAAGTTTCTCGGCCTTCACTGATCTGGTGGAAATGTCATTCTGTCAGCCGCGATAACAGTTTCACTCTCGGTCGAGGTACACTACCCCACCTTACCGGCCTTTGCTTTTTCGTCCCCAGTCTAGCGAGCATTACCAATATTGTTCCACAAGCCAGTAACAACAAAGAGCATTTCAAGACTTCGCAATCCCAACACTTACTACAGGGCTGCAGCACCTTGCATACGCAAGATGGGGGTGGCCGGTAGCGGGTCTTAGTCTTACTTAATATCTATGGCTGTAGTGTCTGCGGATATCGGCACCGGAATGGTACAGTCCTGCTTGTCACCCGTGACTACTCAACATCACGAGCAGCTGACACACTACTTTCCGCACACTGTCGCATGCGCCAACAATTACTTTCCGTTACCCTCGCCACTGTTCCACATAAGTCGGATCATCGGATTGCGCAATCCGAATCCTTTGCTCATATTGACGATGCATCGATCGTTGTGTTTTGAACATGTTGGGGCATGACTATTGCCTCACGGCTGGCTAAAGGCGTTGCGGTCCGGACAACCGTCTCCGCGCTTACATAGTACCATTTCAGGCTGAACCCCACACCGCCATTCGCTTAGCCCCACGCGGTGCGGCTTATTGTGCTTTGTACCTTATATGAACCATTAAGAAACAGATGACTGTCTTGCGAAAATCCCTCGTCATCCTTTTCAAGATTTGCACGCTGGTCGGACTTTCGTTTTCAAGGTCATCTTAAGCTTGCGTTCCTGCTGCATCTTCTCATAGGAGTATCTACTACCTTCGTTTGCCTTGCTAGCCGTCTCGTCAACCAGCATCGAGTTTGATACTCGCGTTGTAGACTAAATCGGCAGAAACGCTAAGACTTTGTGCCCGTCACGCGTTTTGCTCCCGCATCGGTCTTGCGTTGAATTGACTTCTGCAGTGTCACTAAACATAGTAAGCTTCGCCCTTTGAGCCATGTCGGCCCTTGCGTCTCTGTATAACCAACCATCCCATCGCGGTATAAAAGTTTCCCCGCGGAGTTCACAGGTACAATCCTTGTCCATACTCCAACCATGATACAACCAACCCAAGATGGCGAGCGATATGAGCTCACAAGCCCAACCGAGATGCCCAAAGCTGGTGCATTCCTGTGGAATCAACGTATGATGATTCAGGTCACATGTCGTGGCTTTGCAACTGCGCAGTACATGCAACCCGAGCCTGCCAAATACGCCTATGCACCCAATCTCGAAGCCAAGACCTTTATGCAGCCGGAGCAAAACTACTATGCTCATCACCCCGGCCGATTCGTATACATCAAGGATGAAGAGAATGGCGACATCTTTTCAGCGCCGTACGAACCGGTAAGGGCAAAACTGGATCGTTTTACCTTCGATATAGGCAAGAGCGACATCAAATGGACTGTGGAGAAGCTCGGCATCCGCGTTGAGATGACATTTCTGCTCCCAACAGACGATGTGGCTGAGCTTTGGAACATCAAAGTCACTAACATATCCGATCGCAAGCGGAATCTAAGTGTCTACCCATACTTTCCCCTAGGCTACATGTCATGGATGAACCAAGAAGCGGAGTGGAATGCCAACGTTGGTGGCGTGGTTGGAAGCTGTAAGACCCCATACCAAAAGGCAGAAGACTATCCAAAGACAAAGTACCTCAAAGACAAGACCTACTTTCTCTGCGAAACCACACCAGTCTCATGGGAAGCAAAGCAAGAGGCTTTCGAGGGGGAAGGTGGATTACAAGCACCATCGGCATTACAAAATTCGCAACTTTCGAATAGCGATGCCCGTTACGAGACTCCAACTGCAGTTGTGCAATACTGGGCCGACCTGAAAGAGAACGAGAGCAAAGAGTATAGATTTCTCTTCGGTCCCGCATACGATGAAGCCGAAATCCTGGACATGCGCAAGAGATATCTCAACAAGATGGCGTTCGCGAAAGCAGCCAGGGATTACGAGGACTACATTATGAGAGGCAGCGGTTGCGTGCGTCTCGAGACTCCTGACAAAGATCTCGATAATATGGTCAACAACTGGCTACCACGGCAATTGTACTACCATGGCGACGTAAACAGACTTACAACCGATCCCCAGACACGAAACTACCTACAAGACAACATGGGTATGAGTTTCATCAAGCCAGAAGTGGCCAGGAAGGCTATCACGACTGCAGTAGGCCAACAAGAGAAGAACGGTTCGATGCCAGATGGTATCCTGCTAGCGAAGGGTGCGGTACTCAAGTACATCAACCAGATCCCTCACACTGACCACTGTGTCTGGCTGCCTATCGCCCTTGAAATCTACCTTGCCGAAACTGGCGACTACGCACTACTAGACGAGAAGGTGACCAGCATGTATGGCGATACATTCACTGTTTTCGAGCGCTTCAGCCGCGCAATGGACTGGCTTCTCTCGTCAAATGCACGAGATGATCGCGGCCTCTCGTACATTGCGCAGGGTGACTGGTGCGATCCCATGAACATGGTCGGTCCCAAAGGTGTCGGCGTATCAGGCTGGCTCACAGTTGCAACAGCCTACGCCGTCAACTTGTGGGCGCAGATCTGCGAAGACGCCAACAAACCGGATATCGCAAAGAAATACCGCACCGGCGCCGAACAGGTCAACGAATCGGCGAACGAGCACCTCTGGGACGGCGACTGGTACGCCCGTGGTATCACCGATGACAACGTTACTTTCGGCATCAAAGACGACAAGGAAGGTCGCATTTGGCTGAACCCGCAAGCCTGGTCTATTCTTGGGGGCGCGGCTTCTTCGGACCAGATTGCCAAAATGCTTCCCCAGGTTGACGAGCAACTCACAACACCCTACGGAGTAGTCATGTTCGGTCCGCCGTTTACAGCAATGCGCGAAGATGTCGGCCGCGTCACGCAAAAGTACCCTGGTCAGGGTGAGAATGGGTCAGTGTACAACCACGCGGCTGCCTTCTACGCGTGGGCGCTCTACGGTATCGATGAAGTCGATCGCGCGTACAACACTCTTCGCGCTATGATTCCTGGTCCTGACGAGGAAGATCTGATTCGTCGTGGTCAGCTCCCAATCTTCATTCCCAACTACTATCGTGGTGGTCATGGAATTGAGCATTTGGACCGTACAGCGGGACGTTCAAGTCAACTGTTCAACACTGGAACTGTGAGTTGGGCGTACAGATGTTTCATCGAAGGGTTGTGCGGCTTGAGGGGCGTAAGGGAAGGTCTGAAGATCGCGCCAAAGATGCCGAGTGCATGGGACGGCATGAAGGTGAGGAGAGAGTTCAGAGGCGCGGTTTTTGATGTGCAGATCAAGCGAGGAGATGTGAAAGATGCGAAGGTCGTGGTTGACGGGCAGGGAGTGGAGGGCGATGTCATCAAGAATGTCAGCGCTGGAAAGACGTACAAGGTGCTTGTGGAGGTACCGAGGGCAAAGAAGACGGGTACGAACGGAACGATGTCCAATGGTACGAAGACGAACGGGGTCGGTGCTAATGGGACAAAGTAGACGGAATATGAATGATCTCGCGAATTTGTAAATCCAATGTCTCATCATGCTGCCATCATTTACGACTAGAAGAATCAGTCACAAGGCGAGCGTGACCGTCTGCACGCGGCGTTCGTAATTGGCAAATCCACTCACGTCAGCCACGCGCAAAGAACATAGTCATGCTGTTACTCCACGCGCACGCTGCAACTTCCTCTACACCAATGCCCTTGATGCCAGCCACAACCAAAGCCACCTTCTCCATATTGCAACTCTCATTCCTCTCTTTCACCATATCGCCCCTAGTAAACTTGTCCTTCTTCTTGTTCCCCCAAGGCCACTTGGACGCATTCTTCAGATACGCTTTAGCCACTTCGCTAGACGCTTGAATATCGCCCCACGGTGCGTCTGTCTCGATCTGCAGGTTGGGTAGTGGTAAATGTCTGATCATTTCCAAGCTGTCGCGGTCTCGGAAGGCAAAGTTGTTGACGCTAACCTGTAAGCCCATCGCGACCAGTTTCTGCATCTGCTCTTTAGTTCCGACAAAGGAGTGAACCAAGCCAGATCGTAAAGGCAGCCGGTCCATATATGGTTCAAGTATGGAGATGAAATCATCGAACGCGGCGCGACAGTGGAGAAACAGGGGCAACTTCCACCCTGCGTTCACGATCATATCGAGTTGTCGCTTGAACACTCGTATCTGAACGTCCTTGGGTGCTTCGCCCAACTTGTCGTAGTCTAAGCCGAGCTCCCCGAAAGCGGCCAACAAATGCGAATCTTTTTCGTCATTGAGGGTCGTTGCAATACTGCGGGACAGGTCCTGATAGTATTCCTCGCCACCTTCATCTGCTTCAACGGCATGGTACGGATGCACGCCCATGGTGACCTTGACTTGCTCTGGTCGATGCCGGGCCATTGCGAGATTGAGTTGCGCATCGGAAGCGTACATGCCTGTAAGCATGACTTTCTCTACCCCTGCGGCCAATGCGCGATCTAGCACTGCGTCGAAGTCGGCCTCATGGTATTGTTTGCCCCGATATACACCAGAGAACTCTTTGACAGTTCCTGTTACAGCAACCTGAGCACCCCCACAATTGTTCTCAGCCAAGTCGCGTCATCATGGGGAAGGGTATGCGCGTACATCTGCATATCGGAGCTTTATAGATGGTACAGAGGGGGCATCTTTGGGAAAGCCCTCTAACAATAACGGTTGCGACATTGTGGTTTGAGATGAAGGGATATGACACGTTGAATGCTGAAATGATGTATTTCTTGAGGTGGATCGCCATCGGAACGGAGACTTCCGACCTCGGAATTCAAGAGTGGGTCGCCTCTCGCGGCTTCCTCTCGCGGCTCTGACACCCGCGCATTTAGCACGGGATAAACGCGCTACTGGTCATCGACCTTCATCTCTAACATTTTAATGATGGTCCTCGGGGCTTCGGCGCTGGATCTCATATGAAGCCCTGATGGTGACCATTAGGTGTAGAGTACAGATGTAGTCGATGGGCCAGTGTAGACTTTGAGGAAGATGTACCGATGTCGAGATCTGAGGCCGTCTTTCGCAACTTTGTGAACGCCCGGAATCAAGACCACCTTCTGGTCATTTCCAATGTGTTCGATAACGTGTCCTGCGCAGCTTACTTACTGCTTATTTTAGCTATGTATAGATAACGTAAAAAGTGATGAGCGTTGGTTTTATATCAACGAATCCAAATGGCTGCTCCTGCTGTGGGCAGAAACCTGCACTTCCTCCGCGAAGGTCATCGCATCATTATGCAGCGGGGTGGTCTTCACATGATCGAGCGACAGATCAATCAAAACCTGTGACTGTGGTCCAGATTCGGAGTCTGAAGAAAAGTCAATGAGTGCTGCAGTCTGCGCTGTACCAGTGTTACAAGAATTGCAGGAAGGATCATCGTGTTGATCTTCGCTTCCGGCTATATCGTGTGCTTGATCCATACCAGCATCTGTCAACTGCAGACAGGAATCAATTGCGGCATCTAGGTTGCTATTTCGTCGCATCAGAGTTCCATTACAGCGAAATTGAGCAGTTGCCAGGACGTACCTAGAGTTGTAGAAGACATTACTGACTAAGTCTCGGTCCAAAGATGGAAACATGGAACGAAGGTAGTCGAATTGAGAGTCTATCTCACGTTCTGACGCACTGTTTGATACAACTGGTGAGCGCTCATTGCCCGATAAGATATCCAAGTGTGCAAATTGGCCCACAAGATCGACAAGCGCATCGGCGTGGTGAACAATTGGTTTCGGATTCGCAATGCCTTTCCGCCGTTCGACTAGAAAGAACTTGACCTTTCGATTCCAATTATCTGTGAGCGACGTAGAGAAATTCTCAAGTGTGCTGATGACATCGTCCACTATCGGATAATATAAGGTTTCCCTATACAGCTCAGCTGGATTGTCGTGACTCACAGGATGGGAAAAGTTGGAGAGTGATTGGAGCCTCGGCAGCTGTAGAGCTATGCTATAAAACTTCGTCCCTGAATCGCGGAGCTGTGTGCTCGTTGTAGAGGGTTTTCTCTCCATACTCTCTTGACTCGCGTTATCGTCTCTCGGGGCGTTTGACGTTTCGCTGCTGCCGACTAACAACAAAGAATCTTGACTTCGCTGTGTCCGGACGCACCACATAGACCTGCCTGCCCATTTGTAGGCGTCGCTAGGATTGTTCAGTAATGTGACTGCTAGTTGGGCTCGGGGCTCTTTTTCGTAGGTTTGCCAATGCACGACACACCACCCCTGGCTCACGAGCATCTTGCAAAGACTTTGCACTCGATCTGCAGACATCTGCACTAGTTGCTGGCCCAAGGGGTCGCTACATTCGAAGGAATTAGTCTCAACGAAGCAGAGTCGTACGACAATCTCCCAGAACGCCATTATATCAGTGTCTGTGCCAGTCAGGTGACTTGACGGCCCTGTGATTTCGAAAGCTTTTCGTAGCCGATTGAAGAGAACATGCTCGCGGAATGGACCAATGGTGTCGTAGTCCAATCGGTGAAGGATGGCCGGAAAGAGTTGCTCTGCAACGGTCGAATGCCCGTACAATTCACGAAAAGACTCTTCCTTGATTCCTTGCGTGTATAATGAGCCCACGCTGCTGCCCAGGTGCCGAATGACGGTTTCGAGACTAACAACTTTCTGAACAAATCCCATCTCGACCGCCGTGAAGCCCATCAAGTCTTCAGATACGAAGCTCTCTTGGTAAAAGCCAACAGAAGTTTGCCTCTTCTTGCGTGTCAAGAAGAATGGAGCCATGCAACTATTGGACAAGGTGATGCCAGCCCCAGAGACACTAGGAGGTATTGCATACATCCAGCCCATCCTGCCTTGTTTGGTTAGAGCGGAGAGTATCTGGTTGAGAGCCTCCTCGGCACTATGGTTTGCATTGTAGAGAACATCTTTCAAACCCAGGATTCCGCACAGGGCGTAGTACTTGTCGCAAGCGACTGTGGCCTCCAAATGCTCGGCCAGTTGCAACACGGTCGCTTCCATATCGAGTTTCTCCGCATAAAACTCTCGAAGACAGTGACACTGTTTGCACCAAGACCAAAAGTCGTGCAGCCAACCTTTCTCCGGATAGCGTTGATGGAGGAAAGCTGCTATCCGTCCCACTGTCCCAAGCTCCATGTAAGCAACAGTTGATTTGTCTCCCCAGCTTAACATATATCGAGCAGAAAGAAGTATCTCTTGGAAGATCCACGCGCGCTTTCGCCATGATCCTTTCCAGAGGGCTTCCAGGCTGTCTAGACAAGCTTGCTCGAGTGATGGAGGGATTGATGCCACGAGAGAGATGCAACTCGGTGTGAACAAGCATCGATGTGAGGTAGAACCTCGATCAGGCGAGGTCTCGGCTATGAGACACTTCGTAAGCCTCAAAAGCTCATAAAGGGCCGTAAGGTCGACGTCTCTGAGCAGAAGGATGGTGCACCGTGCATCAAAATATATCTCATTCATGCGCGGAATCCAGTGTATTTTGTCCGCCAGTGAACTTTGGTCGATGCACTTTGAGTCAAGCCAACACCGAAAGGGATCCGGTTGAAACAGCTTGAGTGGGATTCTCTCAGCAATATCAGTGAGGGCTTTGAGAAGGTTTGTCGCAAGGTCCGTGGTCGCAAGCATAAGTAGGTGCTCTCGTAACAGTCGCCAACTCGGGAACTTATCCGCTGCGGTCTCTTTCCAGTCGCTCCATACGTAGGAAATGGCAAAGTAGCTTCCCGACTTTCCACTCGTGCTCAGCTGGAGCGCACCACTTTGGTCCAGCAAACGATGATACTGTTCGGTGACCGGATCGATCACAGCGAATGCCGATCGTCCAGGGGCTAGGAAGGCTCGTGGAATGGTAGCAGCTGCCATACTCGGTCTTCTGTAAGCTGTGCCCGCTTACAGTGCCACGAGGCTGAGGAATGGCAAATGGACTTTCGCTTTGATCAAGATGTACAGCGTGTTGCTTAGCCAGGTGGACAACAATATATCTCGTGCTGTCAAAGGCTAGTTGAGAGTGGGTATGCCGATGAAGTCGGGATTGGAGATGTTCAGGAGCAGGCTGTCTGCCTTCGTGATGCGGTGGCGTGCGGCTGGAGTCCCGTGACATCCTAATCTAGGTAAGAATACCCCACCAACACGTGAAATGTCGCATTCGTCGCCTGATTTTTGTAAGAGACGTCCCATTCGATGAACTAGAAGAGTTTTGAAGACATGTACGCTGATTTGCTGGATGCTGTAGTAGGACAATGTCCAATAGCATGCCCACGCTATCTTACACCAAATCAGCTTCACTGCAACTCATAGTGTCTCTGCAACTCATCTGTTATACCTGGACAGCTATGCCAGTAAACTGGTTTCGCAGGCCAAATTTTCGTTCTTATCGCTTGCAAGTGTCGGCTATGATCGCGTTCGGAGTTGACGAAGTCGCGTCCTTTCAGCTAGCAGTCATAATGCTGAGGTCGGGAACATTCACTACATTAGGCCTTGACGCCATATGAGGTCGCCTAGGTTAAGTCTACGAAAGCGTATGATGTATGAGAGAAGAGAGGTAACGGTCATAGGGTGGATGCGTGATGCGCTTGGCGAAGGGAACGGATAGTAGGAAGGTTGATGTCGCGCTCCAGGTGGCGCGGCGAATATAGGTACTTCCATACGAGTGAGAGGCTCATTAGACTTTGACGGGGATTCACAAGGGCCGGAAATTACACTCGATCTCAGGTGCGGGGTAACGTCAGCGTTCGTCTCCTTCTGCTGCTGTGCCGCATATACATCTCTCCTCTTGTATGTCTGATCGAGCACCAAGGTTCACCACCCCTCACTATCGTTGGTCGTGTCTGCGCCAACGTGATTTCGATGAACACACAACAGGTCCATACTGTTTCGAAAACCGCCATAGGCAAGGCGCAAGCAGACCTGGAGGAGATGCCAACTGAGCCTCTTCTTCCGCCACAGATCAGCGGGTCCTACAAAGTGAATGAGCGAGTCATCGCAGGTATATCAGCCAAAGCGGTTCTTGATTTGAGACTGACCTCGATCCAGCATTCCCCATTCCCAAGACTCAAGTAATAGACGCCTACAACTACGGCAAATCGCTGTGGGGTAAAACGGCCAAGATTGTTGTCCAGCTTCCCACCGGACAAACCGACAACTACTTCCTCAAGGTCTGGCCCCTCGCCGAGGAGCTATTGGGGAACGAATACTGATTCGACGAAGGTTGTATCTCTAGGAAGCATAGGAAGGCACATGTGCGAAGGTGAATACGAATCGCTCAAATCCATCTACGCAGTCTCCCCGTCATTCGTTCCACAGCCATATGGTTGGGGCCAGATCGACGAAGGTTTAGCAGAGACGTACTTTCTGCTTGCGGCTTTCCGAGATGTGGGAGAACAGGTATGTGCAATTTAGCTCTCTTGGAGTGACCGAAAGCTGATGTTCGAAGCCTGCAGACCCAGTCAATTTAGCTGCGGGTCTGGCAGACATGCATCAACGATCCATCTCGCCAACCGGCAAATTCGGCTTTCACTTCTCCACGTGCCATGCGCGTATCGCTCAGGCTGTCGATACCTGGGAAGATTCGTGGTGCACTCTGTATGGTCGGCACCTCGGCCATGTCATGAAGCTTGCTAAGCCAATTCTCCAATGGCCAGAGTTCGATGTAGTCTGCGATCTCACACTCCAGAAAGTGGTACCACGTCTCCTGTTGCCTCTCCAAGCAGAAGGTCGAATCCTAAAACCATGCCTTCTCCACGGTGACTGTTGGGACGGAAACACAGCAATCGAAGCGAAGACAGGCGAGGCTTTCGTGTTCGACGTTTGCTCCTTCTACGGACACAATGAGTACGACATTGGCAATTGGAGGGCACCGCGCCACCGCCTGAGCAGTGAAGCATATATACGGAACTACAAGCAAAACTTCCCAGTATCTGAGCCTGTGGAAGACCGGGACGCCAGAAATTTGCTGTATTCGTTAACGTTCAACATTGGTAACACTATCTATATCCCAGGTTCACAGCAGCGCCAAATCGTGTTTGACGATATGCATATGCTGTGCCACCTCTTCTGCCCAGACGAGCTGAAAGCTGCAATGGACAAACTCAAAGGAGACTCTACTATCGGTGAGAGCTCGCAAACAGGCCATCCAACGATGCATCAGAATGACGGTTTTGTGGAGGCCGAGGCGCAGGGAAATGAAGAAGAGGAAGAGTGGCTGCTCTAGATGGAGTCTCGCCGCTCTATGCGCGCCCCAATATTCGGGTTACTTAAGCAAGTAGAGAGCTGACTGGAACCGGCATATGAAAGATGCCTATTTGATGCTGCTGTCGTGTGGTTGATGAAAGCGATTGCGATAAATGAGGGCGCAATGAAGCTTCGGTGTGCGCGTCGCGTGTCGCGCGACGACGCTACCGGCTTTTAGCGCTGATTGAGCACGCCCCGCCTTTTCTTGGAGTTTTGCCATTCCGCCACGCTTGATCCGACACCATATGGCCAAAAGCCGCGACGGTCAACCTGAGCTATCATGGTGGCCCTTGTAAGTCACTATCGCGTTCTCATGCGAGCCATCAGTGGCATTGATTCTATTGGCCTGCCTTGCTTGATCAGGTAGATATGACCAATCGACAGCTACCACAGAGTGGGGCGAATGAAAACTTCCACGGCACCACGGTATGCTAACCAGCTAGGAGAAGATCACGACTGAGTCACGGATTTCTTCATTATGACACTTCGAGCAAGCAGCAAATACTTCAAGTATAGAATGCTGCATACATATAAGTCAAATTGAAATTACTATCATCAACACCAACACCAACAACAATTGGCCTGCTGGCCCAATGGCAAGGCGCTTGACTACGATTCGTCGATATCAAGAGATTGCAGGTTCGATCCCTGCGTAGGTCAGATGAAAGGCAAACATCATTTTTTTTTCGTCTCATCGATAGCACGAGTGGGGAGAGTATCATCAGACATAGGCCAAGTTTGGTCGAGTCACATGCTGAGACCGCTTAGTACATCAATGTGTTCATGGAATTAATCCATTGAATACGAGTAGAACTTTTTTTTGTTGCCTTGGGAGACTTCGGGAAAGTATTTGGCACTTTCCAACATGTAGATGTTACCGTCGCTCACTACATATGATCATCATACGCTTATGGGTCATCGTCTTTCGCTTATTGCGCAACTCTAATGCCATACGCAGCATACGGAAAGTTTTGAAGACTAGACCTCAGCTCCGCCATTCCATCCTCCGATACCATTCGTCCGTCTTCAGTCACCACAGGATCCTTAGCAACCCCCTCCACGGGCTCCCCATACCTCGGCACATTGCCATCCTCCTCCGTCCTACCTATAAGCACATCCATCTCCCTCCCTTTACAAACCTCCGCCAGCCCAGGGTGAGGCACCCAAACGACCCGCATACCTGCCTTTCTCGCTGCCTCAACCCCAGCAATTGAATCTTCAAACACTAAACACTCACTACGCTCCAAACTCCGCTCTCCGCGGGCTGTCTCAGCATCGTTTAGTCTCTTTAGAGCAAGGAGGAAGATATCGGGTTCTGGTTTCTTCTTACTATCGGACATTTCGGGGTCGTCACCAAAGACGTGGAAGGCTGGGTCATCGAATGCTTCGTTAATGACTGGTATGTGCGACGTCTTCAGTGCAAACTTTTGGTGGCCAGCGGAGCTAGCTAGTGAGAGGAACACGGGAGGCGACGTTCTTGTTTTGAGGGTAGTAAGAAGTGTCTCGACACCTGAGAGCAGCTTGCTGTTCTTGAAAAGCTGTGTACTCTCTTTCTCCTTTGCTGACCATTGTGCGGGTGTGAGGGGTACTTGGGCCCAGTCTAGCAGGCGCTTTGTACCCTTTAAGAAGAATGAGCGGGATGGAAGATGGCTTGAGGCTGAGCAATACGAACCCTTGTGCCTCTACTTTGCTGTGTAGCTTTGATCTTCCAAGGATAGTCTGGTCTTCCATACTCGCGGAGGATGTTGTTGTAGATGTCCGTATAGATGTCCTCGGAATTGATGAGAGTGCCGTCTACATCGAAGATGCATGCGCGTACTGACGGCAGTGAGGCCATGGAGACTGTTCCGGCAACGTACCAAACTCTGACAGGGTGTGATCAGGGGGCCTTGTGTTCTGGCTCTGGGGCTTCAGCTTTGTGTGTGTTCTACTTCGAGTGTATGGCTCGGGGTTAACTCCGTCTACCCCGCGGGAACTAAACCACATGAGGATTAGCTTGTCCATGCCCAGCATATGATGCATCTTGGAAGCAGTCACTACGACCGACGTTCATTCTTGCCATACAGCAGCTGAGTCTCAGGTCTGGGCGGTAGAATAGAGGCGTCTCTTCTCATGTATCGATTTACTCTCCTCGCCGATTACTATTGGCAAACCTAACGCATTGGGATCCATACCTCCCACTCCATCAATACACCATCTTGTAAGTTTCATGTGCAGGAACTGCAATCGGATGCGTCCAGATTCTTGTCGACAGATAAGCCATCACGGGTTTGCTTCTTCGACAGCCTGCAGGACAATGTTTATCACGAGAGATCATCTCCTTTCGGCTACCTCCAGTATCGCTGCACCATCCTGCTAGTCCACTCATACTCCGCAAACCCGCTCTTTAACCAATTTCAGACTTGCAACATCTAGAAATTACCGAGTGCATAATATCGTATGCATCGCTTCCCCTGTATCCAACTGCCGGTCAATCATCCTCATACCGAACGTTCCTGAATACGGGATACCAATACATTCAAGTGGGTGTCTGACATGCATAGCAACTCCCTCTACCAGCCTAGTTCTACAATATTGAGACTTATTCTACTCCACAGTATATCGTGGGCGCTGTGCGAATGACTCAGCTCGTTGTCACATGCCACTGCGAGGCTGACAACTTGACTTTAGGTACATGGTGGCTGCATGGTGAGGGTAGTCAAATTTCTCTTCACGAGAAATCTCCACTTATGCTGGGCTAGACTTCAGAAGACTTATACGTGTAAGCAACCTGGCTAGTGTCTGGCGGCAGCGTATCTTGTTCGCAGATGTTCCCCACACGGGTCGATCAGCCACTGGCGGTTGTGTGTGCGCCACGTTATTTTCACTTCATCCTTCAAATTTGGGGGCTGACCTGAGGCTGCTATGTGTGGTAGTGTGTTCTCACGCAGTTCAGACCGGATGATAAGCTGCTCAAACCGTGGTGTCGAGTTGGTGGTGAAGGCTTCGGACTACCTCCACAACGGGTTACCTCTATCGGGCAACCCATCGCCGTCTCGACAATCGCTAAGACGCCTGCTACTGACCGCGCCTGGGGTGACGATATGTACAACCACCTAAACGATGTAACAAAGCGATTTTGCGCAGCTGATGCAGCTAGGAGACGACTCAAAACTGATACGGCATCGCAGAGCTGCGGCATAAGAGCGGCATAGCCAACCTGGTGTCATGTACGTAGCTATTCTTAGCGCTAGATCATTCCCAGTTCGTATCGCAACATCGTGAACCCAGGATCTCGTCGTAGGGCTACGGAGGAGAGTCCGAATCGTCCCGCATGTTAGGCGCGCCATCGCACCAGTTACACGTTTGTCCAATGTCGGCAGTGTGTAACGAGCGAACGTGCTGCTAGACCCTGAGATCGCCAGACGACATCGCCCACGAGAGCGCCGGCCCATAGCGCTCGACTGCAGCGAAATCAATAGGAGAGTTTTCAGGGAGCTAACATGTATGCGCGGAAAATAGATTAAAGCTGGCGTATGTAGTCAGGACGCTGATTGGCTGTGATAAGACCCTTTACTTATCCGGTAATACCAAGCAGCGGGACACCTGCCTAAGCGAGTACTAACAAGATAGCGGTCCGTATGTTGTCCCTGTTTTTTCTTGCCTTGTCAGCCGCAATATGAGAAAAGTATACTATTGAAAAGATGCAGCTCGCGTGCTGATACGTGCAGGCAACGCCGCAGTCATGCAGCCCGGTTGTCACCAACGTACTTACCGAAGTTGGCATACTGTACGGCCGTGATGTGGCATCGGTCTGATCAGGCGCGGCAGAGCATGGGCTGAGCGGTGGTCGAGGTGTAGAAATACAAGACGCTTATATACATCGTCTGCCTGGGATGCTATACGACATCCTGGGTGCTGTTAAACAGCCGGTGCGCCTTCTTGCACTCGGAACTTTGTCAATTGCATATACTTTCATCGTTCGTTTGACTTTCCCATTGCGCCACAGATGGCGCAACATCACGCCTCGCGGCAGCCATTTAGCCTACTGCTCCTGGTACTGTCCCTGGTATGGTACGCTAGCGGACAAAGTACCGCGACACCCGACCTACCCAGCAATACCACAACTCCTGAACCAAAGGTAGGATGGAACGCCGAAGGATGTTACACAGACAGCGTCGGCGGTCGAACGTTGTCCGTGGGGATGGGAGTGGCCGGTGCTATGACCAATGCGAAGTGCAGAGACGCATGTCGAGCAGGTGGCTATGTTCTGGCTGGTACTGAGTATGCTGGTGAATGTTTCTGTGACAATCAGATCAGAAACAATGGCGGCCCTGCACCTGACGGCGAAGTGGGGTGCAACATGGCATGCAATGGAGATCAAACTGAGATGTGCGGCGGCCCTGATCGCTTGACGTTCTTCCGATTCTACACAGGTGGCGAATCGACCGTTTCGGCAACTGCTTCACCTACTGCTTCGCAGACAGCATCTGCGACCAAGACTTCTAGTGCATTGCCTGTTGCAACAGGACTCCCGGACGGATTCGAGTACAAGGGCTGCTATGTTGATGGACCCGGCTTCCGCATCGTCAACTACCAACAACCCGATGATCAAAGTATGACTATCGCCTCATGCTCCAACGCGTGCGCGAAAGCTGGTTACGAGATCGCAGCTATGGAGTACAGTTATCAATGCTTCTGTGACAATACCGTAAGTCCAGTCAGGTCTGTCGATGTACCAACCACTGACGCTCGCAGGTGAGAATGGGTGGCAAGCCTGCTTCTTCCGAATCAGAGTGCAACACAAAATGCGCTGGCAACCAGGATGAGACTTGCGGAGGCCCCAACCGAATGAGCATCTACTCAAGCCAAGATCCGTTGAAGGTCATCAACGCTCCGGCTCCTATCCAGAATGTGAGCGATTGGCAATACCAAGGATGTATTACCGACACCAACAACCAAGTTTTTCCATGGAAGCTAGTGAACCAGACAGGCAACTCACCACAATGGTGTCTAAGCCAATGCCAAGCCTTCGGTTATCAGGCAGCTGGAATGGAGTATGGTGAAGAATGTTATTGCGGAGACCTTGATGGGATCGAGAAAAGTGGCTCAAAGACAGTCGCAGAGTCTGAATGCAACACTGCTTGTCCGGGCAACCCCGAAGCCCTGTGCGGCCAAGGCAACCGACTCAGCTGGTACAAATGGGAAGGCGATCCTCTATACGTATGGGAGTACCCCAAAGGCATTGCGGCTGGACGCTACGATTTCTTGGTTGGCGGTCCTATCATCCCTCTAATTTCGCAGCCTGGTGTCAACGGCAAGGTTTCTCTCCTCGAGAAGCATGGAACAGGTGAGCCCAACACCACCGGTGCGTATGAGTTTGATCCTTCGATTGGTGGCGACATTTTCCATGCTTTCCGTGAGCTGAGCGGCATCAAGACGGATATCTTCTGCGCTGCAGGTCTGACTATGCCGGATCGTGCTGGTCGGCAAATTAATATTGGTGGATGGTCGACGGATTCGTTGTTTGGTGTCCGCATCTACTGGCCGGACGGTTCTGCCGGTGTCAACGGCACGAATGACTGGCAGGAGGATGTCAATAGCGTCAAGCTTCAGAGAGGCCGTTGGTATCCTACAGGAATGGTCATGGCAAACGGATCGATGTTGATCGTCGGCGGGCAAGATGGCTCCAATGGTCCGCCGGTGCCGAACATGGAGATTTTGCCTACCGTTGGGCCTGTGTACGAAGCGCAGTACCTAAGGGATACCGACCCGTACAACCTTTATCCCTTCCTAGTCGTACTGCCGTCAGGTGGTATCTTCATCCAGTACTACAACGAGGCTCGTATCCTCGACGAAGTTAGCCTAGACACAGTCAAGATCTTGCCAAAGGCACCAGCTGCCGTCAACGATCCTACCGGAGGGCGAACCTACCCGTACGAGGGTACTCAAGTCCTTATGCCTCAGTACTACCCTTACGACGCTCCGCTGGAGGTGCTCATCTGTGGTGGCGCGGCAAGACAACCCAAGTGGGGTCTCGACAACTGCGTCAGTATTGAACCTGATGTCGCCAACCCCGAATGGACTCTTGAGCGCATGCCTTCTCGACGTGTCATCTCGTGCATGGCAACGCTACCAGATGGAACTTATCTGATCCTGAATGGCGCTGAAGTTGGCGAAGCAGGTTTCGGTCTTGCAGACCAGTCGAATCTCAACGCTGTTCTGTACGATTCCCGAAAGCCACGACATCAGCGTATGAGCATCATGGCTAACACGACGATTGCGCGCATGTATCACTCCGAAGCCGTCGTCATGGACGATGGGAGGATCCTTGTGTCAGGCTCCGATCCTCAAGATGAGGGCAAGCATCCCCAGGAGCACCGCATTGAGGTCTTCCTCCCACCCTATCTGCTTTCTGGTCCAGCGCAGCCTACCTTTGAGCTACTTCAAAACGACTGGATCTGGGAGGAAGACTACTCTTTCACGGTGACTTCGTCTTCCGGTGGTCCGATCAAAGTGTCGCTGCTCGGATCTGAGTCTAGTACTCATGGAAGCTCGATGGGTGCGCGTATCCTGTTCCCGAGCGTGTCTTGCTCAGGCGGAGCATGTACAGTCAAGGCGCCCAAGGGACCATACGTCGCCCCTGTAGGATGGTATAGAATGTTTGTTCTGGATGGGCCAACACCGTCGCATGCGAAGTGGGTTCGTCTGGGTGGAGATCCAGCTGCACTCGGTAACTGGCCTGACGCTGCTGCCTTCCAACCCTTGCCGGGTATGGGACCCGTAGGCGTATCGAGCAAATCGATCGCGAACGCAACCGTACCAAGATCGATGTCGACCGTTGCTCGCAGCTTCCAGGGCTGATCAGGATCTCGGGGAGCGTCGAGCAAGCTAATGTCTATTTGTTAATTTGTTAGCGAAGGTGGTAGTACTCACGTCAAGCGGGCCCTATAGTACTGCAATACAGCATGCATGGCATAAGAATTGGATCAATCTTGATGTTTCTAATGTACATGTGCGAACAGGTCTATGTCTGGTGCCACCGATGGTTAGCGCTGATGTAAAACCCAGTATAGTGAGCGTGCGCGCAACGTACTATTGGCAGTGACCTCTTTTGAGTTCAAGTTGTTCGAGTTAATGCCTCCTTCTGGGACCTAGCGACGGGAAGCCGGACGTCCTCCTACTGGCCGCAGTCTTGCCTGCCTGAGCCAATGAGCCCTCATGTCATCTCTTCGTCTTCTTCATCGCTGCTTGGGAAGCTCCATTCACTTGACTGGTAGTAGTCGTACTCTTCGTCAGACCCTGCTGTACTGAGCGCTCTTGCGCCATACGTTTGGGTGCTGAAGGCAGAGTAAGCAGACCTCCTCGGCGATGGCGACTTTGAACGACGTCGCTTAATAGTCTGGACGTAGCTTACAGTACTGAGATGGGTGCGTAAGCTGTCTCGAGCCGGAGACGGTGAGCGGTGGCGCTTCTTGGTAGTCGTGGGGCTCGGAGCTTTTGGTTGCGCATCGTCGCTTGTGGAATGAACCATGGTGCGCTCATCCACAGGTTCAGGGTCGCCTTGCGAAGTCGTCGGCCAAAGACGTCTCGGAAAATAATATCTTCTTCGAATGCGCTCCTGGGTTTCTTCCTCGATTTCTCGCGATTTGGCTTTCTTGGTTGGCTGTTGTGGCATATCCGCCGTCACTAAAACCCACCGTTCGAGATGGTGAGTGGATCCAGAAACGCCAACTGGGGCTATCAGATCATCTTCCTTCTGTCGCTCTTCTTGCCACTTGTTCACCCGTGGAGCTTTCCGCAGACGCGAGCTGTCTTGATAGTGTTGCGACATAGCGATTCGTGGAGACGCAGAGGCAGGCGCAACCCTAGACTTGCAACAGGCGACTGATGATCTGATTTGGTAGCGAATGACGAATCAGAATTGGCCACCTAATGAAGTGATGTTGGGCGGCAGCGGCAGATGGCGCAGACAGCCGCGTGATGGCGGGAGTAGACGCGTCCGGCAGAGTCGCGTTAGACCCAGAGCCTGCGATGACGCGCAGAGTGCAGGCAATGAGTGTCAGGGAGGCGCGACCGAGCTCTTTGGCGGTCCCGTTCCTCAAGAGATGATGTCTCGATGTACTAACAAACGCTCAACGCTCCTGCATGGAGTCGACATGTTCGCAGTTGATCGGCACCCCTTGCGGGTGGGTGGGGACAGAGGCGCGCATGCTTGGCGCCGTCGCGGTGACAATCTACTTTCTTTTCACTACAACTCTCAAAACTCCTTCATCGAGGCTCTTGTATCTCTGCATACCTTTACACAACAGTATTATCACATGTTAGCTTCGGCTCGCCAACATCCTGCAGCAGCCACTGACGACTTCGGCTAATCCTAGCCGGAGAGAGACGCGGCGATTACGCCCGGCAGCCCGCCCTGCACCAAACCCAACGCTCATGTCCGATGATTCGACATCCATAGACCGCTTACGACGACTTGGGCCAATTCCGACGGAGCGAGTTAATGCAAGCCATCTCCACGTGCCGTTCCTGCCAGATAGTCCATGAATAAGACGCGGCATATGAAAATGCGTGGGAAACTCCGCCCGTTGACCACCTCTCCTCACATGATTGGCCCAACTTCTGAAAAATGCGAACCTAACAACGCAGCACTGATCGTCTACGCTTGGGTTACCACTGAGCTGGATACTGCGCAATCCATCTAAAGCGCGCTGGGGGGTAGCCTAAGGCCGCTAGTTTGATCGTTACGTTTTGCCTCGTGCCTCTCTCTGTCGAGAGGAAGAAAAAAAAGAGAACATGTCAGCATCGAACAGTTCTCCACGCACTAACGGGAGCGCCCTTGATTACTCCACCGCTGAAGAGGCTAGCAGCTCCGGTCCGTCGCTTCAAATCGACGTGCGTTCCCTGTCCCATCGCTTGGCTGTGTTAGCCTGCCCGACTGACAGCTGGCATTTAGAGTGAGGACACCGAGGGGCAAAGCGATCAAAGCGACGAACGCGACTCTGAATTTGGTGATTCTGCTTACGGTGACAATCGATCTTCCTACACCATGTCCGCAACCTCGTCAGTGTTCAACTTTCGCTATGAGAATGGCAGGCGGTACCACGCCTACGCCGAGGGCCAGTACCCGGTACCTAATGATGAGGTGTGCAGCTTACCGACTTAAGTAGCAATGAGTTGCTGACACCAGCCCAGGTGGAAGCAGATCGACTGGACCTACAACACCATGCCTTCAGACTGACACTAGATGGGAAACTCTACCGAGCACCTATACCAAAAGACGTGCAGAATGTGCTTGACATAGGGTGCGGAACTGGTATCTGGTCTATTGAATTCGCTGATGAGCATCCATCCGCGCGTGTTCTCGGCACTGATCTAAGTCCCATCCAGCCCGCTCAAGTACCACCTAACTGTGAATTCCTCATCGATGACTGCGAGGCGGACTGGATCTTCCGCGATCCGTTCGACTTCATCCATGCCCGAGCCATGGTAGCAGCCATCAAGAATTGGGACCGCTTCTTCGAACAAGCCTACGTCAACCTCAAGCCAGGAGGATACCTTGAGTGCCAAGACCTTGCCTTCCCCATACGATGCTTGGACTCTGGCGTCACCGCGGAAAATTCCCCACTGATCCGCTGGTCAGAGCTCTTTCTCCAGGCTGCTAAAGTCATCGGTCTCGACGGAACGGGACCGAGACACTTCACGCCACAACTACGGAATGCAGGCTTCAAGAATATCAACCTCAAGTCGTACAAATGGCCCGTTGGTAAGTGGGCAAAGGGCGCGAGATTCAAGGCTCTCGGTCGCTTCGTTTATGAAGATCTAATGGATTGGCTTCCGAGTAGTTCGCTGGGCCTGTTCACGCGCGTACTGAAGTGGTCGAGAGAGGAAGTAGAAGTCTTTCTATCGGAGTGCAGAGCGGAGGCTAAGAGAAAAGACCGACACTACTACGCTGATGTGTAAGTTGTTGTCATCGCGAATGATTGGCTCTGCTGATTCAACAGTTTCTTCTATCATGCTCGTAAGCCAGAAGGTGCGAACTTTTCAAGCCAGGAACAAGACTTCGTATCATGGGAGGAACCAATAGATCGTGATGAGGATGATGACGGCCATCACGCTAGACCATCAACTACAGCCTCTGCTTCCTCGGTGCCGTTGTCTTCGGCGACCACAGCGGAGCAAAAGTCAGAACCGTCGACACCACCTACTTCGACCACTCAAGACAAGCAGCCGTCAGTCAAAGAAGGTGATAATGAAACATAGATGTGGTGAAGTCATGGAATGTATATAGGAAGAAATAGAATAGTGCAAACAAATCCGCAACAGCTATTATCGCCGCGCAAACTAACAGCAGTCGTACAGAACTAGAAGCCGACAAGAAGACTTTGCAAAATCCGTTGATCGAGATAAGCACAACAATCCTTCCATCGTAGTTCTACGCAACCCCACTCGCCCCGTAAGCACACACACACACACCTCCAACTTCTCTCATGCAGGTAATTCTTCCTTCATACCGGCTCACAGAACAGCCACTCCCTTCTCATGACTTTCCGCAGACACCACTACCCTCTGGTTCTGAGACAATCCTTAAAACCAGCCTCTTCCTCAGCCAGCCTTCTTTTCTGATTCCACTCCCTCTGCATCTCGCTTTCAGGCCCCCACCTCCTCTCAGACCAAGCTCTTATGAACTCGATACCTCCCAACACTTGTTTAACATATGGTTCGGAACCGTCTAGCCTTCTTGCTCTCCAGCAGCCTTGGTCCTTGTCCCAGAGCATTAATTCGCGCCATGCGTCCGGTACGCCTTTGTACTCGCTAAACTCGCAATTGAGATGCGGGAAGAGGCGAAGCCACATTGTGCGGGGGCCTACATAGTTTGGCCACTGTGACTTTGGCCAAGGTACGGATGCAGGAGCGGGCTCAGACGCGGGTGCTCGTTCAAGTCCTGGTTCAGCCTTAGCTTCCCCTTTGCCCTTGGTTCTAGTAGCGAGAGCGGGAGCTGGGACCGAGCGGGTGACGAGAGTTACCGGACGAGTACGATTAGAAGAATATTGTTTAGCATACGGGTTCTCTGCTGGTGACTGTCTACTACTTGGACCAGCAGCAGGAGGGATACGACTGCTTCGTTTCGATGCAGCACCAAGACCCGAACTCGATGTCGCCTCCACACGGCGGCTACTTTCCCCAGCTTCCTGCTCAGTCTCGACCCGACGTCGGCGCCTGGGTCTGCTGTCTTGCGCCTCTTGTTCGCTCACTTCAGCTTCGGGGACGGCAAGAATACTTGTCGAGCGCAACCGCTTTGAACTCTTCTTGGGCTTTGCTGCTACTTCTTTCGCTCGATCGAGCTCACCCTCGGCAACAACCTCGTTCCAGATCCGTTTTGGGAAATGGATTTTGAGAGCGGAGGACTTATCCTTCGCGATAGGATGAGGAGGAGGAGTTGGATCTCTATAGTCCAACTCTTCACCATCTTCCGTTTCTTCTCCGTCTTCTTTTGCAGCCAGAGCAAGAAGCAAAGGCTGGAGATTCCTGTCAAAGTAGTCGTCCATGGTTGGAACCGTAGGCGTTGTGGCCAACGGCTGGTAATGGCTGCCAGCGGTGATAGTAGAGTTGGATGACATATTTGCTGGGAGTTTGAAAAGGAAACCTTAGTTATTATGTTTACCCGGGTGACTGAAGTTTGTTGGTGATAGTCCGGCGGGAAATCCTAAATCTTGATGAGTCGAGCTTGGACGAGTGTATACAATCTGTTGCTTAGAGTGGAAAAAATAAGAGGGAGCGGTGGACTTGATTATATACTTTCTGGCATGATTCGCGTTCAAGCGCGACCATAGAAATTTCTGAGGTTGAAGTCGCAAACATGGTTCCCAGCAACAGCGCTCCCATGCGTGAAACCTTTTCAACGACGCTGGTTGGACAACCACATGAACTTCCCTACCCTAGATGCGAAGATAATACCATAACCAGAGGACTACGTGGGCTTTACGGCACTGCCGTCGCCAAACGTCAGTAGCTTCTGGGTGGCACATGCTCTTACTGGCTGACCGTCGACAGGACGATGACTGATATGCACGTGACTGCGATCTCATCCGTGGACCCTCAACAGGTCCACCTACAGCCAGTAATAAGTCTTATGTCTCGTACCTTGGTACAACAAGCGAGATCAGCGATAACAAGAAAGGACAGCGAACCAACTATAAAGAGTAAATTCTACGTACTATGAGCATGCTGAAAATGATGATGTGTTGATAGCACCGAGAAACTTTTACCAGAATGATTAGACATTACCGCATGCGGCAACACGCGAGCAGCTCATGGAGCCGCGACGCCCTCTCCAGCCCTCCCACTATCCATCCTGCTGAACGATAGAATCCTCTCATGTTCGGTAGCTTCCTGCTCTTTGAATTTGGATATCAGATCCATTGTGCTCCGCCTAACACTGACCAAGCTGCGTTCCTCGGAAGCGCTGTCATTATGATCTTGGTCGACGAAGCTCTTTGCGCGACTTGCATTGCTCTCCTGACTTTCCTTACGTTCGTGTTTCGGTATGCGAATGGGCATAGCTCGTGAGTGTATGGATGCGCGCCTGCTGTCGAATGAGAATCGTTTTGCGTGACTAAAGTCCTCAAGCAATCGGTTGGTATCCATACTTAAACGTGGGTAAGCATCGACACAATTCTCATAATAGGTCGACCAGACGTGTGCACGATCGCTTGCATGCCCCACTCCAGCAGCGCCATCGCGGAATGACATTTCGTTGAGATTGGGAGCTGAAGAGTTGCGACGCGGACGGAGTGTCGCCATGGAGTCATCTGCCCGCAGTTTGCCCTTGGATTTAGTGACTCTCATTGAAGAATCATCATTCAGCAGCTGTTCCTCATGTTTCAGAGTCTGCGCGTCTGCATGACCTTTGTGAACCTCGCCCGTCCACACATGGGGTAGCAGCTCGAGCTCAGGGTGCTCTAGGATACCACCTGAAGCGATGGAGCTGCGATGTCCTCGACCATGCCTCTGGAATTCTGTACTCTGGCTTCTGAACATTTTGGCATAGTTCTTCATGAGAGTTTTGCCGAAAGTCATGGAGTTACTCTTTGCTATGCGACCACTGCCAACTTTCTTCTGCTTCTTCTTCTCACCTGGTAGCAGCGGAGTGGACGGTCTTCGTTCTGTTGGATCAATCAAATCTTCGTCATCTGTTGCCGAGGCAAACTTGATTGCTGCCTCAAGTGCAAAGTCGCGAGGTTGAACGTTGTCGGCCTTGCCTGCGGAAGCGGTGCGGTCATGGCGCGTGTGCGATGGGTATCGGCCCCAAGCCCCCACAATGTCGGTCCTGTCGCCCTGTCGCTCAAACGCGGTGGCCACCTCTTGTCCAACGCTAACGTCATCGCGCCCTACCAAAGCGCTGCGCCGAGAGAATAAGGTGTAAAGTCCCTCAGATGGCTCTTCACTAGGTGTTTGGAGAGTTGGGCAAAGCGTCGATACCCGCGTGCTGGAGCCGTCGTCAGCTCGACTGGCTGGATCTAGACCTTCGATGCTAGCTCTTCTAACAGAAACGCTCCCACTGCGTTCGCGGAAAGGACTTGCGCGAACGGCAAGGTCTTTGTGCTGTGGAAGGAAGAGTGATGCTTTCTCTTCTTGATGAGCTTGCAAAGCGCGATCCCACACATGATTGGCACCTTTGTTCCTGCCCATCGCATCTTGTTCAGTCTGAAAGCTTGTCAATGACCGAGAATGACCACGCTCACGATCGGCAGGGATTGCTAGCATATCAGATGGACCATCCATAGCGGCCACTGAAGCTTCGGGATGGAGGTTTGCCTCACTCTGACTCCGCCCGCTGAGGCGCTTTGGATTCAAGAATTTTATGATGGATACCGATTGTGATGTCTTCTTCTTCGGCGGAGATGGACTGAACTCTTCCCGAAATTTAGAGGTTTTGGTATCAGCAACACTGTTCTTGCGTGCTAAAGGTACGGGTACGGCAAGTAGAGAGGATTCAATCGAATGGCCAACCACCGTTGTAAGCCCAGAGAGTCCATGCCGTTTAGCTGGCTTCGGCGTTTCCTCGTTATCTGTAGGAAAGGAAGCAGAGCGTCGAGGCCGGCGTAGGTCAGACGATGAGATACTGAAGACTTGGTTCTCAGTGCCGGTATGCGACAGAGTTACCATCGAACCACCAAAGCTGTCAGGTGGGCTCTGCGGTCGACTCGGATATATGGATGACGCGACATCAGGACGCGCATCGACATCTTGCGGCAAGACATTGCCCCACTTGCTCGGGATCTTTGTACTTGCAAAGCCAGAGCTAGATGTCTGTCGGTGATGGCGAGCAAGTTGTCGGTTTCGTACAGAGACTTGGCTTTGGTCTGAGACACTACCTTCACGATACATAGGAGGCGGGACTGGGAGGTCTGGCGCATCGGCAAGTTGATCCCAGGAAAGAAGAGAGCCTGAGCGTAAATGGTGCGAGATGCGCATGCTATAAAGATGGACAGAGCGACGCGGGTTATTATCCCCATCGTCTTCCCCTTCAGCTCTCCTGCCTTTCCTGGAAGGCGAGTCTTCACGAGAACAATCTCTAACAGATGTAGACGGCCTAGGGCTTGCGATAGACGTGGGCTGCTGAACACGGATCTCCACTATACGAGCAGCAGGTGTTGCAAGTGACATGTTCGTCCGGGGCGACGATGCTGAGGCGTCATTAGTCTGGTTTTGGTGATGGCCATGAGCATCGTTTTGAATGTCGTTCTTGTTCAACATGGTTGGAGATGCTTCAGTATTGATATGCTGTGGAGGTATAGGAAACTGCGAAAGACGGAGACTCTTATGCATCACCTCAGACCACGGCATACCAAATGAGTCGTGGTTGGTAAGACTCGGTAGCCGCAACGGCGAGATTGGGGAAGGCTTCGGCAAACCCATGGACGTAGCCGAATGTGACCGCCTCACTTTGCGATTCCGTTCACCAGGTGTACTCGATCGTAGATCGGGCGTACTGAACACCTGAGTGAAACGGTTTGAGACGGAAGCGGCTTGGGGTTTATCAACACTGTAAGGGTAGAGGTCGCGCTTGAGCTCGGCACTAATGCGGCCCTTTGTAGAGGACTCAGGCGTGCTTTTGCTGCAATCAGTCAGCATGGTGTGAGAATGACAATCGAGTCTACTTGCCTTCCTGTGGTAGTTGTCCAATTGACACTGCGGATGCTTGGCCTCTTGCTTAGCGGTTTCTTGCCGATGTTCTTTGCGATGTCGTCCAGGACTTCAGCGTCTGAATCATAACCACCCTCATCGGGCTTCTTGTCACTTAGTAGGTCCTTGCGTAGGTCATGCTTGGTGATTCGAAGCTGCTGGTTTGGGTCTTTTAGCTGCTTCACTACGGTGTCGGAAATCGACGTGATGCTCTTCTGCTTTGACTGGGTGTGCGCTGGTGACACACCTGAAGCCTTTTCCGGAAGCTCTTTCGAAAATTTCCGCCTGATAAGAGAGCGCATACTGGTCATCTTGTGTAGGCTTCGGATACTATGCATTGATGGGCGACTGAATCGCGCACGAAGGGCCCGCATCGGCATAGCTCGATCTTGGTCAGAGACCTGCGCATTGTGGAAGATCTCTCGAAGCTCGTGGAGTTCTTCAGAACGAGCACTCGTAAAGCGTGAGCCGGGTGAGCCAGTACTTTTAGGTAGAAGTGGGCGGTTCGCTGGTGTGAGTTGGCTGGGGCGAGCATTGGGCAGCTCAGGCGATTCCGAACGATGGTCTTGCTCCGCTGTACAGCACAGCTTGGTCGCCATGATGATGAGTTAGTGGAGAAGGGTCAGCTGGGTGGCTGTTCATCAAGTTTGCTGCTTTGTTGATGTTTGCGTGAGCCCACGCGGGGTGCTTGCCTGGGGCCGGAAGTGGTTTGAGTAGTCGCGACTGCATGCACTTGTAGCCTCGTATGCTGAGGGAGGAGCGCATCATCAATGTATCACCAATTGTATGGCACGGAGAAGCTAAGAATTCAGCCCATCATCTTCTTGCCGCTGGCATCTTCGCTGTATAGACCTTGGTCCTTGATCCAAGCAGCCACGCCTTCAGTGCATAGCTCACCCACCGTGTCCCATTTGCCTGCGTTTGCTGCCTTTCTCACCCTCGTCGAGCTTATACCCACGCCTTCCTCGGCTTGTACCATGTCAATGTTGTTGCCCCACGCAGCCTCGAAGCCAGCTTGCTCTTGATTACCGTCCTTCAGGTTCTGCAGGTATCTTGTCTGCTCCTCAGTTGTACCAAACTCATTGGACGATTCATCGCTCGGGTCTGTTGGTCGCTGGGTCACGCGCAGCTTGTGGCCAGCGTCGAAGAAGGGCTTTAGTGCCGACAGCGGTGGGTCGTACTTGGGGTAGTACTTGGGGTTGCAGAAGCGGATCAAGGTGTCGTAGCCTACGAGGTGGATGTGAATGGGTTGCGACGCGTAGAATGGGGGTGTGGTCTCGGCTATCGCAGCCGACTTGTCACTGTAATACGGTTCTTTGGTCAGCCCGATGTCTATCGACACGTCGGAGACGTCATGCTTCAAAGAAGGCGACGCGCTCTTTAGACTTCGCGACAGGTCCTCGGCAAACGCCGTCATAAGGGCGATGCGCTGCACGAAGCTTGCCGGGCTTGGTGCCTTGTCTGCATTGTGTGTACTGAACAGCAGCAGCAGCCGATAAGGACTACTCTCCAGGGGCGCAGATTGCTTGAGAGCCGAAGTCGCGAGCGTGAGGTGGGCAATTGACGGCGGGTTGAAGGACGAGTCAAGGATGTAGAGCGTCTTCGGCTGCGTCGGCGTGTCGTTCACAGTCCGCACGACACGGAATTTGGCGGGAGACGAGGTGAAGGATTGCAGTGCAGACTCGAGGTCAGGCAGTATTCCTCTCAATGAAGCTATGCGCGATGCCATGTCAGCCATTGTGTCGCTTGTCGCGAAGCTCCAGCCAGGACCGCCTCGGGAGCTCAAAGTGCGGGAGCACTTCTCGCATTCGGCACGTCATTCTTCCTATCCCTGCCCTCTCACACTAGCACCAACCCCAACCTCAACTACGCAACGCCCACCCATCTCCAGCTGCGCCAGTGTGCGACGCCTCCCTCACATCTTATATCCGGATCATGGGAATGTTCAATGGTTTTGGTCGGAGAATATACAAACAAGGCAAAGACATAAAGGACAATCACAACGCAAGGCCTCCTGTACTGCCCTCCTGTCTATCAAGCCTTAATGCGCAGCTGGATTGTGTATGAATAGACCTGAACCGACAAACACCCAGACACTCAGATTCCAACATCAAATACGCTCCCTAACATCCGGCACATGCTTCCCCAGCTCCTCCACAATCTCATTCCATACTTTCCTCGCAACCTTTTCATTCTCCTCTCCCACAATGCTCTGCGTGTCAGGCTCAATCACATCGCTCGCCCAGAACCTCCCATGTAACTCCTGATTCTGCGCCGCGCCACTAACATATACATTGGCGCCCTGATCCGCCGTCCGAAACAGCAACGCATGCGCCACCACCGTCACAATCTTGACCCCCGGAAACTGGATATGGCGCGAGATATCCGAAACAACCATACCCGGACACACACACGTGATGATAACCTCGCTTGACGGTATCGCCTTCGCTAACTGGATAGCTGCATATCGTTGAAGAAGTTTAGAAGACGCATACTGTTTCATCGCGCCCTTGTACAACTCCGGTTTATTGAGTTCAGTCAGAATGTTGCTAGGCTCTTGCGTTCGTAGCCCGACGGGTATCTCCACAGTCTTATGTGCGCCCGAGTTCACAAACTGCAGTATGGGTATCTTTCCTTTGTACGTCTTGCTCTTTTTCAACTTTGGCAGGAGAAGGATACCGAGCAACGTCGTAGACAACGTGTTGACCTGCAAGTCCTCTTCCCATCCATATCCCGAGGTTTCGTAGCTCGTATTGAACACCCCAGCATTCAGAGTTGCAACATCCAAATGTTCCAGTTCTTTGTCGATCCGTTGAGTGAATTGGGTGATGCTGTCGTAAGAGTTCATGTCGAGTGTCCAGACCTCAAATTCACTTGCTTCGCCGACTTCTGCAAGAAGTCGCGTCTTGACCGCCTCGCCTTTGGTCTCATCTCGTGCTGTGATGATAATTTTTGAAGCTCCTAGTTTTGCAAACTTGACTGCTGCTGCGTAGCCTAATCCAGAGGTAGCGCCGGTAATCAGGATGGTGCGGCCTGTGAAGGATTCTGTGGACTCGGCGGGGAGAGTACCCCATTTGTTTCTTACTATCTCCATGATCTGCGACATGGTGTTGGTTGTCAAGAACACAGCGTTATCACTCTTTTTGTTTAAAATGGCTGCAGTGTGTCGTGCACTGCGGAGAAGAGACGGTAACGGCGATCTGGTGTGTTTAAGTTGCACAGATTCCGACAAAGGGCCGAAGACGGGTAATTCATGAAACTTTGTTGTCAAGCGCTTTGGGACGATCCGGAGGCTAGCGGGTAGTCCATTACGCATATATACCAAGATCTTGTAATTCCGCGACCAGATACTCGTAAGGTTGTAAGGGGTCTAGATGCGCTATCAATCCGACTTCTGTATTCCTAATACGGACAAGCTAGGCTGAGAGTGAATATAGGCTATGGACTTTGTATGCGATTCGACACTATGCAAAAGTGTCAGGCGAGAGCATAATACTAGTACATAAGATATGGTCATTAAACATTAAACTCTGCGAAACGCGAGTCGATTACAAAACTTTTAATTTCCATACCATCCATCAAGACCACACATACCCGTAGGCAGAATATCGTCTTCGATGACGGAAGTGGTGAGCGGCGCCCAACAATCCACCTCGTCGGTCCAGCCTTGCAACGAGGTGTCTAGATAATCCTTGGGTGGGACAGGTGGTGGTGCGGATGTTCGAGGGGGTGAGGAAGACTTCACTATCTTGCTGTAGGCCAAGCGTACCAGTGCCGCTGCGTCTTGCTCCGGCGTGAAGTACTCGAGATAATCTTGGAGTTGAGGAATCGGGTTCCGTTCAGGATAGCCCTCGACGCGTCCAGTCGAGTGCTGGTTCCAAGCGCAATTCGTGAGGCCGGGTTGCGTAAGAAGCAGCCGCTCCCACTGGTGATATATGGCTGGCCGTTGAAGCAGAGAGTATATAACCTTGCTGTGATACCAATTCATGTTCGTTAGTCCTTCCTTCTCCATGTGGCGCGCGACATGATCGCATCTCTCTGTCCAATCGGTGCTAAAATGACAGCAGAAGCCACATCCCCAGCCAGTCCTGGTCATGCGCCTTCGTTTCGCAGAGATTGCGTGAGCCTTCTTGCTACGTGTTGTGGTGTCGGCGCAAGAGGTGCATCGATGTTTTTCTTTATGGTGTTTCGTAAAGTCCTTTTCCAGGAAGTAGATAGCAGGGCATAGGTCGCACTTGAACATCTCAGGGCGCTCTTGGTAGGTCTCTTCATGGCGCTTCCAATCCGCCTTCTCGACAAAAGGTCTTTCGCAACTGGTGCAGAAGTACTTGTGCTTTTTGCTGCATATGCGGGATTGCTTGGTCGCTGAGACGCATGTCTTGAAGTAGTCTCTCTCTGGCGCAGCAGGTCTCTTGCTTTCCTTTGCCTTGACAGGCCGTGAACAGGGCTTTTCGAGCGCACTAACGACTTGCGAAGCCACTTGAGTAGGCGCATGACACAACAGATGCTCGGCCATCAGAAAATGTTGGTGTCTCGACATATTGGAGGTGTGCGAGTATCCTGATGCAGACGAAGACATCGAGTCTCTTAGTGGTGTGTGGGAAAAGGTGCTGTTATTTGACGACCGATAGCTGGAAGGTACTGATGAAAAACTTGAAGCTGAGAGGTGTTGCGATGAACCGGATCGTTGGCGCATAGCATTCGCAGTTGGCCATTGTCGGGAATTCTGTTCGAAGTTCTCTGTGATCATGATCAGTTTGAGTTTCTATAGAGGAAACGATTATGGTCCTACACACCGACAGGGCTTTGCTCGTAATCGATGGGACTGTTCAGCTGATTCTGCGAGTACCCATACATTGGATGTGTACCGTTCAACGTCTCATAACAAAAGTCTTCGAATGTATCGTAGTTGTAATGCGAACCAGCGCTGGAATGTTCGTGACCGCTCATGGTGCAAATGGTAAGAAACGTAAAAGAGAGTAAAGATACGGAGTGCGCGCAGCGCTGAAGATTGGAAGAAACTCGTCGTAATCAACACGCAATCGGTTTCCCCATTGTTGGACATTTAAACGCAGCCATGTTCTCAGCCTCAGGCATGGCTATCGGCGAAGAGGTTAGCGTGGTGGGGGAGGCGCGGTTCACCAGCTGAAACGCGGCGAACGCTGATGGCAGCCGTTTCATGGCCTGTCCGTGTTTCGAAACAACAGGCAACCAGAATAACGGAACGCCGTCATTGGATCCAGGTGACGCATCATGCCCATACGTGCAGATTTGTATCCCCGACGCTGTTGACCGGTTGCGATGAGGAAATACGATGCGAGGGCGAGTGGTTGATGGGGAAGGCTGAAACCGCGGTAGGCGAATAGGCGATGGTTTGCCAAGAACCAGGACGAAGGTAGCGAAAATGTCCGTCGGTATTAATAAGTCGTTGCCGCATACCATGCTGACGTGCATGTATTCGATTTTTTTCAGAGTTCATCCAGAAGCTGACATCGCCGTCGAAGTGAAGCTTACATGCGTTCGCCCAACGCTGGAAACCTCCACGCAGCATCTTGCCATCTTGACCGACGTTTAAGGATACTCCGGTATATGCCGACCCTGCCACACCAATAGGTGTGTTACTGCAGAGGGGTTCTCCGCAGAGTAAGCCCAAAAAGTCGTTCGATATTGCTGTTGTCACAGCCTAACAGTCGTTGCCCTTCATAAGGACCCCCTAACAGGTTCTTGACCACGGACGCCAGATGTTTGCCTCAATCAAGCGCTCGTTGAGTTCTTCGTCAGTCAAGTACGCCCTGTTAGGGGGCCCTATGAAGGGACTTTCAAGACCACGCCAAGGGTCGATTGAGCGCACGCTCACTGGGGCGGAGGTCATTTGCGATGATTGGGAGCTTTCGCTCCCGGGAGAGGGAGGAGAATCAAACCTCGGCTCCTTCTTGAACCTCTTCCTGAGGCGGTCCTTGGGGGCTTTCCACAGGTTCTTCTTCACCCACTTCTTGGTTTTGGGGCAATCGAAGGCCATCGTGTAGTAGTGATGATAGTATGATGGTGTGTAGAAAGAGATGTGATGTTAAATGGTGAGAGTTTGCCAATTGGCGTTGAAATACCCATCTTACCACTGGCTTCTCTCACCCTTTCCAACACAAGGTGACTGGAGATGCCATGTGGGCTTCAGACGTAGTGATTGGCAAACACACTGGTCTGAAGTGCCTCGTTGTCGTTGCTGCTTTGGTGATTTGGCGCTAGTGCGGCGAAGGGGGCAGAAGACAATGCTCCGACATACTACCACCGCAATCTTGTACACAATGTTCACACAACCCACCCTGCTGATTCTCAAGACGATCTGCAGAAGCTGACAGAAGACTTCCAATCTCATGAGGTCAGCCAGGGGGATCATACTGCCACTCTCCACCGCCACTGAAGCTCGTGAGGGCCGTCGCAGCAACTCCATTCGGAGCGCTCTGCGTCGAGGCAAAGCATCAGCTACCTCCTGGGACTCACGAAACCCCTAGCTCCGCATGGTTTAAGCCCCATACTGTCTACTCTTGAAGGCCCCCGCGGAGAAGGGCTCAGGAAACGCTCCAGAGCTGCTTCCGCCGCCACGAAAGGCGACAGCTATGACCCATGGTAAGGCGCTCAGCGGCCTAGGAAGAAGTTCACCTCACGCAGATTGACCACTCGCAGACATGAGCTCGCTATTGACTCGCTCTGCGGCTCTGGAATTACCCCGCGGTAGAGAACCAGACGCCTACAATCATCGAAACCTCGTGTCGAATCCCCGAGTCGCGAACCCCGCAGTCCCGGCAATGATAACAAGTCCTCATGGGCTACGCGGCAAAGCTTTTTGTACGTACCGTCACGCCTGTAAAGCCTTCTAGCTTCACTAGACCGCGCCAACGATGGGGTTGCAGGGGCGCCTCGAGAAGCGGACAACCCCCGGAAAAAGAACAAAGGATGGACACGAACAAGGACCGACGCTCCTGCCCTGACATTGACAACGAAGCACAACCTACTGCGAAGAACATGATATACCTCCGCCTCTTTGGCGCATGCAGCCACTTGCTCAGAGACCGAATCGCGCCCCGCGGTAGTGGCACTACAAACCGGATATTTTGATCGAATCATCCGCGCGGGCGACACGATTGCCACGAGTAAGATCATCCAGGCGCGGCTTGCCTGATGAAGGGCATGATGACGCGGCGATACAGAAAGACAACTCACCTATCGAGGGCGACGCACCGCAGTGCCAGACAGCTTCCAGAAACCGTTGCGAATCCTACGGCAGGTCGCGCTGCAAACATCAAGGCAAGGCTTCGAATAATGAAAAGGCTCTGCCACAGGCAATTTCCGGAACACCATGCACCCACACAAAGTCCCTGCAATGGCAGGCTGCGACGATGGACAGCAGCGTCCACAGGCAACGGCGCGGCCATAGGTCAGGAGCACAATACTACCGTCCAGCTCAACATGCAGACGTGGATGAAAATGCAAAGAATATGGACCGTCAGGAACTCGATGTCGTCGAATCCATGGTCGCCAGGCGAAGATGCGCCTGCTCAACGCAAACATGAAAGAAAGTAGGGAATGGGGTTCATATCTTGTCTTTCTTATAGACGTAACTTTTCTCAAAAGCTGGGAGGGACTTGCCGAAATGACCATGGTTGTCGATCCAGAAGTTGGGTACACATCTTCCGGTCATCTCAACTCTGGACAGACAACGGATGAGCAGACCTGCACTGAAGCTTTCAGATGGCAAGCTTCAACGCCTGAGAAGGCTGGGAACGGGAAGGAGCGCCTTGAGCCGCCTCGCTGCAATCGCAAGCTGGTCGTTCTGGGTTTGATCGCTAATCTGCCGAAACATGTTTGAGTTCCAGACATGCTGCAGCTTCATACCAACCAGCGCAGTCCGAAGAGCCGTTCGAGCGTTGTCTGGAAGGTCGGACCCCTCGAATTCCAAGCTCTTGATCACACCATGATGTACCTCCATCTGGAGGCCGATGTCGTCCTTGGGGTCGAGCATAAGATTAAAGCGTGGAGTCTGAGACCACATCCACTCGTCCGTCTTCAAAGGTTAGCGACGACAATGAGAAAAGGATGAGCAGTATGAAAGTACCTGTAGCTCGTCATATCCCTTCCGGACATCGGGAATGTTTAGGTGCTCTTCGCCAACAGTTTCCACTATGCTTGGATTTCCGAGCTCGGCATACATTGAGGCAAACTCGTCTTGTAGACGTCGCTTGAATGGTTCTACCTCAAGACCGATGTTGGAAACGGGTGAGCTAACGCTTTCGACACCCTGAGCTTGTATGAAGTTCTTAGCCGGAGATCGCAAGTAGTCTGATATGATGTGCAGGTTCGGCGAGCTCAACAACGTCGTCGCGTGGTGTAAGGCGCGCTGGCGCGTGAGCTTGTATGCTGAGCCAGAAACCTTGAGGGGTCTTGGTCCACCCTGATCGGTGGTATAGGGCGTGCGATGCGTGTCCTGAGGGTCGGCCGTGTGTTTCTCATGCCCTTGGTCGAGAACAATGTCGTGTCGCTCGTTGACTCTGGCGCGGTCGATACCCAGCCTCCGCAAAGCGCGGACTACCATCTCCGCATGCTTGTCGCGCGTGAAGTCGCTGCGGGGACATGTAATGCTCCAATTGAGGTTGCCCTCGTCATGGAAGACGGTGCCTCCACCTGAGCGGCGGCGTACAAGGTCGACGGTACCGATGGCTGGTGGCTCGCTGTCTTTGACGTCGTGTTCCCCGCGTGCAGCATTGAGGATTCCCAGATTGACCTCAGTCCATGGGTTCTGGTTACGCCCAATAACGACACACGGCCTGTTCACGTACAGAAATAGAACCGTGCTGTCGGCAGGACTCTTGCGGAGAATGTGGTCCTCGATAGAGAGGTTGAGCGAGGGGTCGTCGCTGCGGGATATGTAGCTCTGCAGTTTGTTGGCGGGGTCGGCGAGCTTGTCGGTGAAGGACGAGTAAGTCCCGGCGCTGAGTGTGCGTCGTAGCTGAGGAAGGAGCGAATTGATTGAGGAAGTCGCTGACCTGGCTGTCCAAAGCCCAAGGAAGCTGCGACGAGCTGCAGGCCGACCAAGAGTCGGGCATGCACATCGCGAGAAGACGGCTTGGGAGCTCGACATAGTCAGACCCCTCGATGGCGCCATGACGGTCGGGCCCAGGTTGGTGTTGTGAACATGGCGTGGGTGAGGCGTTGAAGCCGCCAAAGGCCCCACGGCATCCCCGAACTAGCAAGCACCGCCGACCGGCCCCATTCTTTCCAACGTCAAACCTCCCACACACCGACGACATTCTCTGCCATCGCCTCCTCCAGGGTGCTCAGAAGGCCTATCTATTCTGTTCCCATCGCCTGCATCACCAGTTCCGAGGTTGGCAGTGCCATGCATCGTATCTGGGTTATTGCTGCCCTTGAAACCCCGCCTTGGGGCTGAACGTGGAAGCCACTAATTATGACCGCATTCCTTTGCACCCACGACGGCGTAGCCTTTGCAGACCTTTGCAATCGTCACATGCTTACTTGAGACCTTTGTGAAGCATCTGGTACCTGCTGTACGCCTCATGGGTTCGTACTGCTGCTTTGACACCGATTGCAAAAGTGCGTGTCTTTCCTTGCCGCCGGAGGTCCTGGACTGGTATAATGCTTTCTTCATCATGTCATCATTCAGTCTTCCCATTGTCTACGTCAAACTCCATAGCCTTCTCGTATAAGGATTTCATATATTCCGTGGCTACATCCCACTACGGTCATGCTCGCGATCGGTCCACCTCCGCCCGCTATCTCGCCTTTACCGCTGAGATTCCCACCACCATCAAAGCAGCCTCAACAGAACGACCCTCAACACCAAGACGGTATGGTTTCTTCGGAAGAAGAGAACTATTGCTCAAAGTCCCAAGGATCAACATCTACTCATTGTGGAGCGACGAACTCAAGACTTCTTCATCAAGTCATCCAGATCTGTTGGCGCAGCGGTCGATTCCGCTCTCACTTCAAGAAGAACATGGCTAACGCGTTCGAAACAGTCCCACTACCACTGATTGTTTTCTTTGCGGCCGCTATAGGCTTATGTCAGGCTTCGGCCAATTTCCTGCGTTCTAGCGGGCTTCGGCCATCTTCTTGATTAAACGCTACGGTTTGTAGAAGGGACGGATGGATATCTGGTAAGTACACTCTCCCTTCCTAATGATCGTTGTAGCTAGCAGATCTGGATTGTATGACCCCTTTTTTGCTGACGTGTTATGTAGCATGCAGCACATATCTTTCCCTTAGCATGTGGTATGCACAATAATCTCCGCATCCACATACCTCATACGCCCTTCTAGCTCTCCACTTCTTCTGTCCAATATCGTTACCTTACACTCAGATGCGCCATGTCAGATCATAGAGTTGATGTTGCTGCGGGATGTCTCTACACGTTTGCAAATTAGCGAGCTACAATGCTGTTGCTAGGCCACAGAAAGTCGCAAACGCGTCAAAACGAACCACAACAGTCTCCTTTCACACGCAGCAGATACCACAGTCACCTCCAAACTCTCCAACTACTCAATTTCATCAGGGAGAGATTCCAAACCTACCTTCGTTATATAACCGCCTCCCCGAACCCAGCATCTCATCAAGTTCATTACAATAGCGTGGTGGTCCATCCCACCCCTTCACACCGCCCCATCGGTTTGTTCGATCCCCGCTGACATCAACTCTCAGCGCTCCGACCGGCCTAACCTCACCGGGTTCTAGTGATGGGACACCCAGTGCCTATGGGATTAGGGTACAGTCAGCACGTTCGCTAACCATGCAGCAGAGCTGTCACAGGGGAGCCATAACAACGTAAGTACAAAATTCCCAAACACAATACAACACTACACTACGCTATTCGAGATGAACTTTTTTTTTCGCTATCGTCATGCAGTTGTTGTCTCAAAAATGGCACAAGAGGGGATTGAACACCGCACTCTCTACAGACGATCAGAGCATCTTCTAATTATGTCTTTCTTCTAGCTGTAGAAAAAAATTGGAGACGCTGGAAGACATGTTCGGGTAGAAAAGATATGTGCTTCAGCCAACTTACTCTTTTTGCCCTTATCTTGGCGCATCACAATCCCACTATATACTCACTCCCCACCACCACGATCCTCCTTGACCAAAACACCGCTCGAACCCCACCGAACCCACTACAACATTCGCACAACACGTTCCCTCGCCTTACATCAACACTTACAAGTCCTTACGTCCACATCCTTACGTCCACGTCCTTGCAAAGCGCACGATCGTCCATCTCCGGTGCTATCCCGCTGCAACCCTTCACGACCCCGTTCCAGCCGCAGACATGTTTCCAGATCAGCGGCTATGGACGCTCCCTATGTTGACGAACTGTACAATAGCGCACAAGATTTCCAAATCACGAGGCATTGGATGTTCCGTCCTCGTGGTCATGTGTAGCATCGTGGTGCCGAGGAGAACGAGCAAACCGGGAAGTCGGACAGCTTCAGTGGACAGTACCAGGATATTGTCAGCCAAACCATCTTCACAAAGCAACGCCAGAACACCAGCGCCTCGTTCGATTTGGAGTAGAGTGTTGGGCACATGAAAAGAGCAGTCCGGGGCGATACATAGGCCGACAACTTTCGAGACTTTTCACACAATACCGTGGATAGACGCACCGCGCTCCTGAGACTTTTAGTAGCCATCACCATCTATACTACACTCTCACTTGGACCAAAGACCACGAAGGCACTAAATGCCGTGAGATAACTGACAAGACGCATCAGAGACCGAATCGCCGAGGCCGTTAGAGCGTAACAACAAGAGACTTTCGCAGATACTTTGCAGCATCAGGCCCGATCGGACAATTGCGAAGACGACAGCGGCATCAAACGGCGACGATAGCGATAACCAATGACAGCATCGGAAGCAAAAATGAGAAGGAGGAGGATGCAGTGGTGTACCCGGTCAGTGAACACGCTTCTCGATGACAGATGCCTTGGCGAATGTATATGGTGTTTCACGCATCGGTGGAAGCCGCGAGTGTGGGGCAACTTATGTCAACAAGCTCCGGATGTCCACATGATACGACGCGTGTGGACGTGGCTACGAGCATGGTTCCAAACAGCCTCATAGGAAATAACTTTTTGATAGCAGGAAGGACGACTAGAGCCACCTGGTCATACCGTAACGTGTGACGAGAATTGGAACAAAGGTCCCATGGGCATTTGAAGTGTACGCAGGAGGCACGAGCAAGAGCGAAGATTTAAAGATCAGTCCAATGCTAGCGGAACAACTGCAAGCGCAGTCGAAAAAATCCCAATTGAATATGACCGCTTCTCCTTATTCTAGAACATCAGGATACGGTGCGTATCCGACGCTGCAGGCCCTGTCTACATGTACACTCCTATGGACAGTAGGACCAATTTCGAAAGCACGATTACCAGCCCTCCAACTCCTCTCCCTTTGTCTCCAAACTTGGCGGCTGAACAGGCATTCCCTTCTTCAACGCACCGACAAGCGGATCTTTACTCATCAAGTCCTGTATCTTGTCCTCAGTACTAACATCAGCTTTAACCCGCTTATATGCCATTCTGCTTGGCTTATCAACCACATTCAAGAATTTCTCCCTCCGCGCGTCAGACCACGCAGTCAACAGCTTCTCGTCATCAGAGGCCTGGCCCATGAGAACGCGGATGAGCACTTCCGAAAGCGAAGATGCGTCTGCCATTCCAGAAGCGAGACCAAGTCCTGCGTACGGATTCGTCAAGTGCGCCGCATCGCCTACCAGACAGACGCGGGCGTCGTGGTGGTATAGCGAGGGTACGAGGCGTTGTTGGGCTTTGTATGGTGCTACCCGGACGACCTCATATCCTATGTCGCCATTCTCATTGCGTCCGTCGTTCGGCATCATGACGCGCAGTTTGTCGTCCAGGGTCCGCTTGATCTCTTCTTCGGAAACGCCAATGGGTACGCCGTAACTTACGCGCCACAGCGCTGGCTTACCATCCGCTGCATGGTTGATACGGCCAATGAGACCGTAATTTAGCGGATCCATGATGAAGTTTGCGTCGTAGAAGCCGTGGGCATGGAAGTCGAAATAGAGATCCGTAGCTACGAGCTGAGCGTCGAGTGTCTCGCCTTCCAGACTGATACCCAGGTCTTTCCGGATGATGGAGTGGGCGCCTGATGCGTCGATTAAATAGGCTGCTTCGATGGTCTCGTCGCCTAATTGCATTGAAGAGGCTTCGGGCGTGATCTGGATGCTGACGCTGCTTGGTGTCGGCTTGAACGAAGTGACGCTGGTTCCAATTCTTACTTCTGCTTTTCCTTCCAGAGCAGCTAGGCGCTTCACGAGGACTTGCTGGAACTTTCCTTGTGGTAGTAGGAGTTGACCCTTTCCTTTCATCCCTTCGCCAGAGTTGTCAAAGGTCTTGCCTGCAATCACTTTGCTGCCGGTTTGGACGCTTGTTCGGAAACACAGACCTGAGCTCAAACTTCCTGTCTTGACCAGCTCAGGCAGTAGACCTTGAACCTTGGACAAGATGGGGTATGTGGGTGGTTGATGGGCCATTGCGCGAGTCGACGTGGGGTCCGGCTGCTGCGGTTCGATAACAATCACTTTGTTGGGGATATCAGATTGAGCGAGGAGCAGGGCTAGGAAGAGCCCAACACAGCCGCCTCCTGCTATCACAATTGGGAGTGGTTTCGCATTGGTGCCGTTTGTATGGGAGAAGCCGTAGGAGAAGTCGGTAGAACCGTTTGTACCGTTTGTACCATTTATACTGGAGCTGTCGAACGTATGATCGCTCGTTGCGACATTCGTGGTCGCCATCTTCGTTGTAGATAGTTCCGGGTCTCTGGTTTACGTTGGACGATTTATTGGTAAGTTGTTAGAGTGGAAGACGATTGGAGGATGTTGTTGTTGAATAAGATCTAGCTTCAAGATAAATTTAGTCCCGTACTCTTTCCATGAAAACCAGTCTTCATTATACGCATATCTATGTACGGCTTTGACCGGCTATGCGACGATGTTCCCGTTGACGTGGTGCTGTCATTATGGTACCTGCCGTAACGGCCCCGATGTGGGGAACCGGCGGCTTCAGCCTCAGGGTCCATTCAACGTCGAAGCTTGTTTTGGCAACCTCTACCGAAACACCAACGTCATTCGAACAAGCATAGAGTGCAACACAGATCTTGGTTTACGTTCATTCTAGCCACCTATGAGGCCCTTGGCATATCTGGCCGTTTAGCTGGTTATGTATCAAGCTCAACGAGTGACCGCCTCTACCATCAGTATCTTGTTTGCCAAAAGCTCTCTCTACCCTGGTATGCGCCCGAAGACCCTTCTAGAGGCTAGTAGTAAGGCGTTGGGTCGTTTATCAGGCAACTCACACATGCCTGATTTTGAACAATCAATCTTTCCATGGGTAAAGCTTCTGAATTGCCTCCTTGTCTCCATCAGAGATCCCTGTAGGCCACTGGACGGTCTCTGCGTTGGAATGATCTGGCGCATGCCCGTTACTGGGTGGTCCGTTCTTCCAGCGCACCAGAGGTAGGTTGGTGAGCCCGTGCATAAGATCTGCGGCGTTCGCCCAAGAAGAGTACATCATTATGGAGTTGTGGTCAATTAGTCTTCCATAACTATGGCTTTCATCTACCGTGTATAGTGCATATTCAGCCGCTTGCCAGAAGTTGAGCTCCTCCTTACTGGTACCTAGGTATCTTGATTCACAAGCCTGCTTGATGGTAAATCCCCATTCGGGGTGCGCCGCAATCGTATCTCTTGCTTCGATATAACCCTGCAACTTGGAGCAGTCGAAGTAGAGATCACGATCCCGGTCAAATCGTTGATGCTCATGTCTCAAGCCGAGGACATGACCTAACTCGTGAGCAACTTCGAGGACCCAATCCTCATACCTAGGTATCCAAGTATGAAGTGTCAAGGAATGTCGATCCCAATCGATACTTTCATCGTCATAGCCAACGGTGGACTGACTATATCCCAGGCTGTTCCATGATATCACGAGTGTACCCTCGGGGATCTCTGGATTCCATCCCCACGGATCTGGGAAGCCTTTGTAACAGCGGGGATGAGAGTTGGTGTTCTTGGAGTAATAGTGGCGGAAGCCGTCGAAATGATGACCATTTGTCGAACCAGGTCCTAACTTGTCGCGCCACATTTTATTCGCGCTGTCGACTACGGCAAACGAAATCAGCACTTGAAGGTCACTTGACATGAGTTGTAGCTAGTTGAACTTACCTACGTCCTTGAGTGCCGAGTACGACGCATGGGAGTCGAAGCAGTAGTAGATGTACGTCACCTTGCCTGATGCGCTATTCTTGGGCCAAGTGGTGATGACTGGATTGCTGGGGCCAATGGGACTGGTCCAGCCATTGCCTCCCTTGGTTTGCAAGTCGGCGATATACTCTTCGACTAGCGAACTATTGGTGAGGCGAGGGTTGTTGAAAGGGAACATGCACGCCGAGGCCAGTGTTACGAAAAGCCAACTGAGGAGGAGGGTGAGTAGCCCCATGTTGATAGTATTGCAAACTAGACAGGATAAAGAATGTAGGTGTGGGAATATAGAGGTGAGTAAAAGGCGGGTACAAAAGCGAGGGACAGCAGGGACACGCTCTTAGCTCAAGTTAGTTGACAAGTGAAAGAATGGTTGCCTGAATACAAGTCACAATATATGAGCACACGCTCTTAAGGCAAGGCACATTTTTAATAACTCGAATCCATGGCCCCAGAGCACCTAGGGTGCTTGTAAGTGGGAAATGGATCATTGAATTTTACTTCAGATGATGAGTTAACCGTACTCCTATGTGGCTTGCCCCGTTCGATTGTTACTATATCATATTACAAGGCAGATACATGAACGCCGTGCGTCTTGTAATGTGCATTTTCGAGTGCAACGTGCTATTGCACTTCTTCTCACATGGCTATGGCCGCGCGACCCGGACTCAACGTGCGCAGGATATACGATACGATGGCGATCTCATCGATGAGGCCGGCGAATACGAAATTAGTGATGGACGGATGGTCGACTTCGAGATTGGTTGGATGTCGGAAAAGCATCTCTCGTATGGCCGTTGGCTAAATGCGCCAAGCAAACAAATGGATGATGGTGGGAATAGGAAACATGAAAAGGTCAGGGGTATCAAAGAGCGAAGTCTTGTTCACGTCGGTGTTTGCGCTTTCAACTCCATCCCTCATGTGGTCTTTGGATCCCGTTTGTGGCTGACCATCCTTGGGAGGAGTCCGATTCTCAGAACTCGAAAAGCGAAGGAGGCATAGATTATCGTGATGGCCGAGTAGAACATAGGCTTGTAGTATTTCATCTCGTTGAGAGGTTTGATGGGTTGCGTGGCTACTCTTGGCCTGTTTGAGCTGGAGTGTGGTTGATGTTTCGACAGCTCGTCTACCCCGCGCACGCGTGCGCGTCGTTGCCGGTGGCACGAGGTGTATATGACAGATAACGCAATTCGTGTGGACTTTTGGTGAGAACAAGTTTGCGAATCTTATCACTGGCGTTGGTGACAGTGGGGGAGATGAGTTGGTCTGGAGACGAGACGGTGTTAGGTGAGATGTGGCTAGTGACGTACGCCACTCGTGGACCGCGTGGGCCGAAACATAGAACGGGACACGAATTGCCAAGTCAAGACATCCACGAATGCTCACTTAGATTCCCGATTGTTTCTTTCCTCGCTGATTCAAGTGTTCTTGATGCGGTAGCGACTGCATTACGCGTCTTTCAACATGTCTGCGCCGACCACGTCAGACCCCATACAACAAAGTGGTAGGTGAGCTTGCAGCTCTCGGAGGTGCCTATAAATTCCGCTTCTGGCTAACAGGCAATGGCAGGTACTTTGTCCAAGTCGCAGAAAAAGAAACACAAAAAGAAGGCGGCTGCTGCGAGCAAGGCGGACGAGACAGACAGCAAAGTGAATGGGGGGGACCACTCCAAGAGCGACGCCGAGGACCACGACGAAGATGCCGAGGATGAAGCTGGACAGACTGTACGCGATGACCCAGACGCCGACGACGTAGACGACGAACAGCCTCCGCTATCGCCTACCATACAAACAAATGGCACCCCACACCACAGCATTTCCTCGGCGATTGCCCTCGGATTGGCACGCTCACGTTCGCAACAAGGCATCTCTGCATCCCCGCCGCCGCCGTCAGACACCAGCGCACGCCTGGACGCGATAACCAAGGAGCGCGACGCGCTACGGCAACAAGTCACGGAGTTAAAGAGCGCTGCAACGTCCGATGGCTCAAATTCAAACTATGAAGAAGAGATACGAAGCCTGCGGGAGGAGCTCGACGAAGCCAACGAGGGCAAAGAGCACTTTGAGACACAGTACAAGAACTTGCTGGGCAGGGTCAATACCATCAAGACTAGCCTGGGCGATCGATTGAAGGCGGATGCGGTACGTGTTGCTCGAGACATGCCTGTAAGAGTGCTGACCATGTGCAGGCCAGAATCGAGGAATTCCAATCGCAAATCTCCGACCTCGAAGAACAGACGCGCGAGTTACAAGAGAATAACAATAGCCTTACAGAGGAGCTCGCAAAGTTGCGACAAGAAAAGGAGGCTCAAGCATCCGAGATCGAGACACTGCGAAGCAGGTCGAACCTCTCACAACAAAACTGGATCAAGGAACGCGACGAACTCATTTCGCGCGAAGCATACGCAAGAGAAGAGTTTGAAAATGCCAAACAAGCCATGCAAGACTGGGAAGTTTTGGCCATGAACGAGCGGTCCCTGCGTGAAAACCTTGCTGAAAAGGATGCCGAGCTGCGCGACCAACTCGATTCGATGAGAGAAGAGTATGAAAGAGCTGCTAGGGACAGGGACACCAACAACCAAGCCGTAGAAGGTTTACAAAAAGCGCTACAAGAAGTCCAAAATCGTAAGTCGTCATCCAATCGTTCCATCAACTTCTGCTGACCATCCGACAGTGCGGAAAGCTGAACTCAAAAAGTCGGTCGAAACCTACGAATCGCAAATCAACGATCTCAGGAAACAAGTCCAAGCCGCCGAATCAGCATCCGCCACGGCCAAAGCCACCTTGGACCAAACGCAAAAAGATCTCGAGCGCGCCCTGCCCTTTGAAAAAGAGGTCAAAGAGAAGAACCTGCTCATTGGCAAACTCCGCCACGAAGCTGTAACACTAAACGAACATCTGACAAAGGCGCTGCGCATATTGAAAAAGGGGCGGCCGGAGGATAACGTTGATCGGCAAATCATCACGAATTACTTTTTGCACTTTTTGAGTATAGATCGGAGTGATCCAAAGAAGTTTGAGGCGTTGCAGTTGATTAGCGCGTTGTTGGGGTGGACGGATGGTAAGATGCTCCTTCTCCTTCCAACTCCATCATGTCACTTTCGATTTGGGTGTAGCTGACGGTCGTTGCAGAGCAGAAAGAGCAAGCAGGTCTTGCCCGCCCCGGCACAGCTACCTCGAGTGGCAGCCTCCGCCTTCCTTTATCGCCGTTCAGGCGCACGCCGTCGACGCCGAGCTTGAGTGCGGCGGCGGCGGATCCCATGCTCATGGCTAGTAGCTCTAGTAACAAGGAGTCGTTGGCTGAGCTATGGCAGGACTTCTTGGAGCGAGAGGCTGCCGAGGGCAAAGTTGGCGCGGAGAGGAGGGGGAGCAATGTGTCCCGGGCGGGGAACACTGTAAGTCCACCACCGAGGACGGAGAGTGGGCTGGGGCTCAGTGGGATGAAGTGATACGCTGCAAGGGGTGTAAGAATAAAGTTGCATGTCTCAAGTGCACTTGGTATGATAGATCGAAGGTGTGAATGACACCTTGAACTGCTTCAGCTAGTCTTGATCAGCCTGTGCTGTGTATCCTAGTCCTTCAAGTATCGTGTTGTTACATTTCTCATGTACAAGTATTCCTAACGCCTGAACGCACTCATGTGTGCTTTACACGCAGAGTGGCATGTGCTTTGCACGCCCCCCGGGTCTTTTTTCCAGCCTCTCGCCGAGTGTATGCTTCATTCTCTACTGACCAGCTCTATAATTCCGTCATCACCTTTTCCAGCCGGTATGCTTCAATATTTGCTCCTCCTTCTCTTTCCTTGGATCGGGCATCATAGTTCGCGCTCTTTGGGCTGCTTCTCGCTTTTCGCGTCCGAGTTGCTTAGCCATCTTCTTGGTTGGTTGGCGGATGGACCAGTTGAGCTGGCCGAAGATGTTGGTCTTGATGGCTGTCACATGGGTTAGCCAAGGGTTTTGACCACGTTGGGACATTTGAGGTTACACACCATCCACGCAGTAGGGGCACAGGATATGTAACCGCTTGACCCTTCCACACCCAGAGCATGTGTTCAGCGACGTAATGTCTTTTAGGCCCTTGCCCGCCATGAAGCGTTGTCGCTTCTTGCGGTATGACGTCTTCTTCTTGGGCACCGCGTTGAGTATGCCGTCCCAGATGTCGGCTAGTGACGGTATCGAGGGGAGAGACAGCGAGGGTATGGCGAGGGCGCCGAAGGGTGTGCTGATTGCCCCAAAAGGCTGTGAGAGGCGCTGCGGGAAGTTGGGGCTGAGGACGGGCCGCATTGGGCCATTGAGGCCGGGCAGCAGCGTCTGCCACAGCGGAGGGAGCGGGCGGGCGAGTGCCATGGCTTGCGGGGTCACTATGTGATGTTGGTGATGGTGTTGTAAAATGTCTCTGCACCCCAGTAGTCGGCGGGTCCGAGCTCTTGGGCGCGCGCCCACGGCCTTACCGCCAGAACACTAGCGCGCTTTCGCTTCCTAGCTGCCCCCTTTCCCGCGCCTGCATCTCCACGAGAAAGTCGCCAGCGCAGCGACCCTGACTATTTACTCTATTACGACGACACCTCGTACCCTTTTCTCCCCCCAAAGCTCACCCTCACCCGCACCCACACGCCTCCATCACCCAATTCTCCGGAGTCGAGCCTCTCATCACTCACAATGGCTGCTCCATACAACCAGAACCAGTCGCAGCCCATCTTCCCGGACAGCTATGTCGGTTTCGACAGCATCACCAAGCAGATTGAGAGGAAGTCGGTGAAGCGGGGTTTCCAGTTCAATGTCATCTGCGTTGGTATGAGGGTTGAATAGCCACCTGTCACGACTGCTTCTAACGCTACACAGGACAGACTGGTCTCGGCAAGTCGACGCTCATCAACACCCTCTTCGCCTCGCACCTCATGGACAGCAAGGGTCGCTTCCAGCCCGACGAGGAGGTCCGCAGCACCACCAACATCCACCCCGTCTCACACATCATCGAGGAAAACGGCGTCCGTCTGCGCCTCAACATCGTCGACACGCCCGGTTACGGTGACCTGATCAACAACGAGCGCTGCTGGGACCCCATTGTCAAGTACATCAAGGACCAACACAGCGCCTACCTCCGCAAGGAACTCACCGCCCAGCGTGAGAGGTACCTCCAGGACACACGCATCCACTGCTGCCTGTTCTTCATCCAGCCATCTGGCCACGCCCTCAAGCCCATTGACATTGTCGTCCTCAAGAAGCTGAGCGAGTTTGTCAACGTCGTACCCGTCATCGCCAAGAGCGACAGCTTGACCCTCGAGGAGCGTGCCGAGTTCAAGCACAGGATAAAGGAGGAGTTCCAGTTCCACAACCTGCGCATGTACCCCTACGACAACGAGGAGGACGACAACGAGGAGGTCCAGGCAAAGCAGGCCATCAAGGTGAGATTCCCCATTGCCGCATTACCACGGGGCAGCAGCTAACTTGCAGCAGGAGCTCCTTCCCTTTGCCGTTGTCGGCTCTGAGAGGACCGTTGTAGTCAATGGCAAGAACGTCCGTGGCCGCCAGAACAAGTGGGGTATTATCAACGGTAAGCCAGCCAGCTAGCTACATCTGTTTCCACACGAGCTCCACTAACACGTACCAGTCGAGGACGAGAACCACTGCGAATTCGTCTACCTCCGTAACTTCCTCACCCGCACCCACTTGCAAGACCTGATCGAGACGACCGCACAAATCCACTACGAGTCGTTCCGCGCCAAGCAGCTGCTTGCCCTCAAGGAGAGCTCTCACCAGGGCCATTCCTCGCGTCCCATCTCACCCGCTGCCGACCGCGAGCTTAGCAGGAACAGCCAGCGCATGACCATGAACGGGTACTAGGAGTTCCCAAATCATAATCGCGTCGATAGCAGCGGTGGCAAGCTGCCGAGCATGCGCGGCGGTGGAGGGCTAGAGCCTCGCATAGACAGACCTGTCCCCATGATCGATGCTATCTGAGTGGGAGTGCGTTGGACGGGCGATTTGCGTTGCGGACATGTTTTGATACCAGTGCATCATCTAGCACGAAACGGAGGGACGAGCCAGAGCACGGGAGAGTGGGTGACTTTGTGACACTTCAGATTTGACAACCTTTCTCAAATATCCTTTTAGTTACGATGGAACCTTGATACTTTTTCTTCTTCTCGTATGTCATAGCACGGTGTAGTGGTTGTTGGGCTAAGACGCTGGGTAGTGCCCGGTAGGATAGCAAACTAATTTGAAGCCTAGCGCTTTTCTCAACTTTTTCTTCTTGTTGCTGCCATGGATGGAAGTGATACGATTGACGTGTTCGCGCTATAGAACAGCGCTTTGGATGGTCATGGTGGCGGCAGGTCCTGCTGTCCAGAGTTGTGTGATACTCAGCCCGCGTTGTTGGACGAGCAAAGATACCATAAAGACCAGCATGTCTTCCGGTGCTTACTCGCGGTTTTTGTTACTCCATCGAGTCAAAGAGTGGCACGGTGTCCGGGAGATTCTGGTCCCAATGCGGCTGAACAAGTAGCGAGATTAAAGGCAACTTTCAGCGCAACGATTCTGATCGCCTCAACGCAACAACTTCGATCCTGCAAAGTCCTCCATACTGTCATCTCCCTTCTTTGCATTCCCGCCTGCAGTCTTACTCTGTCCAGTGACGCGCACAGGACCGGTCTTGCTTTTTCTGCCAGCCGGTGCAGGAGAGCCGTCAGGGGATTTTGAAGACAAAGTGTCATCCGTCTCCCCCACGATACGTTCAATGACTTTCGCCTTGGCCCCGGCACGTTTAAATCTGTCGTCAAAATCCGCGACAGCTTCTTCCGTATTCGCCGTATCGAATGTTTCAGGATCCGTCAACGAATGCAATAGTGTAGTATTATTCTTTAGCCTCTCGTTTTTGGAAAGCAGAGGCAGGGTTTTGTTTTCGGGCTCTGTCTCGTCGGCTCCTTTGCTGTTGTTGGGAACAAGACTGGGGAGTCGTGAACCCCATATGACGCTTCGCCCGTGGAGGTTGCCGAGTTCAGCAAACTTTTCGAAACCTTTTTCTAGACCAAAGATTCGGCCCTACGTGTACGGAGGCATGGAAGTCAGAGAAACACATTATCGTCATTGCGTGGATCTGAGACTCACTTCGATCCGGCCGGCATGTGCTCCATCTGACGCGCCAAGGTCGTAGGCGGCTGTGTAGAGGGTGTCTTCTAGAGTTAGGATATCGTCGAAGGGATCGGTCTCGGATGCCATTATGATGAGTTTTACAGATTCTTGGAACCGAAATTTTTATTGTGTCCCTTGCTAGTCACGATGTTTCTTTACTTGATGGTGCAGAGTCGGAGTCAGCCCTAGAGGGTCCAGCCGACTCTGTGGCGTCACTGTGGCTGGCGGGGTAAGTTTTGGCGGGGCAGCTGCACCACACATCCACTGTGTGTGTGCAGCCGTTCGCGTTTGACTCAGAAACTCATTCAAAGAAACATTGAGCTGCATATACCCGTGTTGCGCCCTCACGAATCCCGCACTATCTCCACAATCAACCACATAGTTCCGAGTGTACCCGAGTAAGCTCAGAGTATCCCTTCCTCTATTCAGCTCCCCCAAACTAAATCACAGAAGCATACAACCTCTCATGACTGGGTCAAAGAAGATCCTCCCCGTCGAGGGCGAGCGCAATGTGCTCATTACTAGCGCACTGCCCTACGTCAACAACGTACCCCATTTGGGCAACATCGTCGGCTCCGTACTCTCGGCCGATGTCTTCGCCCGTTTCTCTCGCGCTCGCGGATACAACACACTATACGTCTGCGGAACAGACGAGTACGGTACTGCGACCGAGACCAAAGCCATAGAAGAGAAGGTCACTCCGAAAGAGCTGTGCGACAAATACTATGCGCTACACAGCGAGGTGTACAAGTGGTTCAACATCAGCTTCGACCACTTCGGACGCACACCCACCCAACAACAGACCGACATTGCACAAGATATCTTCACCAAACTCTACAAGAATGGCTTTCTGGAGGAGCAAACCACAACACAACCATACTGCGAGACACACAAGAGCTTCCTTGCAGACCGATTCGTCGAGGGCACATGTCCACTGTGCGCATACGAAGACGCCCGCGGAGACCAGTGCGACAAGTGCGGACATCTTCTTGACCCTCTGGAATTGAAGAATCCACGATGCAAGCTTGACGGCGCCACGCCAGTTCCACGCGAGACCAAGCACGTGTACCTTTGCCTGGATAAGCTACAACCCATGGAAGAGGAGTGGTTCAAAAAGGCGAGCAAGGAGGGAAACTGGAGTTCCAATGGTGTTCAGATCACTTCATCCTGGCTGAAGGAAGGTCTTAGGCCGCGTGGTATCACTCGTGATCTAAAGTGGGGAACAGCGGTGCCACTCGAAGTACGACAGATCATTGAAGATACACTAAGATCTAGCTGACCAGAAACAGGGCTACGAGGACAAGGTCATGTACGTGTGGTTTGACGCCTGCATAGGCTACGTCTCGATCACAGCAACCTACACCGAGGACTGGAAGAAATGGTGGCACAACCCCGAGCACGTCAAGCTATACCAGTTCATGGGCAAGGACAACGTGCCGTTCCACACCGTCGTCTTCCCCTGTTCGCAGATTGGTACCAAGGACAAATGGACTATGCTCAACACCATCTCGACAACAGAGTATTTAAACTATGAAAAGGGCAAGTTCTCCAAGTCAAGAAACATTGGTGTCTTCGGAAACAACGCCAAGGAAACCGGCATCCCATCAGATGTATGGCGCTACTACCTTCTTTCACACCGACCAGAGACTGGCGACACCGAGTTTGAGTGGGACGGCTTTATTGCGGCAAACAACAATGAGCTTCTCAAGAACCTGGGCAACTTCATTAACCGCGTAATCAAGTTCGTAAACAACGCCAAGATCTACGATTCAGTTGTGCCGGACTACACCAAGTTCGACGACGACTATTTCACCCAGCACAAGAAGAAGGTCAATGACTCACTAAAGACATACATTGCCGAGCTAGAGGATGTCAAGATCCGTGCCGCGCTTGCCACTGCGCTACACGTCTCAAGCTTAGGTAACCTGCTATTGCAAGACAACCGACTGGACAACAAGTTGGCAACCGAGCAGCCAGACCGCTGCGCCGCTGTTGTTGGATTAGCCTTGAGCCAAATCCATCTTCTCGCCAGTCTGATTCAACCATACATGTAAGTACTGCTTCTCTAGGGCTGTGCACTTCAGTCATACAACACGTGACTAACAGCATCACAGGCCCGACACCACCACCGCTATCCTATCTCAACTCAACGCCGAATTCCTGATCATTCCTGACACATGGGAGGCACGTTCCCTTCCTGTCGGCCACAAGATCGGCACCGCTGGCTACCTTTTCAGCCAAATCAAGCCGGAGAAGGAGCAAGAGTGGCGCGAGCAATTTGGTGGAGAAGAGGCTCGCAAAGCCAAGGAAGAAAAGGCGAAGAAGGCAGCAGCTAAGAAGGCAGAGAAGGAGCGTAAGAAGGCAAAGAAAGATGCTGAGAAGGCCAAGGGTGTTGAGGCTGCTGAGAAGGGACAGGATGGACCTGCGGCGAAGACTGCGGAAGAGGAGGTGAGCAGAGGTGTTGAGCAGGTCAGTCTGCAGACCTCGTAATACGTGAGTCTCATCAGGCGACTTGGGGAGTTATGGCGTGGCGGTTAGTGGTAGCAGCGACTGAATATATGGCAGCATGTGGGCGGGGCGTTCAAATTCAACAAACTAGGGAAGCTGTCAGCATCAAAGAGAGGATTAGAGATTTCACCAAGCAGCAGGGTGCTATGGTTCCTCAATGCTTAGACATATGGTGTCGACCTAACACGTAGCCACGCGCACGACATGAATCTGTGTTACTATGCCATGCTCGAATCATATCTCACAAAGTTTCATTGCATGCGGGTCGCCGATGAAGACATCATCTGCTCATTTGTATTTGTCGCCTAAAGCCTTCCTCCATATTTGATATTGCACGAATTGATGTGTCTAGACGCTGAGTGCATTGTCCTATTCGGGAGAAAGAGCCGCATATAACCAGGGTCCAATGAAACTTGATATCACCACGGCTTAAGGCAACTGAGATCGTCAAGCAGTCCACTTCATGTTTTCTAGCACCATGGAACCTGCCCACTCTGACAGCAGTTCATGTCAACAACGTTCTCATTCAGGCTAGCAATTGGTTCTACTGCATGACGGTACTCATTTTAGGAGGAACACTCTTTCTCTCCTGCGTCGTGCGTTCGCATGTTCGGACTTGACCGCTATCGTGACTACCTCAGGTCACGATGCTCTTTCCTCTTGGGTTTTCACTTTCACCATGACGACGCTGTATGATGAGAAGTGACGTCTACCCCACTTTCTGTTCACTGTGTTCGACCGTAGTTCGTATGTTTGTACTTCTGTTATTCTCTTCTTCACTTTCACTGTCCGTGCACGATCCGCAAGCTTGCTGTATAGAACTTTCCAGTCTCGCCAGTCCTGTCTACTACCTATTGCAATACATCGCGAGAGCAACCAGGCTTTTTCTCCCTTGCCACATCGCCGCCACCGCAGATCAATCGTAACTGTTTCGCGACAAGGTACAGATCGCGATACAAGATAACACTCCCAGAAGCTAAAACTACCGCAGCATCTACGAGCGTTGACTCATCATGGCGACTGGATATGCGCCCCAGATGGAGAAGATTGCAGGAATGCATCCCTCTGAGCAGCGCGAGTTCGTCGACGCCAACTCGGTCAAGAACCCGCCCAGCGCGGGCAAGTTTGACAGCAACACCGATGTAACGATGAATACACTGCCGAGCACTGCGAATAGCGACAGTGAGCAACTGCGAGGTCCTGCGGAGATGGAGGGCCTGACCATCATCTGGTCCAGGAACTGGCTCATCGCGGCCTATGGAGCGTAAGTATATCTTCGCTCTCCTTTTATTGCAAGCATCCCCCTACCTAAAGGACACCTTTCCCGTTATCTGATGTCTACCTTTCGCTGCTACGGTGTGTGCAGCAACGCTGACAGTTCAGTATCATGCTCATCTCCTTCATCAACTCTCTCCAACAACAAACCAACTTCTCATGGAGACCCTACGTCACGTCGGCATTCTTGATGCACGGTCTCACTGCCATGACCGACATCGTCGCCAACATCGTCGGAGGCGTATCGAAGCTACCGCTAGCCATGTTCATTGATCTTGTTGGCCGGCCCCAAGGCTTTCTGATGTGCTTGATCTTCATAATCGCCTGCAAGTCCTTCCAATCCAACTGGCATGTAATTGTCTAGCTGACTGATAACTTCCAGCTCTCATCCTCATGGCCTTGTGTCAAAACGTTCAGACATTTTGCGCTGCACAGGTCATCTACTGGACAGGCATGAACGGTGTCGATTACGTCTTCAACATCTTCATTGCCGACACTGCGCTCATGGAGAACCGGCTAACTTGGATGGCATTCACCGGGTTCCCCTATGTCATCAACACCTTTGCCGGTCCCAAACTCGGCGAAACCTACCTCAAGCATAGCACCTGGCGTTGGGGTTATGGCTCTTTCGCCATTTTGACCCCTGTATTCTCCCTGTCGTTTTGTGCTGTCTTCTGGCTCATGGGCAGACGAGCACGGAGAGCGGGCGTCGAAGCACGCGAAATGAGCGGCAGAACAGTCTTCCAGAGCATCAAGCACTGGTCCATCGAATTTGACCGTAAGTCATGTTCTTGTCAAAGTAGATTGAATTCTAACGTGTCACAGTAATTGGGCTCCTGCTCGTAGTCAGCGGCTTTTCTCTCCTCCTTCTTCCTTGGCCTCTCGCAACTTGCCAGCACCATGGATTCGGGTCTCCATTGGTTATATGCATGATTGTTTTCGGACTAATGCTCCTCGTGGCTTTCGTGATCTGGGAACGCTTCTACGCCATGAAGACATTCTTTCCATACTACCTCATGAAGGACCGCACAGTTGTTGCGTCATGCCTGCTAGGCGCCAACGCCTGGATCGCTTTCTAGTAAGTATTTTGGCTTGTCAAAGAGACATGTACTGATGTCGAACGAATAGCTCCTACCGGATGATGTACTCGTCGTACCTTCAAGTCGTATTCCAGCTTCCTGTCTCCAAGGCCGGATACATTACCAACATCTTCAACATTGTTTCATGTACCTGGGCAATCATCATCAGTTTCGCGATGAAGTATACGGATACCTACAAATGGGGAGCCATCATCGCCGTTCCCATTCAAATTACATGCACTGGTCTGTTGATCATGCTCCGTCATCCCGGTAGTCCAATCGCGGCGCTGATCACAGTCGAGGTCTTCGGTGCTATGGCAAGCGCTATGCTCTACAATGTTGAGCAAGTCGCCATCATGATGGCTGTACCGCACGACCAGGTTGCAGTCGCCATCGCCCTCCTCAACGTCACTACTGCTGTCGGCGGTGCCATCGGCCAGTCTGTCAGCGGCACTCTCTGGGCGCAGATTGTACCTAAGAAACTTGTCGAGTACCTCCCCGAAGGCTCGAAGCATCTAGCTCCGATGATCTACGGCGACATCCGGAATCAGTTGGGACTGCCATGGGGTAGCCCGGAGCGCGAGGCTGTAATCCATGCATTCGGTGATGCGCAAAGGGTCATGGTCTTGATGGGAACTATTGCCTTCGCACCTTGCTTTATCTGGGTCGCCATGTTGAAGAATTCCCGTATGAGCGAGCGCAAGGCTCGCAAGGGTCTTCAGGCTTGATCCGGCGTGCAACGGTTGTTCTCCAGGACTAACTCAGGTGCTAAAAGAAAGGTCGTACGGGAGATGATAATTCAGTAGTACCATGGGCGAGGATATGGTTGTCGGGGTTGGACGCGCCGTATACTATCTGGGTGGCTTTGGGGATGGATAGGCTGGATATTTGGACTGTTTATGAGATGCTCTGTGGCTATTGATGGTGTGTTCCAACCTACAGTATATATTGTCAGACAATCCCGACGAAGGAACCGACCATAGCAATCGTCTTTGTTGATATCTGGATTACATGATGACAATGTTCGTGATACGAAAGTGTGGTTGACAAGCAGGCAATACATGCTTTGCGCTTTCCACAACTGGGACCTCTACGCAATAATCTGGGAGTCGCCAAGGACTGGTTACCCCAGGTGCATAGAAAATCAAAGACAACGAATCAATTACACCTGTCGTCCTGGGCGCCACAGCAGGTTGGCCATGGTCGTGATTGATTAGCTGTTGCGAACATGGACGTGTCGTTGGACGTAGGTCGAGCCCCTGCACGCACAAGACTTCGGAATCAGCGGAACACGCCGCCATGACGTTGGACGGATCCCTCTCCCCATCTCACCACTAACACACTTCGTTTCGTCTTAGCACGCGCTACTGGCAGATCTTCAGCCTCATCGTTGCAGCAACGGGGCGCTCTAGGATGCACCCTGCCAACCCAGCGGTGCCCTGCCGGCGGTGAGGCGCCAACGCATACCAACCTCGCCAATTACCTGAGTCGTTACCTCCGTTGCGCTCCACCAGCCACTTGGGGTCCCAACCACGAGCAAGCAACCACACTTCTCACCGAGCTTGTCATGCTTCTTTCTGCATCTGTACCGTACCGTTGTACTTGAAATATTCTCCGATTTGAAATCACTGGCAACAATGCATCTTCCACACCTGCTCGCCCTCCCGCCTGCTATCATCGCTCTTTGCGCAGCAACGCCAGGACTCGCCGCAGAGGAATCGCAATGGCCGCACAACGTACCCCGACACCTGAAATACTTCCCCGAAGACGAAGTCCACGCAAAGCGTGGGCTGAGCGTCAAGCAAAGACTGCAACATGAGAAACCCATTGGAGTGAAGAAGATGAGCATGGACGAAGGCGAGATGTTCATGCTGGACAACTGGATATTCGCTGCCCAGGACACGCCGTCTCAACCACAATCCTCGAGGAGATCAGACTACGACGTCTTTGGCAATGCAACCTCTCAGGCTCTCTCGCCTCTGCGCCCTCTAGCGCAGTCTGACTGGCTGGCGCGTATGCACATCAGAGATATACTGATGAACCGCCAATTCAAGTGCCCAGATGGAACGGCGAGTTGCGAGAGTATAGGCGCACCGGATGTGTGCTGTGGCACGGGAAGCACTTGTATCAGTGTGACCGGGAGCTCGGTTGCAGGCGATGTGGGATGTTGTCCTAGTGGCCAGAATTGCGCAGGCAGTGTGAGTTGCGACGAGGCGAGCGGGTATACGAGTTGTCCTGGGACGGACAACGGCGGGTGCTGTTTGCCGGGGTTCAAGTGTCAGGGTATTGGATGTAAGTCGCTACATCTTTTGTTGACAAGTCCATTGGATTCAAAAGGCTAATTTGAATAGGCGTTGCGGAAGGTACATCGACGTCCTTTGTCCAGCCCTCTACCTCTTCATCCACCCCGTCTGCCACTTCTACTTCGACGACTGCCGCCGCCATTCCAACCACATCATCTACAACCAGCACGACCCCCGAACCAGCATCCACCTCAACCTCGCGCTCCGCATACACTTGCTCAACAGGCTGGTTCTCATGCCCCGCCTCCCTCGGCGGCGGCTGCTGCATGAACGGTCGTACCTGCGCAACCGGCGCCTCTTGCCTCGGCGACGACGACAACCCCTCTTCCACACGCGCTCCAGACGCCCCTGTCCGTCCTACCAGCGCCGCCGTGACAACCGGCGCCTCCAGTGACAACATCTGCCCCACGGGTTTCTACGTTTGCAGCGCATACTACCCGTCCGGCTGCTGTCGTGTGGGCAGGGATTGCCAGACCACGGGCTCCTGCGCTTTACCTCCGTCCGATACTATTGTAAACACCAACGGTGTGGTCATTGTGGCGCCGACGGGTGCTGAGAGCGCGGGAAGCTGTCCTAGTGCGTGGTATAGCTGTCCGGCGGATGCTGGTGGTAATTGTTGTCCCAACGGGTACGCGTGTGGTGAGCAGTGTACAGCGACTGCGAGTGGCCAGAGTGGCGTAACGAGTAAAGCGGAGCCCAGCAGCAGCAGTAGTAGTCAGGCGAGTTTTGTTTCGAGATTAAGTGTCTGGGGAATGGCCGTGGCGTTCTTCGGCTGTGGACTTGGTATGATTGTGCTGTGATGCGATGATGAATTTCGATAGGGTATGCTTATGACGTTATGAGGATGTATGTATATAGAGATGATTTATGTAGAGCCCGATGTATATACGAACGAGTTACACTACCAAAATGACTTGTCCTTTTTCTGTAAAGACTGGATTCTTCTCACTGTGAATGAACATTTGGAGCATACATTCGACGTTCCGTAACCGTTTGAAATGCTTAGTGTACTATGGTTCAACGTAAATACAAGAAAATCAACCATCAATCAACCTGATGGAATATGCCTTTCAACGTTACACAAGTCGCAGTAGAATATATCCGGGAATGAATAGCCAAGCCGCAACCAACATCAATGGCATTGAAAGTACTACATTGCGTTCCCAAGTTCTGCAACAAACGCCCAAAATCTCCAAGCCGTCGTCTTATAACTTGAAGCTTCCCGCGCCCCTCTTCGCAGCCTCCTTGACCTCCTTGCCCTCAACATCAGTAAGCACACCCTTTCTTCCAATAATCTGTACACCACCCTTCTTGAGATCACTGACGAGCTGCTTCTTCTCGCCCCTCTTCTTCTCCTTGCCCTCTGTCTTCTTTTCCACCGGCTTGTTGAGGCCGGCCTTCTTTGCTCTCTCCTTGGCGCGTCTCCGCCTGGACATCTTCTCCTCTCGCGACATCTCCTCGCGGGCAACTGGCATACCACTCTTTGTGACAATTTCCGTCTTCGTCTTCTCCTCGCCAGGCTTGTAGATCTCCTGAGGTGCGAGCATGCTTGCACTGGCCACCTCGCCGCCAGCAGTGGGCCGCGCATCTTCCATTTCGATAGCAGGAGCGTCGGTGCGGATCTCCAGGTTAGGAGCTGCAGGCTTGGGTTTGAAGTGCGAGGAGCTCAGGGAGTCGAGCTTGGCAGATATGCTTTTCCAGAGGCCGGCAATTTCGTCGTGCTCCTTCTTGAGCTTCTCATCCTTGGCTTCGACGAAGTTGGGGTCGGTGGCGCGGAGGTGCTCTTCTTCATAGATTTCGGCGAGACCTTTGCCGGACTTTGTGTCGTCGAGTTCGATGCGGCCGCGGCGAGGACCGGTGGCTAGATCGTCAGGTCGTCGGCGATGTATCTCGTCGAACTCTCCGGCTAAGATGCGGCGTTTGATTAGGGCTTCAATGTCTTCGGAGGTTTCCTGTGTGACGATCGGTACGGGCTTGCCGGCTCGCTCAAACTCAAGATTCTCTTCGAGAAGCGAGTTTAGTGGTCGGTCGGCTGCACGAGCTTCACCAGACAGCTGCCATTCCCGTTTCGCGACGTTGGCCGCTTCCAGCTTCCTGATCTCTTCTGCGATCTTGGCCTGTCTTCGTTCGTGTGTTGATCGCCTCGACTTCGGATCTGCGGGATCTACGTCGGATAGATCGCCTTCGCTTTCGACATCGTCGTCGTCCTCGAAGAGATCTCGGTGTACCTTGGCTATAGTCTTTTCTACGTCCTCTTCGATTTCTTCTTCCGGTTGTGCCTGCTTCTCAGGGAAGTTGTGGGGGTTGGGTCGTCCGCGCTTCTTGCCGCTCTTGTTTTTGCTCGCCTTCTGCGCGGGAGGTGCGAAGAAGTCCTTGTACATGACGTTGTTGGCGTTCATACCGGTATCAAGGCCATCGAGGTCACCTTCCTCGACGTCGTCTTCATCGCCACTATCGCCTTCCGGTGCATTCAGATCTGCATTGCCAAAGGTTGGCCCACCTTCGTCAGACTCATCGTCTGATGCATCCCCTCCAACACCATTGGCCTTGACTTTGGATGCGCCGTCTTCCATAGGATCTGCTTCCCAATTTACCTCGTCATCGTCGCTATCCGCACCCTCCCCTCTCTGATCCTGCTGTTCTAGGAAGTCGGTCTGCTTGTTGAAGTCGTCTATAGAGAAGAAGCCGTCGTTGAGACCGTTGGGGTCGGGTTGGTAGGTCTCAGCAGGTGCATCGTCGGACTCAGCATCAGAGAAGATGCCCTCTGCCCCGTCTTCCATGTCAATGTCCTCGTCGTCCTGCTCTTCATCCAGCGCGTCTTCATCCTCGTCTTCGTCTACTCCATCGTACTCCCAATCCACACCCTCTTCGCCTATGTCCGAGTCGGTGTGGTATTCCTCTTCAGCTTCCTCGATGCTTTCATCGTCGTCTTCGCCGTCGCGCACAGCGACAACTCCGTCTTCTTGGTCGGGTAGCGAAAGTTCGATTTCATCTGTCGTCGCCTCGACAATCTTGCGCGTCTGCTCAAACACCTGATTCACGCCGAATCCGTCCAGATGCACCTTCTTCAAGTGTAAGATGGTGATATCATCGTCGTAACCCCCGCCCCGCTTCCGCTTCTTGCGCAGATCTTGCTGTCGTTGGGATTGCGACGCGCTTACGCCGGCAGCCACCGGGTCCAGGTAGCGTTTGGCGGCGGCTAGGAATGTCGCATTGAGCTGCGGGGTGGGCTGGAGAAAAGCGAGTGGTTTGGTGAGCAGACTTGTGGGCGAAGTCGCGGCGGATGGCTGGAGTTCCATGTGTGGTGGCTGGGCGGAGCCGATTGAGAGGGTATGCGAAGAGATGGATGTGTCGGGCGAGAAGGAAGGCGGCGCCATGCTCTAAATGTCTGTGAGGCGCTGGTGGTGAGTGAATGCGCTGCTGGCTGCAGTCGAGTTCGCGCCTGCCGCTGAACTTTTTTGGTGGAGCTAATGGTCATAGCGTGCGTTAGCCCTATCAAGTTCCGGACCATCTCTTCCGACCTCACATGTATTACACCTCACAGTACAGGTTTCAAACTTCCCGAAGCAACTTCACTAACGGCAACGACTGATGTGTTGGGAATCAAAACGCTTGTTTGGGCATTGTTTGTCATTGCTGCTACGTCATATCTACAGATGTTCGTCGCACCAACCAAAGATGCGATAATTTGCCAACTCGAAGACACACACTTTGGCTTGCAGCCCGCCTTCATACAGTGTGCCAGGGACTCAATAATCTCTTTTTCCTTATTTCATATGATCAAGTGTCGCAAAGATTTTCTTCGAATTCACTTCAAGATCGAAGTACATTGCGTTGGTAGGCGCGGTGACCAACACCGGGCACTTGACATTACGAAGATATTGGCTCCCGTCGGCGTTCCTCAGAGTGGGCTGTTTGAAGAATCGAAAAGCGTCTGCCGCATTGTCTGCACCTGACATAGCTTGCAAGTGCGCCACCTCCCACTTCAGCTGGTAGTTGAGATTCGACAGCAGGCCCATCGTCCACTTGAACATGGAGCCCGTGATAATACCGCGGACCCATCCTCTCATGAACTACCCCGGCATACGATAGAGCGCCAAATCCCACATGTCACATGGAAGATCGACCGCGATGCACGCCTTGACACGCTGGTCGGCTGCGGCTCTCAGTGCAAAATAACCACCCAGCGACTGTCCCACAACGGCAACCCGGTTGAGATCCAACCCATAGTTGGCCTGGTCACTCGAGTTGTTATGCTCGAGAAAGTCTAGTACCGTAGATGTCACCTTCTCATACGCTGGTTCCATGGGTAACCTTTCCCGCTTCAGCAAGATGCCCTGTCCTGGGCTTCCAAAGGTAAGGACTGCATATCCTCTCGGCAATCCGGCGTACGCAGACACCACAAACATCTCTTCCTGCGTGGAGTCGCCTCCCGACAGGCTGATGACCAGAGGTACGCCATTATCTTTTCCAAATTGTGTTGGCACATATAAGTATGCTGGAAGATGTATGCCTTTGCCGTAGGGGATTGCTAGTTCATGGACAGTGATCCTTTCCTGAAGCAATAGAGCTTGCTTGAACAGGGTCTCACTTTTCTCTAGCCTGGTAATCGCCAAGGTTGCTTCCGTAGGGTCGGGCGCGTTGAGCATGTATTGACTTGCACGGCGATAGTTACTTGCTCGCAACAAGGCATTATGGGCCGTGATCGTGTTGCCCGCCTTTTGCGCTTCTTTGCTTAGTTCCTCAGCTTTAGTACTGAGGACTGACCATTGTGTACTCCATGAATGCGGGTCACCGTCTTTGATATGCACCGCAGCCTCCAGAGCTTCTCCGATTCCACAACTCCCATAGCGCCTCGTGCTTAGAATGCGCAGGAACTCAAAGTTGAAGAACTCGGATTTGAAAAATCGATGCATGATGGCGAAGGCCTAATGATAGCTTCCTGGATCGGAAAGTTATGCTTCAAGCGAGACAAATCATCTGTCCGTACTTGGGCGCTTTCGTTAATGCGAAGCATTGGTCAAAATACCGAACACGCCGGTAAGATTCTCATCCTGCACGCTCCTATCAGCGTGTGAGTAAGCAAAACGCACGCGCGAATTCGCCGAACAGGGGTCAGAGTACCAATGGGAAAAAGCAGCTGGAGTGCAAGCACTGGTCGAACCAATGTGTTGGATCACAACTTCACTTTCTCGTACATGTTTTGCTGCAGATTCCGGCGAATTCGACAATGCAGACACGAAAACCATGTGTGGGAGCCGAAATCTCTCGTCCGTGGCTCGGATACTTGCACGTATGTTATCGCCTTGAACAACATCCGCATCTGCATCTGCACTCAACACCTGGAACCCCTCTGCACAAATAACATGACTGCTACTTCGACACCCGACGGCGAGACCAAGGAAGATTTCTCAGCTACACAATACACGCACACTTTAGAAACTAGCTTAGCATCAGAGGGTCAGGCAGACGATGCTCCTCCGAAAGATACGACCCACTACGGATGGCGATTCTGGATGATCATTCTCAGCCTGTGCTTTACTTCCCTTCTTACCGCAATTGAAGCCACTGTTACCGCCACAGCGCTTCCCAGCATCGCCCGTGAGCTGGATTTTCGCGAACTCTATGTGTGGTTCGTCAACGCACTGTTTCTCTCCAGGTAAATTGCACCTTTGTGCTATCAATGTCCTGATATCGTCCACATGACTAAAACCACGTCAGCGCGGTCGTACAACCATTATTTGGGCAGCTGGCCGACGTCTTTGGTCGCCGATGGCCTATTATATTCACAGTTGCTGTATTCGCGCTTGGCAGCGGTATTGCTGGAGGTGCTAGATCCGCTGGAATGCTCATCGCTGGACGCACACTTCAAGGCGTCGGTCTTGGAGGTGTCAACATGCTTATCGACATCATTGTATGCGATCTAGTTCCACAGCGAAAGCGCGGCGCTGTCATGGGGATCGTTTTCGCCTTCTTCGCTGTTGGCTCTTCGCTAGGACCTTTTGTGGGAGGTATACTGGTCGACAGAGCCTCCTGGCGTTGGGTCTTCTACATTGGTCTTCCCGTAGCTGGTGTCTCCCTGATGTTCTTGGTCGCCTTCTTGCAAGTTCAGTACGACAAGGAGATGGCTCTAAAGAACAAACTCAAGCGACTCGACTACACCGGGAACGTCATCCTCACGTTGTCCATGGTATCCATCTTGATTGCCTTAACCTATGGAGGAACACTCCGCCCATGGTCGTCTTGGCGTACAATTGTGCCTCTCGTTCTAGGGCTTCTCGGATTGATTGGTTTCCACATATATGAAGCAATTGGCAGTCAGAAGGAGCCGGTTGTTCCTGCAAGGCTTTTCACCAACTGTACCTCGCTTACTGGCTTTGTACTAGTCTTTCTCCACGGCATGATACTCTACTGGATAACCTACTTCCTACCACTGTACTTCCAAGCGGTGTTATTGAGTAGTCCCACCCGGTCGGGCGTTCAGTTCTTGCCTACTGTCATCGTAGTGCTCCCTTTCGCAATCATTGCTGGTGGCTTGGTCACTGCTACTGGCCGTTACAAACCGCTGAACATTGTGGGCTTTGCCTTTGTGACCCTTGCCGCCGGGCTTTTCACCATGCTTGATTCTGCCTCATCGATGGCTGAATGGGTAGTCTTCCAAATCATAGGAGCCGCTGGTATTGGACTCGTAACCACCTCAACTCTCCCAGCTGTACAGGTCAGTCTTCCGGAAAGCGACGTCGCTTCCTCAACCGCTACGTGGGGTTTCCTCCGTAGTCTCGGCTCCATCTGGGGAGTGTCGATTCCAGCGGCTATCTTCAATACACGTTTTGGAGAGCTGTCCAAGCAGATTACTGACGAGAATGTACGAGCGTTGTTGCAGAATGGTATGGCATACGAGAGGGCCTCGGCTACTTACATTGGCGCATTTACGGAGCCGACACGCTCCGAACTCATCCGAACATACCAAGGTGCACTCAAGACTGTTTGGCAGGTTCTCATTGCGTTCTCAGCTTTGGGATTCTTAGCAACGTGGTTTCTCAAAGAAATCAAGCTCAAGGACACTATAAAGACGGAGTTTGGTCTCGAAACCAAAGGTGAGGCGAAGAAATGATGAGATGTGTATGTTTGTTCCATGTCCATCCTTTTCGTATTTGACATCTCTACGCGGTCTTGTTACTTTTTCAGTACACTCGACTGCTTGGCGGTTCATGCTCTTTCCATATGAGCCAGGGAAAAGATAGACAAGTATACGAGCGTCGTATCGAAACGCCTCTTCAGACCCTCATCTCGTGAACATTCCAGCACCTTTTGCTTTTTTAGAGCGACTGATCTTTCGCGACCTATGACTAGCTCAGTAGTCGTATCAAATACATATGAAATGCGCTCCATCGAAATCGCACGATCACGTTCGTTGAGTGTCTTGGCAAAGCGCCTGAGCCCGTCCTGGAACTCGTCGTACATGCGGCCGGCTACGTCGAGAACCAGACACAGCTGTGATAGATAGCAAGGCGGAGCTACAAAAGAGCCGATGGATACAGTCGGTAACAAGTGAGTGATTGTGTGGCGGAATGTCGCCTTCACAGTTGCGTCTTCTAGGGAGCTAGTCATCAAATCGAGCCAAAATGTAAAGATCCGATCGTAGCCTGTCAAAAGCTTCAGAAAGCAAGACATTGTGCAGACGATATCTGCGTCTTCCACTTCAGCGCAAGTACGATCCTTGGGATCGAGAAATGGAGCATCCTGGGTTTCGACGTCCTTTAGTATTTGTACAAAGGCTTGTGATACTTGGAAGATACGCGCATACACTTCCGGATACTGTATAGATCCGTCAAGTGCTCTAAATTCTAGTCGGAGTGTACCGAGGTTGTGGAAGATGTCGTGGACCACGGAAGAGAGCGTGGCTTCTACAATCGTGCTACGCGCACGAGGAAATATGGTCGCACCAGACCCAAACGCGTCTGTTGGTAAGATGTGATTAACTTCTTGGGCACTGTCTGAGAACGCGCTAGTTGTTGCCGTACCCGAGTCGTCATGATTCCAGAAGTCGATCCCTTCGTCCCGTGGCAGTGGCAGGATAACAGTGTCCGAGGTGGGAGTCAAAAGCGTCCCCAGGTTTGTTGTTGTCCAATTGGGCGGCTCTTGTGATGTAGAACCTTGTACGGGTTCAGTGAGGCTGACTAAATCTGTGGCCTTTGGTATACTAACGCGTTGAAATGCTGGTTGAACATCTCCTTGCGGTCCTCGGTGCATCCGCTCCTCGCCGCCGCCTATTCGAACTGTTGTACGCTTGACGCGGGCTGAAGATACATGCTGAGCCTGCCTGCGCGCATCTGGTGCAAGACTGCCCATTTCCTTCGCACCGGAGCTTTTTGGAATGACATCTGTCGCAGGCGTCCCGGGTTTTGCTAATAGAGGTAGGAGGTGTAAACATGGTAGTAGTCCAACCAGTGCGAGTTAACACGACTTAGTCCCGGTAGTATATATATTGTGCCGCTTATCGCGGCGTGGTGGGAAGGCTCATCATGGAGTGTTCCGATTGGCTCCTATTCCAGATCATGCGCAAGTACGCCACAGAAGGAGAGCATGCCGCTGCGTTCTATGCTCTCCCTCGCGAGGGCCGTGATCTTACCTAGGCATACATAACAAAGAAACTGACAGTCCGTTTGAGATGAGGTACAGATACAGAATATGCGTCGACCGGTAAGCAACGGTCAGGCTCGGGGAAAGTGCGCCTCGGGACCGCAGCTAATGCAACTGCAAGTGCAGTCTAATCGCCAATGTTCGAATCAAAAGGCACCAAAGCTAGGTTGTATGGCGATTGTCAATTTACCCGTACATGTTGGAGTACCGGTATTGGACAACGGCAGGGGTGCTGTTGAAGCATACCTGGAGCCTTCCAACCTTGGCTGCCAGACTGCCGTAAGACATAAGAAACACTGCGCTGCAACGGGCGGATATTGCCTATTTGTTGCTTACCTCGCTACCATCCAATGGGTATACACACCCACACTTCAGCCGCAGATTCGGCGTTTTGCTGCATGTCATCTGCGGGTCGACATTTTCCTGTGTGCATGGCCTTTTTTCGTAGTTGACATGGAGAACAGAGTGTGCACCACTGTTATCCTAAACCCAAGCCATCAGTTCTTGACGTGAGGCGTCAAGATGTCGAACGCCACCCAAATTCAGCTTCAGCACTGGGCAGAAGACCGATTGGGCGAAGTCATTGCAGTGCATGTAGTATGTCTTGTTACACTTGTCGCAGCTGTGACCTTGAGGTTCTATGCGCAGTCGTTCGTTACAAATCCGTGGAAACATGCTGATAACTGGCTGACTCTTGCTGCTGCGGTGGGTAGAATGACATGAGATTACACTCATACCTGAGCTGACTTAGATCCAAGATATTTGCTACTGGCATTGCCGGATGTATGCTCAAAGCTCTGGACTATGGCTTCAGAAAACATACAGTCATGATCAGGTGGCTGCCGTTCACTGTGTTGCTGTACGCTCTCCCGACAGCCTGCAAGACATCGTTACCACCTATCCCAATGTTTATCTGCATGCAAGTGGCCTGGCTAGTCCGCTGCTTGGCCTCTCTCAAAAAGACTTCTCCTCCTTGGCTGCCAGCATCACCATGATTGTGCATAACGGTGCTACAGTTTCTTTCCTCCAACCTTACGCTTCTCTCCGTGCAGCGAACGTAACGTCGACTAGAGAGCCCATTCGCGTAGCAACACCCCGCCGGATTCCGTTTCACTACGTATCTACAGCCGGCGTTGCCGAGCTAACAAATCTGTCGTCGTTGCGCGAGAAGTCAGTAGCGGAACACATTCCGCCAACGGGTGCGAGTGGATATACGACAAGTAAATGGGCAAGTGAAGTCGTCCTGGAGAACGCATCAGCATCATACAAAATACCGGTTACAGTGCATCGTCCGAGCACTGTCGTCGAGGCTGCTGGGAAGCCGGATGATGTCCTGCCGCATGACGCGCTGGGCACTCTGCTGCGATTTTCGAGGGAACTTAGGGCTGTGCCACTGCCGAAGAAGTGGACGGGTTGTTTTGACATGGCGCCTGTGGATCAAGTAGCTCAGCACATTGTAGAGGAAGCGCTTCTGCCATCTACCGGCGGCATTCGATACAAACATATCGCGGGCAGTAAAAAGGTTTCGGCGCAGGACTTGAACAAGTTCGTCGCGACACAAATCCAAGACCCAGTGGAAGTCATGCCGATGGAGGACTGGATCGATCGCGCAAAGGCGCATGGGTTGAGGGAAGATTTGAGCGGATGGTTCCTTGCAGTGGTGAGCAAACCAAGATTCTTGCCTCCTATCTTGATGGGGTCAGATCTGTAGCCATCGGCGCACATAGCATGTTTGTACATATTTGCGAAATGTATCAATCTTTGCATGGCAACTCTCGTGCCGATTTCCGAGACTTGGGCAGTGGTATAGATTGAAGGCTCTCATGTTTCGCGGCTTCAGTGCAACTCCAAGGCCTGGGCAACCTATCTTGCCGCGGCAGCGCCAATGGTCGGCCCCTGCCCCTCGGCTCAGGAACACCGCCACCAACTTCGGGGCTCCCTGTGACGCCCAACCAAACTTATCCTTCACCACATTGTGCTACAAACCAACCTTTCAGATCATGGGTCATGTCCGAAGAACGCGAAAATCAGCTGCCTGCATGTCAAAAATGCAGATTGCGCAAAGTCAAATGTGACCGGCAAGCACCCAAATGTACCAACTGTGCGAAAGGCAGTGTCGCCTGTATCGTTGTCGACCCGATTACTGGAGAGCAGTATGCACGTGATTATATCAGGCAATTAGAAGAGAAGGAGCGCGACCTAACGCAAAGACTTGGTGCACTCGACGATGCAGGCGTTGTCACTCCAGTCTCGACTGAGAGATCGGACGGTTCCCATCCGACACCGGCAGGCCCTGAAACGGCAGCGAGCTCGGGAACTCAAAGCGGATTTGTTGGCGATGGCAGTGGATTAGGTTTCTTGCAGAGCATTCTTTCTGATATCAAATGGCAGCACCATCGCGCACAAATACTGGAGCAGCTTAAGAAGCGTCCTCGCATCGTTAGGCATCGGCCCGTTGCTAAGGCTCTGCCACCGATGGTACAAGCGCGACAATTGTTTGACAATTATTTCACTCGGTTCCATGTCCACCATGCTTTTCTACTACGCAGCGAGATGCTGGACGTCTTCAACCGGGTCTACTCAGTCCCGCCATCACTAGGGAGACCCTCCGCTCAGGACAACTTCCGCCTTTTCATGTTATTTGCAATCAGCGACACAACTAGACATCGGGCTTGCCAAAGTGCTAGTCAAAGTGCTGAACATCCATACGGCTACTATCTTGCTGCTGAAAGTTACCTTGCCAATATACCGCTGATCAAAGGTCTGGACGCTATCCAGAACTTATTGCTCATAGCAAGGTTCGGCATGTACCATCGTATTGGAGCGTCGATATGGGAAATATCCCACCTTTGTATGCGCCAATGTATCGAATGGGGTCTGCATCTGAACGCATATGGCAATCCGGACCCTTTGAAAGAACAACACCAGCGCAGGATATTTTGGGAGTGTTACGTTCATGATCGTTACAGCTCTGGCATTCTGGGTCGTCCTTTCGCTCTACTTGAGTCAGAGATAGGCATGCCACTGCCCATAGATGCCGACGACGAGACGATCATAACATCTGGGACAAATGTAATTGATACCGTTCCGACTGTCACGGCTGTACACCCAAGCGAAGTCTCAATCAACTTGTTCTGCATCAAGCTGCGACGTCTAAGCTCAAGGGTGCACACAGCCTTTTACACCAGTCGCAAATCACCCTCAAGCAGTACTGCAGATGGCACTCGGACACCAGCATTCCGATCAATCGGAAATGTCTACTCGTCCTTCTCTCAGTTCGATAGCGAGCTTCATGCGATACGGGCGTCAGCACCTGTCTTCTCAGGACCCAGATGTCTGTACGAGCGATCTGAATGGCACGACTTTATGTATGAGAAAGACCGCCTTCTGCTTGCCCGTGGCGCCATGCACAACCTTCCGGCACGACAGTTCTCTGGCGCGTCCATACTAAAGGAGATACTGAGAGCGTGCTACATGTCAGCAACGCGTACAATAGAGTTATATGCGAATCTACGAAGCAAAGACGCTATCACTTGGACGCGCAGCTACTTTCAGGTTATCTTCACAGCCGGCCTCACTGTAATCTATTGTGTTATCTTGGATGTCTTGACCGACAACCATGGGCTCTCTGCGACTCATACGGACCCTCTGCGAACAATTCATATCTGCGGCTCACTATTAGATTTCTTCAAAGACAAGATGCCAGACGCAGGGTCTTTTGCGACTGTGTTCAACGTCATAAAGGAAGAGTTTGTGAAAGACCGTTTCGCGCATTTACTACCCTCGTCAGCCAACGTCGCAGCGGCCCCTACTTCACAACACCGCCAGCAGCTCTCAGGCCATCTCTCAAATCCCGAAGTTTTTTCGAGTCATTCAGTCAATGGGAATCCGCTACATTCGGGCATAGGTACTGACGATGGACATTATCTGCTATCCGTCGACGAACAAGAGCAACAAACAACAGCAGATGCCATCTCACTTCGGGACTTTCCCGACATCACAACTGCTCAATTTCCGCAAGAACTTGCTATTGGTCTTACAGACGATCTTATGAACCAACTTGAATCAGGGCTGGGTGAATACGCATGGGGTTCGCTAAATCCCGAGATGAATTGCTGGAATCTTCTTGGTTACGAATAAGCAGGAATATGAATGATGAGCGCAAATTGTTTTCTTGACCAGATCGGTTGTTACATAGCGCCTTCAGTCTTAATATACTCATACAATCGATCTACTGCTGCTATTGCAGTCTGCATTTGCGTCTCAGCCGTTGCAGCACCTACGTGTGGAGTACTCACGACGCGTCCGGTCTCCCAAAGACTACCATATACCTCTTTTGTTGGTGGTTCATGCTCATGACAGTCAAGACCCGCTCCCCAGATGAGACCTTCTTTCAAAGCGCGTTCGAGATCCGCCTCTTGCACGATTCCACCTCTCGCGGCGTTGATCAAAATGGAAGTGCGCTTCATCATCTTAAGTTGTTCATACGAGATGAGACCTCGGGTTTGTGGCAGAAGAGGCACGTGTAGTGTTAGAACGTCAGAGACAGAGAGCACCTCATCAAGCGTCTCTGCCCGTGTGTGCGCAATGTCCTCCCAAGCATCCTTTGGCAATAGTGGATCGTATGAGACTATACGACACCCTAGTCCGCCTTGGAAGATTTGTGCGACTTTCCGCCCGATGTTCCCCATACCCACGATGCCGACCGTCTTGTCGTTGATGATCAAGCCGGAGCAAGTTTCTTTCGGTACCTTGATGCCAACACTCTGTAGCGCTATGATGCGACCAATCTCACGAGCTACAGACATCGTGAGCGAAAGGACTGTCTCGGCGACAGACTGCGCATTGACTCCGGGCGTGTTGAAGATCTTGATTCCGCGCGCTTTGCAGGCTTCTCCATCAATCTTGTCGATCCCGACACCTTGTTTTCCGATGGCCTTTAGGTTCTTGCATGCTTCGACGTCTTCTGTGGTCAGGTACGATCCGCGAATCACCAGGTATTCAGCATGCTCCCTCCACTCTGCGTGCTTAGGGTCTGAAGGTAGTATAGTGTTGAATAACGACCGGGCGCGTTCGATGGCTTGAGGATGTAACGTATCCAGTAGACAAACCGTTGGCTTGTTGACTCCGTTTGGCGAAGTTGAGGATTCGGAAGTAATTCCCGAGTCAATAAGTCCTGGTGCCATGGCGACAGCTACGGTGTGATAGCAGGGTGGCTGATGAGAACTCAAGTAAGTGAATATTTAAAGGCCAGGGCAATGTCGAATTGCAACTGGTTGACAAAATACGGCCAGGACACTGGAACAACACGTGTCTGGATGTACAATGCCTATAGAAATGCGGACACACCAGGTTCTGAAATACAGACAGCATTTTGCCCTACTGGAGAAGCCGACACAGCGCTCACATGCCGAAGGACAGATGATGTGCAGAGTAACACGGCTTGTCGGACGACCACCGAAAGATGTCGGCACTAGCGTCGGAGGATGTCCGCCTCTCCCGAACAGAGTGTGGGAAAACCAGGTCTTTCCCTGGGCTGTTTGGCCCCACCGGTTGGTAAAGCCGAGGCACGAAATCAAGCGCACGATTCAACCTGACTTCGGACGCAAGATGCCGAAGGCGAAGGTCTCTCAATGGCAGCAAGTGCTTTTTGCGATGGGCTCCATGAGCCACTCACAAATTGCCCAGAATGAGATGTTGTAATTGAGGTGACACAGCGATCTCAGATGCGCTCATCAGGGCCTGAAGTTGCTCTCTAGAAGCTGATCTAGACTGGAATGCAACAAGTATGCTGCGAAATCCCTGGAAAGCAGTGTAGCGCATCGATATCATAGTGAGGCTGCTCAGGCATTGAAGCACACATCTCTGCCGTCCCTCATCAGGCGGCTGCGATGCGCTGAATGTACCGATGGAAAATATTAAATATCCCTCCAGGGCTCCAGGCGCACGTTGATGGCTGGTAAGCTGATTCTCAGTCGCAGCCGCGTAGTCAGCCAATTCTCCTTCAATGTGTCTCAGCATCATATCTCGATGCACGTCTTGGGCCATCAAAGGGCATTTAAGTAGTTCCACGAGGCCTCTGACATGGAGTTGGTTCTTCGTTGAACCCGCTGCTGACAATGCGGCAGGTATTGTTTCTTTCCAATGACTTAGATTGACGAAATGACAAAGTAGATCGTCCTCACTGCGGTTCCGGATAGAACGCAGAATTTGCGCGTGTTGGATCAGATGTTGCAAAGCCGTGAAGCCCGTATCCATTGGTGCAGTTCGTGGGGACGAAGGTGGCGACATCATGATATCGCTGTCGTTGAGACAAAATGGCCGATCCATGGCTGTACTCAGGTGCGTGTCCAAGACGTACAACGTCCAGAAAGCTCTACCATTCTGCCTTTTGATCTCGCTCTCTGAAGTCATGTCGGAGATTCGCGAGGTATGCATACCCGAAGAAATGCAACGTGTCATTGCCAGTCCAAGCAGATGCCATGAGGATCCGCCATACGTTGTGTACAGTGAATAAACAGTGAGGGCTGTAAGACATTGTACAACCGATAGATCCTCGGACTGATCGAGGATGCGTGGCATAAGCTGTACGGCTTTGGATGCTAGCTCTGATGCTAGCACTTCCGTGAAGCTGTAGGTTGGAGATAGCAGCATGCCAAGCGTAATACCTGTTCTTACAAGTAAAACCTTATCTGGAGACTCGCTACTTATGATCTCGAGAACTCCATCTCGCTCTGCCGTGGAAACAGTGTTGTAAAGTTCTTCGAGATCGCCGCGTGTTATGCTGGGGAAGGTTGCTGGGGCTGTTCCGAGAAAGGTTTGGAATGCCTCGACAGCTTGATCAGCGTCGAACCTACTACCATAAGGGAAAATCTGACCCCGGAAGTCTGCTATGGAGCCGGAAACTGACTGGTTGGTTCCGGAAGGTATACTGGGATTGGCACCTCCTACGCTTGCGGCAGCGACAAATAACGTTGAGAATGAAATCTCCTGGTTCGAGAACGACTGCCTGTCGGTAGGCTCCGCCATTGCACTCAAGCTCAAGTAGTTGGCTTCATGCATAGCGTTTCGCAAGTCGTCTCCTGGTCTATTGTAAACAACCGATGTTCCAGTCCCGCCATTGCTCGGCGCACGAGGAGTGTCAGCTCTCGTCGAATCGCTACTCCAACTCTGAGTTGTGGGATCGTTGCTGTTGAGGTCGTCGTGCCGTACATCAGGTTGCCGCTTGCATCTACCTTCTAAATGACGGATTCTCAACTTCAAAGACTCGATGTATGAGATAGAAGATGGATCAGAAGCATCGATGGTCGAACCAAAACGTCGCTGCACACATTGTGAAAAGGCTTTGAGACATTGTTGGCATGTTGGTGTTTCGCGGGAGCACTACACCACCTGTCAGCGCTATGTCAATACGACATGAGTTCACATAGTGATGGCGGATCATCCTGCCCTGAGAACAAGAACGGAACATTGGGGGAGAACGGCTGTTGGCAGGTGTTACCATACGTCGTTATCACGCAAGGAAATGCGCCCACCAACCTTCTGTTTTCTCTTCCAACATCTTTCGCAGGCTTGCGATTGCATAGTGGTCATGTTGACAGGTTAAGTCCGAGTTGGGGCCTAGGTTCGAAGATCGAGGTGAAAACGCCGTGGCGAACCGAGGCATTGGGCACAGGACGAGGCGCTAGCGAGTTCGGGTCCCACCAGTCAGAATAACCTAGGATACCTACAACGAACTCAAGTTCGATTGCTTCTAATGGAATGCAAATTGCTCCGAAACAACTGGGCTCCTCAGATATGTGTTTGGTGGCACTTTGCGGCCAGCTATCGAATCCTGGGGACCATTGGTCCCGCTGTTTGGAACGTAAGAACTATTAGTGCCCCACGACCAGGGAGACACTTTTCACGACTATTGGTCTTTTGACGTACTCAACGATGCCGGATATACTCATACAACACGTAAGTTCAGTTTATCTCTATATTGTGAACATATCTTATTGACTAAGAGCTAGCCAATACATTCGTGTGGCCGTTCGTCAGTTCTGCAACAGTAACACCAGCCTTTGTTTTCAAGACATCGATAACTCCAATAGTCCACTCGATTGCAGCTCTATTCGCCTCCTGGTGGGTCGGTTGTTCCATATGCTTGACTCTTGCGCTCAGTTGTGCCATCTCACTTGCTCTTCTCGTCGCTCCACCGAGGAGCAATGGCCCATCTGTCGCTGCCATGACCCATCGCGCTCCCATTTGGCAAAATTTTTCTACAAGATCTAGTCTCGAATGTAAACCTCCTACACCGACCCATTTCCCGTGCCTTTTGCAGGCATTGATAGTCTTCTCGTAGACCTCGAGCAATTGCGGGCTCTCGTACTGACCCGGAATACCTAGTTCGGCGCACATGTCATTGGTGCCAATCAGCAGACTATCAACACCTTCGATGGCTGCTAGCTCTTCAACGCAATCAACTGCTTCTAGTGTCTCTACCATGGGAATGACGAGTGTTTCGCGGTTGCACACGGGGCTCATAGCCTTGGCGGAGAGGTGTCGATATTGGAATTGTGGCATGTTGTTCGTCGACGAACGGTGACCAACGGGTTGAAACTTTGCGGCGGCGACTACGTCTTTGGCGTCCTGTACAGATCGGATGTGTGGGACTATGACGCCCATGGCGCCTCCATCTAGTACACGAGAAACGAAGAAAGGATCTTTAGATGGAACACGAACTATGGGAGAGATGCCAGCGTATAGGGCAGCTATGCAGATCTGACCTAAGACATATCAGCCTCTAGAGACACAAATGTTGGGAAGAATGGAAGGTCAACAAGGGAAAACATACTGGTTGTGTCCAAGTCAAAGGTCGAGTGTTCCATGTCAATGAGTATGCCATCGAATCCTGCGGTTTTCGCCATCATTGGAAGCTCGACACTGCGAACAAGCTTTACAGACAAGGTGTATGCTACCTCATCGCGGAGCATCTTCTCCCGAATAGAGTTATGGAGAGTAAGTTCAGCCATATCGCCGTTTCTGTCTGGTGATGATCTTGTGTTGACAGTACCAAATCGAATGACTAGACAGAGTTTGAGGTATAAGAGCGTCTTGTTGGCCGTCTATTGACTGCAATAAGTAGTGCGACGTAATCCCTTGCACTACGACATCATTTATGATCCTTTCGGTCCACTACACACGGTATCTGACTACCGACATGTTTTCGGGACATGACCGAAGTGCGGAACATGAGTATGTGCTGTGCATGAGTCATGCAGGGTCTAACGGGAGCAAGTGCGCCTGTCAGGGCATCCTTTCCCCGCTTCTACCGCGCCACCTCTCGGGCGACCACCGACGCAAGATGTGGCCTTCGCATCAGTCCCGAGACGCTACAATCATCGGACGACCACCGATAGCACCAAGCTCAGAAGAAATGTCTAGGCAAGTGACTAATAGGGCATCTGGGATCTGGGGAATGTGTGGGCGACACGAACCATCCCCGCACGCTGGACAAGCAACAATGGACGAGAAAACGCATGGCCAACTGTGCATCATATCGACTCTTGGACGACATTAGCTGTTGTAGCAAGGTATTAAGAAGCCGAAGATCTCGAAACGCTATCGCCGGATGCTGCACCGCTCAGACCCTTTCTTCTCTCTACCCGCCATTGCGTAGCCAACCTCCACCGCCGACATCACCATGACTACCGACAAAAAGTTCCTGGAGCAAAGCTGCGAGACTGTCAAGCTTGAGGATGCTGGGCTTTCTGAAGCCGAGATCTTTCTCCAGAGCTATCCTCTGCTGCGAGAGAAGTCCAAGGATGAGCTCGACAGATTGAACAAGGCTGTTCTGAAGAAATTGGATTGGAAGTTTTTGCTCATCATTACGTTGATGCTGTTGATGAAGTGAGACAGCTTTCTTGGCTTCGTGGCTCAGAGTCAATCGACTAACTTCCGACAGTTATCTTGATCGCATCAATGTCTCTAATGCCCGCCTTGCTGGTATGCAACATGACATCCATATGAGCGATGTGGAGTGGTCTGCTGGCATCTCGCTCTTCTACGTGGGATACATCATCTCACAGGTACCTGCAAACATCATCATGTCGAAACAGAAGCCACGCATCTGGATGCCCTGCATAATGCTAGCGTGGTCATCCGTCACCATTTGTATGCCTGCATGCACTAGGCCATGGCACTTCATGCTTTGTCGCTTTCTTGTTGGCTTCACTGAGGGCCCATTCCTCCCTGTGGTGGCGCTCATGACCTCAAGTTGGTATACCAAACAGGAAAGTCCTCTACGGATGGCAATCTGGCACGCAGGAAACATCGTCTCGAATGTGTTCTCTGGTCTCCTTGCGGCGGGCATCTTGACCAACATGGACAATATTGCGGGTCTACATGCATGGCAGTGGTTTCTCCTGTTGGAGGGTATCGTGTCCATCATGGTTGCCATTCCCGGATTCTGGCTTCTTCCGAACTTCCCCAACAACACCGGAACGTACTACTTCACCGCTGAAGAGCAACAGATGGCGCAATACCGCCAGTCCGTGTCTTCTGGTATGGTATTGGAGGACGAAGAAGGGGACTATATTGGCGAATTGATGCAGGCTGTTCGAGATCCATTTACGTGGCTATTTGCCGGCATACATTTCTCTCTTATCATCGCCCAGTCATTCAAAGACTTCTTTCCATCCATCATGGACACCTTGGGCTTTGCAAAGGTTCAAACCTATCTTGTTCAGGCCCCGCCATACGTGATAGCTTATATCGTCACGCTGGTCGTGTCATGGTCGTCTGGCCGTATGCTCGAACACGGCTATCATATCATCGGCGCTATCTCGACAACCCTCATTGGGGCAATCATCATGATCAGCACGCTGAACACAGGTGCGAGGTATTTTTCCATGATTCTTCTCTGTTGCGCACCGTTCGTCGGGCTCAACATCCAGCTCTCATGGGAGACTACAGTTGTGCCTCGTCCGCGGACCAAAAGAGCTGCACTTATTGCGATCGCAAACTGTGTGTCAAGCGTCAGTCATTGGTTCACGCCATATTTTTTCCTCACGAACCAGGAGCCGAGATATGAGACAGGAGGTGGGTGTATCATTGCCGGATGTGGCTTGACTATCATACTGTGCCTTGCGACGAAGTGGTGGTGCAATAAGAAGAACAAAGATTTGATTGCGAAAGAGGAGCGAACAGGGGTGACTAATAGCTGGAGATTTGCAACGTAGGCTGCTAATAGAGGGAGGTTTCGAATAGTCTTCATAGCAG